ATAAATCTTTAAAAAAAAATAATTATTAATATATTTAATGTTATAATTTAATTATAAATAATTTAATAAAACGTAATTAAAAATATACTTAATAAATTAAAACTATATATATAAAAAAACGGTAAAAAAAATAAATTAAAACTAGTTTAATTTAAATTAACGTTAAATTTTATTAATATAAATAATAAAAAAATATATTTAACGCCGATTTTAACGCGTTATTTTTTTAAATATAATTAACGGGTTATTTAATATTATATTAATTTCGAACTTTAAAAAAATACTTAAATTTATTTTAACATTTATTTTAACGTGTATTTAATTTTATTAGTATAAAATTTTCGGTAATTTTAAATATTAAAACTTTAATTTAATTAAAAAAAACGGCTTATTACGTTCGATTTTAATGAATTATATAAAAAATCGCCGTATTTTAACTTTACTACTAAGTAAAGGAAAAATATAGCAATATAATTATAAGGGTATTTAAATAAATATAGTTATAAAAATAATCATTAAAAATGAATATAATGTTAATTAATAATCATTAATTTATAGTTATTTTTTTAATTAATTATTAATTAAATAATATTATTTTTAAAAGTAATTATAACTTTTATATAAAAGTTATATCGAAAGAAATAACCACTTTAAAAACAATTTTACTTTTTATTATAACGATTATTAATTAAATAAATATTAAATTAATAATTATTATCACGTTAATAATCGTTATTAAATTTATATTAAAAAAAAGAAAAAAAAAAAAATTATCATAATTTATTAAATATTACCTTAAAGTTTTTAATATTCGCTAATTAAAATTAATTAAGTAATAAAAAATTAAATACGAAACGTATATTTAAATAATAAATTTAATTTTTAAAGAAAAACTAACTTTATTTTTAAAATATAACTTTAATTTTAATATTTTATAACTTGATTAATTTACGATTAAAATTATTATAACTTATATCGTTTAATAAATTTTTCGAATATATTTTAATTAATTATTTCGTTTAAATTTTTATTAATTTAATTTATCGTAAAAAAATAAGTTAAAATTAAAGACGTATAAGTTTAATAAAATTTCCGTTATATATTCATTAAATCATCGTTTATATATATAATTATACGGCGATTTATACGCGGGGAAAAGTATTAAAAATGCGTCACGTGATTTTACGCGCGAAAAACTAAATTTTATACCACGCGGGTAATATCATTTATAATAAATGCTGCGATTACGCGTTTAATTAAATAATTAAAATTAATTTATATATATTAATATAATATTTAAAATTTCCTCGTCGTTTTAATATATATAATATTATATAAAACGTTATATTCGTATTATAATAATAAAAAATTATATTTATTATTTTATTTAACTTTATTAACTTTATTAACCTTATAAATTAAAATCACGAAAATGTTTATTAAATAAATATTTACGTAATGAAAATAATATCCATATATTTTAAATTTTAAATATTTATTTAAATAATACTATTTATTTTTTTTTTTAATTTTATCTTTTTACTTAACTTTAAAATTTAAGTAATATTAAATTTACTTATTATAAAAATATATTAAACTTATTAAATTTATAATTAAATATAATCCCGAAACTTTTTATTTTCGATTAAATTACATATAAAAACCGTTTTTTTAAGGAATAAATCTTTATTAAAAAAATACGATGTTAAAACGACGTTAACGACGAAATATTTAAAATGAAACGAGTAATAATATTTTCACGAAATAATTTATTAAATTAAAACGTAACTTTAAAATATTTAACGATATATTTAAAAATAATTTTATAAAATAAAATATTTAAAAATGAACCCATCCTTTTTAATATTTAAATATATATTAATAAATTAACGTTTATTAAAAGCTTTTAATGTATATTATAACTTATTTCACGAAAAGATTTAATAAATAAAAATAAATTTATTTAATATATTTTTTTAGTTAAATTAATATAATTAATCCGAACTTTAAATGTTATTATATTAAATAAAAATAAATGTAAACGTAATTATCGTTTATTATTTAATAACGTTTTAACCTAAGTATTTATTTACGGCATTTATAATGTAATTATTTTAAGTTTAAATTTAACTAAGTTAAAAAATAATTATTACTTTATGTAAAAAAAATATAAAAAACGTTTATCCCGCCACGTATAATAACATAATAAAACTAAAAAAACTAACCGTTCGTATAAAAGTTAATTAAATATATAAAGAATATATAAAAAATATATATTTAAATATAATATTAATTTACATATAAAAAAAGTGGGAACATTTTATAGCATTTAAAAAATAAAATAAACTTTATTAAAAAAGTTTTTAAACCTTATAATAAAATAAGTAAATTAAGTTTATAATTATATATTAATTATATTTATTAATTAATTTATAAATATATTTTAACATAAAAAAATATTATTACTTATATATTCGAATTAAACTAAAAGTATTTTTTATTATTATTATATTTATCTTAATAATTAATTAAATAATTTTAACCGAATTATTTAAAAAAAAACCTAAAATTAATATAAAACAAGAAAAAACTTAAAATATTATTATTATAATTTATTAAACCATGTTTACATTTTATAGTTAAGCGGTTACGGCTTAAATTATTATTAACTTTTTAATTAATTATAATTATAAAAATTAATACTTTTATTATTACCCGAAAACTTTTAACCGTTATTTATTTACTCGAAAAAAATATTTTAATTTAACTTTTTATTAAAATTATTTATATTATTATTAAAAAGGTCGTTACTAAAAATTATACGGTTATTTTTATTATTTTAAAATATATTTAATTTAACTTTATTTATATAAAATTTTTAAAAAACTTTAATTTCTTTTTTTTTTCTTTTATAAACGAAAATATATTTTCTTTTTTAAAACTACTTTTTTACGACCGAGAATAATCTTTAATATTTAACATTTTATTTTTTATTTTTCACTTTTTACTTATTAAAGTTAAAACGGTATAAATTATTATTATTTATTTTTACGTAATATTAAAAAGATAAAAGGAATTTAATGCGTTTAAATAAAAAAATGTTTAATTAAAAAAAAAACTAAATAAAAAAAGCAAAAATAAACTCGCAAGAAACGGCATATATCGAAATATATTATATATTATAATATTATGTTATTATTTAAATAATTATTAAAGCGTTTTCCCCGTTCGATTTTAAAATATAATAAAATAATTAAAAAAACCCGTTATTTTAAAAAATAAAATTATTATATTTTTATTAAATACGTGGCGAGTTTATTTCGATATAAATGTAATATTATAAAAATTTAACTTATAAAAAAAAACGTTATTAATTATAATAATAAATTTTTTTATATTTTTTAATTTTATTTAATTTTTATTAATCCTTGAAATTACATACCTCGCTTTTAATTAATAAAGCGATATAATTTCATATAACGATATAAATTATTTCCAATATCGTTATTATATTTAAACCATTTTTTAAAATTTTCTTATAATTTTAATAATTTCGATAGGAATTTTCAGTAAAAAAAGTTTAAGTAAATAAAGTATTAATTTATTAAAATATATATTATTAAACTTTATTAAATAAAAAAACCAAAATTTAATATTAACGAATATATTTTTTTTATTTCGATATTTTAATATAATAAAATAATACGTTTTATTTATTAAAATATTATTTTTTAATATTTAAATAAATTTAACGTTATTATCGTAAATTAAGCTTAAATAAAAACCCGGGTATTCGTTAATAACTTTCGAAAGTTATTTAATTAATAAGTTATTAATTAACGGGATATTAATTAATAAATTATTTCGAAATATATAAACTTTATTAATACTTTTTTCTCGTTAAATATTTTTAGTTATAATATATATTAAATTAACTAAGTTATAATAATAATATTACGTTTTAAAATAATTAAATTAAATAAAAATAAAAATTAATATTATTATTTTTACGTTTAAAAAATATATATATAATAAAATAAACGTAACTTTATAAATAAAGTTATATATAAACTACATACGTTACGTAATTTATTTATAATTAATATTTTAATAATATAATAAAAATAATAAATAATATTATATTAAATACGTTTATAATTAATAATTATAAATTTTAATATTTCGTTTTAATTATAATAACTTAAATAATAAATAAGTAAAAATGTTTTATTTCATTTTATTTATAAAATTATTATTAAGAAAAAAAAAAGTTATTAATTTCTTTATTACACGTTAAATATTCGAAATTACTCGTAACGTATTATTATTAATAAAAAAATAATATATTCGATAAAATAAAACGGGAATGGAAAATATAAAATGTTATTATTAATAATATTTAAATAATAAAAATAATTAAAAAATTATTTTATTATAAAAGTTAAAATTAAATATATTTATAACCCGTATTACTTTAAAATATAAGTTTATTAAATTTGATTAAATTATATTATAAATATAAATAAATTTATTTAAATATATATAATTTTTTAATTTATTAATAAGAAATATTTATAAATATATATGCATATAGAAATAATATACTGCTTTTATATATATAAAGTAAAATGATTTGGCGGGATGGCGGATCTTACGGTTATCGTCCAACGTATTACCTCCAAAGCTTCTGTGGAGACCTGCAATTACTTAAAATGGGACCGAGGCACCAACCCGAATACGGAGGAATAGTAAGACCGATGCCTATTCGATTGAGAGTCCAGGGGGAAGGGGGGGAATGGCCAATCAAGTTTCGTAGAATACAGCATAGCAGCTGCATAGTAGGTACAAGTACCTCCCCGAATCGCACTATCAGAAAACCAATCATCGACAATCATTGACACTAACGGCAGCTAAAACCGAAAACGTGTACTGGTACGTACCCAACTGTAGGATCTTCCATCTTCCATTTCAGGGGTCCGTTGCGACCGCCGACCGATGATGATGGGGCAGTGCACTAAGAATAACTCTGCGGTAGAACGGCAACTTGGCTTAAACATTTGAACAACTTTATGAGGCTACCAAACAAGAAACAAGAGTGAACGAATGAATAAACGTCTTCACAAATATTAAAAAGTTTTTATTTTATTTGCACTGACCGCTTCAAACCCCCGCGAGTCCATGATTGAGATCCTTTCGATATTTGCGTAGCGCAACGAGCGCATCTAAAAGAAACAAGTCCAAAGAAAAAAAGACACGGAAAAGAAGGTGTCGTCGTAATCGTACTCCATTACGATATAAAAATTCCTGACACAGCAAACCCCCCCTCACAATCATGCGCTTCTCACCCGAATCACGGCCAGCACGCTTGGCAATATGCTACCTCCTCTCTCTCTCCTCCGTTTCCCTGGCTTCCGCTGCCGACGCCGATAAGACGACCACATCCACGGCATGTACGGCATCTTCGACATCGGGCGCTTTCTTCGACCTTCGGCAGGACATAGCTCTGAAGCTAAACCCGGACGGATCGAAACCAGCGCACAGCAACGGAGCTCCGATAGTAGACTACAAGGCCAAGGGGTATGACTACGGGGCTAACTTCACACTGAACATCTGCGCGGCCGTAGTCGAGCCCGTCGACGGCGTCATCGGCGTCGACTCCGGCAAATGGCAGAACGTCAGCGCCTACTATACTTCTAAGGGCGACGTGTACAGTCTAGGTTCGCAGTCCAGCACGCTGGTCTCGCGCGGCAAGGAGCTCGTGCTGCAATATACCGGGGGCTCGCCCTGCGGCAAGAACAAGAAGAGGGAGGAACAGCAACAACGAAGACGGCCGGGGGCAAAGAGGAGCTCGGTCCATGGGGGCGCTGCGTACAGAGACCCGGACTACGAACGCGAGGCTGATGCGCCGTCGGCTACGGGCACTGGGTCCGCGAAGACCGCGAAAGAAACCGATGAGCCGAAGAGGAGGAAGTCCGCTACTATATTCTTCAGCTGCGATCGAGACCCCGGTGCGAGCACGGCTCAGGTCTCGTTCATCGCGACGGATCCGGAGGAGTGCTCGTATGTCTTCAAGGTTAAGTCGCAGAATGCCTGCGCGGGCGTCGAGCCGCATAAGCCGGGGAGCGTGGGGCCCGGCTCGGTGTTCTTTATAATCTTCGCCATCGCCGTCTTGGTGTATCTGCTCGGTGGTATATTCTACCAGCGGACAGTGGCGAATGCTCGAGGTTGGAAACAGTTGCCGAACTACTCGCTCTGGGCTAGCGTGTGGAGTCACATATGTGTAAGTTTTACTTCCTTTGCTACGGGCTCTCGTGTGGGCAGTGTTCAGCACAGATACTATGCGATATGTATATTACGAAACTGAGGCTAACTACCAACTGCAGGACTTCTTCGTCATCGTCACTTCCTCTTGTGCTCGGTTCCTCCCAAACAGGAGAGGGTATCATTATGTCTCAGGCTCACCGTCCGGAAGGGGGAGAAGTAGCCGCGAAGACGAGAATAGGCTGATTGATCAGTACGATGAGGAGTGGGAAGACTGATTTTTCCTCATCTACTTAAATTCATTACAAGCTTCTGTTTTGTTGTGTTACATTTTCTCGCGTGTTGTTATCAAATTAGAATTTTCAGCACGCTCGTAGCAGTCGGTCTACACATTGTTAGAACTAGACACTCAGATATCGATCAAACTCAAACGCTGCGCACATTTCTACATGTATCAGAATGTTGGCCGGCGTTTTTGTGTTCGTCAATGGGTTCGGAGCGGAGCATGGGAAAACGACGGAGAACACGGGACTTCGAACTATGGGCTGCTTTTGCTGGGTACATGTACTATTTGGGGTTCTGAGGCTTGATGCAGTAGGGCGGCGTAAATGTATATCTTGGGAAGCTGGGAAATTTTTAGCATGTTTCAGGGTCTTAAAAACTTGTCCTCTTCAACCTTTGGCGAACTCGTAAACTTGCTGTGTTGTATTACACACCTAGGTACATACGGCACGTATTATTGCGTATGTAAAGGGTAACCTGCGATGAGTAAGTAGGTATCTTAAGAAGAATACGGAAATGTCTTGCTTTACAGCTCAATTTTCTTTATTGATTATTCCAGCATTACAATATTGACATTGCATTATTTACCAAGCCTCTAGATTTACAATTCGGGTAGCGAGTGTTCTTATTGATTATGGTGGCGTAAGCCCGATGCGGCCATGGTGAGGTTCATGTGGTAGGATTTCGATATATCTAACCCGTTCGGTCAGGTTGGCAAAGTTGGTCTGGTCTATTTCTTGTCAATACGAGACGTTGTGTGTTTGAACCTCCTTAGAATCCTACCAACGCGAGGATGGCAGCCAGAGTGGGCTGCGGTGGGCTCATTCTAGGCCCATCGGATTAGGCGAGATGGTTTGTTTTAGCCCTTTTTATTTCTCTCTTAAATGCCCGATGCGAGTGAGATCGAATATCCTTCATGGATGTTGATGGATCGTCATCTGCATCTGCTGCTGCTTGGTTGAGCCTCACATTCAGCTCTTTTTATTTTTATCCTTCTCTTTTTTCTTACCGTACAATTACATTCTTTTGGTGGCAGGGCCTTCATTCGTTCTTATTTCATTATTTGCCTTCTTACTTTCTTTTTATTCCATTCGTAGGCACTTGTGTTAAATATGTACTTTAAGACATTCTTTCTATTGGCTACAGCTCGTGTTGTTCTTGCAAAGGTTCAGTTTCTTGTATGTCCAAACTTACCTCCTATAACTTGTGGTAAGCACATACAATATACTAACACAATCTCTTAAGGGAGTTGCTATAGCCGGAGGTGATTTTGGATGCCAAATCGATGTAAGGACTATTAGGATAGTAGGGAATTGAGGTTTAGGGTTAACTGACTATGATTGAAGGGTTCATGTCCACTAAAATCTACACAACTTCCGAACAACAACGATGGAGTTGCACAAATGCAACACTTCGTCAAAGACGATGGCATCAACATATTGAGACTACGTACGCTCCCTATCTCAAATACAATCATCGTCATCCCCCGGAGTAACTAACAAGGCCCGCTTAGCAATATCATGGCAATTCCTCGTCAACGATAAACTAGGAGGCAACCTCGACAGCACCAACTTAGCCAAATACGACCAATTGGTACAATCCTGTCTCGCCACCGGAGCACACTGCATGATAGACATCCATAACTTCGCACGCTGGAATGGGGGCATCATCGGACAGGGGGGGCCAACAGACGATCAATTCACGAGCCTGTGGTCGCAGCTCGCCAAGAAGTACGCCGGCAACCAGAACGTCGTCTTCGAGCTGATGAATGAGCCGCACGATCTTGACATCGGAGCTTGGGTGAACACATGCCAGAAGGCAGTCACTGCCATTAGACAGGCGGGCGCGACGTCCCAGATGATCTTGCTACCGGGCACGAATTTCGATTCTGCGGCGACAATAACCACGACCGGAGGTGCCTCACAACTTTTGGGAATTAAGAATCCGGATGGAACGACGGATAACTTGATCTTGGATATTCATAAGTACCTCGATATCGATAATTCGGGGACGCATTCCCTATGCACGACGGATAATACCGATGCATTTGCGTCCGTCGCGCAGTTCTTGAGGACGAATGGGCGGAAGGGGTTTGTTAGCGAGACCGGGGCGTCGAAGGATGCTTCTGTAAGTTTCTTTTGCTGTTATATCTCCTCCGATGATGTCTAACACAACCTCAATGTAGTGCTTGACTGCATTCTGCGCCCAGAACACCCTCATCAACCAAAATTCGGATGTCTTCATAGGCTTGGTTGGCTGGGCCGCCGGTAGTTTCGATACCTCGTACCTCCTAAGCCTAACACCCTCGAAGCAAAATGGAGGCCTAGTCGACAACCAGCAAATGAAACAATGTCTTCTCGGAACATGGGTTGCTTCCAATTCCAACACCACAGAGCCAAGGGCTCCAGAACCATCATCATCGCTTCCTCCGGTTATCATTTCCACCGCCACCTTAACGAGCGCCCCACTTACAGCATCTACACCCGCATCCACATCTGTAACTAAAGCCGGCAAGTCGAGTGAGCCGGTTATTACGGTCGAAATCAACTCTGCCACAAGCGTACTCCGGACAGAGTCGGTACCCTCTAGTGTGACAACCCTGATAATCGCCAATGGATCCCCAAGCGACGAGTCCTATAGCCTTGCCTGGGCGACATCGACCACCTCACAAACCCCGACACAGACTCGTGCGGTGGTTAGTGCGACAGCAACAGGCAGTGCTTCTTCAATGAAAGTCTTGACCTTCATCTGGAGCTGCATGATGCTACCATTTCTTATATAAATAGGAAAGGTAGTGTCTCATCCTTACGGCAATTTCGCCGATATACGAGTTTATACGGAGGAATGATCCACGTTTTGTTTTACTCTTTTTGTCCGGAACGGTTCTTTGTGAATGATAAGCTCTATGGGACAGAATGTTTACCTAAAAATAAAAATTACGGCTGGGGATTGGCTATCGGTCTATCGTAGGATATTCGGATTGGGTGATTGGACGACCGGATATTGTTTTATATGCCTAAGTTATGTAGATATTGTACGAGCGTGTATATACCTCGTGATACCCATAGAATCTTGGGTTTATCTTTGAGCGTTGAAAATGCTTTTTGGTGACAGGTGACAGGCGACTCCAAACTTAGACCGAGATAAATAACTGGAGCTCAGCCCATTCTCACGCCTTACAAGTCGACAACAAATCGACAAGACCATCGTATTGCTTGCTCACCGACTATGTCGTGACAATGAGAGGCAGATGTGGATATTGGGAGAAGAAGGGAAGATACGATAAAGGGAGTGAACGTTCAAATAGCAACGTCGATCTTTGAAGTTGACAGCTCCTATCTCGCACTGTATGGACAAGCTAAAAGGGCGGGTATTACCCCAACCTTGTCCACTAATAATAGTTGACAGGTTCGTAAAGCATCAGGATTTGTGGGTCTGCATACACTGTATCCCGTATCTGTTTGCACTGCGGGTGTCCCCTCACCCACGTCATTGCACTAGGGTTGCCAATGGCCCGCGGTACTGCAGTGCTGCGATTCCAGGCGCGTTCCTTCCAACGTTCATACTAGTTCAGGCGATCAAACTCAAACCGTCAGCCTCATTCTACAGCTCTGCCTTACTCTTACCTTCTATTCCTATCATCTTAAATTTTAGATTCTAGTCTAATCATAATCAATGCCTTTACTTGATCAACCACAATCTGATCTTCATACACAGTCAATCAATGAGCCGAACATGCCCGAGTTATCGGAATCAATCAAGGCTATTCAAGAAGGCGCCAAGGAAGACCGCTTCACCTATCTCACCATCCTCCAATACCATGTCACCTCCCCAGAAATACTACCCACATTAAACGATGTCCTTCAAGATGCAGAGCTCACTCAAGAGATTGGCTGGGATCTCGTGCAAATGCTCCTGAACATCAAAGGTTCGGAAACATGTCTCGAGACTGTGGCCCGCTTAGGAAACCCCCGCGAAGTTGTCATCAAGGTTATGGAAGCTTTGGAGGGGCTCACTGTCGCATGGCATGACGAGGTGGTTGTCGATATTGAAGAGCCTGGAGTCCACCCCGACTCGAAAATACCAGAGAAATTCATTACTCTGCTTGGCATGCTAGCCATTCTTCATCAACGTATCAAAACAAAGTACCCTTCAAGATTTCTAGGACCGTCGCTAGTGAAGGTGTTTGAGGCCTATCAGCCCACGCCTGAGATGACTGCATCCGTTATTAACCTGGTCTACTCACTCTCCGGCCGGAAGAGGCCACCTCTCCCTTCTCGAAAATCAAGCATCAATGTTCTTAATCCTGACCATGACGGGGATTTGTCTAGGAATGCACCTGACCCGGAGGCAGAGCAGGAAGATCCTAAAGAAGAAGCCATGCAACAGAAGTTATTGCAGGCTTTCGTCACATGTATCCTACAACGATACGTGAACGCGCATGACATGTTATGGTCGCCGCGGTTGTTAGAAGTCTACAACCCGAAGAAGAATGTGCCAGGTAAGAAGACGATAGTCGAAGCATTCAGGGAAAATGAAGAGCTCCAGAAACGGGATGCTGTAGTTGGACAACTAGTCGTGAGTTTCTGATTCACTCTGAGCTAAATATCTCACGGATATTAACAATATTAGGCCTTACTTCGTGACCTCGGTCTAAACAAGTGCCAAGCATCATTTGTGAAAGGAATATCTGAAGGGCCAGTACATATTGACCCTCTGGCAGCCTTCAACGACTTTTCTAGTGTTGATGACATCCACTTATCACCAGGTGGGGCAGTGTGCCTCATTGCTTACTGGATCTTCTCCAAAGACGTTTTCGGTTCAGATAGTCCACGACCTGATATGCACATCTTCCCGGACCACGCCGCGATACTTGCGCGATTCATTGGACAAGAAATGCAAACAGAAATCCATTCGAGTCCCGGAATAGCTGATGCGCTACTAGCCATTGGTCTAGGGCTGGATAATCGAAATTTAATAAAAGCAGGTGAAGAGACAAATTTGATGGCATACCACCACAACCTCACACTCATCTCCGTATTCCACCCCGATGTCCAAGTTAGGAATGCCGCTACTTCCTTCGCTGGCTCAATCCTCCACTCCGAGCCAGACGACCATAACCGCCTAGAAATCCTCGAAGACCTACTTGAAAATTGCATGTTCGCCGCCCTCAAAGCCTGCTGCATCACGTGGCTAAAAGAAGAGCTCATCGCCGCCAAAACGAGAAACCTGACCAACCAGTTCTCGTCCCCGGACGTCATCGAGAGACTTCAATACTCCTTGTTCCCCGACATGCTCTCGCTCAACGAATCAAGCACGGAGGCTTTGGTAGAATTCTGGGCGCTGAATCACCTCTTCATCCTGCAGGCCACCAACCTCGCGTACTTTCTCTTCACGGGCTACAAGGACCTTGTACCTACTGGCATGGGCGCAGCTGTGGGCCAACGCTTTGTCGAGCCTCTGATAGCGATGGCGGAGAAGCTGTTGAAGACAGAGGGCGCGGGTGGCGAGGATACGATGCAGCTGAGTATATTGGTGGATCGGCTGCGTAGTTTAGGGCTGCAATAGGGGGTTGATGCCGAGAGCGTTAGGAATGGGCAGAGGCTTGTTGATAGTTTGACGTTTCAAGGGTTGGGTGCGAGGAGCGTGTGTGAAGGTATGATCTGATAACGGAGGTAGACGTTCCAATTGAATTGACTTATGAAGGTCTTCCATTTTGAGCTATTGCGTATGTCGCAGTACGTTTTGAGTTGGTTCTACTGTTATGACAAATGTGATCAAAGAAGCTTTGGATGAATCTAGTGTTCAATGAGCGTCCGTTGATTAGGAGGTTGCTGTATCCACTAGGTACCTGTTAAAGAGAGCGATAGCTGTAACATCCGCTATCCAGCCACCAAACCAGTGATTGAATACAGCCCGTGTCGGGTATGAATGTCTGCCCAGGTGATCTATCGTCTAAATATTCTCATCGCCTAAACCCACTAATCTCGTTAAAATTACAGCGCGCTTCACCCTAAGTCCCTTAAAGCATCTTCAATGAAATTTTCTTATCGGGACTATGTGCAGCACGAAACCACCCTAAGTCACAACCTATCAACACTCAATATTGAATAAAAAATAATTAAATGGACGGGAGAAAGTGTATAAACGTAGTATGGCACGAATCTCGATTTAGAAAAAGATTTAGCTGGCAGATGGTAGAGTTACAATCATCAAGAGCCCCGCAAATATACCCCTTTTCTGCCAAATAAACTTTTATTAGGTACATAGTAGAGAGAATCAAAACAAGAATCGGTATTAAGTATGTAATATAGGTATCAAAACCCCTTTTCAATCGCCAAGCCTCTACTTGGCCCCCTCTAACGTTTCTTTATCAGACGGCGGTATTTGTACATGGTCGCCGTCGTCCCTTGCCACTGAGATGCCCTGCTCTCCGGACGGCCGGTTCGCCGAGTCGTCTGTCGTCTGGTCATTTGTTTTCTTCATCGAATGCCACCTGATTCCCATGGCTCCGAAAACCGATACGCAGCTTAAAGCCAATGATATATAAAGAGTCAGAATAAGACACTTGCTATACACTGCTATAGCCTTTTGTCGGTCCTCGGGCGCCAGAGTGGACCCAAAGTTCTCAGCCCCTGAATCCAGAAGTGATTGGATATCTACATCGGGGAGAACTGGTTTGAGACGTGAACGTAGTTCCCCTTGGAGTATGCTTTGACCTACAGCGACAAATATGGATGCGCTGAGGTTCTGCATTAAGGTGATGAAGGTTACGCCAACCGGTACGTCGGACGGTGGAAGCAAGGTCTGAACAACGTAACTGGGTTGCCCGAAACCAAAACCGACACCAAATCCATATAATAATTGGTAACCGATAATCTTGGATATGGAGGAGTCCATGTTAATTGTGGTGATCAAGGCAGCTCCTGCGATCGAGAGAATGGTACCAATGATCAACCCGGGATTATAATATCCAATTGCGCTGGTGACACCTCCCGCGATGATGGAAGCAACAACATAGCCTCCGATCAAGGGCGTAAGAAGTGTCCCCGACGAGAAAGCTGAAGATCCGCGCACCGCCTGGAACCAAACCGGAAGGTATAGAATCGCCACATAAACGCCGCCGGTGATACACATAGCATAGCTTGCAGCCAGCCAGATATCACGATTCCTCAATACGCTCACCGGAATGGTACGCGACTTTCCCGTTATCGATGTTGCCTGTGAGACGAGAAACAAAATCAAAAGAACTCCGAAAACGACGAATAGAACAATGACGCGTGAACTATTCCATGGGTACGTCGATCCTCCCCATTGCAAGGCCATCAATAGACATATTAAAGATCCAACCATACATACTGTGCCGGGGATATCAAGTTGTTTAAATTTGTCGACTAGACCGATAGCTTGAATGTCCGATTGTTTTGGTGTATGAACAAGGACTGCGCATAGAATGATCGTGACAGCGCCTAGGGGCAGGTTGATACCGAAGCACCATCTCCAAGTCGTTCGATCGGTTAGGGCACCGCCTAGAAAAGGGCCAATTATAGCCGCGAGACCAAAGGCGCCTGACATGACTCCCAAGTACGCGGCACGCCGCGATAGAGGAATCAACATCGTGGTAATCAGTATCCCACCAGAGAAGACGCCGGCGGCCCCGAGGCCAGCGATTGCTCTGCCGATAATTAGAGCCACTGAGTTAGGAGCGGTGGTACAAATCAGTGATCCAACCTCAAAGAGCGCAATTGCGGTCAGGTACACAAGTTTGATAGAGAAGAGACTGTAAAGCTTGCCGTAGAATAGCTGGAAGCTACTCAGAGTAAGTAGATAGGCATTCGACCACCATGCTATATCATCCAAGGCATTGAACTCATTGCTAATAATTGGTGTAGCTGTAGCGAGTATTGTTTGATCCTGTAATTATTGTCAGAATGGTTAGATACCAAGATATCGATGGTATTCATACCATCCCAGTAAGAAATACAGCTAGGCATAGCCCAAGCATTACCAATGATAGCTCTATACTATTTAGCTGGCCTGTGGCGCCGCCGTTGACCCAAGGCTGGGCCATTTGATCTAGTTATCGTAGACAAAGACCGTATAATAGAGTCTGGGTGTTCAAGGTATCATCTCTTGATATTCTCGATCCACGGATGGAATCCTGGAGGGGTTCGCCTAGTTAAGTGTAATCGGGTGGTCGGACATACCATATCGCCATTATAATTAGATGAGATGAGATGTTAGAAGGATAACTGTAAGGAAAATGAAATCACAGAAAAAACTAGCTTGTTAGAAATGACGAGGTAAGATCATTTCCTTTAACAGTTACGCTCTAGCAGAGTTTGAAGTAAGGGACAAAGAAAACGTCGGGGATAGGACTAACTCGATATTGTCTGATGCTTCGGCTCCGTCAGTCTCGGAATTTTTATTAATAGGTACCTACCAACAGAACATCTATCTTAAATCTACACTATAATCACTCTGTTTAAGACTCACTCGGTTTCTATATCTAACCTTCATCATGGATTTCATCGACGTTGCAATTATTGGAGGAGGACCCGCTGGTCTGACTGCTGCCGCTACACTGGCGCGACAACTACACACAGCTGTGGTATTTGACTCAAAGAGCTATCGAAATGCCAAAGCGACGAAGATGCACATGGTCCCAACATGGGAGAACAAGAATCCCGCCGACTTTCGCAGTGCGGCCAGACGAGATATCGAGACCAACTACTCCACCATCCAGTTTGCCGATATCCCCGTAACCAAGGTGGAGAAGAAGAACGATGCTCATTTTCAGGTCTGGGATGGTAACAACAAGGAATGGAATTTCAGAAAAGTGCTACTTGCGGTGGGCTCGTCTGATACCTATCCGGATATCGAGGGCTATGAGCAACTGTGGACCAAGAAAATGTGAGACCTTCGTCGATCGAATATGGGCCACCTATATCGCTGATGCTAAACCACCAGATTCCACTGCTTATTTTGTCATGGATATGAAGACCGAGGATCCCCGTCGTCGGGAGTTCTTGCTGTCTCCCCTATCTTGATTCCTGGCCTCGCTATTCATATGGCGGAGAATGCGGCCCAACTCAGTGACAGCGTCACAATCTACACTCACGGAAACGATGACTTAACCACCCAGCTTCTTTCAATCACCGATTCCAAGTTCAAAGTCGAGTCCCGCCAAATCAAACATCTCTTGGAGAATACTGAAGCGGATTCGGTGACAGTAGAGTTCGAAGATGGATCTAACAAGGTGGAGAAATTCCTGGTTCACAGTCCCTTAACAAGCGTTCAAGGTCCATTCGTTGGCCAGCTTGGGATTGCTCTTACGCCTATGGGTGATATCCAGGCAGACGCACCAGCCTATCAGACTAGTGTTAGGGGGGTCTTTGCTGCTGGTGACTGCATCACACCCTATAAGGTGACTCCGGGTGCGATTTCGAGCGGGTGTAATGCAGCTGTAGCTGCCAGCACTCAGTTACAAGCTGAGAAGCACGGTCTGCCAGCTATGTTTTAGAATTCAGGTGGGAAAGAATGGCTGTTCGCTATACTTTTGGCGTCGCTCTCGTTTATCACTCCAATCTGTTCTGTCCATGTACGACATGGGATGTAAAATCTCTACCTGAAGAACGTGTTGATTAGCTCGTCAGAGGAGGTCAATAGTCTCAATAGTTTGCATACAAATGATGACGAGGTGGTGTACCTATTGAATGGCTGATTTCAAAATTTATTTGAAGCTATTCTTGACCTTGTCGGCCCGTCGGAGTTATGAATAGCATCACAAGTCAACAGCTCAATAGCTTTCAAGGCTATTAGCTGACGGAGGCGCACTAATTATAGGGAGTTTTAGTAGCACCTGTAAATTGCGGGGCGCTCCTTGTCGGGTCACTAGAATCCCCTGTAAATACGATGGCTTTTAGGGTTTTATGCGCTATAAGAACAAAAACGTCCATGAATTTGATTGGCTAAAAGATAACCTGTGGTAAAGTTGTTAAAAATGGAGTCTCCTGGCCAGCAAAGCCACTAACATCTCCCACCCCGGGTCGTGCCTCCTTTACCTGGCAGCCTGGACCGGGGTGCCGGGATGGTGAAGCGGGGATCGTCATAATCCCATACTATGTAAGATAATTTTGAGCGGATGATAATTGTCCAGGTGCGTAGAACTCACAATGGATCCAGATCTTTCGGGCCAACACGATATATATCGCGGTCGACCTCTCATGCGAGGCGTTGGCCAGTTTCGCATTCTAATCCTCCACCCAACTACAGAGAATTCTCCTAATACTAAACTTCGCGGAACTCTTCTCGTTTCAGCTCTCGAACGGGAGAGAAATAACTTCGAAGCGCTGTCGTATGTATGGGGAAGCCCAGACTTGCGAACAACCACCATTTTGATTGATGACATCCCATTTGAAATCACCACTCACTTGGCCGCCTTCCTCTGCCACCTTCGACGGGTAAACGAGTACGCACGCGTCTGGGTTGATCGGATATGTATCAACCAAAGTGATTGCGACGAAAAGTCAGACCAGGTCGCACTTATGGGTGATATTTATCAGTCGTGTAGACTTGTTAATGTCTGGCTGCCGGACCCAGCCGAGACAACAAGGCATCGTGATAGGAAGACAGCTAACTTGGGAGGACTGCTGTCTTTACTTTCTGGTGAACATTTCCACGACATACCAGGGTTTGGAGTAGACGAAACCACCGGAAATCGGACTTTCGAAGAAACGGAGGATTTCTGTGCTGTCTGGGACGATTTCCTTTTGCTGGCAGAGAGCCCTTGGTGGACTAGAGGATGGACCGTGCAAGAAGCTTTTTTACCACCGACAGTTCGATTTCTCCATAACGCTGCAGACCCATGCGATATCTCACTCATCCATCAAGCGATGGGACGCACAAGTTATTTTGACGACATTAGAAAGCCCTGTTGTGCGGAAGCTCTAGACATATTCCCAAAGAAAAAGTATAAAGCTGTGTGGGATTTATTTCACCATGTCCGAAAATTGTCACATCGTCGGGATGTTTATTTGAATCCACGTTCTGCAGACGGAAGGGATTTCTTTTATATCGTCGTTTCTACATTCGCAGCACGCCAATGTCAACAAGGTAGAGACCGCATATACTCGCTTTGGAGCGCGACCGGAAAAGTTTATAGGAGTCACATACCCGATTATAAAATTCCCGAGGAAGAAGTCTACACCTCGGTTTTCAAGAGTATGCTGCGCGAGTCGCAGAGCCATCTTAACATCATCTTCAGCTCTGGGATGGATTTTCGCGTATTTCAAGGATTGAATTTTGGACCTAGCACAGACGGAGTCAATAAAAGGCCTACATGGGTCCCAGACTTTTCCCAAAGCTGGAGTGAACGGGTTGCCGAGGCAAACTTGGATAGACTTGCGATTTCAAGAATGTATCGAGCATCAGGCTGGTCAAGGGGCCGAGTCAAAATCAAAGGGGATGAGCTTCGCCTAAAAGGGTTCCTCATAGATCGGGTCCAAGTAGTCGGCCCAGTAATGATAGACCCTCATGACTCTATATCCGCAAAGAGGACATTGTCGCAGTGGAAGGTTATGATACAAGAATGGGCTGCCGCTCAGAAGCTAACCGTCCAAACCTGTTACAGGCAACTATCCGCGACTATCTGTGGACAGGTATGTGGCGAGTTCGTAACAGATGAAAAACGAGCCCTCTTGAAGCGCGAGTTTATCCTATCTGAGATGGGTAAGACGAATATAGTCAGGCTGTTGATAGAGCTTGCGTTTCAGCAAATGGCTTGGGCCGAGCATTGGCGACCATTCAGACCAGACGAGGATTGCCCAAAACGGGACGAATTGGATGGGTTTTTCGAGAGTGGAGATCTGGATCGCCTAACCCATGTAGCCTATCGTAACGGCGTGGTGGCTTCATTATTCCACCGAGCTCTTTACTTGACGGAAAATGGACGAATGGGCCTTTGTGTGCCACAGGCAATGGCGGGAGATGAGATATGGGGTGTGTATGGGTCTAAGGTGCCGTTCACATTCAGGTCGTTGAAAGGCGTAGATGGATATATGAGGTATAATATGATTGGTGATTGCTATTTATATGATGCTATGATGGGAATGCTCGTTCGAAGTGGTATTGAGGTTAGGTTGGTGTAAGTTGTTGTCGCGGATAGGTAGTCCTCAACTTCACCTAGTACCATGGATTATTAGTGAGAGGTAGGTAGGGAAGTACCTATTATAATATGAACTGTGACATTTTAGCTATTACGGGATTGAAAGAACTTGGAATGCTGTAGACGGGTTTTATGATTTAAAATGGCAGCCACATTCAATGTCACGGGTTCCTCCCAGCTTAGGTAATCAAGCCACCATCGGACGTCGGGCAAAGCAAGCCGCATGGCGTAAAATAAGCCTATCTCGTCAGAAGCACCTACCTAGTAGGATATTTCTAGTGCGGTAGTACCTTAATTATCTCAAAATCTTAGCTCATCATCGAAACCAATGTGTTATCAATTAATTGAAAGGTACAGCGCTTGCCGATGCCTTTATTACCTGCACGCCGTAGACCGTTGTCCAGATTTTGGACAGCCTGGTCATGATATCTCCACTCGTACCATATTAATAGGTTATGCCTGCATAAAGCATACTCCGGCACCCTGGATACTATCACAAGCTGGTGGCGTTGTCTCTGCTAGGCCTGCCCCTACATCGGAAATACTGCAAAGACCAACGGACAATAAGTCTGAAGAAGTTCACAATGATAAGTTCAATCTCGATAGTTCGGGTGTGGATAATTTGGCTCAGCCTGACGAGCAAAGTTTACTTTGGGAGAACAACCACGAATCAGAATTAGAGTCGGGATCGGATTCATCTGAATTATGGGATAATGAAAGCAACGCATCGGCATCTTCGATGTCAACTGTAGATCCTGATGTCGTCTCCATGGCATTTCAAAGGTTAGCCAATTATGGTAATCTGAGATGGTTTTGGTCAAAGGTCATCATTCGGAGTGGGTCCATGAAAAGGGGTTGCCACACTGTCGAACGTTTCCTGCGCCGGTACGCAGACGACTTGGGGACATGGGCGGATAACCCTATAAATAATCAACACATGTCTTATGCGGATAGACGAGTTAGGGTTTCAGCTTGCCGCTTCATTCGCAGGTCCCGATTCAACTTAGCCGAGCGGATATGTCAGATGCATTGCGATCGCACATCCACCTCCGAATCCCGACTTGAGAAGGACTCGGAGTACGGCTTTCTGTTGGACATAACCGAGCGAGAAGAAGAAGAGGAACCTGATGAACCTAACTTCGCTTACAGTCTCGCCGAGGATTTCCTCTTCGAAACAGAGCCGATTCGCAAGCTTGAATTAAATATTTACACCTTCCTTCAATCTTCAGATGCCCAAACTCTCCCCACCACCATTCGTGGCACAGCCGAACAGTACCTGGATAGATTTCTTAGCTATCTCCAGAAACCTAGTCTATCGAAAGGGAACAGGAGGCTCTCGTGGACATGTGTATGCATTCACTTTTAAACAGAGGGGAATTTTGCTAATGGTACGATAGAAATGCGGTCGGATTATTCGTGATAATTATACAGAGCTCCAACCGGGGGCATTGGATCGTTTACAAGAATTACTCCAACAGTATGGCAAAATCCCAGAAACTGCGGCACTTAATGATGCGGGAAATGCGCCCAATTCCAATCCATCTGCGAAGGCAGGGTCATTTCCAAGATTCTCGTGGCAACAATTGAAAGCCGGCCTCTCAAATAAGAACAAGTCTCATAAACTACCACATCAGCACCAAGATAAGGGCACATACTCTAAGTTCGGTACATGCTCAAAATCATCTATATCTGGTCCGATGAGCCACATGTTCGTCTTGATGTGCATTCCATTCCGACGATGGGGTACGAAACTCCAACAAGAAGATATTTGCGATATCAAATCAGACCAACAGTTCTTCCGGGCCCTCAATTTTTTCTATCGCACCGAACGGGGCCGGAGCAATTGGGCGAGACCAAAAAGAGTCATATCTATCAACTTTGTTCAGGTAATACACTGATATATCTTCCTTTTACAATCGTTGGCCTGGTCGCTGGTTAGTCGAGTGGCTGACTAGTGGAACTTAAATGCCTTCATGTATTGACAAAGTATGCCACCACCCAAGTAAAGTCAGGAAGGAGGAGTAAGTATGAAGATAGCATACAAGGAAAGACTACTGGGATTGAGTTTACAATTGAAACTTCGTTTCAACACTAATATATAATCACTTAGTTCGAAGTCTTCCGCAGCCATCTCGTCGACGTTAAACCTGGTGATTCCATCCCGCCCCTTGGGCAGCCAGGCTCCGACTACATATTTGAGCCAGTCGACAGCCTTCCACCTATAGGTTCCAACATGCTTATGCACCTCCTCTCCCACCCCGAAGATGCCGACAGTCTACCCGTCCTATACAGTCGCATTCCTAAGAAGTTGCGGCTGAAACTCGAAGCCTGTCCCATCAAGGGTAGTTCGATTGGCTGGGGAGTGCAATTTGTCGAGGGGCTGGACTGGTCCATTTTGTTCAGATACGGTTGTATTGGATTCGCAATATGCTTAGTTGCGGCAATAAGCTGGGCGGTACCGAGGAATGATGTGCAAGGTGGCTTTGCCATTGCGGGATTTATGGTGGCCTTTTGTATGTTTTGCGTGGGAGTTATTGGGCACGAAAGTAAAGTTGAGTCTTAATGTATAGCACTATGTGTGCTAGGGTTGGTAGGTACTCTGTATTTGATAGCTTAGGTAGATCTGGGGTGCTGGTATTTATTATTGAAGCTATCGTTGTTGAGTAGCCAGTCGATAAGCTAACAACATCTCAAGTCAGGAAGTCAAAGGTAAGGAGGGTAGATAGTTTGCGGGAGGCGGGTATGAGCTAACCTATAACAACAATCCATGGATTGGTGCTAATAAGTCGCTATGGAAACTAATACTTGAAACAATTATTACTACAAGTAATCAAAAAAAGAACATGTCTCCTCCGATACGACCAAAGATCTTCCATAGCTCCTGAGTACTCCGATCCATGTATTGAAACCACTATTAATTATAACCCCAACCATCAATCCAATTCGAACTCCCAAGACAATCCATCAAAAGTCATACTCCACGACACCAAACTCGATCTTCAGAAATTCCTTGATCGCAAGCTTGATGTAAGGGGTGAATATTGTGAATGATTCAGGGATGCGTCCTTCAATTTGAACAAGATCTTGTATTGCGATTTTTCGGGTGACCAATACGTTCGGATTAGATTCATCTTCTCCGATGATGGCGGTATCTTTAGAATCCCAAGCTGCGAACCGGTCGAGAAGGTTGATGGTGTTTTCAGTGGTATCACCATCAATCCGATAACTCCAATCGCGAAACATCTCGTTCGTAGGCGAGTCCAAAAGTGGTAGGTTTAATTCGATTTTTCCATTCGCTATATCACGAAAACCGTTATACCATTGAGAGGTCTCACGCAATGAAATCGTCTCCGTCTCAAGAATACTAGAGAGCGGAGAATGTTCCGGGATATATTGCGGTCGACAGTAGATGTGTAGATACCGTTCGAAGTGAATCATTCGGTAGTTCTCCAACCCGATGCAGTACGCTCCACGTACCTCATAGCGTCCGAGGTTCGACCGGACACCCTTATATCCGCGGTGCCTCATCGTAGGGCTTCGTGTTTTTTCCATCCTCCAATGGAATCTCGATATCGGGTTCTTGGAAGGTCTCAGCATCTCTGGGTAGAATAGATCGTCTTCCAGAGTAAGAGCGGCTAGTTTCTTGGTTAACGAAGGGACGTCGACGACGTCCTCCTGGTACGGAGACATCTGGTAATATGGATGGGTTTGAGTTTCGATATAGGTCACGGGTGAGCTGAGCGTATAATTGGAATGCTGATGTTTGATAGGTAACCAAATATGAATATGTTGAGCAATTAGTCAAATACGTAGATATTTAAGTCTGGCAAGATAGAAAAACGATGGTTCAGTGTGTCGTAGGACATCTTCACCAACTACAGATGATATGTCTGGTAATATGAGATCCAAAAAGGTACGTTTCTCCGATGTCCCTTCTCTAATAACATTTTGTCTAGATGCCGTGACAGAATAGAACAATGTGTAAGTCGGGCAAGAGGAGACACGATATATTATGGCTGAACTTTATTTCTATTACATTTCTAAACTATAATGAACCTATCGTAGTTGCCATATTTCTTAACATGTTTAGATATATAATGAAATCGTCGCTGGTTCTGTTTTATGACAGAGGATATAACGTATTCTGAAAGAAGTCATGAGTGCCTATTTTACCTACATAAGAGAAATTAACGATTTTTTATATCCATCAACCCTTTTCGTAACAGCTATCAACTTTGGAATATAAAGAATATCTACTGTCATGATTGACGTTAAAATTTACACTACAGATGCCAGAACGTGAAGTTCTATGCGCTAATGGAATATTAGGAAAAGAGAGGGCAAGACGACCTCCCTATTTTGCTAGGAACCTGCTCTCGGCATACTTTTTGGTGAAAGGCACTTAAGTACTTTAGTGCAAGTAAACATAACTGTAATGCAATAATTACTTACTTTTCCCATTGAGTTAAGATTAGGACGCAGGTTAAGTGAATCACTTTATTGTTTAAGTTTATGTGAGGCCCGTAGTCGCAACGCCCGTCATCTTGTCATATCATTTTACTAGATGCAAGTAGAACTTAATATTATACTGCATTAGTGAATATATGACTTGAACGTATTGGCTTAATAAGCAAAACTTGCTGGTTTAATGAATTCTGATGATGTTTTATTAGATTAAACAAGTAACCAACTGAGATAGGCGGATGTTGATTTGTTAAATCCACTAGTCTCGCTATAATTATAAGGCAATTCTTCCCTTAAGTTCCCAGTAGCATCTCTTTTTAGTGGATTTCTTGCTTACCTCAGCAAGGGTTCAGGTTGGATATTCATTAATGCAGTATGACAGCACACTCTACTTGCATCAAAATGATTTGACAGAATGGTGGACGTTTTCACGGCATGACAACATGGAATATCCGATATCTGATCTGCGAATTTAATCGATTGTTCAAATTTTCTAAAGCTGTGTACGGCTGATTTTCGTGTAGGTTAAGATAGCCATTTTGACTATGTTGATGCTATTTGCTAGGGTCGTGAAGCTTTACCTGTTCTGTATAGGGCTTACCTGCACGCAAGTGCATATCAATCTTGGTATACAATTTAATAATCATTTGATTATCATCACAAATTCCTAGTTATGATTTGGTATATAGTACACCTAGTTACGCACGTTAATAAGCGACTTGCATGTAAGTAAGCTAGATCTGGGGACCCGCCGTCCTTGACTGCCCTTTTCAATTGCTGACAGCTAGAAGTCTCTAGAAAGGCGCTAAGAGCTGCAAGATCGGATCGCAACCCCTATATTATGGGGCCGTGATAGTATTTAGTCACGATCTGTCACGATGACTACTCACCTTAGTTCAGTCACCTCGCATAAGCCTCAAATGCGAAAACAGACGGCTCTTCGAACCTATAAGCACTTTTTGGCAGTTTGGCAATATGCATTCTGTATGATAGCCTAATAACATCACGCCCGTCATGGCCGCCTTGTGACCACCCCCTGAAGTACTAATTAGCGCTACCGCCTTGCATCGCCGAGAGGCGAAACTTTGAACCCAGATGCTGTTTACTAAGGGAGAAGACTTCGATGACAACGATGACAAAGGAGATGCGGAGGCGAAGATCTCAATCTCAATCTCAAGTTCGTGTGCCGATATACGCCATGTTGATATGTTGTGGTGTATAAAATCGTGATGATGTTCATGAAATCAGATACGTCTCACAGACTCAACAGCCATTCCTCGAGTTCATAGCTTTTGAAACAAGTTTGGCGCTTAGTAGTTATTTAGATTAACTTCCTAGTTTCTACATCTCAGCTCACAATCCAAGATGAAGTTCGGTCAGTTCTCTGCGGTGCCGCTGGTGCTAGGCGGCCTTGCCAATGCTTTCACTTACGAAAGACTCAACAAGAACGATACTGTAAGTGTGCCTCCTCGAGGCAGTCATGAAGCTTTTCGTTAAGCTGACCTAACTGCTCTAAAGCTGCTCCTCATTCTCGACATGCAGGAGGGACTCTTCGGCCTGGCCCGTGATTATGACCATACCGTCTTTCGGAACGCCTTGTACGCTCACGCCGCTCTTGGCAAGGCGTTCGATTTACCAGTAGTGATGACTTCCTCGTCCCAGTCCGGTCCTAACGGCCCGCTTCCAAACGAATTCCTCGAATGGTATCCGAATGCACCCCTTATTCAGCGCCAAGGCGAAGTAGATGCTTGGGATAACCCCGAGTTTAGGGAGGCTGTCATCGCGGCCAACAAGTCCCAGATCATTATCGGAGGGATCACTACCGACGTCTGTGAGTCGAGGCTTTTATTCTCTTATCGTCTTTCTCCGCAATCAATTTATTTCTAATTATTTGAATCCTCTAGGTACGGCATTCTTAGCGCTCTCTTTGCGCGAAGCCGGATACACTGTCTTCGCAAACCACGAGGCGTCGGGCACCACCAGTGTGGACATCCGGGAGAACGCGAATGAGCGCATGAGGGCTGCTGGCGTCCAAATCCTTTCGTATTTTGCCATCTTGTGCGAGCTTATGCGCGACTGGCGGAATGTGCCCGGCGCAGAGCAGTTGTTCCCTGTCCTCGATCAATACTATCCAGCTTACGGCATGGTCGCTAGAGCCCACAGAGCTGCTGTCAATAATGGGACTGTCCTCCCAGGTGAGGATATCCTGCCTTAAAAATAGGTACTTAAGGAGGTTGGAGGATGAATGGTAATTGAAAAGGCTTTGCCTGTTGCTGTCGGCACTGGTGAGAGGGCTAGCAGAGAGGCTTAGAGGGGGAGGCGCAGCGCTCGAGAGGCGGAAAACTTATTGCAATTTTCGATTCTTACGCTCATTCAAGGTTTTACCTCCAATTGAGTGATTTATGTTAACCTATAGTCTATTCAGTAGCTTAGGGAAAATTCTGCTTACGCGGGCTTATTCTAGTCGCCCAACCTCCTCTTTGAGCAAGCCGAACATATGTAGATCCATCACCTTACCCTTCTTACATATGGCTTTCCTCCTTACACCTTCCTTAGTATACCCCACGCGCTCTAATACCTTCATGCTCCCGTCGTTCCCTTCGAACACGACGGCCTCTAGCCTGAGAAGATCCGGAAATTCTTTGAAGGCCCAAATGGAAAACCCTTTGAGAGCACTCGTCGCAATGCCTTTACCCCACTGGTTCGTCGCGACCCAGTAACCGACCTCCCAAGTGCGATACTCGGTATCGTCTCGGGGACTAAGCCCAATACCACCCGCGAAGGTGCCATCTGGAGCGATGATAGCAAAGTTTACCATTGGATCGGCTTTGGTAGAGAAGTCAACCCAGAATTTGGCGTGTTCAAGCGTATATGGGTAGGGAAAGCGATTGCGCATGTACTGTGAGATTTCCGGGTGATTCGCTGCTTCTGCCGCCGCCGGGATATCGCCGGGTGTGTATGCGCGTATATAGCATTTGTCCGTCTTTACTATAGGCGTGGGTTCTGACTGAGTGGTCGCAGACGCCATTTTGTTTTAGTCTTTCAGTGGTTGCGTTTCAGGGGACTTTCAGTGGTGTTTAGTGAAATAAAAGCTTGGAGGTGCGCTAATAGATCTCAAAGACTCTGATGTGGGACGCGAATATGGGAATTTGTCAATTGACCAGCGATAGCGAAAATTCAAGATATGAATGAAAAGATGAGAAATATTCAAGTCTTGTGTTATTTTGCTGCATAGAAGAAAGATGATAAGAATTTTCAGCTCCGGCGTGACTCATTCCTAATGCAGGAAAGGTCATTTCGACAGCATATCTGACAAGCCTCCGCCAACATCTGGCAGGCTCTGAGAAGCTTTATATTCGCCCGTATTGGTCGCTGCTATCTTCGCAAGGCAACACATGGAGGGGATTGGTGTCGCACAGCAATTAGCGGAAAGACCTTTAAACTACCTACCTACCAAGACTTTTTCAATTGAATAATACCTATTTCCCCTTTTCTTTTCTTTTCTTTTCTTTTTCATAAAAAATGAGGCTAATTACGAAGAATACGATAGCTGGGAGAAAGAAATATTAAATTTTTGGAACTGATTATTGAAAATGAGTGTCGAAGCTGCGAAGACCAGATTTGAAACGCAGCATAGAACATGTTTTGTGTGGCTACATAGTAGTTGTGGCTAATATCGCGTAGTGGCTGAGCCCCATCATTAACCGCCCGGGCAATTCCGTCCGCTAATGTAACTCCAGGCAAGGATCTAAGATGTAGGTGGGTGGTGCCCTGACATGTGGCGTCAGTAATGCGCGTTCGGGTAGTGCCAGTGATGTCACAACTTCAATTAAACCTCCCATTAGCGTCGGCATCAAGTTTCTAGCCAATTCATTCTTCGTACACCATATGCAACACTGCATGCCTACTTCTACATTTGTTTGGTCATCAAGCATGGACCCGATCGTGCCTCTTAAAAGGCGTAGACCAGAGCCTTTGGCTTCGGGTCTAAACCTACAACATATAAATCCCATACATTTGAACAACCTTAACCTCGACTAAAACCTGACACACGTGTGCCGGGTAACAACACATCAGCGTCACTCAAACCACAGCACTGTTCTCTACCTACCTACCTAGTACCTATCACACATGTCTCATCTCTCTCAACATAGGCCTCCCGTTTCCGCCTTTCGAAAATTTTAGTCTCTCTATTCTGACAGAAAATCGTGGACGGGGTCCTACAGCTATGAACTCGGATAGCTGGAATTAATCTGTGCGTTGATACCACGGTTGTATTGGTGGGCTCTCCCGTGACGGTACCTCTCAGCGTGCCTGTGCTTCCTTGAGGGGTCTAGGTGACCATGCATCCTATCGAACTTGACAAGCCGTCGAAAGCGCCAATAGACGCTGGGGGAGCCGGACAGTCTCGACTCCACGTACACGATGTGGAACGAGACGGGCGCCGCGGAACTATCTTCCAGGACGAGCAAGGCAATTTGGCATTTCCCAGTTACGTCCCTCCAGATGTCGAACAACCTTCTTCACGCTCGAGAGCTACTTCGGAAGGGATCCAAGATCATAGTAACACACTTGATCCAGCTAAAGGCCCTAAAAAGACCAAGTCTGATCCTGTCGTCGGACCGCTCCCCAAACTAGCAAAGTCTTCTTCATACGCCCATCGCCGAAATACACGTCGGCCATCGACATTCTCCCCATTTCCTCTTATGAGACGTGCTAGAACAAATCTCTCGATATTTGATGCAACACTACGAGGTGGTTGGAATAACGACGACAACGATAGCGATCATACCGATTCATCTCTTTCCTCGTCAGAAACAGAAGACAGTGGAGCAAATACTGACGATAATACGGGCCATCCAAAGGGACAGTCAAAGCGAAAACGTTCCTATGACAGGTTCCGACGTTTCCGAGTAGTAAATGAACTCTACCGCACGAAAGGTAAAGTGTCGAAGAGGGACGGTCGATTAAGCATCACAGTAAATGACACCAGTAGTACCGGATACCTAGCAAAAGCTCTTGGCACAGCCGTCAAAAAGATCGTGCCCCAGAAAATTGGCGAAAGCAAGATAGACGAGCGACCAACCCCCACACGGCTATCTTCCGCCACTACTACGACATCAGAAAAACGGAGGCGGCCGAAATTGAACATAGTCATTATGGTTATTGGCTCAAGGGGTGATGCGCAACCATTTTTAAAAATTGGCAAAGTCCTCAAAGAGGAATATGGTCACCGAGTCCGTATTGCTACGCATCCTGCATTTCGGGATTTTGTGGAGAAGGACTCAGGGTTAGAATTCTTCTCCATCGGTGGTGATCCATCGGAGCTGATGGCTTTCATGGTCAAAAACCCTGGCATGATCCCTACACTCGAGACAGTAAAAGCCGGCGACATTTGGAGGAGACGTGCTGCCATGGCCGAGATGTTCGACGGATTCTGGCGGGCTTGCATCAATGCAACCGACAACGAAAAAGATATCAATAACATCAAGATGATGGGAGAGAAGAATCCGTTTGTTGCGGACGCCATTATCGCGAATCCACCTAGCTTCGCTCACATTCATTGTGCGGAAGCCTTAGGAATTCCTTTGCATCTCATGTTTACCTTTCCTTACACGCCAACGCAGGCATTTCCTCATCCTCTAGCGAATATTAAGAAATCTAACGTGGATCCAGGATACGCCAATTTCATCTCTTATCCTATCGTTGACCTGGTGGTTTGGCAAGGACTTGGAGATCTTGTCAATAATTTCAGGGTGAAGACTTTAGGACTCGATCCAGTATCAACTCTTTGGGCCCCCGGCGCGACCTATCGTCTTCATGTCCCAGTAACATATTTATGGAGTCCTGGACTAGTACCTAAGCCTGCTGACTGGGGCGAGCAGATCGACATTTCGGGCTTCGTCTTCCTGGATCTTGCCTCCTCCTTTAAGCCCCCAAGGGATCTTATCAATTTCCTCGATAATGGCGAAATGCCAATTTATATTGGCTTTGGGTCCATCGTAGTTGATGATGCCGAAAGGTTCACCGAGATGATTTTTGACGCTGTTAGACAAGCTGGAGTCCGGGCTCTGGTGTCGAAAGGTTGGGGCGGCCTGGGCCAAGATTATATTCCCGAGCATATATATATGGTCGATAACATTCCTCACGATTGGCTCTTCCCGCGGGTTAAAGCTTGCGTTATTCACGGCGGCGCTGGCACTACAGCTATCGCACTCAAATGCGGCAAGCCAACCATGGTTGTGCCATTTTTTGGTGACCAATACTTCTGGGGCTCTATGGTCAGCAGTGCGGGGGCTGGACCAACACCAGTGCCATACAAGAAATTGACCGCAGAGACGTTGGCGGAAGGCATCCAGTTTTGCATGACCAGTGAAGCCCTTAAGGCAGCGCAAAGGATCTCCAAGTCTATTGAGGTTGAAGGCGATGGTGCTGAAAATGCGGTAAGGGCTTTCCACCACAATTTGACGCTATCTGGTGAAAGTTCAATGCGATGCTCCATCCTCGATAATCACGTCGCAGTCTGGAGGGTCGAGCGCACGAGCGTCAGGCTGAGTGCTCTAGCAGCCGATATTATCGTTAGCCACGGCTTGATTTCTTGGCGAAAGTTACGGCTCATGAGGCATAAGGAATTCAATGATTTTGAAGGTCCAGGTGAACCTATAACTGGAATTGTCGCTTCTCTGGTTGGAACAGTTGGCAATGCATTTGCTGGAATCGGTAGCGTTCCATACAGACTAGCGAGGACGTCAAACAAGAGAGCTGAAAATAGAAAGAATAAAGAGACGAAAGCGAGGCAAAGACAAGAAGCGCTAGCCGGAAACGCGGCTGAGTTTCCGTTCAAGAATGCTTCGAGCTCAACATCAACTACACCTGCATCACCCCCTCTTCAGCATTCCCATGAAGAGTACCTAAACGAGATAGAGGAAGGCGCGGAAAGAACAGGTCGAGCTCTAGCTCATGCCCCCGTTGATCTATTTCTAGCTCTAGCTCAAGGCTTCCACAATGCACCTCGCTTGTATGGTGATGACACCGTGAGACGTCCCATCCGTGTCACAGGAATACGATCAGGGCTGAAGGCGGCAGGCTATGAATTTATATATGGAATCTATGATGGATTCACCGGGCTTGTGCGATTACCCATTCGTGGTGCCAAAGAGGGCGGCATCAAGGGCGCAATCGCCGGTGTTGCTATGGGGCTTACAGGGTTCGTGCTTAAAGATATCTCGGCGTTGATCGGACCTATCGGATATACGTTGAAGGGCATCGCTAAGCAGTGCGAACGGGGGAAACAGCCTGTCAAGTACCTCCGCCGCGCACGAATCATTCAAGCACAGCGAGAATTCTCTACCCTAACTGAAACAGAGCGCAAGGTAATGCGTGAAGCTGTTCTTAAAGGATGGCGAGTTCTACGCGATTTGGCGGATTTAATAATGCTGGAAAGGGAGAAAAGGCAGTTCATGCCCCGCTTCAACAAGAAACAGAGCACACATACCAAGAACACCAAGTCGCTAGCTAAGTACGGCAAAGGACCAGCCTTTGAGAGTGTCGCAACCGCTGAGAGAGCCACCGAGGCTATCGTGCGCGGAGATAACATCGACGCTGTGCTTAAGAAGCGCGGGAAATCCATCGATATACGGAAAAGGTCTACGGATGGGGAAATTAGTCAAGAAGTTCGGACAGATTCTACCCACGACTCAGGAAGGACAAATTAATAAAGATACCCACGAATACCTAAGGAAACGGGATGATACGGCATCGGCGTTCTTTTGGATTAAGCATTGATGTCACGTAACCCTTTGTAGAGATCGCACCTGTATTTTCGCCTAAAGCATTAGCAATGACTTATAACGAGCATCATATACCCTTTGATACGAATACAAAATAGTATATCTGAGATTTCCATCTTAACAATGAATAAATTTCGAAAACATGCATGAATTAGGTATATTCCTCTTGGTTACATACATCCTATGATTACCTAATGTCACATTTCGTACTCGAGATTACGTAATATTTGTGCTTATGTAATTATATTCGATTATATAATAACTTATTCATCCAACCACGTACTAATCAAATGAATAAGCTTAGGTAAGCTCAGAAACGGCGAAGAGCAAAGCTTTCGTTTACAATTACGATGTTAAGCACTATATTTCAGCGCGAACTAGGGACCATTTCCAGTACCTTACCTTATTTTAAGGCCCAAATTACAGCATAGATATCACGGGTGTGTAGTTGGTACCTATCAACAATGCTTGCACTTGGAATTTACCTTAAACAAATTGAAATGGCGTGTAGAATTTTATATAAGAGTATTCGATCTAGGTTAGGGCTTAACTTCATGAGGTAGACATGTTACGCTTACTAGGCAGGATGGAATAAATGAAGGCTGAAGGTTGGTTATATTGTCCTCTAAATGCGTTGAACTAGAGCGCTAGATTAAGCCCTAAAGAAATAAACGGCGAAACGCACTACAGTAGATCACAGCGCTATCAATCGCTATATTCCCTACCTCCACAAGGTCTCGTACGTATGAATTTACTTAGACGGCAGGTTGCTTAGGTACTGTACATACCCTTAGATATGAGGTAGCACTTAGCAGCTTAGGCAACTGATCTATGTAATTGAGCACCTGTGAATGCATGCGTACTTATATACTTGGTTTTTTCGTATGACTCTAACGAAAAGCTAAGTAAAGAGACATTCCGTTTCACTCCCATGAAAGTAAGAAAATGGAAGAATAATATCCAACAGTGAAATGAAACCGCTATCAATAACGCGGCAATTCTTGGTTGCCCCGCAACAGATCGTATCTGCCTTCTCCTCATCGGCGGATACATATGATTATCTGAAAGAGACCTTCTTGAATTATACCCTTCATATATACCTAGGAAAGAGCTATTGTTTAATCGGTAGCAAGGACCCGGAGCCGGGCGGAAACTTAGGTAGGTGTGGACCTATCGCTGCCGCGAATTGCCTAAAGAGGAAACCGCTCATCTGGCAACCGGACCCCGCTGTCTTTAGGTACCTAGTAGGTAACATATTGCTGGTAAGTAAGTACTAAGAATAGGTGACAAATGTGTATATGTTGATATCGTCCATGGAAACTAGTTCCTAATAAGAGACTTGCCCTTGTAAGGTAGTAAGTGAATTTGGAAAATAATAAGATTTATTAGAAAATTTCAAGTTTTCCTAATGGTTTCACTACCTACCTAGACTTAATCGCTGATTACGCTATTAAGTGGAATTTACAGTAGGAGTGTAGCGCTGGGGTATATGTGGCGGGGCACGTAAGAGCCCTAGAGCTCTTGAGATTAGCGGCCTGTAATATCCACATTTATCAACGCCTCAGCGTACTCGACTGCTAAAGCAGTGATATATCTGGATTCTGCACTGCCAATTGATTCAAAAAGAGCGAGTTCTGTTGTTGGTAACCTTGGAAGCTTGCTTAGCAGATACGTAAGAGACTTACTGTATTTACCTCGTAGGTAAGTCGTATTTATAATAAAAGTTTATCCAGCCCAGACAATATTTTTTAAAAGAAATCTCCAAGATGTTGGATTATGTCCTAATCCTCAGTTATAACTCACATTCAGTGGCTGTAAAGGAAATGGTTAGGTACCTACCTATTGAGTTTTAGTTGTCATGACAGCACCTTTACTATGATTAGGGCTCCTGTCCTGTCTTTATTAGGTATAGATAGGTCCCTGAGGCCCTTAACAATGTTAGCATACCTAATGTTAATACTTAGCGTACCAAAGCGGAAGCGACCCACTACACTTGCCAAGTACTAGCTAAAATAGTAGGCTTAGCTATGACTTTACCCCCCCTACGCACAGCGCTATCCCGAAATCCGAGGACGTCGCACTCGTTTGATTGAGAAACGTCTTTTATGTCAAGAAGTTATATTATTTATCTGCTATAACAAGTTCGAAACAGTCTAGGTAGGTTGAGAGACAATATAAATCGAAAAGCCTCATATTTTCTTCTAGTAGTCGGTAGGGACCTAGGGAAGTGCCTGGTAGGGAGCCTTTCAGAGATCTTATGTAAGAGCGCCACCATTCTAAAATCTTGCGTGACCCGGGTGCCCGAGCAGCCCTGCCCTTCCCACCTACAAGTTTTCAGCTCACTGCTATAACTGTTTCATTCATACATCTTTCTTCCATCATCTCACCCCATAGGATGGCGAACGGTGCGCAACAGTAACTTTGATTCCACCAAGAAATTAACTAATCCCGCCTAATTAGCATCATACAGATATCGGAACTAGAAGAGGCATCGCTCGCGTTTTATTTCCCGAAAGCGCTAAGCAGAAACTTAACAGAAATCAGGATTTCGATATGCGAACCTGTGGCCCAGCAGAGGTCCAGATTCATTCCCACGTGGATATAGAAGAGGCTCACGATAGCCATGCTTTATTCACTCAGCCTCTAGACCCATTAGAGATGAGGTAGTATCGAAAGGTACCAGCGTAGTACCGAAGGAATTCGAGGGATTTGCCCTGACCATCAACACCCAATGGGAATCGGTTATTTTGCTCTAAGGAGAGCAACTCTCCTGAAGGGTTACATGGCTATCCAAAGCATACAAGCGTAGCTATATCCAGCTCCAAGCTCAGCTGATCTCCGCACAGAATCTGAGTCTGTTATCTTCGTTCCTCCACTCACCTTCTTCATCCATCTTTTGCTCATGTTTGTCGGGACGTTGTTTCAAACCTCGAGTTACTTGGTGATGTCTCTCGCCCCGATATCGCGCACAGCTTGGGTCCTCCGAAGTTGCCACATGTTATAGGATCCCGGAGGCAGACAATGACATTTAATACGGCCGCCAAGTCGCAGATATATGCTACCTGCCCGCACTCTGACGGAAAAGGCGCACCGGTATGTTGGGATTGTAGTGAGGAAAGCTGGGGAAGCCTGCCACCATTTGAAGATTTCGGGGAGACCAAGAAACTCAGGATCCTGAGCGGTAGGAGCCAGACTTTCGCACCAGAAGTACACCCACCTGCCGAGGGCATAGAACTCGGCACTCCCAATCCCCGATATAGCCAGCCCGGCTTGGAGGTCTTCACCGGGCCACAGATTGTGACTGCCGCAGATAAATACCCGAACATTATAGAAGAGAAGATCGTCGTCACACCAAACTCGGCTTCTCCTACTATATGGGGATTTCGGAGGAGAATATTCTGGCTTATCGTGATATGTGTGGCGTTGGCATTGCTCATGGGAGTGGCCGTTGGCGCCGCGGTTGGAATAACCCAAAAGAATAATTCTACCAAAGCATTGTCAGTAACCCATTTTGAGTTGAGGATTCATATAGGCAATATGCTAACTAAATTCATTCTAGGGCAACAACGTCGTCGTCCACAGAGACCAGTGTCCAAGTGAGCAGTACTTTCTCATCGCCGCCTGAAGTTATGACTGAGATTGTGTCGGCAATTACTTCGAGCCTCTCTATGAGCACAACGAATGATTTCATGGTTCAAAGTGTGTCTTCATCCTCAAAACTCGACACTTCAACAACAACTACCAGAACGGAAAGGTCATCGTCATCACCTACATCGTCACCTACATCCTCCCTACCAAGTTCCCCCACAACTCAAACTTCTAAGTCTGTAGAGAAAGTAACAATAATTTCTGTGCAAACTGCGTCGGCACCTACTACTAGTCCAGTCCAGTCCACGCCACCTCCAACTACTGTAACGGTCACCCCTACCACGAAGGCGAGCTCACAAACTACGACAAGTCCAACAGCGACCACTTCAAATGGTGATTGTCTAGGAGCCGACGGAAGCACATATACAGATCCAGGGACTGGCGCACGGTTCAGGATTGAATGCGACATCGCGCATCTGGGGAAAGACATTGAAAATTATAAAGCTCAGACGATGGAGGCTTGCGTATCGATGTGCGCTAGTGATTCAACATGCGTCGGCGCTATATGGTATAGTGCTGGCCCTCAGGGAACAGATCTCAATTACTGCTGGCTGAAAAACACCTTGGAAAACACTCTCAAGAGCACGAAGGATGCGCAATCAGTGGTGCGGTTATAAAAGAGCGTAACTCACTCGTCGAAGGGAGATCCACACGTTGGTCTTCCTACCTAACCTAATGCCTAATTGCTAGAGGCAGGAAATGAAGATATGCCTGTATTAAGTACATAATATTGTAATCATATAAAATTATTGACTACCTGTGTTGAAGTTTACAGTCACATCTTCCAAGATAGGCCAAGCTGTGTGTATATACACAACGTTCATATATAACTCTATGATCTACAAATCTGTGAGTTTCAATTCTTCGTGCCCGTGGGTTAAAAAATATTCGCTGATTGAAACCAATTATAATCATCAAGTCATAGGAAACTTTTAATTGAAGCCTATGAATTTGTTGGGATGATGGAGAGCATCTTTTTACAACAAAGGTCCTCGTCACAGCCAAACATCACCGGATTCTTGGTTAACAAATATAGAATTAGTTATAGCTAATTTTTAACTCTCTTCGTCAATAATAATTCGTTCATCCAGTGAATGTATCACGAGAGTAACATGATTCTCTTACTTTGAGATGTGACTGTATACACTGAATGTGTGAGTTGTCAAGCTGGACTGCGTAGCCATCACCATTCTTAAACATGATATAAACCCACCCATTCCCATTATTATTCTCCTCCTCATCAACATCAACCAGCCTTACGATTAACCATATTGCACATATCTACCCCTTAATCTTTAATTTCCCCAAAATTCAATGTCTTCCAACCCGAGCTCCCAGAGCCAGAACGACATCAAATTCACTATCCGTGTATCAATCGAGGAACCTTCCGAGCCCATGTCTCTCCCCTACGACGAAATGGACGTCGACAACGAATACGACTCCAGCAGCGTCCATTCCGCCGACGACAAGAGCCACGGCACAGAAGAATCCCAAACCTCGCGAACCCCTTCACCAGAAATCGACCCGGAAAGCTACGCGACCTGGGGCCGCGAGCACTTCGGCGAAGAATGGTATCGCCAGCGTAGTATCATGCTCAACGAGCGCAACATCTTCATGAGCCCGGACCCGGTGTACAAGCAACGACAAAGCGCGCTACGGATGCTGGAACGGCAAATCGAAGGACGCACCTTCATGCTCCCCCACGGCAGTGACGGTGAAACTCGTCTTCTACCCACCACCTCCTTCGCAACCGCATCTCCATCCCCAATGCGTCTCGACGACACCTCCCCCGACACCTCCACTGACACCGACACCGCAAGCGAGACCTCATCCTCCTCTTCCCCTTCCCCTCCCCCACCCTCCCCACACCAACGTCTCGAACACTACCGCCAGCGTCTACAATGGGACGATCTAGAATACCACATCGAAGCCGCGCTCCTCGAAGAATCCCTCATCGACCTAACGCGCAGCAAGCGCGACGACGCAGAGGGGGATAGGCGGCGGGAGTGGGAGCTCGAGGCGATGCACAGCATGCAGAAAGAATCGTGGGAGTACCAGCGGCAGAAACAGCGGTTCCGGCTCCGCGCGCTGGGATGGTCGCCTGAGCGGATCGAGGCGAAGGAGAGGGAGGATTGGGAATGGGTTGAGGAGGAGCGGAGGGGGGATGAGGAGAGGGAGGACGAGGTTTCGATTCCGTCGGAGGAGGATAGTGATGAGGATCGTATTTCTTAGGGGTGTTGTTTGGACTGGGTGATGAGGTTTTTAGTGTTTGGATTCGTTTAGATACCTAGGTAATCATGCTCAGCATTGCGAGTGCTGGCTAAATAATTCTTTTCTTTTTTCTTGTCTGGTTTCTTGGCAGATAATAGCACCGGGAATGGAACCGTTTTATATTACGAGTAGGTACCTAAACAAACATTCTAAAAGGCTGTAATAATCAGTTGTATAAATAGTTTCAAACATTGATGCGTTTTATCCGTCCTACCATACGAATCCGTAGACTCTCCCGGCTGTACTCGCTCAACGCTATGACTAGATTCAGGGGTCACTCCTATTCCGACCCAGCGCACCACTTCTCCCCACAAACTCCCACCCAACCACCCAAATCACAACACGCACACATACAATCAAAAACACATCACAATCCAGCACATAAAACATGTAAATATCTCATCACTGCATTATCCTTAATCTCTCTATTCATCAAACCTACCTAACCACCAAACCTCACCTCCCCCCATCATCAATACAGTACCACATTCATATCCATACCCAAGGCCAGAGCCAATACCTCAGTACCACCAAGCGTAACCCATCACCCCGTCACCTTAAGACCCCGGCCTACTAGGCAAAGGCCTCGGCCCCACAATCTGTCTCCTCCCAGCACCGATACCAGCACCGCCCTTATTCTGGCTATCGCCGCCAGTAAACCCGCTCCACTGGCTAACATCCCAGCGACCGCCGATACCACCACCAATCCCATCCACGCCATCTCCAGATCTCGCCGCTTTCGCCGTTTCCTGCTGTGCCTCTTCCCACTCGCGCTGTCTTTGTCGCTCCATTTCCATTTCCCTCTCAAGGAGGGACTTGCCCGCCCAGCCGGCGGCTTTGGTCTTGGCTTGAGACTCGGCTCTCCTGCGGTCTTCGGCGTCGCGCTCGGCTGTCGCGTCTAACTCGCGGGAGTACGTTTGTTGCGGAGGAGGCGGGGCAGGCGCTGGGTTGGTTGCCAGGTAGCGATCCGTGCGGCTGCTCCCGTTGGGGTTCGCGGATGGGACGGGTAAGGGTCGAGACGAAGGGTTGGGTCCCGGGCTTCCTGTTACCTGTTTCTTAACCCGGTCCGGAATGGGTAGAGGCCTATTCTCGCCAGTCCTTTGGGGCTTGACAGGTAGAGGGGGTAGTCTCTCTCCTGTACGATGTGTCTTGACCGGACCCGGCGCCGGCACTGATACGGGTACGGGAAGAGGTCGTGGCGGAGGTGGAGGTGCAAATACTTGCTCCTGTTCCTGTTCCCGTTCCCGCTCTCGCTCCCGATTCCACTGCGTGCTTAGGAACTGACGCTCATCTTTAGGTCGCCACGAGTCTTGCCGGCTAGGCGGTCTCTCCGGCTTTCCTGGTCGGCTGCGAGATCGCGCTCGGTTCTGTGACCGTCGCTGTCGCTCTTCCTCGTATTGTTGTTCGCGTTGCCTTGCTAATTCCAATTCTTCTTCGAGCTGTTTAATGCGATCACTATATCCACCCCCGCCACTCTTCTGTGGCGTAATACCCTGCTCAGCTTGGTATTGGCTGAGAAACTGCCCTTGTAATCTTGGAGACCGTGCAAGACGGCGCTCTTCGGCTAGTCTTGCTTCGGCATCCTCTTCTTCCCTCCGGCGTTTCTCTTCTGTTATCTTCCATTGCCGTTCTTCCTCCTCCCAGCGACGTTTTTCATCGTCTGCTTTGCGCTTCTCTTCCGCTCGTAGTCGCGTCGTTTCTTCTTCCCATCTCCGTTGTTCTGCTACCCGTGCTCGCTCCTCTTCAGCTTCCAGCTCCGCCTTACGGATACGTTCTTCTTCTTCTGATTGTAGTCTCTGGCGCTCGATCTCGGCTTCTTGCTCTTTGCGCCTACGCTCCTTTTCGGCGAAGCTAGGAACTTGGGGACTAGCGGTGGTGATTTGACGTCGGCCTCCAAATGATATACCCAAATTGCCTTGGCTTGCGCCACCCATGTATCCATACTGCGCAATATTCCATGCTGGGCTCGTAACACCTTCATGGTCTCTCTTGCTCCAGCTCGACACATTCGACCCTGCTCGCTCGCTGTTGGCTGTTGGGCTCTTTGTGGGGCTCCAACGTCCCGATCCTGAATCTCCGGTTCGTGAAGGAAGCATAGCCGAACGCGACCCATATGTAGATGAATTGTTGCTCACATTAGACACGCCCCGCGTTCTCGGTGTCGTTGGGCCTGTGCTCTGTGGGCTCATGGTGGACCCTCGTGCTCTGGGTCCGATAGGCGAGGGGAATGCGGCGGGATTGACAGAATGCGCGGCGCGGGAGAAAGCGCCGAGGCATTGAAGAACTTGGGCGGGGTCTTTTCGCTCGTAAAGATCGACGGTGAGAAACATATCGTGATCTTGTAGATTTAGAGGTGGGGATTGGCAGGCGCGGAGAAAATGCGAGATATTCTCCATTTGGATAAAGGGCATCGCTGACGTTTTGAATTTGACGCCGGGTGGACCGACCGCCAAGTTGATGAGTCTATAGCGATATCAATGTTAGCCAACCTACAAAATCGCGTGTTTATTTTCATTCGCTTGTACATACTTGCATAAGGCGACGCCATCTTTGAGACCATCGAGAAGATCATTAGATGGGAGTCTAGTTCCTAAGACGTTCTCGATCCACGATCTAGCTTCATTCGCAGCGGCTGGAGTGTATTTGTCAAGGCGCAACTGTCGCAAGTCCTTGTCTAAGGACGTCACTGATGCCATGATAATAGGTTCTCTTCGTACCGGTCGAATGCGCAGTTGGTGTCAATGCTGACTTTATTGGTCTCACGGACCAATGTCGATGATTATATACGTACGACGTGGCGGTATCCGATGTATGTATTTTGTTGGTACGGTAAGTAATTCGTACAGCAGGTCGCAATTCGTAATTTGTAATGGAGATTCGTAGATCGGAGATTTGTTGAATCTGTTGGCTGGAATGGAGTGTGTGAGTGGGATTAGATGAGACGACGTCACTGGTGAGGGTATTGGTATGTGAGTAGAAAGGCAGATCGCCCAGCGAAGATATTATTGGGAGCAATGATGTGATCCCTAATCCTACAAAGCATAGGAATTAATTTGCTAATAAATTCAGTGAAAAAGAAAGGGTATCAACTATTCCAGGTTGAATAAAAGTGAGAAGTGCGATTTAACGCAGTCTATGTAGATACAAGATTAAGGAATATGGAAATGCCTTGAATGGGTTCAATGTTCTTTACCCTTCGAATAAGAACTTGAATTGAACCTGGAACCTTGGAAGATGACAGACAGGGCTCACCCCCACCACCGATTAAATGCTGGAATAGTGAAAGAGTGGAATAGAGGAGGGTGGGTGACGTTGATTGGGTTTATGTAAATTGGAGGGATACCACCCTGGAGCTTGCGTGGCTTAGGCTGCAAAGTTAAGGCCTGTGGCTTATTAGTTTACCTAACGCAGCCTAACGATAACAATAGTGGCGGTGCAGGTGCATCCTATCATATCCTTAATAATTCTGACGTCGACTTTCACCCCAAACCCCTGTAACTTTTTATTATGTGTGAATTAGCACGCTCGTCAAAATGTCGACGGCAAAGCCAATAGGCCCTATAAGAAAGGCCTGGTATCAGTGGAAAGCCATACGGTTCCCATGGAGGAAACGTTATCTTGTCGGTAGGTTGCCATATTCACTATATCCTCACATCCTTAATCTCACCCCTTTCATCTTATCTTTTAAACTCTGACTTAATTCCCACGCAACATAACACACATGAACTCACTCGGAACTCACTAACACCCTCCAGGCCTCGACCTCCAAGGTAACACATACTGGGAATTCCGGCTACACCGCGGGGACCCCTCACTACCAGACTCGCGCTTCCGGCGCATAGTGCAGTACCCGCGGTCAACGCACTACAGTGAGATCAAGGTATCACCGCAATGGCACCAATGGCTGCGGTACCAACGACGGGAGCCTCCAACACTAGACGAGCAGGCACATGACCTCGTCCGCCGCGAGCAGATGAAAGTTTTAGCCGCCGCAGCCGACGCCCGCTGGGAGGCCAAGCCGAGTTACCTCGACGCCCCGGGTAAGGAAAAGGGGCAACCAGTGCCGCCGTTCGACACTAGCCGGAACCAGCCGCAAGAACAGGCTGCTCGAAAGTCAACGGCGACAAACGGGCAGGATGATGAGGTGGCGCAGAAGGACGACCCCTGGAAACGAGCAGCGCGGAGTACCGGTCCCGGAGAGACTTGGCAACCGGAGGCGTGGACTCCGACGTCGACGAGGAAACGGTGAAGTTGCCGCGGATATTGCGGCATTGTATAATCGTGTACAGCAAATGTATATCATTACGTCGTATGAACAGCGAAGGGAAAACAGCATGGGAATAAACACACATAATAGATGCATTGGTGCATCTATCGGCTTGGCTTTGGCGCCAACAAAAATACTAGACAGGCAATGCTCATCTCGACTTAATTCTACTCTTCCATATCCTCGTGACACTAACAAACAGCTCTACTTACGTTTTCCTCGCGAAGAGCCTGAGCACTCGGGACATAGCCATTTGCCTCTTGGCTTCGACTTGAGGCCGACGCATTTCCAGTGAAACCATTCGTACGGGCAAGCATCGTTGTCACAGGCAATCATAGTGCCCGACTCCTTACGCCTACACGTACAGTATTTCTTCTCATCCTCCTCTTCATCTTCGACTTCCATGGCTGTCATAAAGGTGACCTCTATCTCATCTTTATATAGTTAGTGCGCGCCCAGCAGAAAATCAGTAATGACAACACTAACCTTCATCTTCATCCTCAACCATAGGATCGGTTTCGGTCAACTCAGCATCGTCGTCTTCTTCTCCTTCGATGAGATCGACTAGTGCAAGTAATCTCTTTCCAGACATTTCTAACACAATGTGAGCCTCCGCCTCTGGGTCTTCGGCGTTCATTCGGCCACGCGCCGAAGTCTTCTTCTTCTTGACTTTAGTTTCTCTCGCGGCGATTCCCTTTTCGACAGCCGCTCTTAAACTCTTGCTGAACTGCTCGCTTCCATCGCACCACACAATCTGAAGCAAGTTTTCAAGTAACACAGAAAGCTTCGCGTTATCCTCTACGGCAATAGTGTTGGCAGGGTAGGGTAGAAAACATCGTTCCAGGATCTCAACTGTGATGCGGTCTGATTCTCGCCAAGTGCGATCCACTTTCTCTGGTTTTAAAGCTGACGAGGGCATCAAGATTATCGCAATGCCTTGAAGTGTTGATATCTGGGATACCAACTCTAAAGCGCATGTGCGGTGATTAACGAACGCAGTGAAAATAGGTAGTGGCAATGACTTCACCGTATTCTCAAATCCCTGATAAAGATCGGAGAGGTCTAGTGATGATTGCGGGAGGTAGTGGCAGAGGTATGACAACTAGTTAAGTTAGCATGTAAGTTATTCCATAAAGTCTCTGAAAACATCCTACTTACTAAAGAGAAGAGGCGCTGCCGCAAGGGGATAGACTGTACATAAGCAGGCTCCAGTGCTTGGAAATCTGGGTCCCCCAGTCCTGAATTTGTTCTGCGCTTCTGCGGTGTCGGGGGTTCTGACGTCTGAGAAGAGGATACGGACTCATCATCCATATAACCCCCAAAATTTCCCTTGTCGATATTGACCATCTCGCGCTTCCTCTTCTTCACAATACTCTTAGGATTCTCCTTGTGCTCCTTTTGCCAGATTTCTTGGAAACGGGCGCTTGCGGCAACGCTTCCGTCGGCAAAAATAGCTTCCGTAATCCATTTCAAACCCCCACCAGCGCCACGTCCGGAACGTTGGGCGATGTATGTGGCGAGAATCGAATCGCGAAGCATTGGGCAATCCGTTTGGTCGCTTTCCTCATCTAAATTTTTCCGCTGGATCAGGTCTTCCTCTAGTATGTCTAACATGAACTCAAGCCAATGCTTCCAGTGTCGCCAGCGATTTGGATAGAGCACGCTGCAGTTAAAGGCCCAGCCGACGACGCGGAAAAAGTCCTGCCCTCGGCGCCATATGCCATCTTGGTGGTATTCACGTTTCAACTGCGCATACGATCCATCACCACCTTCATCATCACCGTATCCAGGATCGTCACTGTAATACGAGTCCGGGGTGCCATGACGAGAGGTATTGATAAAGCGAAATGCTTCCTTGAAGCCACTGTTTATAGGGCCGAAGCGAGAGAGTATACTACGTAAGTAGACGAGCGACTCGACAGATACTTCAGACCAACCCTCTTCTCTCGGTCTAGTGGTAAATTTCGGATGTACGATTGCGGTGTTGAGAAGCGATAGTTGGCTAGGAGGGGGGCAGTAGTTAGGATCATTTGGGCCACCGCGGTTTGACGATAATAGGCTATTTAGGAGGTTTAGAGTAATCAGATCTTAAGATGGATTAGCAAGTGTGTATGTTATTATGTATAAAATGGTAGTGAGTATAATCCTACACAAATTCTCTTCTAAATAGATCTGGCAGTGCTGTTTGAGTTCGGGAGGCAGCTGGCTAGCCTTGCTGAATATCTTGTTGGCGGCCTCTTCGGTCTCGACAATAGGGCTGCTTATATCGGTGACCACGCCATTCAAATCTTTCAATGGTGACTCGGTAGCGGTCGCAAAGGAATCTGGCGAAGAGAGCGGCGACGATACCGATGGTAGCCTGATTGGCGGCATCGTAGTTGAATTTGAACCCAAGTCCAGAGCTTGACGCGCAAAGGTTTACGCGACGAAATACCCTGGCAGTTTTAATTGAAATCTCTCTAGGGTTCCAAGTAAAATTAGCGGGATTAGCGAATTGGCGGGGGTGGTTGCTACCGCCAGTTAGCGCAGTGGGGGAGGTATCTAGGTACCTTTACTTAGTGCCGCAGGTACCGCTAATCCCAGAGCTCCTTCTAGAAGTCATCACATCCATCACATCTCAAAAGCTCATTACGTCATCTTCAGCATTGCAAAACATCAATCAGAAGCGATAGACCTGATGAGAGCCTTAGGCACAAAACTACCTAGTATGTTCATTTTCATTTGTACTCCTTAGGCAACTACTATAGCGAAAGCGGCCCATTCTCAGAAATCAATGCTAGACATCGTCAATCTAGCTTGTTCATTGTACTCATCAAACTCATGGCTCAGGATAAATATCCACTAAGCACAATTTTGTTTACTTCTTAAGCTTACATGTTAGCTTTAAGAACCTTGAAGGCATCATCTCGACTCCCGGCATAACGTGTTTCAGCAGTCTTCCAGTTGATGATTTTCCAGATGTTCTCGACGTAAGCCGCTTTACCGTTGAGGTACTGAAGGTAATAGGCATGCTCCCACATGTCGACGCCGAATAGGGGGGTGTCACCGACGACAACAGCTTCCTGGTTAGCTAGCGTCACGATTCGTAGCTGTCCGGTGACTGCCTCCTTCACGAGCCACTTCAGTGCCAAGTGTTAGCTTTCGTCGGAAACTGAAGGAAGAGTGTACTTACGCCCCAACCGCTTCCCTGGATACCCAGAAGAGCAGCACCGAAGACCTCCTTGAACTTGTCGAAGCTACCCCAGGTAGCCTTGATAGCGCCGGCAAGCTTAGGGGCGGCGGTTAGCTGAGAGTCGGGGGAAGACGCGGGTGCCAGGCCCTCCCAGAATAGCGAGTGGTTGATGTGACCGCCACCGTTGAAGCGGATGGCTCCTAGCTGAGCCGCGGCATCCTGGAGCTTGCCTTCGGACCCCGCCTTAGCAGATACCTCTAAAGCTTTGTTGAGGTTGGTGATGTAGGTCTGGTGGTGCTTCTGGTGGTGCAGCTCCATGATCTGCTTGGAGATGCTGGGCTCCAAAGCCTATATCAGTTCCATGGAAGTTAGCAGGGAATACGCTGCTTGCTTAAGGAGAACAGCCACAAGTCGAATGGCGCGGGGTGATGCTTACATCATAGGCGTATGGAAGCGGGGGGAGAGAGTAAGTAGCGGGAGGCATTTTGAGTCGTGAGTTGGAAATATCCGTCAAGTTAGATCGAGTTGCTGTGGCTAGTACGAAAAGTATTTGCGGTCGGATAGAAATATGTGAAACTAGAATGAGTTGTTTTTGATGTGTTCAAAATTCTACGTTGTAGGTAAAAGAGGAAGTAAGGGAGCAGGCCGTAGGGCAGGAAGTGACGTGCTCCCCAGGTAGGTATGGGATGGAAGCTTCTTTGATGACAAACACCAGAGAAGGTACCCAACGGACCATCAAGGTCCTTCCTTCCCCGCGCCTTTACCTCATTCACATGTATCTTTTCAAGTACATTCTTAATTGCGGGATACAAGACATTGTGAGACTGTACCTAGAGTATGGGCAATCCAAAAATACCAAACGCTAATAATGAGTGTACCACCATATCCCGGAAGCGGGTCGTAAAACGGCCTCAAAAAGCGCAAACTTGCTCACCTTACGTGTATAGCGGTACTAAGTCACACATTTAACACCATCATCCATGTACCATCATATATAATTTAACGTATGGAACTACATTATGAAGAATAATTAAATACAAGGTTAATAACTTAAATCCAAAGAGAAGGAAATGAGTGGCAATGTGGTTGAACGATTCGAGGTCACTTGGGATGGAATGGAATGGGTAGTACTCAGCGTGTATCAAAGGCATATCGTGGAACCTTGAGGTCCGACCTCCCTCAATCTTATAATACCATTTACTCCTGAACTCTTGGCGAGTCATATTTAACAGATAACTTTGGAATAATGGTTATTTGAAAACTGAATACTTGCACCTTTTGGACTTTCTCTCCTCAATATACTTTTATCTTCACCAACAACGCAACTGCACTAATCTGTAATTCCTCTGATAGCTTCTAAGGTTGGAAACCATCACCATCTCGCTTTGCGGTTCAAGAAAGCCTGTCGCCGGACTCCTCTGTACCTACCACTTAGATATCCATACACTATATGCGGAGAGGATGTGCGGTGACCATACCCGACAGTCCTGTGGCGGCGCCCTTGCCGTACTCAGTCCTCCACTAAGGAGCACCCGCTTTATGCCACCAGACATGACCGGTCGGCTCACTTTCCATGACTGTGGAAAAGGAAGTTCAGTCGCTACTCACGTCACGTTTACGCCGGACGAGAATGGTACAAGCAACAGCGTCGTCGGGTTAGACTCCTGCGTTGTAGCCATTCAGTAAGTCATATATCGAGAAGCAGGTAAACGAATGAAAATGCTAATAACATCCTACTCAACAGCCAGACGGGTGATTTAACCAAGTCCGCCATTATCAGTCCATTCCTATACAAGTTCAGCATGACACAAGGCCTCCCGACACAACAAGATGATCGACAAGAAGGTTCGATAGAAGTGCCTCTTAGCCATCCGATGAAGATCGAGGTCGGTGGTGATGGAATTATAGGTCGAAGGGTCACTTTGTGGTCTCAACACGCCGCGGATCCCATCGCCGAAGGGATTATAGGATACAATTGAGTCGGCCGACATGAAGGAAATACATAATAATGACCAACTCCGGAAATACGAGCATCTGTATTCATCCATTATCAGCAGGACTGGGATCATGTTTTTGAGAAGAGGACAAGCGGGCGTTCAGGCTGTGTCAAATTTGGTCATGGAGGCGCGGATCGGCTCGTATCGCATATTCGAGCCTCCCTGGAGCCCTACCATTCCTATGTCTCTAACAGGGACGGATTAATGTATTGCATACCCCATACAGAAATGGGATCTTACAGAGTTGAATTCTTACACATACATTCCTATTACGCTTCTTGGGACGATAACATAGGTGTCGTGATTTTAGGATTTATGGGGAAGCAATGTCAGGAATTATTGTAGGTAAGCAAGTCATCAGCTGCGGGTGACATTCAATGCGAATCATTCATCTAAATGGGTGTAATAGGTAAATCATACCGTCAAGAATTTGGGAAATCGGAGTTTATGGAGGATCTTGCGCCAGTAATCAAAATATTGGTTGCCCGAGTCGTCGATCACCATGTGTATCTGACTCAGTCAGTCAGTCAGCTCCGACAGCTCTAGGTTCTGCTATTGATTAATAAGAACGCGACGTCGATATTCCGAATCATCATCCAGAGTAAGTTATGATAGTAATTGAAGAAGCCTAGAGATTCTAATTCGTGAGTAGGTAGGTAGAAAGTGTTTAGAATGAGAACTTGGACGTTTTCAATCTTGTCTCAAACAGCATTTTTACTGCCCATAAAATGTTACAAATTTAGCTTCCGAAAAGGCTCGTTGCCGCAATGGATAGCCTAACGATTCCCGTCATGGTCGATGAAATTCGGTTTCGCCGCGCGGCGTTGATTGGCTGAGAAACGCCTCATCGACAGGCTCAGTGACTGGCTTCAGCCAGGTGGCACGGCAAGAATAGATTCCGGGGGGGTTATGTGGAATCGACTCGATAGCTTGCTTGGCGCGATGGCTGTTGGAGATTCGCCCACCAAGATAGTGAAGCGATCTTAGCGAGGACCGCTGATTGGTTCGCTCGTTCCCGAGCTACCAGCCCCTTGGCTCGCGTAGCTCTAAATCTGTTGGTTCTACCTTGTTTCGTTCTTGAAAAAGTACAGAAAACACATTTTCGACGGTATTGTCGCTTCATTGCAACGAAGTTCGAGCGAATACAGGTATCATCGAGACGGACATTAAATTCCCAATGCCATGAATGAAATATAGGGCTACTTTGATATCGATTAAACTGCAAAGTAACCTTTCGAGTCCTCAAATATCTCATTGTCAAACTCAAACAGATCCTGCAAGCCTCCGAAATGATGTATCACCTATAACCAGAGAGTCGATTGGGGGCCAAAAATATGATACCTCGCGATATTTTGCTCTCAATGGCAACTCAAACCGCATCGCCTATCAGAATAATGCAATGCTACTTAGAAGAGGCGCTAAGTTCTATAATTTTCATCAAACCCCAGGGGCCTCCGCTGGTTATGTAGATAAAGCATACAGACGCGGTCAGCAAAGCTGGGGCAGAGTTAAAGAGATGTCAAGAAGGGAATAGTCGAACAGCTGGTATACCAATAAGGCTGCCGCACCCTGCAGCAGACAGGGGTTCAGACCACGGTATCATAGCATCGGTAGTGGAGTGGGCATGTATGTGAGTCCTTCAGGGCTGCATGTCAGAAAAAATAGCTGCTCTTTGCTTATGTCGGTATGCTTCGAGAAGAAATCGTATGTATGTTGGTAAGGTCTGACGCACCTTTTCCTTTTCTCTTCCCTTTGCCGTCTATTGCAAATATAGACGCATAAACTTCACCTTCGTACTCTCGTTTACTATTCCCATCTTCCTCTTCTCCGGATACCCCCAGAATGAGAGGAGAACCCCGTAGTTGAGCGCAATTCCAGACCGAGCGATGTCGTACCAATTACGCCCGCCACAACCGTCGCCGTCGCAGCAAGAGGCGGGATACGATACGTACGGCAGCTCGAACTCGTACGGCCAGAACCCAGAATATGGCTTCAGTTATAGCCAACATGCCTATACCCAAGGCCAAATTCACGCCCAGCCACCACGACAGCAGCAATACCAGCCGGATATGACACACGCTCAATCGCAACCACCATCACCCCTCCCAGCCCCGCCCGCGACGATACATTACCCCCAGGACGGCATTGCGCGAACGCAAACCTGGATCGTAAACCAGCCTCCCGTACTACCTCCCCCGCCACCGGCCAAGACGCCGTTTAGCGAGTGGGCCGGGCACACGGACAGTACCTTTGACCGGCGAACGCTGTACTCGCCCTCAATGCCTCCGCGACCGCGGAAAGAGGAGCCGAGGATTTACGGCATTAAGCGGAATACTTTTTTCATCGTCGTCGCTATCAGCGCGTTTCTGCTGGTCGTCGCGGCGGCCGTCGGGTTGGGGGTTGGCTTGGGCACGAGGAGGGATGTGGGCTTGTCTGCTGGTTCGGCGGCGGCGAATGGAGGGTAAGTTTCAGTCTTCTTCTTTCAATTGGTTGTTTTTCTTTGATTTTCGCATTTTCTCTACGTCTTCAAGCATATTGAGCGCTCTTTCGGAGCTGTGGTTTATTCGTAAGCCCACGGTATTTTCTTTCCCAGCTTGGTTGCGGTCTCGAATGCTTAGGTCATGGCCTCTTCGGCAGCTGCATGGTAAGATGGGTCATGAGATGGGACTAAAAGTCGCACGGAGCTCACGTCAGCTTAAGTGTCTTCTTTCCAATATGGAATAGCTTCTTCAAGACAAAAGCTTATTATTTAATGCGGCCTCCAACGCATGCATAGTCGAGGTAGACGAGAAACTAGTAGCTAACAAGTCACACAGCGCGGCGGGTTCTTCACCCACATCTACGATACCAACGTCAACGACAACAACGACGACGAGAACATCCCCTACGCCCATCTTTACGGGGGCCTCGGTGCCAGGACCCGTGTTCTGCCCGCAGAACAACAACACGGTGTACATCGCGCAGGGGAGCTCCAAACCTTTCAACATCCAGTGCGGCCGCGATTACAGCTCGCAGAACGGTGCCCTCGACATCGTCCACATACAGAAGCCCACCATGTCCTCGTGTATCGACGCCTGCGGGAAACGCGACGACTGCGTCGGCGTTGGTTGGGGCACCTACCAGAGCAGTCCCCAGTGCTGGATGAAGAGCAAGCTCGGTGAACCCAATTGGAGCCCCTTGTGGTATTTTGCACAGCTACAGCATATGCCTAATAATGCCACGGCGTAGGGCTACTATGCATGACATTCTGGGATCTCTAGCATGAGTTAAAAAGGGTCGGTTAGGGTGGACCTAGCGAGTGAGTTTTTTTGGAATTATGCGAGGCGTTTGGCGTTGAGATCACCCACGATCTCATTATCATTATCGATCTGCCTGCCTGTCAGGTACATACATCTAGAGCGAGGATGCCACGATATAATCGTGAGAGGGAGGTAGCTGGGCTAGTTATCCCGATGATTTGACGGCCGAGAGATACCATCTAGATATACCCCTCTAGCATATAATTCAATAATTTGAATAAAGCTTTGCTTGATGTTTATATTTGTGATATGTAATGACTTCTGTGGTAAGGCATAAAAAGTAGCAAGTAATAGTGAGGACCCGAGGAAGCTTTCAGTGCAGCATCGCTCTATTTTGGGGCTCCCAAGTTCATTTATAACGACTGAAGTATCTAGAGAGCCAGACCTGGAGGTGGCTAGATCTTATCCCTGAGATTTTATATTTTTTCATGTGAACACCACTTTGATTCTCACCTACCGTCATACCTCATCGGCACTATACCTTTATAACTTACCTAGATTCTTGGATTTTCCTTGGTCGGGACTATCTCAGAAGCCGATCAAGCCACGGCACATTTACTGTAAATGAGACACCGCTCTCTTATCTCGATCGGACATAGCTAACGAAATAACAATTTTAATAATATTAACCTGAATAGTAAGTATGAAGACGCCGAATATGAGAGTGGGTTGAAGTAGTCGCCGTTTACGCAAGGAGGATGTCCACTCGGTGAAGGCTTAGCGGCCTGGCTAACTTTTCGGCGATTCTTTAGATCGTGTCGGATTCGTTCCGCATGTCGTAACTCGTCGTGCGGAATAGATAGTTCGCGATTTTGACGCTTGTTTCTCGACGGTGCTCAGATTTCATTTTATCAGCGGCGATGTCCTCGGGGATGTCAGCCTCTTATTCTTATTTGACGGCATGAACCAAGCCTTCATGATAATGCACGCTTATGATGACCGTGTAGAGAAAGGTCGCCGTTTCATCGTGTTCGTGTTCGAATATATTTTCATCAGCGGTGTTTCTGTCTGCGAGCACGAGGCGTTGCTGTGAGACCTCACCGAAATTGTCGGCTTTTTGTAAGAGCGGTGAGCTCGGCGACCTGACGAAACATCGGCGTCCAGCTATATTATAGTTAATGCATTAACATCAACAATCGCCAAGATGGTTATCGGCATCATTAAACAAAAATTAAAACGTAAAATTTAAGCACAATGATGTTGGTTTAGAAAATAATAGTAGAAGGGGAGAAGACGATCTACATCATACATCAACGGCTTTGGTAATCGGATCCCAACCTTCGGAAGGGCAGTTCCTTCGGCGACCTCCTCACCCTAACACTTCAAGTCGCCGGACCCATCGGCAACCCTTCGGTGTCCACTTTCTCTACTAACACAAACCGGGCACCAAAAGAGCCTGATTCCATGGATGAGGTGCCCGCTCTATAGGTGGCAAATGGTAAAGCAATTTCTTAATTAAAACGAACAATAATACATTCAAATTGGCCGATTTTTGTCGGCGATCTTCAGTACGACCCCGCTCCCATCGCCGTTTTAAAGTCTCATGGACCCCCTATAGCCGGCGAACTAGTGGGGTTTTGTCTCTGCCGAATAGTATAAACCTGCGAAGCGTACAGCTATAGTAATACTAGCAAACAACTGCCTTGTGGTCACTCGGCGTACATGATAATATCAACATACTCGAATCAAAACCAAATCCTTCAATATTAATAAGAGTCATCAGAAACATACCTATCCACAGAATCCGGCGTCCATAACAAGGCAGGAAAAGAAGTGATCGCCGTACACGATATATCGTACCACGCATATTAATAATGTACCTAAATGTAGCATTATCACCATCACTAATCATGGGACGGTAGCAGCAGCATGAGCCAAAAGCGTCGGCGACGTGCCATCCCATAGGCCCACCAACAAACTGCCCTAACAGGTTACCATCACGCCTCGAAGGAGGATCCTTCCACTGGGACGGCGATCTTGGTTCGGGGCCAAGTTTAGAACTTGGGCGAAACTCCGCCACTTAAGCCCCCAACCGTCCTATCGGGACCTGCTGTACCGCTGTGTAGAACCTGTGCGAGAGACGTATGTATGTACATATGTATGTAGGCAAGCAAACAAGCAGAGCCCTCAGACTTTGTAGGTAGCTAGCAAAGAAAGCTGAGAAGAAGGGGAACCGGCGACTCGCGATCTACAACAGTCGAACTGATCGGCTGGAATGACAGGTAAAGGCATAGCTGGGCATATGTATATCCGCAATAGTCGGGATCGACTAACGCACGTACGATCCATACAGAGGAAAGTGAACGGCGACCTGAAATTGAGCTCCGCCCCCTCCACGCGCGCGCCCCCCAACAGGAAGCAGGTCAGGCACGGACTCGTACATACATACCTACCTAGCTTATAACCAAACACACATACGCACACGCACTCGTACTAGGTATGTATGTACGTATGTACTATGTATAACAACTACCATATATGTATGAAATCCACCCCTACCACCCCGTACCCATTAGCACATAGAGCAGCTCCGCCATCTCACCCAACGCTAGCAAGAAAGGCGGGCTAAGGAAAATAAAAAACCGTGCTACGTCTGCAATAGCACGGCTGATAGGCGCTGGGATAGGAAAGCGAGGATCCGACAGAGTGGAAACTACGTGTTTATCACCTACCTTTCTACCATATTATGTTATGAACAGAGAAAAAAAGAGCGAACGAGGAGGGGGGGTGGTACAGTACTTAATTACACGAAAGGAAGGAGGGTGTTCCAGAAAAAAAAACAGTTCTTATGTCGTGCTGCTTAAATATAAACAAATGCCCGTCCCGCAACAACGATTACTGCTACTACTACATGGCATGGCATGGCATAACATAACATAACATACCTAGGTTATTCTCCTAGGAACCTACCTAAGGTATTGCTAGACGACGACGTAACACGCAGCGAAGTCGGGAGGACTCTTGTGGAGGGGAGAGAAAAAGAAGCCAAAAAAAGGAGAGAATTTGCTCGTAAGTACATCTATATCCAAGTTTGATCATTATTATAAAAAAAGATTTAAAAAAAAGTCCGATCTTCGTCAAGTTACTTCTCTCTGTCTTTTTTTCTCGGTCTGTTATTTTGCCCGCCTACTAAAAAGAATAAAAAATGTAACCCGTTTCCCAAGCCACTACTTGTCGCCAAGGCGCCCGTACCTTCTTCGAGAACCCTGAATGAACTATCCTGACCTTATAGCTCTCGCACCACATCCCCCCCCTCCCCCCTAATAATGATAATAAGATATCAAGGTCCCCTCTTATTAAGATTTCATCCCAAAACTCCGAGCTAAAGAGAAGGAAGATAACGACGACAACCATGGTTTGACTACGTCATCGGCGAAACGGACCTCCGTTCGACCACCCGACCTGGGATCGCTTGTGGTATGGGCAGAGCAGCTGATCATGCCATCATGCACCTCAGGATGGTGGCGCACTCGTGAGCATGGTGTTGATCTCCGACATGATGCCCTCGTCGGCGGCCATGCTGCTGATGATCTCCTCCTGCGTGAACCCGACCCAGAACGAAGGGTTGTTCTGCTGTGCTCTCTTGGCGCGGTAGATTTCCTGCGCGACCCCCTTGACCTGTCCCGAAGCGGTGCTGGCAGCCTTCCACACGTTGCTCAGCTTGTTGAGAGCCCCGATGTTTAGTCGGATCTGCTGCCGAAGGTCGTCTTCGTCTTGGATGAAGAACTCGAGGGCCCACTTGCTTAGATGGACGATCGACGATAATGTCAGGACGCACGTGAAGAAGTGCGTGTGGCTGGTGATGGGCACGTTGTATGTCACCATCTTGCTGATCTCACACGCTGCCGTGATGATGTGTCTCGTGTGGATGTTGAAATTGTTACCGCTTTGGACTGCCCGGTGCGGAGCACAGGCTGTTACCTCGCGCGCCGGAGATGAGTCTAACTGCGAAAGAGGTTGATGCAGGATGATCGAGCAACTAAATGGCGCTTACTGTCAATTTAAAGAAGCTGCGAATCTACGTGAGAGCAAACTTACGCGTGATTGATCATGTGTGCCTGGAACATCATCTCGTCTAGCTGACAGTGCTTGTTCAAGCTATCTTTCTTGGATGCCGGCAGATGCATCCTCCAGTTCGATAGCAGCGATTCGATTCGACTTACGTTTTCCTCGTTCGGGAAGCCACCATTTGGCAATCGCATCATACGCCCCAAGTTCCTTATGGAAGCAACGCGGTAGGCGAACGAGGAAAATTCGCGTTCCTCTCCCGAGAAGATCTGATCATCAAAATCTTCCAGATACATAGGGCGTGGGATTGTCTGTTGAATTTTGTCAATTATCAAATGGGTAAAAAAACAAGCGCTGGTGCTTATCCAAGTGGAAACCTACCCCTGCTGAATATTCGTGTTCTTCGCATGGAAGACCAACGTCGGCCACAATATCGAAAAGGAGGAAATTTGACTGCCGATGCACACCAGCAACCATTCCATCGACGACAAATAAATCCCACCACGTCCGTCGCCAACTCTCTTCGACCCTAGGGACGCCGCCTCCGTGCAAGGTGGCAAAAGATCTTGTATAGAGGCCAATCTCTATGGCGATCCGCTCAACGTCCGATAGGATCTCTCGTGCTTTCTCCTGTTGGCAACTGCCATCGAGTCCTATTAATACGATGACCATAGCCTGGACCAAGTATCCATCCTTGACGACGTCCTGGGAATAGATCGAGCGCATAGCCTCGTCGAAGAAAGTAGCGCGAGAAGGACCAGCATCGATATACAAAGATCCAACCCATCTCATCGCTGCAAGTAGGTGGTCGATATCTCTCTCTTTCGATAGTTTGAGCAAATGGTCCTTAGGTAAAACTGCTGGGTGACCGGGGTAGAAATAGTAGTAAAACGAGTCGATACAGCGTTCTGGGACCGTTTGTTGAGGTCGCTGATTAGCCTCGACCAAAGCGCCGTTAGTGCCATTAAGGTAAGGTTGCCTGTAAAGTTGAAGGCCGTTTATGCTAGGAGGCGCGAAAGGGGTGCCTGGAGAGTCCGGGACTACCATAGTCGGATTAAAGGCCGCGAGGCTCGACGGCGCGACCGTCGAAACGGCTGCGCCTAACAGCATTGGACAGCTATCACCGTTGGGGGACGGCGAGTCGTCTGATGCATGCCGCTTGTTCGGATTTTGAGCCGCATTCCTTCTTGGACCTTTGTATCCCCGGCGAGAAGCCACGTAGATACATTCAGAATCAGATGTTAGACATCGTGAACAAGGGTTTCTTCCATCACATTTTAGATGTTTTCCCCTCTGTTTTACATAGAAAGAGATCTAGTCAGCAAAATATTTACGATATGAATTATTTTTTATCTATTAAGACTCACACAGGCGAGGCAAGCTGCTTGCACAGTGATCGGAGGCGACCGCGAATCTCCAGCCCCCGCGGCAGAGGGGACCGGCGTTGAGTGGGGTTGCTGGCTGAGGATTTCTGAGCCAAGACCATTAAATAACTCGGGTGGAGAGCCGTTCGACAACGAAGGCGCAACACTGGTCGGATGCGTGTAAGAATCCATCGTCAAATATTGTCTTATTTGATAAAGAACAAACGGTGGGGGTTAGAGGATGAGCGACGGCGACTTTGGCCGTTGAGCTGTTTTCCAAAGTAAAGTCCTAGATTGAAATAAGGTGGGTAGGAGATTCGCAGGGAAGGCATCGAAAGGTCGATTGGCGACGGTAGCTATTGGATCTGAGTGGCTAGTACTGCCACGGTCCGGGGAACACGCTTGATGGCTGCTTCTATCCCGGTTTTCTCTCTACTATCGGCGCCCCTCTTAAGACGCTAGGCTCTAGAACCAGACTCTTTGCTCGGAATATACCTTATGTACTGAGAGATGTACTGAAAACCGGAAACTGGAGACTAGAAATTGAAATACTAATAGAAAGGCGGATCAAAGTTCGGTAGGTATCGGCGAGTTAGGCCGTAAAATCGTGAAATGTGAAATGATAAGAACAACAAATTTACTATCATCAATTTGCAGGGCTCATTAAAAAAACTCTTCCTCAAGTTTCGAGACCCCCAAGATCACGAAAACCGGGAGTTATGCGTATAAAGAAGGTCCGAGATGGAAATTCCGGTAACAGCGGCTTTGAAGAAGAATTCGGGAGTTGGTTAGTGTTAGTAATAAGTCGTAGCCCTTGAATGTGCTGGATGTGTACGACAATAGGTAACGAAACTACACCATCCAACTGGTACAGTATGTACAGTATCTAATCAGGGGCGGCGAAAATAGACAGGGGTGTGCTGGAGTAATAGTTGTCGTGATGGTCGAAAGGTTTTTTTCGATCTTTTTTTTTCTTCAGCGCTCTTTCGGTTCCCTTCCTTTGGTGAGGAGAGATTGGATTGGCGAATTATTTTTTTCGGGCGAATAGATTAGCAGAACTGGTAGAAGCTAACTAACGTTCTTCGTTCGAGGTGAGGGGTCGAGAATTTCGTGATAGCCAAACGCCAGTCCAACCCCATTCTATGCCGGACCGTGCAGGCAAATCAGGGGATGGGAAGATAGATACCTACCTAGAACTGCTAGTACTACTAGGTAGACGGTAACATTTGTAATAAACCAGGAAATATTCTGGATAGGAGACAGGGATAACGAAATAGCACCCGCTCGCTACGGTGTGCTAGGTAGTGTGCTGGGTACCTATGCTGGGTATGCTGGATCTTCTGGGTATGATGGGTACGTTGGTCTAGTTGGTGTGTGTATGTATGGGATGGGTGTCTTGAGTACCAGCCGAATTTCAGCTCTTTGAATCCTGTAATAATTGCGTGCTGCGTCCCTGTCTTCAGCAGCTCAGCTCCGTTCGATGTACCGTCCAATGTAGTAGACTTAGCGTTATTAGCACTTGTCTAATTCATTGCTTTTAATCTATCTTTGTTGACGGCGATGATGTTGGACTGGCCCTTGATAGGCGAATCCCCACGAAGATCCACTAAGAAAACTACCCAGAGTAGGGCTGTTCCTAGCAAATGGATCTTTTTATTTACCGTTTAGCATAACTGTACTTCGTTGTACATGTTTTTGTGCCTGTATCTATGCTATACATACCTTTGCGCTATATGTATTGTATAGCCGTTACTCGGTAACGTTTTGGTTGTCTTCTTCTTTATGCGCCCAATGAATGATTGTCGCGTACTTCGTAAGAGATACGGGCATCGAAGTATTCGGATGGCCGGGACCAGAAGTTCATTACTCCACGTTCCCACGTTTCCACGTTGGCTAACTAACAGGTACCTAGCCCTGCCAATTATTAAGCAGGGAGGTCTGTATGCTGTACGCCGTATGGGGACACGCTTGCTCGATTCGCAGTCCGACCACACCGCAATCATCATCGCCTACCATTCAAAAGTCCCCAACGACACAGGGCTCGGAACTTTGTGCGCAGGTTTTGAGTGGACTGTCACGGCTTTTCACGGAATGATCTTTTCATCTGCCACCGAATAATAATGCAGAGTATCCGACCTGACAGCCTGATAAGTGTCCTCCAAATACAAATGTTGAATTGGTTGGTAGCAACTTGGGAAAGGTGAAAATGACTTGTCATAATAGCCCTGTGTTATGTTGATCGGTTTAATGTTAGAGGGTCTTGTAAGTGGTGGGAGGAGTGAAAATTAAGGTGTGCTAAGGGTGTCCCTGGAATGTGGGGTAAGATTCGTAAATACCTAGTACTTTCCAGGGCTATGAGGTACCTAGGAAGTCACCAACTGGCAATATTTGCTACTCAATACCTCCTGCCAGCTGGCGTTCCATCCCTCATTCAACTATTCAAATATCCGGCTCTCCCCGTATCTCGGGTCCCAATCCTGCGGGTAATGACATGCAGAAATACATAGGTACCTGTCCCAATCTTCATCGCCGTCTTCAAGGTTCTATTTCGTTGTGTACTAGGTACTTTGTACTCTTTCTCTTTTCTGATCATTTCCAAGTTCTATCTCGGATTCATTAATTCATGGAGTTGACGTTGACACCCGAATTTCATTCTGTCTCATCTTATCTGATAACATCGATCTCTAGACCCCGGTTACTGCTATGCAAATCTTATAGCATTCTACCATTTCAGTGTTCTGTATACTACGTCAAAATGAGTTGGTATTACTACCTTTCGCCTCATCTTTCCCCAGTTGTTATCCACCTACGCAATAGATATGCTCTCAACTCCGGCAAAACCTACTCCATTCTTCTAGGACCTCGTATACAGCTAAATGATAATTACAGGGAACGAACCTTTTATAATGAATGCATAAGCCAAGTAGGTGAGTGCTTGATACCTACTTGGAATACCAGTATGACGAAACTATCTCAACCACGCTGACGAGTCCTGCGAGTCTTAGATCCTCGTGACACATTATGGGGAAGATTTCGACAGCGTGGCGTAGAATTGTAACCCATTAATATCTTCTCGGCTAAGCAAACCCGATCTTCCATGGATCTTCCCTCATCATCACGACCGATCCAGGTCAAATCGTCTTGATCGAGACATGTCGATTCCCCTATTTGAAACTGCGAAAACTTGCAACGCGAAATGCTCAATGGGATATTGAATCAAAACAAAATGTGGATCGATAAAGTCTGTTTCAAGATGTAAAGGGAACGCTACTAATATGCGCCGTCTCAAAAGAAGGTCAATTTTGATCAGGTGGAAGTTTTATCGAACTCCAAATTCTTAAAACAATCTTAGTGTGGTGGTTATTTTTACTTAAGACATACCGCAGATCTTTACACCATCGTAATAACATGAACTCGGTCTTTCTTGTTACGCTTCTTAGCAATTGGACCATAAACATACGAGACAAAACCCGAATATCATATCAAGTGACAGACATCAGTTGTAACTTGCAGTTTCATTTATATTAGTTGTCACCAATGCATCTTATCCCTCTTCCATCTTAGATTTCCCCGATACTGTCACGGGAGTCACGGGATAGTGGAACTCTGTTCAGTGACTTCTTCTCGGCGGCCGTCCAACCTCATCCGTGGATGATTGCGCCCGATTCTTATGCGGTTTAGTCATGTGCTCCGACCGACTAGTCGTCTTAGAAAACGTGAGAATCTGTGTCAGAGTCTATTTCCGAAACTGGGGATCCGTTGTTACTAATAATAAGCGCTGTCATATGATATTTTAACTAAGCCCCCAGGTAGATATCATGATCGCTACCGCAAGAATCATGTATAGCCGGACCACAAAGGGGAAGAAATCCATCAGCCGAGAGGAGTATTCATTGATACGGACACAGTAATTACCATACATACTAGATACCTAGACAGGTGGCCACCGTATACACCCGTCTATAACAGCTATAGTCAGTTCAACCAGCCCAAGTCCCTATATTCCAGCCTAGCTAGGTACATGCCATAACCATCCTGACCATCCATCCATCCATTTCAAGTAAAAAGAAGAACCCGTGGGAGATGCCGCGCCGTGCCATATCCGTGATCATGCCTTGCGTTATATCGTATCAGTCTACAATACTCGAGCTCGTACATACAACCCATCCGCCCTATCCGTCCAAAATCCTACCGTACCAAACCGAATCCAGCCTTGTCAGGTACCTAATCCATTACCTCAATCGAAACAAACGCCAACCTCCTCTTCTCCTCACCACACCTTTTCGCAATCGTAAGCGGAGACCTAAGCCCGTGGCCCTCGCCCTCGCTATCAGAGCCCGTACTAACCGAAGCCACGGACCCAGTCAATGAGCCCGCCACGCCACTCGTCTCGCTCCCGCGATCGCTCCCGACGTCGTCTTCGCGCTCGTGCGCCGGGACGTCTGGAGCAACTGGGTGTTTTCCCTCCCCCAACGGCTCACCCATCTCCTTCTGCGATAACATCTGATTCCTCTCCTCTTCTTCGTCATCTTCACCTTTGCCCGTCTCCCACATATGCATTAGCAGCCTATCCTTCTCCTCGCTCCTAACCGTAGCGTCGAATTCGAAAGGCACCGGCTTAGCGATAAGTAGCGGCGTATAGTCGTTCCAATGAACAGGGACTTCGGAGCCGTCCGCGCGCCTCTTCTTTCGGATGTTGAAGGCCCAGGCCATTCCGCCCATCGTTAGGAATAGGTCCTGGTCCACGATCGGGATACCCTGGCACGTGCGGCGGCCGAAGCCAAACTGGCTGAACCCGTTAAGGTTCGGATGCACCGTCAGGGGCTCCTTGTATGTCGGAAACCGGGGATCTATCCACCGCCCGGGGTTGAAAGCGTCCGCGTCCGGGTACATGGACTCATCACGGGTGATCGCCCTGTGAAATGGTTAGGTCAGGATGACGGTTTGATTAGACTTGGTAGACCTACCATTCTAGTGCATGGACTGTGGCACCCGCGGGGATGAAATATCCGTTGTATACATCGTCTTGCTCGATTGCGTGAGGAATTCCTTCTCGGCGAATTAGTTATAAGTGTGACCAGCTGAGAATGAGGCTTATGTCTCAGTTATGAAAATTCTGAAATCCTGTTCCTTCTTGGGTAACTTACCGGTCGGTACCGGCGGGCGCCACCGGATCGTCTCCTTGACTACAGCTCGGAGTAACGGCAACTTTTCTCGGTCTTCCCACTCTGGACATCTCCCCTCGCACACTGTGTCGATTTCTTCTTGGAGTTTTCTCTGCCAATCAGGAAAATGTAGCATAGCGAGAATAAAACTTTGGATCGGGCTCCCTATTGTCAAGGCCCCGGCAATAGCCATCTGACCAACAACATATGTCGCCTCCGCCTCGTTCCCCCATTTATCGCCGTCTTTTTGAGTGCTCAAACTATCGATAAAGGTGCGCACAAAACTGGGCTCGGCATTCCCCTCATCAAGGCGGTCATGCACGTACTGCACGTTGCCTTTTAAAAGCCCCGCTTCGAGTTCATGTCGAGCGTTCTCCTTTTGCTTCCACGGGCTTAAGAAGGTTGGCACGTGCATGAGCCAAGAAATAACGTTAGGGAGAGCCCCTGAAGGCGAGATAGTCTCGAGGAGTCCGAAGGTGGTCACTCGTAAAAGCTGAGCGGGGTGAGGACTACCCCAAGAGAGACGAGACACCGTACGCGATGTGAATTGCTCGACGTATTCTCGATATTGTGAAGGATCTTGCGACAGAAGGTATAAGAAGCGGTCCCGCTCCTTGGCTGGATAGTCGTGTAACAGCGATTTAGCCGATGTAGCCATTAATTGTTGACAGAGCTTCCGTTGACGTTTCCATGTATCTGTAGTAGTTCTCATTAGCGAGAAATTACCCCTAAATCTCGTATTCTCGCTTACCATTTCGTCCCGACAGAGCGAGGTAGTTCCCGCTCGTTCGGTTGTCTGGAAGATTTGGTATCAACGGCCGGTCCGAATAGTTAGCTGCTCGACGAGATAGAAGGTCATTGGCGATCCGTTCCGACGATATCCAGACATGGACCGTGCCAAACATTTCCGTCTTATATATCGGCCCATATTCTTTGCTCCATTCGTGGAACTTCAGCCATGTTGACTCTGCGGGTACATCATGCACGCGGCCGATTAGGGGTAAGGCTACGACTTGTTAGAGAATATTCCTCTTGAATGCGATAGCTAGTAGAAGCTAGGAGAGAGGCAGTAAGGAGCCATCAGAATACTAACACCTAGGACCAGGTAATGGTCGAGCACCTGGTGGTATCCTACGTCTTTCGCGTATCCAGCTCGTCAAATAGAGCGCGCATGACAACAGGAAGGAAAAGATAAACCAAGAAGCGACTGCCATTGCTGTCGCCGTGAGGTGAACTGGACCCAGGGCGGTAGATCAATAATTATAAAGCCAAGAGACTTTGAAGCTTAAGAATTAGACCGAAGGATGGTTGTCCTCCCTTGTGGCCCTTATAAGACAACAGACTTCGATGCCCATCCGGGCGGTCCATTCGAACGTTTAATGATACTGTAGCTTAAGGGAGACCACATCCCTACCAGGTGGGGCCATGGCCCCCATTGCATATGTATATGATCTGATCAAAACGGTGATCACCATTGGGCGCGTCCTGCAATCCATTCCGGAGGAGTGGCTTGGAATGTCTTGATTTAGCATGTCTCACGATGCAGAGTCCGACACCTCTAGCGAGCCAAGCTTGTAGGCACATGAATAGAATATAGCTTCGGTCTTCGAAGCAAAAGGATGTCTGACGAGCATGGTCATCTGAGATAAGATTCACGAATCCTAGATCCAACCGAACTAACCATGTCGGAACTACCGACCCAATCCAAGCCGTGCTTACTATCAACAGTTGCACTTTTAAGACGAGAGTGCAAAAAGTTTTTTGTCCCATACTGGATACATGGGAGGGTTACAATACCTTAAGTCGAAACCTATAAGGTTAAAACGTCAAGGTGGAGGGGCGTCACATCAATAAAAAATCCTAATGGCACCTTACTGCGTCTCTAGCCTCATTATCTTACTCCGCGGGACCGGATAATAATTCCTGCGCCATAATAAGTTGAACCTGCCTTGCTTACGAGGGATGGGGCATCACCAGGTATGGCCTCGCTAGGGTTGACACGTGTAGATCCCCAGAGACCGGCCTGATAGCGTTTCATTCCCCAAGAACGAAATAAGACTCAGCTAACGCGACGAGCTGCAGGTGGTGTGGATAAATGTGGACGAGCCTGGGTTAATCCCTTGTCGTCGAACACCGTCTAGAACTCCAGTACCGAGATTTGTTTCATAAATGGTTATTTCGATAGGGCTAATGTTACGATAGATGTGGCGTGAGGCGAAGTAGTCAAGTATGCGACATGGTGTGAGATCAGCTAAAGCCGACGAGTGCAGCTCGTGTAGCCAATAGGAATCGTCGAGCCTAATCGTGACGTGATGTTGTCGACTGCATAATTTAGGCCGCTGTGGCGTTCAAACGGTATAACCAAACAGCCGAGAGGTGAGTGATAGACCGCGGCACTGCACTGAAGAAAAGCCAACAACGCCACAACCGATATCTTTGTCCAAACCGTCTTCGAACCATCGCCGCTGCTGCCTTGGCTACACGAAAACCCGCATGGCTGCATGAATCGGCGAATGAGATTCGTTAGTTCCGGCGAAGGACGGGAATTCCCCAAGCTCAGATTGGTGAGTAGACCACTTGGATCTGCAGGGCACGCGAGGCTGGAAGTAAGGGAAGCCCCACACCATACCAAACCCCTGGGACGATTTTAGCAAGTGAGCTAATGAGTTTTCGACGCTATTTTCTATCAGGGAGGATTTGGACACGGCTAGATAAGGATCGATTTCTCGAGTCTTTCCTAATCCTTACCTGGACACTCGACACCAGTTCGTGGGGGCAGTATTTTTTCGCGCAACCACTCCTCTTGAAATTGACCTGCCGGAATAGCTCTTTCGAAATTCACGCGTTTTCGGTTGTATCATCGAAATGAATTTGATACTTTGAAACCTCGTAATTGTGTATCAATCGGGGTCAAAGTAGGCTTCCGATTGGCGCTATAGTTCTCTAGGGGACGCCACATTCATGTGAATGTATGTACCTAGGTAGGTAGCTCATTAAACATCGTGTCCATGACTGCAAATATTAGCTTTTAGCCATCCAATAAGAATCGGCTAACTAAAAATGCTCCCATACAACGCCTTGACTTTAGGGCGAGGCTAAACTCCTGGCTTCTAGGAATAAACTTCATCATACCCTTACTTGGGGTTGGCCTGAGATTGATGGGGGACGACCTCAACATACGCTAACTAGGTAGTAAAAATGCCACCTCCTCGTGTTATCGAAGGCGCCAAAGGAGGCGTATTTCGTAGCAAGGCCGCCCTTGCCTGGTAACTAGAGAACGACGGCCGTCTGTTCCTTGGCTAAACTACCTAGTAGGCGCCGTTCGGGTCCGAAGCTCATCAGCAGGTTGTGGGTAGATAGGTAAACTGAGAATTTTCAAGGTTATCACCTTAAAAAGCAAGATCGAAGGGGTGGGGACAAGCTGCCCGAAGGTTATGTTGTGCACTTCGATATGCACCCCAACCAAGGCGCATAGTTACATCAGTTTCCAGCCGGCAGCTGGGCATCGGGATGGACCAGGATTATTTTTTTCACGGTTCCGATCTTCCTAGTAGACTCCGCATAAAATGACTTGTCAATGCGGTTTCTTCAAAGGTAGACATCTTGCCGTGATGAATTGGCAATGGCCTATACCCAATTTCATCATATTTTATGTCCCTTGTCGGTCTGTACTACCGGAGACGATGAAATCCCAAATCAACTCACCGAATGCCACCTGTTCATGATCTGTATCATGACGGCGCAAGGATTCCACGGGTCCGCGGGATCTCCGGCGGCGACTTTGCCATCCTCAACCCGTCGATCTTCTTGAAGAGGAGTTATAACGCGCTACCACGTACGTTCTCCTTCCAATATCAACCACGAGTATGGCATGGTTGGAACCTGGCATCATATTTTACTATTAGAACTGATGCGTATAACGTCAGCCTAAAGTCCGTTTTAATCAATGATGGTACGCGCATCCTCCGAGCAAATGTCGGGCTAACGGGGAAAGATGAAGCTGGTCACTTAGTTACGGCGTATTTGATCACCGCTGACCCTTCAAGTAAAGACATTACATCTTCGAAGTGAGTGGGTACAGAGATGACTTAGTGAGTCGGCTTCACTAACATGCTCCATCAATATCGTAACAAGGGATTCGTGAACCCTCGGAAGTTCGATGTTGGCCAAAGCTCGGCGGGTCTTCCGAATCCAACATTAAAACGTGCGTTGAACTCCATTTACCGGGCTGCCGGGGGAGGATAGATAGTCAGATCATACGTCCCCTACTAGTCGCATCAACCATTCCTTCAAGGCGTCAAGTCCTATGTTCGCCAAGGCCGCAATCTCTGGTAAACGATGCTTCAATCACCACGTCATCTTCAGCATCTTCGGGGAAATATAATTCGGGATTTAATAATGGGATTTTGACTGGCGATAGGTCCGAGAATGGGTGGTAGATTTATCGAGTCTTATTTTTGCCGCCAATTCAGTGATGAGATCTCAGGATCGAGTGGCGTGTTCAAGGTTCAGGTCGAAGTCCTAAACAGGGAGGACCTGAAGCACCATGGAAAGCCACTATCTTCATGACGAATCACGGACGTCATCAACGACGCTTAGTGGTTACTACAATCGCAACCTCGATGTGAGGTACGATGAATAGTGCGTGAGCGAAAGCCACCCGAATCCTTCCCTTTCCCAATATGTCGATTTTTCATGCCGGCACAGCTCTGGCCTAAGTAATCATCACTTCCTTCCGCTACATCTGAATAGGCTGCTGGAAGTCTTACGGACAGGGCTAATGCGGATATCACAGCTGGATATTGTCATGCCAAATGCTGTTGTTATAAGACGCGCGGAGTGAAATGCAGGTTGACATTTCATTCATAATGGCGGTTGGCACTGAAAAAAAAAACATTCGATATCGGATACATTCTAAGGTAAGATAAAAATATAAGCTTAAAAGTAGGTAAGGACTTTGCAGTGAAAATGCAGATTGTTTGCGGTTAGCTAAAAGATGTATATTAATGGAAGCCTCAGCTGCGTTGGGAGTGGGCAAGGTGCTAAGCTGATGAGTCAGATAAGATACAGAAATAGGTTAGTCTCCGCATCAATTATTATCCGACTCCAAGGTGGGTACGTTAGTACGTACTAGGTACGTGGATTTATGACAGGTCATATTTCCCTACTAGGTAGCTTTCAAAAGTCCAGATGTTTCATACTACAAACCAAATCGAACCAAGAAACAATCAGGTCTCCTGTGTAACAGCAAATGGACGTTACGCCTGTTTCAAACTCGTAATGAGCTAGACGTACTAGAAGTATCAGGATCATCTATGACATGACACCCTCTTACTGCAGACACGCGTCAAAAATACTCGGGTAACCGGACTGGCCGATGGGTACCGTAACACATGTACGGACAGCCAGCAACCTTAGTATTGCAGCGCTATCCTCCCGGCTCGGGGGATCCGGGTACTCCAGCCGAGCACTACGAAATACATCGGTCCTTCAGTCCCCCGAAGTTGTCTCATAGCAAGTTTGAATTACATACCCTCAACGTGTTGGGGAATCGGTATCGGTATGCCGTTCTCACCCTACATCCATTGGCCGTAATTTTATATCGTTTACTTCATAGCCTTGCACCTATTAATCAACAGTTTGTATAGTGAATAAGGGCATATCATTTCTTAGCTATAGCTAGAACTTCCCCATCCACCGCCTCAGATGGTAGCCGACGGCCTTATGATTTGCCGAGGCGAAGGATCCGAATACACATTATCAATCTTAGACAGTAAGTAGAATACCAGCCAGCAGTGAAATGAAACATGAGTACCAAAACTACAGCAAATCGCGAGCCTCGGTCGTCATGTTGCAATCGACGTCACTCCTAATATAGACGTTCCTAGCATCTCCCTTAGAAGCAATATTCTTCTACGTGCAAGTAGATTCCCTGGGCACCGGTGCCCTTATGGACAGCGCGCTCGTCGCTCAGCTTAGCCACGCTAGTTCTCACTTTGGCAACTAGGGATTGTCCTCCACAAACGACGACGCCGGTTTCACCTCCCGTGACCTCAACAGCTGCCTTGATAAAGCCAGCTACGTCGGGTCGTGATGTCAAATGATGGATGTGCGAGTCAGAACTTGTGCTTGGGACACGGCTAGGCGATTGGTCCATCAATGGCTGCACGACTCCTGCGATTTCGATATTCGCTGGTGCCTGAGTCTCTCCATCGATGATCTTCTTCTCATGATTCGCCGAGGACGCCGAAGACTCCGGGAAGGATGGAGTAGCCGTCGGTTCGGCTTGTCCTTCGCCAGTCACTGCAATGTGTACGGACAGTTCAACACCCACAGACTTGGCCTCTTCGATAGCATCGTGTAAACGTTCATGGTAGAAACTAATCTCCTCTCCTTGTTTGGCTGCCAACAGGAAATCCACTCGTTTAATACATGACTTGGCCGTGGATTTCAGAACATTCTCCAGGACAGGGAGGGTATAGGATGCGCCCGTCGAAGCGGATATGAAAACCAAGGTTTCGAAGATATCCCATCGAGGTGGGTTACCATACGGGCCTACTACCAATGCTGTCAGAGTCTGCTTCTTTCCGGATGCCTCCAGCTTTCGGGCAAATTTGTTCAAGCGCTTCGAGAAACCCGAGTGAGATCGCACTACCAGTTGAATGCTGTTGCAGATACACGTCTCTGGGACCGGATGGGCTGAGGCAATCGTATATGGGTGCACTTCAAACAATGCCATTCTTGGCAACCACAGGTAGAGGTGCTGTCCCGGGCTCCATTTAAAGTGGACGTCCTTGATAGTAAGCACTGTTATAGACTCGCCTATGGGCGAAAGCTTTGTCAAATGACCAATCCACTGTCCACCCTCACAGCATGTGCGGTTCGGACGCAGTTTGATATTCTGCCAAAATAGGAGTCCCAGACGAAAAGCGCGATCAAAGCAGATCGAGGCAACCGCAAACCATACGTTGTATTTTGCGGAGTCAGGAACGTGACGGTAGACAGCCCATAGGAATACAACGGCGGTTATGACGTGTTGTATGACAAAGAATTCGTACGCCATGGAGCGGAACGGCTTGAAGGACGAGACAACCATCCATAGTAAGACTCCCCAAGCTCCGATTCCATAGCGAACCATTCTCATCATGGATAATTCTATTTCGACCATATCGCCTCTGACCCACTCAGTCCAGAAGAACCAGCCATGGCAGGTGACGGAGACGAACATGGTTCGAGCTACCCATCGATGAAGCCAATTCAGTCTTTCGTAGCTTGTACCAGTAATCAATGCAATGACATTGGCTCTGGAGGCTAGTAAGTAGAGGAGGGGTAATTGAGTAACCGCCACCCAGGCATTGCGATAACCAATCCTCTCAAAGTAGTTGATGTCGTCTATAACGACATCCTTCGCCATCATATAGGCGACGACAGCCCAGTAGATTAAGATGATGAAGATTCGGCCCATGGGGGGCGGCGTCATCCATGACAGGCCTCGGATTGGGATATAGAGCTGCGGATAGCTCATTTCCCTACAGAGGGCCGTCAAGGTTGCCCATGACTGGGTGAATCGGTTGGTTGGCTTGGTAGGGACCTGCACTGAGTGGCTCTTAGATTTGCGTACTCTAAGTGCAAAGGTTAGTCTAATGAAATGAAGACGTCACAGATATGTGCGGTCGATAATAAGGAAGCTTACCTTGACCAGTTTATGGCAAAATTAATGGTTCGGATAACGAGAAACAGTGCAACAGAGGCTGCAATGAAGTACCAGTACCCTTTTGCATATGCACGATTGGTCTTGGGCCAGTCTTCGTCTCCCATGGGCATGTCATCCATGTCCATATCGTCTCTGGCAAAGATCGACATCTTCGCACAATTCCACTTCTGGTTAATTTTAAACGAGAATTTAAGAGAAAATAAACATGAGAACGGAAATACTCTGACAGTAGTCTGCTGACTGTCTACTGTTCGAGATGGAACTTGGAAAATATGGTGTCAATGAAAGGAGAATGGTGGAAAACGTGGGCAGTGTGAGATATGTGAACGTTCTGGATTTTGTGCTGATTGGAACATTAAAAAAATCCACAAGACGTCAATCAGTAATGGCGAATTAAAAAAAGAATGTCCTTGTCAAAAAGACTAGAAATGATAGTTACGCGACTCCTTCACCTATTCAACTCTACCGTCAAGGTGCGAACTGATCTAGGTGAGGGTTGGAAGAAGACGTGATGAATAAGTGGGAAGGATGGTGGGGTTGGATCTGAATCAAATCAGATAGAATGGCTTGGTAAGAATTAAAAATTTGAAGTAAAATGTAGGCTAATGGAATCACTACCAAGTATTAGGTAGGTAGGTAAGTGAACGACCCTCTAGGCGACGGGGCTCTGAGCGAAAGAACGTCTCGGTCTCCAAGGTTTAAGGTTCCCTGCAGGCACCCTTATACTTAGCCTAAGGTGCACCTACCTTAAGATCTGGGGAATGGGTTTAATACGATAGGTATACGTACCTAGGAGTTACATGTATCTCCATGTCCACACGGGTATCTCCTATATGTATACGTGCTGGAAAGAAAACTCACATGCACGTAATTATGAATCACGACATTAATTTTATCGAGGCACCTGCAAACATCATTGGAATATGTTTGCTATCATCATATCTTCTAGTCATACATAATCTAACAAGCGGTCTACCTTAGTAGTACTCGAAAGGGTTCGAAACTGTTTACCTACCTAGTCGCCGCTGTCTCACTGTAGAACAAATCCTGAACGCCTTGTCAGACTGGGTGTAATGCATATCGCATCATATTAGATACGCCTTATCGAAGATTCGAGGTACAAAGGTAACTTCCAGGTGCGATTCTCGTGTTGGAAGTGCCACCCAAATTTCAGGGAAGTGTGATGCTCTATATGCTCTTTATCTGCTCTCCCATGATATATTCTTTACACCTCTAAAGCAGTAGCCATACCAAAATACCCCCACAATTTGCTCAAATAGCCTCAATTGGAAATTGTTAGCCAGAAGAAACAGGTGGGGAAGCACTAGATGACCCGAGACTGCGGGAGCTAGGCGGTAATCCCGGGACTATCCATGTCATTAGTGTGGGGTTAGCCCCCAATGCCCCTGCAAGAACACCCCTAAGAGCCATCTCACCTGCAAGATCAGTTGATGCAAGATGTACTTTACAGGGGACCCCACACCATTTTTTAACGACGATGACGATGTATAAGGACCAATTAAAATAATTCAGAATTGCATGCCTCCCCATTTGTACATTCTGTACATAGAAACCGTTGACGAATGCGAAGGTTCATGATCTAAGAAAAGACTTTTCTTGAATTCGTACGTCTATTATGGGATGAATGAAAGGGACTTGTAACCTGGATTCTCAATCGTCAACAGGTCAGTCAAGGTAATCATGTATGACAAGATCTCGTTATTAGATCCCAGTCTATGAACATTGATACCGCGAACATGTAGGATATACATTGAGAAAGACCTCGAAAATATTGAATGTACATGTATTTTGTACCTAGATAATTATGTATTTTTGTATTTTTGAAGTGTAGGGACGGCCACGTTTTAGGGTAACGGCCGTACATTACGAAGACAGGTACCGATACCAAGTAGGAGCTGCCTAGAACTTTACGTGTGAATAAATCTACGTCGTACCTACATCAACTTCGCCTTCCGTGTGTTATTTCCCAATATTTTCAACCACAACAACAACCCAACTCGTAACTGCAATCTTTCAAGATACGCAGGAATATCGAACGCAAGCAGGTACGTCATATTCATGATATTCAGATAAATAAGCACCATAGCACTTCTTTTTTTTCTCTCGTGATCATATCTCGTCAAATCCAAACTCCACAAACTTCAACATACCTATTCCTGATCATAATTACCTACACAGTATCACAAGGCGTCATTCTCTAATCCTCATTTTTTTCTTGTAACTGACGCAATCCTACTATCAGTCATTCACCAGTTTGTCTTACTCCAAGTTCCATCCATCCACAGGTATTTTTTTGTCTCCACGTTTTTCTCATCTTTCGTCCATATTACCCGACCCCGTTTCCTTCACATTGACCCTAAAATATCAAGCACGATAATTTATTTTTTTTTTAAAAAAAAAACATCCATCACTGACCATCACCTAGACAACCAAAGGAACAATCAATCAGTCACGATGCCTTCCATCGCACCTTACGCGTCGGCAATGCTGCTCCTGGCCGGCGGCATTCAGGCCCACTTCACTGTCCAGCATCCCCCTGCAGTTGGCCCCTTCGTCGACGACGACGAGCCCAAGAAACCGTGCGGCGGTTACCATCCTGACATCGAGAACGTGACCATCACTGATTTCCATGTTGACGGTGATGCCATCGGTACTACTCTTACCCACTCTCAGAGTACCTGGCTTTACCGTGCCACTCTTGACCCCACCGCCGAGAATGGCTGGATCTTGGTCTACCCCATCTTCGACCAGAGTGGTTCCGGTCTCTACTGTCAGCCTCATGTGACCGTCCCCCACGACTTCATTGGCAAGAAGGGCTACATCGGCATGGTTTCACATGCCAAGGACGGTTACCTTTACCAGGTATGTCATGACCAGTGCATGTGATATAAATACGATTTTTGCTATTCATCATCGTACATAACTAACAACGAACTCAACCCCATCTAGTGCGCTGGTGTTAACTTCGTCGCTGGAACCGGCCCTGTGCCGGAAGATTGCCGAAATGCAACTGGTGTCTCCGCGACCTACGCCGATGACGGCACCTTGAGCTCTGACCCCAACAACCCCGGCACCCCTGCCCCGACTCCTAGTCCGTCCTCTCAGCATGAGCACAACGGCGGCGTCTCGACTAAGGGCCAGACATTCATGACTCTTGGTGGTCTGCTCACTGTTGGCGCCATGGTGGCTCTGGGTGCAGTGCTCGTGATCTAAGATCTCGAATACCATGAGTTAGTTATTCGATCGGCATTCGATGAGAATGGCATGTTCTCTTCTACACGATGGACTGGTTCACGCCTTCGACATGACCAAAGACTGAAGATGGCAATGCCGAGAACCTCGAATAGCACTGGATAAGGTCACAGGTTGCAGTTTTCATTAGCAAAATCCTATGGGATAGGTACTTAGATACCCCAGATAGTCATTGCAAATTGCTTTATTGCAATACTTCTTTGCACACAATAAAAGTTTTTCCCTTTTCCCCCCACACCACATGATTCATCTTTGTGTTTGTGATACTCATAGGTTCCCGGTGTGTATTCGCCCTAAGCATCCAAAACTACCCAATAAAACCACTAAGGTATCCGGGTAGGCACTGCCGTGAGACAATCTAGAAATCTTGTGGTAAATCGCACAGGTCTTACTTCAAAGCTAGGCACCAGGCTACGAACCACGGTCTAATACGAGCGGATAAAGGACGTCCCACGAGAGCCGTTGGGGTCTCAGATTTCGGTCCGACGTTGATTGGTGACCATGAAGTAAGCAGATCGTCATAAGAAGCGAGGCTCAAGATACACATAAGTCGTCCCAGACGCCTAGCGCCTGATTAATCGGGAGTAGAATACGGCAGTGAAGGCATGTATGAAGTAGAATGTAGCTTAGGAGTGTCGTGAGTAAAAGGGGGTATCTGTCGTCATTATCGTATCGCCTCATTCCATCCCATCTAGACCTCCATGTGTCCTATCGTGTCATCCGTATTTACCGAGGTGCGTTTATATGTGCATCTTATCCACATCAGCAGCCAACGCCGTACCCTCGTCACGATGACCGTACCGTTGCTCCCGCTTAACAGCCGAGAGCCTCTTCCCAACCTGGGGTCCCCCCGTACTTCCAATGCTTTTCGTCTCGGCACCACTACTCGCCCCGTATACTTCTTGCAGCTGCGGAACTTCATCCTCTCCAGCTGCACCCCAGTCTTCCCCATCCGAAATCTCCACCACATCGTCGGTTTCACGCTCAATCATGCTGACCACCGTCTTCCCTCCTGGAAGCCGCACATCCCTTGCCTCCAACGTCTCTGCGATATCGAGAAGTAGGACTTCCATCGGACATATGTATGCCACTTGCTTCCTCTCACTCCAAGCCAGAACATGTCCGCATAGCCGGCCGTATGGCCGATCGACAATCCACGCGCCCGAGTCGCCGGGAACACCTAAGGGAAGGGTGGAGCGGGGATATATTTTAGGTGGATCCTCTGTGGCTGGGATGCGGTACCCGCGCGAGGTCGAACACCTGCCGCTGATTTGGTAGGTATGGCTGGGAGATGATCGGCCGTAAATCTTAACGGAAGTCAGAGCGGGAAGAATTTGGCCCATCTGGTAAGTGGCGAATGTTTGTTAGCCGATATCATACGTAAGATGAGACATAAAGATTGTAAAAGTTCTAACAGCCGGCCACTTACTTGCAATCCGCTTGTACGTGCGATACATTGGACTTCTAGGCCCGGCAGAGACTTTGCTGGGACTACTTCTGTGGGATTTATGGTCCCCACCGAAGTTGTCGATTGAGCACTAGCAGATGCAGCACGAGGGATCAGGTTATCCGATGGTAGTCTCTCGTCTTGAAAATCGAATAGGGCCCAGTCAATCTCGTGAACCAATCCGTGCTCGTTGCGTCGACGTATGCCGGATGAGGCATAAACTTCACCGAGTCTATACGTATCTATGTGATCCTGGACAAGACATTAGTACCCTCCCAATATCCCCGATGAAAAATAGATATGAAAGAGACCGCCAAGTAACTATCTGGCACGGGAGAATTAACTTACCTCATCCATAGTGTCTTCCGAGGGATAGAACCCCTCGGGTACGTCGTCAAAGGCAGGTTGGGTAACTATATATCCTGCACACACCCAGTTTAGCTGTATACTCATGAACCGAAATTAGGTGGGATGCTATGTGTAATTCGCTGTAGATTGAATTTGTTGTAGATTTGGTAGATACGATGTACTGAGAAGCTTATTCGTATTGTTTCTGTCTGAGACTAGGTGCATACTTAGGGGAGAACCTTACATACCGTCTCCGCAGCCTGGCTCTACGCCTGGGATGTCGCCAGGATCAGTGTATTCTTCCTCATCACTATCATCTTCGTCGTCACTAGTGATATCCGTAGCCGAAAATTCCGATTCAGAATCTGAGAATTCTTCTGCAAAATCGTCGCTGCTGTCGTCGGTTGAGGATTCTCCTTCGTGAGGGTGTGTCATGCTACGACGGGGAGGGGCATTCGCCCTTTTAGGTTCCTCAGGCAGATCGGAGGGGTACAACTGAGCTTCGGGATCGTCTAACATATGATGGACTGTCATCCCATATGGCCTATCATCAATGATGAGGAGGCCCCCAAAACTAACGGGCGGGAGGTGTTTGTCACCTATCCATGCACCAATACTGGCACCATTCTGCGGCCTCTCTTGATAGCCGGGGTTTGCAGCCTCAGGATCGTCTCCATCATTTTCAGCCGCACCAGAATACTGACTCTTGGTCATGCTTCTTAATGGTCCCTTTCGAGACCGTACCATGGACCCACGACAGACCTTCAGGCCAAATCCTGTTCCGTCGAAAAATACGCCAAGTTTCTTATTTAATATAGCTCGAACCTTGCTCACCGAAGTACAGACAACCAATACGGTCGGTTTGGTTTTATTAGGCGATTCACCAATAGATTCGAGTGAGATTTCCACAGACTCGGGGTTCTTGCGGTAAAAGTGTCGCAAGGCTAAGTTGATTTGGGGCATAAGGGTACTGTGCCATTGTTCGATCACCTCGGTCGAGAGTGGAACTTGGGGGTAGAGTCGAAGCTTAGGTCGCTGGGTCTTTGAGGGCTCTGGCGTAGTCTCCGCAGGTTTCTCGGCTATTAATAGGCATATTAGTATTCATTGGTACACTTATAAAAACGAGGTCTATCTTACATTTAGTAGTTTCCTTGCTGTCACCCTTAGTTGATTCCAAGGTTTCCCTACTTGTCAATGTCTGCAACGTAGTTTGACGAGCAATTCGGGTGCTTGCAGACGGGCCTGCGAGAGGCTCGGTCGTAGGCCCGACTCTCCCACCCCCGGAAGAAAATCTGTCCTGGTCATCGCCCAGCTGCTCATCCAATCCGCTTATACTATCCAAGATACAACAGGCTTCCAAATAACGACTGACCCTAATCTGGGTTTGACTTATAATCTCCTCGGTAGAGCCTGGATGCGCAAGTTCTTGGTCAACAGCGTTCCAACACGCCTGGACGGCTCTCATATATGGGGTACCGCAACGTATCGCCAGTTGCTGAAGAACCGATTCTGAGATGCTGGGAGATGTCCGACTCGGTACGAGGTTTTCGAGCTGAGTCCAGAGACCGATGGAGACGAGTAGCATAGCCAATGAGTATAAATCGAGAGTTCTAGTGTCACTGTTCGGTGTAAGGGGCGATTGACTAGTTGTTCGAGGATCAAGTGGGTGACGATGTAACGGAAAAGTGGGCTGAGACTCGTTGTGTGTTGTTTCCTCGGGGAAGACATCGAACGACGACACCAGAGGTCTTCTGACATCCACCTCACCTACTGGTAGACCGGGATCGTTTCCAACAGTATTGCAGAAGGATATTGCGGATGCACTAAGGTTTCCGTGAGTGATTCCTCGAGCATGTAGGTCAAATACCGTGTTGGCGAGATTATGAGCAAGGCGGAACTTAGCCTCCAGCACTGGTTCAAAATCTGGCTTATTGAGGAGCCCCCTTAGCGTGCACAGGTTGTCAAGAGTGTTTTGGGTAAGATTCTCAAAGGTAACCGGGTTAAAGCCGGGGGGGAATTGGTAAATCAAGGCCAATCTCGATTCAGCCATATCTTCATAGTAGCCTAAAAGAAGAGGTAGACCGATCCACGAGCCGGGGGATCTTTGAGATTCTGTTTGGAGACCGGCGCTTAGTTTCTCGAATCGAGACATATCGGGCATGATACCGGTTGCGGAATATATCGGGTCAAATGGCGCATACTCTACAAGTAGAGGGGATGAAGGTTGTGGTCCCTGTCGATGGGCCAAATCTCCATAGGCTTGCTTGCTCATAAAAAATATCTCTTGATTCCGATCTCGTGCCGTCTCGGTCTCTGATATCGGTGTGACTTGCATCGATTTTAGACTTGTTAGAGTTCGAATATCGATCTGCTGCGGGGTCCTAATCCTAGTAGAACTATACAGCCGCAGATCTTCGGTTGAAGTGGTGGATTTAAATGACCTCGCTCCAGTAGGTCTTGAAGGAACTGCAGCAGACGACCGCGTCCTAGAGAGGTCGCAAAGAGTATCGATAGAAGCCGTTAAATCCTTCACAAGATCTTCGAATCTTCCCTTATCCCAAACGATCAGGGGAACCTTCCGATCGCCAGATGCCTTTTCCGAGGTCTTCCCGCTTCCAACATTTTGCCTTGAAGCAAGCCACAAGGGCTCGGCCTCAGCAAGAATATCCTTAATAGTTGCCATAATACTACCCACAAGGTCGCTTAAGCCTGCTTGAGATAAGGACTCATCAATTTCGGCGGCCTGATTCGGGTCTGACCACTCCAAGCCCCAACTCACAAGGCGGTCCTTTTGAATGCGTAGTTTGCGGTGTAGAGCTTTGATATCAGGGTCGTCCAGGCTCGGAGCGGACTCCTTCACAAAGTCCGAAGATTTTTTCGTGTCATTGTAAAGCCTGCTAAGTCGACGTTGGAAGGGCAGTTGGAAACCGCCCATGGGAAGAAAGGAGTCCATGGTGGTTAGTATGTACACAAATAAATATTATAAAAAAAGTATTTATTTATAAAATTGAAAAATATACCATGTTCCCCTTAACATGGTACTAGAAAATCTAGTCACTAATATGAGAAAAAACACGGCGTGGGCCGCAGTCAGGTATTAAGGTCATATATTTGATGAGGCGGTCGAGTTGAAGTGAGAAATAACATCGAGGCAACTTGTAGGAGCATTTGTGAAACCGAGGGGCAAGTCTTAGTATTCGCGCAAATGCTTAGAGAAGCAATTTAGGCACGCAGCTCAAGGCTCGTCGCATCGCACAACCACAATATGGCCCGGTCTTGTGATATGCAAACAAGTAATTCAGCTGCCTTAACTTTGATAAAACCTAAATGTGAGAATAATCTCGGTGCCTAGGTGCCCAGGTGCGGGTAGTCGGGTCCATAAATTGCGTATGATGCGACCAGACAATCCCCAGAGCTCCGGTTGGACGAACAAACCTCTAGTTCAGGAAATGTAGGTACTAGGTACCGCGTACTCGCACTTTTCTTCATGGATTTCCGCGTATGAATATCGCGTTAGTGGAGGACGGTCCGAAATGGAAATGCTGCTGCCTGGATTTGAAGGGGATGAAGTTGTGAAAAGATGATGGCGACCCCGGCACCGCGGTTGGCGAGTTCTCTTCACTTGGACCGGGGTCCCCCAGTCCAGCTGTACAGATTAATTGGTTGGATCAAACGACTAAGCCTTTCGGGGGACCCGCCGTATTTCGGAACAGGGATTTATTGCGTGGTGCGGCGTGGCGCTCGCTAATCACCGAGCTGCAGCTGGCCGTCAGCTGCGCGTAAGCGGCAGCCCGCAGCCCGTTACACAGATGCCCCTTATTAATGAATTCAATAACATTTAAACATCGAAATCAAACAATTTGAATTTATAAGTGTATAAACTCATCTAATTCCAATTGTTTTTACTATACGAAAATTTGAATACATAGTTATAGTAATATATATCTGGTACCTAGTTCCTAGGTACCTACTTAAGATCTAGGTACAAGCAATGACCACTGCCTACCGCACAGGTAGCGAGAATCGACAAAGCATTCACTTATGATTTATCTGCTACATTTCTGCAATAAGCTGAGAATGAATAAGCCGATCCCCCCTACATAGGCAGTATAAGTAAGTACTTGGGTTACATAGGTAAATAGTTAGGATACCTATCCAAAACATCGAAAGAGTTCGTGGGATCACGATCGCCGCAAGGTAGCTAGAATTAGAATTGTTATCATTGATTTGGCTAGATTGGGTTCTAGGGCTGTGTGCGTATAATCTTCTTCGGTGCTAAAAGGTTAGGCATCCACAATAATGAATTCAAGATCTATCACCACCACCTTGGTACTACCTATTACTAGGTAGGTACTAGGTAGTTATCTGTAAGCACTCGGTCTAGAACCTACTTCAAGTCATTCGTATCTTCATCAGGTTTTCTTACACCGCATCATTAAACAACTCATTCCCTTTTCTTTTCGTGGAACTAGAAACAACTTCCAAGAGACGGATTTATCCTTATGGAAGCCACTACCTAAGTAAGCAATATTCAACCAAGAAATTGATCATCTCATGCACCGCAGCTATCAGTGTCCCTTGCTAGATGCGGCTGAATGTTGTAGAAAAGACAGCCCCCGTTCTTCATAAGAAAAATGATGGTATTTTCAATAATATCGTGATCGACCAATCGCTAGGCGCCTAGACATGCAGAAGTCGTATAATGCGAATTTTTAAAGGGTACCCAAAACACCATGCTTGCACACTATTTTCCCAATGGTTACTATGTAGTAAACGATGATTAATGGATATTTCATCATTTGTCTCTGCTTATGCTTATTTGACTTCCTTGGCTAGTCGAGGCTTTATTGTTGAGGATCAAGCGAATTTCGGGTAATCCTCTACGAATGCTACACAATCCTTGGTCGTATGGAATGAGATAACTCTCACTGTCGACCAACCCAGACGGTTACCTAAGTTGTAAAGCTGACTAAAAATTCCACTTCATCCGTTTCTAAATCCGTCTACTAAATGCATAGGTAGGTATTTATTTTAACGAATACCTAATTACCTTAATAAGTCGGCTTCATACGGAGAATAAGTTTAGCTGCCTAGATAGCACGCTGAGATCAACTCCGAGAAGTCCGTGTCACCCTTAGTGGACTGGTATCTGTACACTAGATGAGATTCCTAGTCGCGCCGAAATACAACCCCAACCCAGAGATCCGGGAAGTTCATCTATATGTCGTTATATTCGACGATAATGAAAAGTGAAACTTACGCAAAGCATTACATAACCTGTACGTCCAATTCAGTGGCAATTTTACTTTCCTAAATCATCTATCTCTGCGTAAGTAAGAACCACAAAGCTGCAAAGTAGGTAGATATGGGGTTAAGCTAAAGACTCATCACAATCCAACCCCTATTAACAGTATGATCACCTAATTTAGAAGCCTTCATTTAAAATACCCCATGACTACCTAGGTAGTTACAAACCAGATGACCTCCATGTCAAGCTGTGTCCAAACCTCATCGGTTGTCGGTGTGAAGAGACGTGTATTATTCCGCGTATTGCTCTGCATGATTGCTACCACCAGTCCGCCATGTCGAAACAACACGGCACCAACATAACTTGTGATGAACTTCTCAATAACCTCAGTAACGATAGAAAGGGAGAATTATATTAGCCACTGATATCGCACCTGGTGTTCTCAATGCTGCATACGCTGAGTTCATCTCTGAGGCATAAGGAAATCGTGGCGCATCGGCTTTCAGCATCCACTTAGGAACAGTTGAGGTAATTCATATCAGCAGTCATTGTAAATGAGATTCTTATTAGATATCTAGCCTCAAGTACCTACTACCTACCTCTATGAAGCCACTGTATGCTGACTGATCTCATAGTAACTTCCAATAAAGCTTTTAGAAACTCGGAAGAGCGGTCAACATCGTTTACCTTCAAATCTCAATCATCAGATGTCGCATCTTATTTCTTCGCATAATTTGCTTCAAACCTAGAGAGTTAGTATCCTTAGTTTGTACCAATTGAATCAACGCATTAAGAACTGACACAGACGGAAGTTTCAGCGACAAGCACATTCTCGAGTCGCATCATTATCGGTGTTCCTACGAGAACGACATCAAGCTATAGATCAACAGCGTGGAAGCAGATTGGTCTCGGACGGTTAGTGTCAAGCCCGTTAGTCATGATGTTAGCCATCAAGCGACCCAATCTGTATGAGGCGATTGTACAGACTGTCGGAAGGCGGGCCCAGGAGCGGACTCGGAATGTACTCCCATATCATCGGCGAAGGCTATAGATAAATGAGATATCCGAGCACATGTTCATCCGAAAGTCAATCCCGGAGAAGGGCTCTTCAGGGTTATGTCTGATTGTCTGTGCGCGTCCACAACCTCGGACAAGAGCTTCCCTACATCGTTGGCGCTGAAAAATATAAAGTATTATGGGAATAAGCCCTAAAAGTCCCCACTGGGCAGTTAAGTGAGTATCCCACGATGAAGGCAGCCACGAGTCTATGTGATATTTATAATGAAGGAAACAGGGAACAAGGGGTGACCATCAGAAATGTCGGTGAGGGGTTCAATGTACCTAGTGAAGGCGTGAATGGCTCATCTTCCGACACCGACTCTTTGATGACGTTTCAGTTTGCTACTAGGTACGTACCAGGTAGTTAACCTCGCAGCTTCTAAATATATTCCAAGCTATTTATTGCATACCTACTACTGCAGGAACCATGTGTCATACATACGTACTATGTACGATCAATTATTTTCCGGTTGGGGATGGTGGGATCCTCGCTAGGTAGCGTGCCATGCGATGTTAAGCCATCACCCGGATAACCGGCAACGACAAGCTTCGGTCGTTGCTTTCCGCTGTCCGATACAAGCGTACCCATAAATCTAACCACATCCGTCCGGTGATATAACCACAATCCGGCATTCGGCAACGTCTGTAAACCAATCGACTGGAGAGCCGTTGGACGCATCGGGCTGAACGGCCAACGGGGGTGGCGGTCACCGTAGCCGGTTCCAATCTGCAAATTCCACATAATATGTTGCACCTAGCACAATAACCGGATTCTGACAAACTGGGAACATCACTTTATGTACTAAATCTAGTCGATTAGTTCAAGTGACTCTATGGTTTAAGGAGAATTTACTTTGGAAGTTGGTCGTCGAGTGTTACGAATTAGGAAAGGGATTGTTCTACTGGCCAATCACGGTTAAATCCCGGATTGGGAGTCAAGAATATGGGTGTCACGTGACTGAAAACCCCTATTAATAAAGGAGCTTAAAACGAAGAACTGCTACAAGCCATTGACGCTGTATCAGAAAAAATTAAGGCAATGTAGTTTTGTTCCGTATAATATTCCCTCTATTCGCAAAACTCTCTTCGGGGCCGCAAGGCAATGAGCCTCGACACTCCTCGTGGAGCTGTTCTTAAGAGTCTCAGCCAGTTTCTAACTTCTTACTCCGGGAATAAGATACGTGATGGCACTGCTGCACCGCCCAGATTCAATGACTAAAGAATGGCTTAGGTCGAGGTTTTAAGATGTTATGCACATAGCAAGCGGGTCAAGTTGGTGTGCATCAAATAATTCAAATGAGCATTAATTTCCAAAAGCTATGATATAGTCTATTCTAGTCAAGGTGCATGGACTGTCTAATATGTTCTATCGTGTATATACAGCTTTGAGTTCACTTGCTGATCCATAACCAGGAAAGCGTGATGACTCCCTTGATGGCCGCAACAAACCAAAGACTAGGCTGCACGGCGCCTGTTGCCTTGGATATCCATCCTCCGCATATGGCACCAGAGAGGGTGAGGACAAAGGCTATAGCTCTGCGATTGCGCTTGCCATTCTTCTTCAGTGGCGCCAGAATCCGCTCATCGCTCACTAGATCACACAACAGAGTTGTGATTACGACAGTGGGCACCTCGCTCACGCCTAGTCCACGACTGTTGACGATCTGACCTGCAGCCTGGAAACTAAGCAATGCAATGGGTGCAAGTTCAGTGAAATCGACGTCCGCTGGGTCTCTTCGTGAGGGGTATGTGCCATCGACAATACCGGTCTGGATGATGGTTGCCGCGATGGCAACACAAACGGTCTGCGCGAAGAAAGAGGAGAGGAGAGTTTTTCGAAGACGGCCTCCGCCGATCAGTTTGTGTAGACGGGAAAAGGCGAAACAGCCAACTACGAAGCACCCTATCGAGCAAAGGGAGCGAGCGAATCCGTAAGGCTTGTTGTTTTGCCCAGAAGCTCCTAGTGCAACAAAGACCGTGTTTCCTAGAGAAATATTAGAATTATCTTTGCGAATTTAGGTTAATTCCAGAAGTATCGCAGTCATACCAGTTTGCATTGACACGAAAGTACCATACGCTAAACACCATGTTAGTTATGGAATTATGGATGGGTAGATATTCTCTGACCGTTATAGAGAGTTCCATCAGTAAGACCTGTCGCAAAACAGCAGGCAAGTAAAGGTATAGCTGCCAAGCTTGAATTGATTTCGTCGGTGAGCTGGCTCGTGAAGCTGAAGCCGGTAGGTCTCCTCTCGGACGTATCCAAGACCAGGACCTGACCAGACTCAAGTTTCTTTTCCTCTGGCATAATAGCGGCTATTTTGAAAGCACAATTTTGGCGTTCTGCGGTTGTATGTGGGAGTTGTGTTGAGTATTAAGGGGCGGAAGGATTCGCAAAGCGGCTGAAGAAAGTGACCGGACCATAGAAGTCTGTGCCAAATGGAAGGAGTTTGGCAGGTCTCAAATAATGCCAACGGGATGCCAATCCACGTGTGAATGTGAAAGAAGCCTTTTGTTCCTTGGTATTTTCTTGGCTATACACTAATGCATATGCATGAAACCTAAATCCCTCAGTCTCCGTCCGCCTCTCATATTTTGAACGCTCTAGAAGCTCCCGGGGAGGCCTCCGAAGCGAGGTCTGAAGTCGAGGACCCGGTGGGCATTTAGCAATAGAAACCTTGAAGGCAAGTGAGTAATAGAAGAAGCACGCATAAACTGATAACGTTGATGAGATTTCCTATCTCATAGGTCGGTCACGCACACCGTGAGAATAACACAGTAACAGTCTAGATTTTAGACTTGGTCAAATTGGGTGTTAGCACGATCGTATTTCTACGGCGCCATCGGCGCCATCTGATGGATATAGTAATTCTACCTACCTTACGCGATATGGCTAATGCAATGGAATGGGTCCGGCCCTGCACCGAGGTCCACAGGTTCGCGATCCGACCGCAGTCCTCATCCCGGAGCCGTTCTGCGGCTTGCGCTTGGCGATAGGAGTTCGCTTCTTCTTGCCTGCTGAGTTACGCGGCGTTTAGTCCCGGGGATAAATCAGATAAGTCAATTGGCTCTCCTTACGCCCCTAATGAGGGCTGCCTATCTGAGACCTGTTAAAGGATGTATGCAATATTGCTGTCGAATGATAAGCCGCACCGACTCGGCAAGCCAGCCTCCATCCACCATACTACCTGCCTCGGGCCACATGATTGGGTAGACCTGGGGACGTCGGTCAAAAGGGTAAGTCGCGTTAACAGGTCAAGTAGTCGCCACTTCATTGCTTTTCAGCACACCGGACTTATACTTTCTAAGGATATATCGTCCTCCGGGAGTCCGAGACAGCTTGTTATGGCTTAACACAGAAGGCCCGATCAACAATATGATAGATCGATCCTGTCTGCTGAAGATTCCTTCGCCTGGTCCCTGAAAATGAACGGGTCTGACTTGGCGCCAAGGTGATCGCTTATCCTATGTTTATCAGCGGGCTTGATCAACAGTCTATCTCAGCCCAGCTGAAACTATCTTACGATATCACCTAGCACTCCTCAGCTCCTATCCTTCCTCGATCGACTTCGAAAAGTATCTACATTACCTACCGAGATGTGATTGTGTGAGGATGTTAGTTTTCAGTCTTGAGGTATTTCTCGGCGTTCCGGATTCGGATTACGCGCCGCGGCGATATAGCAGGACTTATAACAAGCCAAGCGAGCCAAGTAGACTAATTTGAATGTTTAGAGGGTCCGAAGATGACATGCATACAAACGCCGTTTCTGCACGGCAACACCCCCTAAAGAAGGTTCACGGTAAGATATAATTCCTAGAGATTTTGATATCATGTGCCAATACTCTTTCTTATCTAGGAAAATGATCTATCTCAAGAAAATTCCCAGGATTAACGGGTCGGTTTCCGCGAATCTTCTTGCAGGGCCCACCGTAGATGTTGCAGCGGCGGCGGCGAGGGTCGTGCCTAGTAGGTAGGTAGACATTCAAGATGGCGCGCGCCAATGATATTAAGGTCAACGATCACACGTTGTCACGCGGGTATAAGGAAAGGAAACCTGGATATCTGAAATGAGATCTGTCAGATGTTTTCTGATGTCGAGGACGCAGGTGTCGTGATCCTTCACGTATATGCATCGATCGAAGTCCGCTCAACGGAGCTTCAAGCTTGGCAAGTCCTAGATTCTAGGGGCTCATCGATGACGACGTGCGGCAAATGGATCATGTGAGTTTAGGAATACTAACATGTAGTAGGACCCACCGACGGAGGAATAAGGAAGATATCAATCACATGCATCGAAGGTGAGGCCAAGCAGACGTGAAGTTACTGGATTCTCTACCTTGTTCTTTGCCTTGTTCGCAGCCTACCCCTAGAATTACAGATCTTGGTAGTTGTGGCTAGTTTCCCGGCCCGGCCCGTCCGCCGCGAACTGCCGCCCAGTGGTCTGCATTAGCAGAACATAGCCACGATAGTCATATCCACTCAACAGTAGTGCCTGGGATGTTTCCGCTCGAATCAACCCCGCGAGCCGAGAGTGCAGCTAGCGTCTCCTTTCGGTTATCTGACCGACCGATGCGCTTTATAAGCTTAATATGTCACCGATGCTGAAGCAGATAAGTAAGATGCTAGACAGCCACACCATCATACTAACGAAGTGGCGTTGCCTTTTTGGTATAGGTCATCAAGAGTTCTCGAGCCACAGACCATTTACTTCTTTTATCAAGTGTAAAAAGGATGATATCTTAATAACTACGGCATAGTGGATCATACCGGTGCCCGTTACGCCCAGCTGAAGGATCTAGAGGCCTAGACCTTATATAGCAGCAGCCATTCAATTTCATTGTAGAGATTAAAGTAAGCTCTTCACATCTTGATGCTGGCAACCTTGAATGAAGGGTTTCTGCTAGATTGAAACGGCCAAGTTGAGCGCCTCTAGTCGAAACTAGCTTCGGTATCCAAGATATGGAAATCAAGTAACTATGCTCCATTGATGACAACAGAAGATGTAACCTTTGCTATTATCAAGCAGGTACCTATAAACACGAGATCATGACAGAGCCCTAGTCCCACGAAGGAGAACTGAGATTGCTGACATATACACCATAACAGGGGTCAATGATAGCAGAACCGCCGAGCGAGGGTTGAGGATCATGTCTTGGTATACTCAACGAGCATGTTTTCCCCGGAATATGGACCCACGATAACTCGCCTAAGACTGCATGGGTCTTTTATCACCTAGATTACCTAGATTACCTACCAGAACGCAAATCTGACAAATGTTCTTAAGCCCCGAGTATAGACTGACAAACTGGCTGAATGCTCCGTGAGCTACACCATTCCACAAGAGCCGCTCTTCTATTATGATTGGTTAGTTATTACGACAGCGAGAAGGTGTATATGAATCTAAGACCTCTAGCCTAGCTAGCCACCTAATTACCGTCCACATGTATTTTCTAGTTGCTCCGATTCGGAATTTGAACATGCTGATATCGACATACCCCTCTCGTATGCCCTCATAATCCTCGATCTTTTTGCCTCTTGTCATAGAATATTAGAAACTTAGGGTAGTATTCGGGCATAGGAGATCTTCGTGGCGGCCGCCTAGGCTTGATAGGTAACCCATCTTTCGTATTGCAACTCGAGCACGTCGAGTGCAGCATACACAAAACAGATTAAGCGCGTCGTGTGTAGCAGGGATAATGCAGGAATTACCAAATATCGTTTCGGATAATTCAGGGCTGAGCAAGTCAGACTACACACCATTAAGGTGAGTACTCCAAAGGGATGCATGCATCGTGAAGATCCACAGATAATGTTTGATGAAGCCGGCGCTTTCATGTCGGCGACAAAGACCTGTTTGACCGGGGAAAGAGAGGGAAGTCACATACGCGCCAAGTCGAGTAGTGTATCTCGATCGATGCTTACTGCAACGAAGGATGCCCATACCCCATGGGACATCGGAGAGCATGCTAGGTGCCTAGACCTACTATCAGGAGTTTGGAGGCGGCATTGATGGTCTAGGAAGGAGGCAAATACTGAGAGGGAGAGAATATAAATACAGTGACTTCCGCTAAGTGTACTAATAGTCTTGATCTCATACTCATCAGTTCCCCTCTTCCAAACTGCACATTTACTCTATATCTTTCAATAAGAACATCTACTTCACAAGAAGCCAATCTGATAGCCATGGCTGTTTCTACAATCGTACCCTCAGACTATCAGGAACACGAATCTACCGTGATCCTTCAGACGGCGATGGATATTGTTTCCAATAAATTCCATGAGCCGGCCAAGTCAACCCCCTTAGTCAATACAGTTGAGATTCTGGAGGATGATAGTACTATGGTTGACACCCCAGAAGTCGTTACTACTCCAGAAATCACTATTCTCCCAGAAATCGTTACTGCCCCAGAAGTCACTCTTCTCCCAGAAGTCGTTGACATCCCAGAAGTCGTTGCCATCCCCGAAGTCACTACCATCCCAGCAGCCATTGCTACCCCAGAAGTCATTGCCATCCCAGAAGCCATTGCTGTCCCAGAAGCCACTAAGTTCCTAGAAGTCACTGCTCCCCTAGAAGTGGCTCCTATTGTACCCCCCTCAGAAGATAATACCTTGGAGGAGACTGACAGATCGCTGCGGCTGAGCGATGTCGTTTCTAGTGTCCTTGAGCCAACATCAGGGGCTAAGAAGCTCCGCAAGATGTTACTTGAGACTAACGAGCTGATCGTCTGCCCTGGTGTCTACGATGGGCTCTCAGCTCGCACGGCTATAGAGCTAGGCTTTAATGCCATGTATATGGTACGTCAACAATGACACAATAAAGCTTATCGAAAACTGTCATACTAATCTATACGCTCATGGAATAGACTGGCGCTGGTACTACAGCCTCCCGTATCGGGCAGCCAGACCTCGCCATTGCCCAGCTGCATGAAATGAGGGAAAATGCTGAGATGATTGCAAACCTTGACCCGTTTGGCCCTCCTCTCATCGCTGATATGGACACTGGATATGGTGGTAAGTTTCCCGAAGCATTTTCTCGTTCAAGATTATATGATCCCATGTTAACTTCGATACGTCTTAGGTCCTATCATGGTGGCTCGTACTGTAGAGCAATACATCCGCGCTGGCGTGGCTGGTGCCCATTTGGAAGACCAGGTGAGAGTTCTTCGGCTATCATATCTACCATTTTCCAGATTGCTAACTCCTATTCACGAAATAGGTCCTTACCAAGCGATGCGGTCATCTTAGCGGAAAGAAAGTTGTTCCGCAAGAGGAATACATCTCGCGTATCAAGGCTGCGCATGCCGCACGCGTCAGGTTGCAATCCGATTTCGTGCTGATCGCCCGAACGGATGCTCTTCAGACTCTTGGATACGATGCATGCATCTCACGACTTCGGGCTGCCCGGGATGAGGGCGCGGATGTGGGGCTTCTGGAAGGATTCACCTCCAAGGCTCAAGCAGCACAGGCAGTTCAGGATCTGGCACCTTGGCCCCTATTACTAAATTCGGTTGAGAATGGTAAGAGCCCTGTCATTACCGTCGACGAAGCCAGCAAGATGGGATTCCGCATCATGATCTTCAGCTTTGCCACATTGGCACCGGCATATGTTGCTATCCGTGAGACTTTGGCCCGGCTCAAGTACCAAGGGATAGTTGGGACACCTAAGCACATCACACCTGTGAAGCTTTTCGAGGTCTGTGGGTTAGAGCATAGTATGGCAGTTGACAAGAATGCCGGAGGCTTGTCTTTTATGGGTGGTGTATGAAGTACCAGATGTTCGATCGTGGACCTAGGCGGTTTCTTTTGTTCTCCTTTCCTTGGTTTCCTTGTCTTGGTGTAAGTCAGAGCTAGGCTCACAGATTGTATGATATTGCGTGCCTAGTATTTGCAACAACAGTATAGTAACTCTATACCTAGGTAGATATAATGAAAGTTATAGTGATGGAAGCAATTATATTACTGAAGTTTGATACCTTTTGTTATTTTGTTGAACCTTCCATCAATTCAAGGCCCCTTTTTGCGCATTTCTTCTTGAATATCGATGCACCATCATAATAGCTGCGACAAGCTTTCTCCAAAAGCTGTAACTGGCCCTCCCCGAGAGACTCTCAAACGACAGGCCATATGGTGTTTATACATCATCCGGTGTTCCGGGCCTCTCGCACGAGATGCTCGGAGAATTGCGCCATGAAAGTTATGGGTCGGCCGAGTGCGCGGATTAAATAAAAGCAATATTTCAAAATAGTCTCGCTGGCAAGGAATTCAACCAATGCCGTTGTCGCCCATCACAAACATATTGCTACCAACTAACCAACACTAACACCAACACTTTGGTATTGAAGAAAGATGTCCGAATGAATAAATATTGTTGGTAAGCACGATCGAGGCATTTGAAATTCGGTTTCGTATTAACGCTTCTCGGCTGTGCCGTTCTTGCTTTTTTTTAAGAGTGTTTGATACCAGTGATGCGGGTCGGACCCCCAATGAATCCGAGACATTCATGCATCCAAATTTCGTATTATCGGGTAGGTACGTTCCACTGCATTGAAACCTAACTCATCCCAGTAGTGAATGGCTTTTTAAGTTCAAGTAGAGTTCAAGTAGAGTCTACTTCTCATAACCTAATCTCGAAATATAATTTTATCTGTACTGATTCAACTGTGAGATCTCAACTCTAAGATCTCAACAACATGGCGGCTCGCACGATCGAGGAGCTTCGCGAGATCATCAACCGCACTTCTACAAAGCTCTCAAACGATCTCAAGAACCAGGGAATTCCCTCCCCTACAGTAAATAATACAGTAGCGAGACCAAGCTTCGAGTCGATTGATTTAAACGCTAGCCGGGAGCTCCTCGATGCCGTTCGTGAAGTTGAAGCCCTCGTCATGGGCCCTCAGAAGATGCTGACTTACATGGCGGTTATCGTAAGTCAGCCGCGAAAATCTTCATTTCGGAATCCGCATTAATGTGTAGATGGCGGAAGTAGTATCATGATGTGACTTCGCTCGGAGCTCTCCTAGAATTCAATATCCCCGCCCTCGTTCCGCTCGAGGGTACCGTGAGCATATCCAGCTTAGCCTCACAAAGCGGTCTATCCGAAGACAAACTGACACGTTTTATCCGTTACGCCGCTACCAACTTCATCTTCTGCGAGCCTTTGCCGGGAATAATCGGTCACACGGCCGCTTCGGCCGCCCTTGCGCGGGACCCCGCGTTCTGCAACTTTCTCCGCTGGCTCACCGTTGATCTCGCCGCCGTTCAAGCTTCCATTCCAGTCGCGGCTAAGAAATGGCCACTGACCGAGAAAATGAATGAGTGTGCTGTTAATTATGCATCTGGAACAAACGGCAATTTTTGGCAGTGGATGAACGGCGATCCTGTGCGCCAATCGAGATTTCACCAAGCCATCGCAGGGCATGCAGGCGGCGGGGGTGGCTTGAAAGGTCGATCTTTGGATGTCGAGGCGTATCCATGGGCTGAAAAGCTCGGACGAAAAGCTGTAGTCGTAGATGTCGGTGGCGGCTGTGAGTCCAAGCTTTCCCCGCATTATTCTATCGTTATTTCGTGAATAGAGATCTAACAGCTTATGCATAGCTGGTTACTTCTCTCGAGCCCTTGCATTGGCTTATCCAGAATTCACCATCACGGTGCAAGATCGTGCTGCTGCCTTCTCGGCTTCTGCAGCTCGGTCTGATAAGCCATCCAATCTGAACTTCCAAGAACACGATTTCTTCACCCCTCAGCCGCTACGCGACGCAGATGCGTACTTCTTACGACATATCCTACACGACTGGCCCCGCGCTGAAGCAGTTTCGATCCTTCGTAATCTTCTACCAGCTCTCAAACCGGGCGCACGAGTGCTAGTCTCGGAGCACCTTATGCCAGGTGGGGAGCGGGGCGAGTCGCTTCTCGAAGACAAGATGATACGGCAGGTAGACATGCAAATGATGGGTGTCCTCAACTCCAAAGAAAGAACCACAGAGGATTATGCTGCCCTGTTTCAAGAGGCAGACAAGAGACTCAAGTTTCGGGTCAAGTACCAGCTCCCCGAAGATAAGAAAAGTTGGATATTTGAAGCTGTTTGGGAAACTGATTCCTAACTTTGGAATTGATTACGGAGCTATCGAACTACCTAGGTACCTATAATAAACAGATCCAATCCTATGGGAAAACGCTCTTCAGAACATTCCCATAGTCGGTATACGATAGTCCCATTTTCTCAATATCATAGTCGTTCCAGTACCCACCCCCGGCGAGGGTTGTTTGCGCAGTCCAACTTTGGAATCTAGACTTCGCCTGTGCAGCAGTAATACCTTGCGACGGCTTCGAGTCATTTGTAACCCATACAAGCGGCACGACCTTAAGCCCAAGAGTGCTCTGCCAGCTTGCGGGGTTATTCCCCGCGCCTCCGTCATAGCACTGCAGGTACACCCTGTCTAGGAGCAGATTCGGTTCTCCGAGGCCATTATTAGTCTGCGTTATAAGAGATTTCCAGAAGCCCGTGTTGGTGTATGGTGCGATTGTGTACTTATATCCCACATTGCCGAGCATCTTTGCGAATGCAACAGTGCTGGAGACGTCGTATATGGACTCATCGTCATTATTTACAGCGTCAAGATCCCACGCCTCTTTCAGCGCCGCGAAGTTGCGGTACAGGGGCGTTGAAGAACCAGTTCCCGGAGATTGGACGAGATCCTTGACATGTTGAGAGTTCATCGAGATCTCGAGCCGGTTCACGCCCGTGTCACCTGTCTTGAACGATCGGACTTTCTCAGCGAGAGCATCGCCGCCGACGTAGCTACCGTTGGAGGCGACAAGGGCGTCAGAGCTCCCCGGTGTGTTCGAGTAATACATAATGTCGCCATTCTCAAGAATGCCAACACCGAACATAATAAGTGAATTGAAGCCGGATGTTTTCAAAGACGCAGTGTTTGATTTCAATACATCCTTGAATAAGTAAATGGCTCTTATGGATGTATCCGCAGTGGGGGCGGCAGAAACATGTTGCAAGAGGAGCCCAGATAACACGGCTCTTGCTAATGAGAGACACTTCATTTTTCAATTTCAATTCTTCTGTACTCTCTTGACGATGAGGAGCTATGAATCCTATGGAGAGCGGATTAGTTGAGGTTAGCATTTGAATTTGCCCAGCATTCCCTTCGGGTTGGTCATAATATACTAATCTTTGCTTCGACCGCCGAGAGGTCCAGGCTATAGATTACCACGCGGAAGAACTACATTCTTGATCTATAGTAGCATCGCCGGTAAAATGGGGCGATAGGGTTTCTTCAAGGTCGCATTGCGACTAATAAATACGAGCAACCTTCCATTCCAGGCTTGACCCACGGCTAAAGTACCCTCGTAACTATCCTGGCATAAATAGTACCATTGCCTCGGCCAATTTTCCCGCGAATAAAACGCACGAATAATTCCAGAAGGGGAACACACGTTTAGATCTAACATCTGATTTGAGTGTAACCACTTTGCCCCTTTTTGTGGTACCCCCTTTTGAGGAAGGTAGGAAATACTTTAAATCAACAACTATAGGTACCATTCGTGATACATAGATACATACGTCCATTCATGAGTCTAATCTTTGACAATAAGAGATCACACTGGATCTCCTAATGAATTCAAAGAATTGATAACAAACACATAGTTACCTAAGCATGAATATTGTGTTAGATAAGGGGTATCATGTGACCTTTAACCACGTGCCTTCTCTAATCACGTGTCACAGATAGATACATATTTCCAAACCTTGGAACTCTGTTACAATAAACAATCCGAGTCCTCTACTGAAGAATCTACTAATTGTTCTGGTACCTAGAATTTAAAGAAACAACCCCCACAAAATGCCCCACCACAAACGCGCACAGCTCCTCGAAGCCGCAACAGCGTTTTGCACCAGCTTCGCGGAGAAAAAGCCCCTAGACGAGATCCTCGACCACTTCTCCGCATCCCCAGACATCCTCGCCTACGAGCACAGATTATCACAGCTCGCGCCGTTTCTCGGGCGAGAGTTCCGCGGACGCGCGGGCGTACAGATGTATTTCGAGAAGGTGTCGTCGTGTCTAGACTACGAGGACATGCGGTTCGCGGACTACGTTGTGGACGCGATGGAGAGCCGGGTCGCGGTGCGGGGGACGGCGCGGTTCACGTGGGTGGCTACGGGGGAGAGCTGGGATGAGGTTTTCGCGTATGCATTGGTGTTTGATGAGGGGTGCAGGGTGCTGCGGTATGAGATTTGGGCTGATTCTGGTGCGGCGTATCTTGCGAGTCAGGGGCGGCTAAGGGAGGTAAGGGGGGAGTGAGTGGACGTAGTGGGATTGTTGGAGTGTGAAAAGAAAGTATATATTTTCATAAGCTCAAATAGGTCGCTATTTTATAGCTAGGCTTCGAGTAGGTTTTGACCTAATGCCGTGAAGCCTAACATGCCCGCCTTACCCAATTCCCCTTTTATATCCGCCCACAACACTTCTCCCCAAGAACCAATATAAGTATCCAGGAAAAGATAATCCAGAGCTCCTTTGGTATGAAAGTCCTTCCCGTGAGTTCCTCTAAGACCCCAATTCCCATTCCCTAAATGCCTATATATCCCCACCCCTTTTTACATGTCGCGCTCATCTCCTCTAGCTTCCTAACTAGCCATCCAGACTTCCTACATATCACATATCTCCTAACATATTACTTAGTCTTCGCTTCAATAGCAACTTTGTCTTCTCCTTCCTTCACGAGCTCATCGCGGTCCCAGAGAAGAGCTATAGCAGCCGCGCTAGGTCCACCGATAAGCGTCCAGAAGATGGTCGTGCTTAAAGTCTTGGTAAAGGGGCGTCCGGAGGTTGTCACGTGCAGGTACAGAGCCCATAGCAAGACAGTCGTGTTGCCAGTGTACAAGTCGTACTGGAGGAAATTGATGACCAGGGGGGCGAGATCGCCAGGCCCGTAGTTCGACGGATCTAAGGTTGGAGGCGCAGAAAGTGAGTGGGGCACGAAGGTACGCGCGAAAGTGATTTGCGAAATCAGGGAGGCGTACTTGGGGAATGTGGCGGCGAGGGTAGAGCGGAGGGGGGTAGGGAGTAAGGAGATCGCTAAGATGGGGATTTGCGTTACGGCACTGATTATCAGGCCGAATTGGTACACGCCAGATACAGCTACCATGAAGCCATTTCCGGGCGTAGTTGGCTTGCCCTGGGCATCCTGTGGGCTGAGGCTTCCAAATAGGAAGTAACAAGCGTTGTGGAGGATATCTAGGACAAGTACGGTCCACTGTGAAAGAGGAATGATTAGTTAAGATAATGAAATGAGTTAATATGGCAAGAGTAAAATGAGGTAGACAGGCTCAATCGATTCTCAAGTAAAAGTGGCGGCAATGCTTAAAGACGATAAGAGATTTTGAGCTCACATACCAGAGGGAAAGCTTGCCAGAATGCAATCCAGTTATAGTGAGTGGCAGCAGATTGATGGAGAAGCTCGGGCAAGCTCATGACGATAGTAGGAACAACGAGTCCCAGGGTAACAGCCAGAGGAATGAGTGCGAGGTCCCAAAGATAGACGAACAGGCTCTGGCGCGCAGCATCGCCTCTGCTTTTGGCATCTTTACCACCTAATTTCGCAATAGGCGACGTAAATAGGTGTAGCGCAAGGTAGAGCGGTACAATGAAGGTCCAGGTTAAATTCTGGAAGACGATACCAGCAGTACCAACCCAACTCACGATGCGTCCGCGATTTCCGGACCTCCGGCCCTCAAGCACGAGCACAGTCCATCCGGCAGCAAACTGGGCCATGCCCCAGATGTAGAAAGCCGTAACTTCCCAACCGGCGCCGCCATCATCGACTAGTGACGCGAAGAAGGCCACAAGCACCGATAGGTACTTATCTAGCCCCGTAATGCCAGTAAATTCGCGTTTGAAGGGCGTCGGAGCGCCGGTAAGTTCCGCGCCGGCGCCTGTGACTTGCCGCAGCAGCTTACCGAGCCCGTTGGTACCCATTTGGCCCATAGAGGCGCGAAATCCGAAGACGGCAAGTCCAGCGAAGAGCGCAGATAGCGCAAATTTCCCTAAGGGAGCCTTTTCGAAGAGTCAGTTTGTTTACATAGTATCCGAGTATCCGACGTCTGGATGGTACAGCCTTACCATGATGGATGAGGTATCTAGTTAGGAATCGAGTGTTATGTTTATTTTAATAATAAAAAACTAAAGTCATATGATATCTAGAGAAATATGACTATTTGGCATACTTTCTCTTAAAGTTGTTACCTATATAAGGTGCTTAACTTTGAAACTCGAAGAAAGGGAGCTTGGTAATATATACTTTGGAACTATCATCTTCCGAGGCAAGTGGGGCAGTACTTCTCGGTCAGACCGCACCGCCAAGAAGAAAAAACAAGCAACTTGGAAACCGACGGTCAAGCCACATATGCACCTACAATTGTGGCGCACCTTAAAACGGATGGTACTACTTCGTAGGTACTAGGTACATCTATGATCGCTTGATCGTTTGAGTTTCTGCCTTTTTCAACAATCATCTCTATCCTCCATACAGTAAACCCTTACGACCAGAAATCGTCTTTCTCGACATAGACATCCCCATTACGAATTCTCGAGAAACCTGCTGCTCTTTGATAAGCAAAAGTCATGCTCGGTCCGACAGGAACGGGACCGGAAGACCTCCCCCAACCCTGCGTGAACGTGTGCCCATTCTGAACACGCGCATTCTCTTCCATGTATTGGTCTCCGTAACGATGACCTTGTGTCTCAAGGGAACCGATCGCCTTTTTGAAACTTTCATCAATACCTTGCACCGATAGTTGCAGATACCGAATGGTAGATTGTTGATCAACAATAGCTGAGCTAAGTTGCTTCACTTCCTCTACAGCCAGTGCCAATTCTTTCTCTGGCATCGGAAATAATTGCTGCAGCAAGTCTATCAATGATGTAATATCCTCGATGAGTTGCAGGGCATGGTCTCTGCTGTAGAGCACCCATCGCGCAATCTTCACCCCACTGACTTTGTTCTTCTGTTTACGACGCGCAATAATATCCTGGATGTTTCTATCGAGGGAAAGTATGTTTCGGTCCAGTTCAGTTGTTTCCCCTGATGAAGGATCATCGTCTCGTTCACCCGATGGTCGAAACTTCTTAGACAACTTGTCGGATTTCTGGAGAAGTTCGAGGATTTGAAAAAGAGCTTCTTTTGCAGCTCTGATTTCGTCGGTGGCTGCTGCTGAATCGTTGAATTGTGGATCATCGTGGACTCGTAGGGCTTCTCCCCAGCGTGCAAGTCGCAATTCCAGCATTCGCAGGCGTAACTGGAACGTCTGAAAGTCGGATCCAAAACGTCGCCCAATTTGAATGGCCTTTATTCCGTCCATACACGCACTCAAAGCTGAAGCGATCCCTACGGCGCCCGATACAATACCAAAAGGTTCAGCCATCTTGAAGATTTAGATATATTCCGTCATGTATCAAAATCAAAGGGATGGGGGAACGAAACTTGGCCATCATAGATTTCCTTAGACACAAATCTACTCTACCTTAATAGCCTGCCTTCACAGCCTGCCTTAACAGTCTGCCTAACTGGTGCACAGCCTCTACAGTCTCAACGCTACAGCAACACTGTAGCAACGCTGTAGCAACGCTGTAGGCTGAGTTCCCGTGGCATCATCCAATGGATGACCATAGCCGTACACCACACTTAGTAACACGAGGAAAAACATATATATCGTGCCCAAGTATCCCAATGCCAATATCTTCCCCAATCCCAATTTCTTCGTTTTCTAGAGGATCAACAAAACCTTAGCTTGAAATCATCATGGAGCTCTAGTCTAGATGTCTAGACAAGGAAGCTCTTCGTTTTATTTCCAATATATTGATGGCAATAGCCGGGTTCACAATGGCAATACATATACCCGGCCAGCTACAGAGCATAATCGTTCTTCAGAAACAGATCAAGAACGCCTCTTCAAAACACTGCCATTTGACCAGGCCCATAATCGCCGACAAAATCTTCGAGAACCCAACCCAAATACTTGCGATTGGATCCGACACACCACCCAATACCGGGATTGGGTTGATTCAGAAAAGTTCTGTGACCATCATGGGCTCTTTTGGATTAAAGGAAAACCAGGCACTGGGAAATCGATACTCATGAAATATCTACTTACAGTATCTACAAACGCAATACCCGAAGCGGAGATAGTCTCTTTCTTCTTCAATGCACGAGGACACGAACTCGAACGGACGATACTTGGGCTATACCGTAGCCTATTATGGCAACTTATGACCATGTTTCCGAATCTCAAAAATGTCTTCACCGAACTCGACTTTATAGATCCTAGACCGATCGAACAGCATGGCTGGCAAATACAAAGCCTCAAGAATTTGCTCTCGCGTGTCGTTAGCAAGCTTAGAACTTGCCAAATCGTTTTCTACATCGACGCCCTAGACGAATGTCCTGAAAACCAAGCACGAGACATGGTCTCGTTCTTTCAAGAAATCGGCGATATAGCCCTGGAGCGAGGTAGCCACCTATATTTTTGTTTCTCAAGCCGACATTATCCGAACATATCAGCCAGGAAATATATCCCGATGAGCATTGAAAACGAAATTGGCCATAACCTTGATCTTGAGCGCTACATCGACTCAATGCTTACGATTGATTCGTCTGGACCTGTGTCATATATAAAACGTCGAATCCTTCAAAAAGCCTCAGGGGTCTTCCTATGGGTTGCCCTAGTTATTCCAATGTTGAATAAAGCTTTCGATTGCGGCAAGATAGATGCTCTAGGTCAGCAGCTCGAAAGATTGCCATCCGAACTCAGCCTTCTATTCAAGGACATGTTAATACGGGACCTGGAAGATCAAGACGCAATGCTTCTTTGTTTTCAATTACTTTTATTCACACGCCGCCAACTAAGCTTAGAGGAGCTGTATTTTGCTATCAATGCTGGACTCGACCATCCACTCGCATGGGGTAACCACGTGTCAGATGAGGATATGTATCGCTATATTCTCAGTTCATCAAAAGGTCTTGTGGAGAAGGTGCATAGTCGAGATCGTAAATGCTACGTGCAATTCATACACGAATCTGTTCGGGATTTTCTGCTTCGCGGAGACGAACTTCAAATTCTACGGCCCCACCTAGAGGGCAACTTCGTAGGCAGGAGTCAGGACGTTGTAAAACAGACCTGTCTCAAGCAGATACGATATCTACTACAATTTGTCGACGGGGACGATATCTTCAGCGAAAGCCGTTGCGAACATAAGTTGGCTACTCAGTCGGAAGCAGAACACTACCGTGATACCATGAACAAGACACATCCATTCTTGGAATATGCCGTTAGAAACGTGTTATTTCACTCCGACTTGGCTCAGCATTTTGGTGTGCAACAATCCGATTGGGTTCGACAATTCCCATTGCGACCTTGGTCTATCCTTCATGATATATATTGTACACGCTTCGGTAGGATGCGCTCCAAGGATACGAAGGGTAGCGAGATCTTGTATACACCCGATATAAATATGTTATATGTTCTCGCGCATCAAAACCTAGTCAATCTTCTCCAACAATCCCCAGATAGACTAAACCATATGGATATCAAAGGGGGTTGGTATGGTACACCTCTGGTTGCAGCCATTGCACGTGGTTGCCGGGAAGCAGCTCGAGATCTCGGTTTGCAGGCTTTCTTAGACAAGGGTCTCGGGATTTCACACGACAAGGAAGAGGAAGAATATTTTTCAAATTTAGATGGAATCAATTTTCGTCCATACGATAGTCAATTTATTTGTCTATTACGCCTTGGCTGTACAACAGCGATGGAAGCAATGTGGCTACAGGGAGAAAACATTGAAAGATCAGATAGTAATGGGCGTACGCCGCTGTACTATGCTATCTCAAATCGGTCTATAAAAGGGGTCAGGTGGCTCTTTTCGCATGGATATCTCGATCCGAATGTCCTTGTCAAAGATGATATGACGGCATTGATATACATGTGCCGCTATTTCGAAGACAGAAAAGGAGAAATCGATATTTTTCGCTTTTTCCTTGAGAATCCGAGGGTTCAAGTCGATTTACCGGATAAAAGCGGCAGGACACCCTTTTCTCATGCAGTGGGTAATGGGGCATTGCGAATTGCCCAAGTGCTCTATAACACCGGCTTAGTAAACCTCAATTCTAGATGTCATCAAGGACAATCTCCTCTTCACTACGCAATAGAGCCTTTTCGGTACTACATCCAAACCCCCATGGCTTGGCTTCTTCCTTTAGCTACTGTCAAACCCGATCTCAAAGATTACCAAGGTAGAACACCTCTATCCCACGCCGCCCACAGAGGTATACATGATTGCGTCGCAGTCTTGCTTACGTCAAAAGGCGTAGATGTGGAAAGCAAAGACAAGGAGGGACAGACTCCATTATATTGGGCAATAAGGGCGTTTGAAACACTCAATCATATACATAGTAAACTACGAATTGTCACCGATCTACTACGAACAAATCAAGTCAACGTCGACTCAAAGGCTAGGAATGGGTTGACACCCTTGACTCTCGCGAAGACACTATCATCCACCAATGACATTCTGGTTAATTGCATTGGGCTCATGGAGCGGTACAAGCGCGGTGAGAGAATGCCTATGACTTTAAAGATTGTCCTTGCGTTAGAGGCAAATCCTCAAGGATACACATAGTGAGGTTAGAAGATAGCAAAAGATACCCCAGTTCGGGATTGCTTCAAAAGTCAGGCAAGGGATTTTTGGGGAAGGCAACTCATGACAATTGGACTAAATGCATATTCTGTATATTGAAAGGTTGAGTTATTACCTACCCAGTTGCCTGTAGGCAAGAAGGAAGCGGAGGTTACGTATACCACCTTTGATACACAGTGTACCTAGATTCCTAATGATTTCATATTTTGATAATCACATACTTAGTAAACCTCTACAAAGAGTGATAGGATGAGATGACTTCTAAAAAGAATTGAACTTATTCAATGAAGTCGGAGTTAGATACCTATGACAGAAGATGAAGAGAATAACCTCGTGAATTTCGAATGCCAGAGAACAAGATGGATGATGGATGACAGGACGAATATATGCGAAGATGATTCGTATTTAAGGAGTAGTAGACTATCTAGTGAGCTAGATTAGACCAGCCAAGTATTTCAACACACCTAACTAGTACCCAGTCGTCCATTCAACTAATATCCATGGTATCTCACCCTCTACCTCCCCTCACCCACAAACCAACTCATCAGCCGGCCTCTTCGCATCCAAAGAAGGTTCCTTAACACCATCCACACAATCCGACACCGGTAATTCCCCTTCGACACCCCTATCCACCCCTCCCTCGGCCGCCTCACCCTCACCCGTAGCCATCGCCGCTAGCTCCCGTTTCTTCTTCTCCTTCTTACTCAAACTAATACTCCCATTCGCCAAAGCCTCTTTCGGCAACGGCCTCACAATCGGCTGCGCAACCCACCACGGCCTCTTACACTTCCTCACCGTCGCAACCGAGCTCTCCAGATCATCCTCATCATCCCCATTTTCCCCCTCCACCGCAGACCCCTTATCCAGACCCGCCTTCAGATCCGTCTGCGCTTCCTCAACGCTCTTCCCCCCCGTCCTCTCATACTCGACCAACCCCTCAGCAACCCTGCGCTCCACCATCTCCAAGACATTTTCTATCGCGGGGATATCGCCAACGTAGCATCTAGCGAGCGCGTCCCGGATATCGGTGTGTACGGAGATGAAGTGCCGCAGGAGATGGAACAGGTGGGGCCGGATGGCGATAAGGTTCGGCGAGGTGCACCTCTCGCTCTTTCCTGCGCCGCCGTCCTTCTTCCGCTTCTTGCGCGCCGGGCCTTCCTCGTCTTGTTCCGCGTCTCTCGCCTTCCCTTCCGCGATCCAGGTCTCGTCGTCTCCGATGACGAATAGCGGTCTTCGCGTCGGTGGCTCGCGTTGGAGAACGTGTTTATGTATGATGTCCATGTAACGCCTGAACACGCCGTCGACTCGATATCCGCCCTTGCCGTCTTTGCCTCGCCAGTATTCCCGTCCTTCTTCTCCTGGCGCGGGTACTTGCGCGAAGATGGCAGGGTCGCTGAGGTTGCCTTCTGCGCTCATTACAGCGTCAGCGCCCGTGATTTCGAGACATCGCTCTAAATCACCGTGTTGAAGTATATTTCCATTGGCGAAAATAACTGTCTCCTTAGGTAGATTATCCCGTAAGTAGCGCAGGTATTCCCAATCTGCGACTCCCGTCAAATGCCCCTTTTGATCCCGCCTCCGTCCGTGCACGGTAATAATACTTGCGCCGGCGTCCAGCACATTCTTAGCATAAGCTAGGGTATCCTCTTTGTTCTCTAATATACGAATCTTGGCCGTGATAGGTATGGGAAGTTTCTTGTGAAGGGTGTTGATCAATTTGTAGATGAGTTCTTGGTTCTCTTGTAGGAATGCGCCGTAATGGCCTTTGCGCGCAATGCCCTGTGGACAGCCTAGGTTCAGGTCCACAGCGTCGCAAAAAGGTGCGACTTGGGTTGCTGCGCCAAGTAGATGCTCGGGGTCATTGGCGCAGAATTGTACAAATAAAGGGCGATCAAATGCTGGGTTACCGTCGAGGAATGGTACCGACTGGGGAGGTTGTTCGGGGTCTGTGGGTGTGGAAGGTTGAGTAGCTTCGAAATGCGTATCTCTATACTTGGGCGCCTCTTCGAATAATCGTGCATGAAACATGGGCGTATAAGCTAAGACTTTCGAATTCTCGGCTGGTGTGAGGAACGATCTGGTGAGCATACGCCAAGCCTAATAATATTGAAAGAGAGTTAGTATTGAATGCTCTAAAGTGATACGAGTTATCTTTAAAGAAGACATACGAACTCGGACTGGTCGACCATCGGCGCAAGCACAAACTTGGGACTGCCAATGCTTTCATAGAAAGCCCGCCCATGTAACTTGGTCTTGGCCGTGGCCGTCTCTCCATTCGTCGTGCTGGAAGCCATTGCGACGTATTTTCTAGCTAGCAATTTCCAGCCGGAGCCGGGAATCTTCCAGCGTGAACCTAGCCTTCTTCCAAGCTCCAGGATGGCGATTTCGTAGTCTTGCGGTTGAAAGGTCTCATAAGAAAGTTCTTATGACAATTGGTTTCCTAAGAAAATCCACAAGTAGTATTCTTATCGATAAACGTATCAGCAATTTCTTATCGGATTAAATCCGATATCTCCGTGTCAATACAGGTATATTGATTATCTAATCGCAACTCCTTATTTTAATGAGTTAGGGATGGAAATATTACGGAATATTGTTCTTCATTGATTAGGACGAATGCTGTTAAGCACTATCAACTATAGGTCAGCTTATTCTGGCGTTCCAAGAACGTTGGTGCACGAGAATTCCAGCATTAGAACCCCGTAACACCTCATTCAACCTGACCAATGAGCTAACGCACCTTAAGGTACCTATCGAAGTGGAATTCGATTCCGCAGACTTAAAATATATCTAATACATTGATAGAATAATATTAGGGAACAGGCAATCCAATGCGTATATATTTACAAAGAAATGTCTAACGATAGGAAACGGTACCTATTTAGGAAATGTCAATTAAAAAGCTATCATCTAGCGGGCATTGTAGTAAAAGTGGTGAGGCCGAAGGGTATCACATGACCGACGAACGACCCGGACATCCAGAGGGGGTTGGACAAGCCGCCAATAAGGTTAATAAGGAAGCTAGCCTCTCATTTGGTATAGCAAGAATCCGATCATTTTATTTTATTTACCAACATTTGCCATGCGGCGGCTAACATCTCGTATTAATCGAGCAAGTACTTATACATACAAAAGAGCGATCATGCTGGACTGTTGTGACCTCTTGGCAACCCATCTAATCCCTCCACGGTTAGACTGAAACCCTCACTAGGGAGAACCCTTGAGAACGCAATCGTCACGATGCTACGTACAAACAGGGTCTTGCAGACGAATTCACCCGATTTTTTTTTTCCTTTACCGATTCGCCTCCGTACCAGAGAAAGGAAAGGTGTACATGAGGAAATAGGTAGGATAGGAAACAACACATAGTAATGACTCGAAATTAATATTGATATTCACTCTTTATCCGCCTGAAATACGTGGTGTGCTCAAATCTTTCACTAATTGTACATTACTTCCATCCCTAGGAGCAAACGTTATCATGGTCTCGAGGTCGTGAACAAAAAGACAAAATGTATTGTTCCTCTCTTGCTCGAATTTCAAATGCTAACTCCCTTCATTTCCCTTGTCTAGAAATTAGGATGATGCAACACCCTGTAGATACATACATCTATGCTTGGTTCCAAAATGTTGGCCTTGCTCAGTTGCATCGTCGAGGGCGAGGTAGAACTTAATGTGATAGATACGTGCGTAGGCAAGGGGGTAGATGAAGATGCCGTTTTATTTTCAATACTCCACCAACAGGATTGAAATCATACTCTCGGCCAGTTCGGTCTTTTAATCCCCACGTGCAAGCCTCAAGGCTATGTACTCCCCTCCCCATTCCGAGAAACGGGCCGGGTTATAACTAGGTCAATACCTGCACCTAGTTCAAACTTCCCCCCCTCCACGATAGGCCGGACGGTGCGCTATCATACATGATACACCAGGTGCGTGACTCTGAACAAGAGTACAAGCCATGACTTGTTCCAGAATGGAATAGCAACGGACCTCTGAAGGTTGCCTCTCGCAAAGATACTCTAACAAGTTTGGTGTCCTTAGTAGTCATCGGGTCCCCGCTGTTACTAGTGGTGATCCATTCGATATTATAGTAACAGGTATGTTTTTGTGCTCGGAAAATAGCAAGATAATGTAAATTCGAAAACGCCATGACACCTTACTATGCTGACCCTGTGCAAACGCCGTGGACTTTAACAGTGTCAAATACATGATCGCGGGCCTATAAGCCTTTAATCGAGAACGGAATCATTTTTGCTGATATTTCGTAGTGTGGCGCTTGTCGTCGTTAGAAAAAGTGCGTATAAATCTTGGACGTCTCGTGAACTTCCATTTCCTGAAATGGGGCGTTAGTAAATAGTACGAGTGAAATTGCAATAAGATTTCATCAACACCTACCATTTTGAAACTGTTCAATTCCTCCTTGATTTGTTGGGCAAGCATTGGCGTCAGGCGATTGCAAGTTGCGATATCGCCACGACGGTCATACTCGCCACTCGGCCAGGTGTCGTAGAAGATGAGCCGTGGGCTGAACGTGGCATTTCGCTTGCTACCGCTACCTTGAGGTGTTGTCGGTGCACTCCTAGTGTCTTGACGAAGGCGAAGCGCTGACACGAAATAGTCTTCACTGCCGATAGCAACAGACCCGCTGCGTCTGTGACCCTGTACTTCATCATTCGGGGTGCTCGGAGCGCTGGAACTGGGAGAGTTCGAAACGTTGGGGATTGTCGGAAGATCGAATGTAGGACCTTTAAGCTCAGGTCCCCGGTTTACTGGGCTTGGAGAGTTGCTGCGAGCTAAAAATAGTGTTAGAACTAAATTGGAATTGAATTTCAATGTCAAACTTACTTTTCAAGATACCCTTTCGAATCGTTGCGAGTACCTCAGCTCTCTCCCTTTCACCACCAACTATGCTTTTTCTTGCACCAGAATTATCTGTGCCTGAACTCCCAAGACGATCGGATGATAGGGCATCGACTGTCACATCCACCGAATTATTTTCTAGATGGGGGAAGCCAGTACCACCAGCTTGTTGTGAATGAGGATCGACATTGACGTTGACCCTTTCGCGCTCGGCTTCCACTGTTACCATGGACACTTCGGCCTGAGAAACTTCGGGCAATTTCAAATCCTCAGGCGACCCGATGATGGATTTGGGTCGGAACAATCCAACTAACGACCTACCACCTTTCTTCATCCCACGTCCCATCTTACGGAGCATGATTGATGCAGATGATGCCGTCGAAGAGATCGAAAGGTTATCGGTCGATCCGGAGAATAGCTTAGTGCCAGAATAGATACTGCTTCCGATTCCGCTCTCTTCCTGCTTCTGCGCAATCCGTGCCTGTTCCTCCTCGTAAAGATCCTCAGGTCTGGGATCCTTGTGCAATCTTGAGGTCTCATTTTGCGATATCTTAGCAGCGTCGGAAGTGGTGATGTCTTGGCCGGCAGCCTTCCTAAGTTCAGCTGCGCTGCCGAATGAGAAAGCTCGTCGCAGCCGCGATGTCTTGCTCTTAGACTTTCCTCCCTTCTCATTAATTGCAGCGAGCTGCTTAGCCGCAGGACTATCGGCCATCGAACCAGAAGTCGGCGCCGACGACTTGGCTAGGGGCGGCTCCGATGCATTAGCGGGTGTTCCCGAGTCATCGGACGAAGATCCGGTACCCATGGTTACCGGTTTCGACAAGGGAGATGGATTAATAGTTCGTTTGCCGACATCAGTTGATGAACCGCGAGGCGGGATATTCACCTGCTTTGATTGATCGTGGCCGGTCTTCTTGTCTGCAGAGGTGGAGGTGGAGGCGGGGCTTGCCGTGGGGGCAGATGCACTGGAGTTTCGGTTGGCAGACTGTTATAGCAGGTTCAGTTAGTATATTAGTGAGGCAATACTGTCTCGCCGTCACCTGATTGGGCAATCCATCGGAGACTTTTCCCTAACTCTTCCAGGGGTTAATACGTACCGAAGATGGCCTAGAATTACTGCTCCCGCTCGAAACAAGACTTTCCGAACTGCCATTAATGCGATGCATACTATTCTTTTCGACTGGTCCATTGGTAGAGAGGCCAGAAACAGGTCGAGGTGCAATTTTCTGGCTCTTATCTGAACTACCATGCTTCCTCGACGCGGCTAACGCTTCTAGGCGGAATGATTCTTCCGCTTTCTTGAACTCCTGCGGGGTCGGGGGGTTGGGATAATCGGAAGAATTGATGGAGTGTATGCTACGCCGTCGAAATCTTTTAGCTTCTTCCTCGGTAGGATGCCGATATAGCTGCATGTCATCCACCGCCACTCCAGCCATGGACCCGTAGGCGCTATGCGGCCTACCCACAGATACTACTGAATTCCTAGACATCCCTGCTTTCCGGTCGGGCATAGCTCGAGGATTATAAAGATGAACAACGGTGGCCATGCCGGAACCTGATGGAATTGCTGAACCTTGCGGCTGCTGTGCCTGCATTACGCCAGGCGAAGAGTCTGTGTGTTTCGCAGACGGTCGTCTATATCGTTCCGGTGCTGCTTTTGATGCAGCAACCTGTGCAAATGTTGGTTGGTTAGAAGAAATATTTAACGGTGCAAGCTGAGGCCGAGGTCCAGATGGAGCGGCAACCCGAGAATCATCTTGAGACATCCCATTGGATATTGATGAGTAACTGGTGTTGTTACCCGGTGTGTTGGAATTTACAGGACGGGAACGCGCCGAAGCGTTTGGATCTGTCATCTGCATATTCGGAACACTTGTCGACGAACGGTAGGCTCCGTACTGCTGCCATTGTCCGCCGTTGGCTAGATTTGGCGTAGCTGTGAAGGCATATGGCTGAACCGGTGTGGAGGTGTTGCCACGATATACAGTCTGCCCTCCTCCAACACTATTAGACAGACCATGATAATTGTTCCTTTGCGAATTACCCATGTACGCCGGGTTAGGCTGAGTTCCTGATGGTCCTGGCATCCTTCCCGAAGCTGAGCTTGGTCTAGTCTGAAGCAATGTTACTGTTCCACTTTGCTGAGGATATGTTTGGACCAACGCAGCCATATTCAAAGATTTAGAGCCCGAATGGTCGGATGGGCGGGCTTACGAACGAAGGGATTCGATTCGCTTGTGTAATCTATTGGCTATAGAAGAAGCTTTGAACGAAAGAAGAGGGGTTCCGCGAACGGGGCAGGGTGGATGTCTTTAATAGTTATTGTTAGTGAGTGATCACATAGATGATATTTCGATTAATACGGTGACAAGACCACGATACCCAAATAGATAGATACCGAGTAGGTAGTGTGTATATAATATGAGTAAAGCAAAAAAAAAAAAAAAAAAATGCACACCTTTAGATTACCGACACCCAATAATTAGTACACTTAACAAGGTAGGAATGTCGGTCAAGTAATGACAATGATCCGAATTGGAGATTAAAGATGGTAAGGTTGATGGAAAGTGAGAAGGGCGCCTGCGACCAGGGAGAAAACGAGTGATGGTCTCCAGAGGGAAGTCTACTATTACCGTAGACGACCACGTCGACCTAGATGTGCCGAGTATCTCACGACAGCTGGTCTCGCGGAGAAGGGCCGGATCGGGTTCGATGAATTTTCGGTGCCACGATTGACACGGAGAAGGGATAAACGAAACTCTAGTGGGAGAACATGGGAGAGGCTATCGTATTTGACCCTATCCGTGTTGTTGTCGGCCAAGGAAGAGAATAATCTTTGTTTTTGTGAAGTTTGTTGTTTTTTTAATAGATGCGAAGGCCACTTAATCCGATGGTAATGGACAGCCTGAAACAAAAATCAAATGGAAGATGATTCGGAAGAGACGAAATGAGGGGGAAGAGAATTGGATTGGATTCGAAAAAGGGATGACGGAGGAAAAAACGTTCAGGGACTTGGGGCTAAAGGGGGGAAACCGCGAGAGAGAATCACAACAACAAAACAGAGTGCAATTTCTGAATAACGCTATGTACTAGGTAGTCAAGTAAATAGAGAATATGACTAAGGGGGGGCAGGGAAGAAGGAGAGAGGTGTAAGGGGGGAAAGAGGGTTGATGTTATTCAGAAGTGCATTGGGATGGAGAAGGAAAGAAGTTTGGAAGTTGAGGTTTGAAATTCCATATTCCAATCTTTCAGGCAAGGCAGTGCCAGTTAGTGCTGAAGTTACCTAGCAGATTAGCGTGTATCGTAGCGTTGTTGTAGCGTGGTATCCAATTCTACAGGAACGGTACCTATCTAGGTATTATACCTAGCAGTATGGGATGTACATGCTGTGTTCAGGTGGAGCACAAGTAGAGTGGACCAGAGTAAGACTCCGTGTAATGGCCGTCTACTGGCTGCAGGTGTTAACCAGATAAAGGTAGGTACCTCACTACGTAGCTTGTACGAGGGAAATGACCCACAGTTAAAGAAACTAAGTAAGGTACATAGCTCTTCCCTTGTGAAATATGCTCGGAACTGGAGGAGAGAACAATGGAACATCCTGGTATCTAAGTATTTAGCCCACGATAGTGGATTGGATTAGATACTTTAGAACCCTTGGAAAAACAACAAATCCAACAATTCGTTAACCGACAACTGTAAAACCCATCTCGCCTTTTCAATCACTCCCGTTCTTAGGTGGTTGGACATACATATGCTACCTACATACAGTACATACCTGCTCTGTTATGACACAGATAAACGAATTGCCCGCCTTACGACTACGCGGAATAAGAAAAAAAGAGGAGAGACGAAATTCCATATCGACGAATTGCATCACTTGCATGAATTCCTACCCGTATCACGGTCAATCATACATGTAGATATGGGCTGATGTAGGTGACTTGACTGCATGACAATATTACAGGTCGTTCTAACCATTCTAACACCGCCTATTCAATACAGCGATGTCCCCTATTCAGCAACTTTAGGTACTAAACTAAATACTAAATCTCAGCGCGTTTACCAAAGAAAGGGGGCGCGCTAGCAAGCGTTGAAGGCTCTGCCACCGTCGTTGTTTTTGTTTGCTTTAGCGGGTACGTGTTTTTCTAGGTACTAGGTTGGTAAATAGATACTTATTCGGAAGTCTCGCGACGGCGCTATCTCATATTAAAGGTCTTCCTCCTATATATGCTACTAAACCCTTTTCATCCAAGCCCCGTGTGCCAATTGGCCGGGATTGTTGATGAGACAATGACCATCTATTGGTCTGCGCTCACTGCCCTGTCGCGCTAGACAAGAGCACGACAAGGGGATCGGAGGATGCTTTACAGCATGACGCGGCGGCCACACGGAGTACAGTACAATACATAAATCGATGGAGCCCTTGGAGAATTCGCCGCACACCGTTTCTGCATCCATGGTTCGATTGCCTCGTCAATCCAAGAATTCCCAATTCTCATGCTAGAGAGAGCGATGTCTGCGTGTGGAGAGGCTGGGAGGCCAAGTGGATTCTTTACTAGCGAGCTTCGAGAAGATTTTGATGTTGTACACAACGAGCAAGCAAGCAATCAACATCTGACGAAAAGAGCCGAGCCTCGGTGACCATATATACATACATACAGTACTATGTATGTGTGTATCATAGCCTCAACTCAGGGGAATGACGTGACCGTCATACGTGGAGGCTCTAAAAGTTTACAGATGCGAATTCAGACGACGGGATGACTTCCGTCATACCTTGCTAGCCTACATATATGGCTAAGGGGGTTACATCTTACTTACATATGCACCTGTATACTTAAGCAGCAAGTATCCTTTTTTTTCCCCTCGTCTTTCATGGATAGATATTAGTGAGACGGCAGTCTTCGGAGTCTTCGAAATTTGGGTGCATCGGTGCCAATGCTTCCAGGCTTGCGTTATGCACCGCTTCAAACTGCTTCCAGAAAGAAACCTTAGCAACGGGTAAGCACCGGTTCGGCAACTACATGCATGAATGCACCAACGATGCGTCTAAGCGATCAAGGTATAGCAACGTTGGAAAACACACATACCTAAATAGGCACCTAGGTATTATTAAGATGGTCCTACTGTTCACTGTTCGGGGCTTAAAGTTTGTGTTTTAACATTGATCGGCGGTTAGCAACGCAAGAAGACATATCTTGATAGATCGACTTAAGAGCCCATGTTTTAAGGGTGTCTTGCCCAATGTCATCTGCAGGTACCGTGGTTCGTCCTCTTGTACTGTGAAGAGTGACCAGTGACGGGACCACCGGAGATCATTCATTTCGAGATGTCGAAAAGGGAAGATCCCCCAGCATTGAGAACCAATCCACACTAGCGATCAACACCATCTTTACTTGTTTGAGCCAACGATTAATGATTCTTTGTGTAGATGGAACTACGTGAGAGAACAATGCGTCCGCAACCTAGCATTACCTAGGAAAAGATGAAGTGACATGCTGGGTGACGAGCCATCAAGAAATAAAGAAAGAAAGAAAAAACCGAAACGAATGATGTATGGTTTCAAACTTCCAATTAGCTAGTAAGTACTTAGAGAGTACATACCTCTTACACCTATCATTGCTTGCCTTTCAAGTTTCCGCACAGTAGCCGGAATTTTTAACTACTATACCTACCTACCTATGCAGCAAGCCGACATGCAGACCGGGATTGATACAGGATAGTAGTATTTAAAGCAAGGTAATCCTTGTACAGTGTTTAAAGACATACCTACATACCTACCTAGTAGTATCTAGGCTATGTATATCATTATAACCTTGAAGTATTTATAATAATAGAAATCATCTAAAAAGCAACTTCGTTTCTCTTCATCGATAAGTGTCTAATGTGTCACTCATGTTGTTTTACAATCATCGTTCAATTATCAGTAAGTTACTAGGTAGGTACATAGATTCACCAACAGAGGATCATCAATCTGGGGAGAAGCAGAGACCAACGGTTCTCGGATGTTTTGATAAATCGGTTAGATGCAAAACGGGTCAATTTTACCGTTTTGGTATATTTTAAACGACGATTCAGATCCGTTCTTGGAGATCTCTCCCCCTTTTCCCCACGTCCATCTTATTGCTAGGTGTTATTATTAGAAGGACCCCGTATTGAGCCCCTATTTTTTTCTCTTTGATCTGCATATCCTACTTCGTATGAGTGCTTAATGCAGGTCAATTTTTAAAAGTTTCCATTGGAGTTGATAGCATTATGCCAATTTGTTTCAGCATTTTAAAGAATGATTATGTTAAAAGAAAAAGATGCATACCCGGGTACGGTACTTAAGCAGATATATATCCCATTTACCCAGTTCTATAACTGTAAGTACGTAAGTAAGCTTTTGCTTTTACTAGTTAGGTAGGTACTAATAAAATAATCTTGTTTGTGAGTTCTATGGTTGGCGTCAACGGTCGAGGATGATGTCCTTCCCTGCCTTAATTAGAAGGTCTATGTTCCCAAAAGAGCATTACACATGAATTCCTTGGATATTTCAATTGTAACCTTAGGTTTTGACGTGGAAACGCGATCCAAAATCAGTAAAGCGCCGCCGCTCGTCTAATGCGGAAGGTATCTCTACCTTCTGATATCTCCAGGCTTGGCTATATGCGACAACAGCCGCTACAGGGATGCCATTGAGATTTCCAAGTTTGCGTCCGAATATCTAACAAGGCACTAATCCTCAATGCATTTATTTATATTAAACGCCGCTCGAATATAGAGATAGGATCGTGGTAAAGAACAATGCTTTTCACCCACTGCTTTTCTATCTTCCGATGGCTCTTACAAGACTTCGATCTTCAGTCACCTAGACGATACGACTTCGCTTCGGAGTCTCATAACGTGGGATAAGAATGACTACCTACCCAGGTACGCGAGGACAGGTCTTGGATATGGATGCCAGTTCCCAGCTGGTGCCCTTGTCTAAACAATTCCCACGATACTCACTGCGCAACTAGTTTCTATTGAGTCTGTTCTATGTGACCTCCGAGTCTCACATCAACTTGTTCCCTCCTAGCTCTGATCTTGGACCGTCGCCGTGTGTCAAAAGCCGAGGTAACATTTTAGTGTGGTTATAAGTTACCATAACCATCAGCCTCTCACTTCCAACCAATTACAAATTTGTCACTTAATAGCCAAAGAAAGAACAAAAATTAAAGGGGGGGATTAGACTAACTTAATGAATAATATCTTACTACACATATCTCTACATCTCCGTTACGGGACGTTGCGTATCCGATGCTTTGCATATACCTACTACATGGGTCACAAAAGTATCCTACGTTGTTAACTTATTAACCCATTTGTCTACTTAATTTCATGTTCATGTTCTGTTGTCAAGAGTTAACATGTATCTCAGGATAACTATCACAGCGTACGTCAATCTAAGGTGTCAATGCTGCAGGATTAGAATCCTAGACGAATAGCCTTGGCGATCTCATATGAGGCATGCAGATAGTGTACTCTCCCCTTGACAGTATACATCTATGCGAAATCTCATTGCTGTCGGTATAGCACCCGATCAGCAAACAAGCGCATCCCGCACCCGAAATCTACCGCCCTTTCATTAGCATATCTGGGACGTCTAGTCAAATCGGGTCGAGCTAGGCTACAAAGACATCAATCAACTAGTTTCCAGATCTCACGTCCTACGAAGAGGATTGTGTCTCCAACATCGCAAACCTCATGCAAGACAATCCGTGACGTCTTCCCCCACAGACAGATCAGTTGATCTAGGCAAGCCTGCTACGACGATCTCGTCCCAAGGCTAGGGATCGTGGGTCGTTTTGAAACGTACTTGGTTGACCGCCTGTGTAACTTAGCTAGGGGTTCAAATCCACAGGGTCGAGACCCTCATGGTTAAGCGGGCGTATGTCAGCCACTTGGGCGTCATGTTAAAGTTCCACGAGTGAGGTGTACCGCTCGACACCGGGACTCCGGACCTGAATAAGCTTGTTGCCCCGCGGGTGTCCGCTCCCTACCACCGCATATATATAATCACGACATAACTCATCCGAGTTTCTTCTTTAGACCACGTTTAAAAGTTGCCAATCAGGACTTTCGATCTCGATTACGCCTAATGGCAGTTACCTTTTCATATTTCCACCACTATCGTTCTTGTAGTGACGTATGTAACTCTCGTTAACACGAAAGCTCGAGCTAGTGATCTCGACAGCCACTACATGCAGTATCCAATGGAAATAGCGTCTCTTGATCAGAAGAAATGCTCCGAAGCTCGGGCCCTCGTATCCGGCGCGTCCCGCAGCAATGGGTGCGCTGAGATGCCCCAGCATAGGACATGCGGCTAGCGGCTTCGAGAATAGGTAGCGTTGCTTGCTGCGGGTAAATCGGCAACTTACTGATATCTACTGCCAGTAACCAAAACACGCAGAAATTCGAATGAATCGGAGATAAATATGCGGTAATCACGTACCACCATTTTTAGACTATAGCCATGTAAGATATCGATACACCGAAAACCGGAACACAACATTTGATAGGAGATAGTTTCGATCAATCTCTCGATCAGAGCCCGATGCTTAGGTAGGTAGGTCAGAATGGCAGGTGACTTCTTCGTTCGAGGTTATTACGGAGCAACATTAGCTAGGACGTAATCCCTCTATCAGTCGGTATCACATGAACAAATGACGCGCCCAAGGGAGACGTAATTGTAAAAATATCCACCATGTTCTAGATCCGCAAGCGAGGCGACCAAACCCTAGTCCTATGTAGCCGAGTCGACGACAACTGGAGCGCCACCTATGCACTTCAGAGGTTGGGGAAACGGGAACCGAGTTGTTGGGAAGCAACTAAGTAAGGGCTCTGCGCGGGTAACCGTCGCTAGACTTTATTGCCAAACTGCCGGCTGCATGTTACGCAGGTCGGTATCCGAAGGCTGGATCCAATGCGCTTTTTAAGGGAAATTTATTGGCCAATGCTATTTTCCCAAGCACAAACATTGAGATAAGGTTAATTAGGTATGCTTGTTTTAGGGAGGCTACGATCTTTCTATCTTGTGGACGTCAGTAGCCGCTTCGGCCAAAATCTCTTCTAGGAATCGAGGATAGGTACTTATGTTCTTATGTTTCCCCTAAATATGAATTACGATTCCCTATAGGTACTAAGCTACCGTAACGGCAAAACGGATATTTTTACAATCATTGTTATAAGATAATTATTCTTTTTATAAGAATATTTCCACTAGTCTTAAGTACCTTCCCATACAAATTTGGTGGCAAGGTATATCGAGAGAATTGATCATGTTTAAGAATCATTCTAAAGCCATAAAATACATACAAATAACCTCACTTTTCCTGAAATATTTTAGGAATCATTCTTTTCCATTCAATCATTCCATTAATAATAACTATTCCTTCGACTAATATTAGAATCATTCCTTAGATCGCAATCGAATCAGTAAATAATAAAGAATCATTCTTTACATCGTAATCGAATTCATCAACAACACCTATTCCTTCAAGTATCATTCCTTAGATTACAATCGAATTAATTATGAATAATTATTCCACCCTTTCGTACTTTCCAAAGTTCGAATAACCTCACTTTCTTCTAAAGATTTTATACCTAAGAATCATTCCTTGAACTTCAATCTATTCAATCAGTTCAATTAGTTCAATCAGTTCAATCAGTTCAATCAGTTCAATCAGTTCAATCAGTTCAATCAGTTCAATCAGTTCAATCAGTTCAATCAGTTCAATCACCTACCTACCTTAGTAAATACGTATTCGATATATTCAACCTATTTGATCTATTCAATCTATTTGATCTATTCAATCTATTTGATCTATTCAATCTATTCAATCTATTCAATCTATTCGATCAGTTCAATCACCTACCTTAGTAAATACGTATTCGATCTATTCGATCTATTCAGTCAATTCAGTCAATTCGGTCAGTCAATTTGATCAGTTTGATCAGTTCGATTTATTCGATTTATTCGATCTACCTTGGTAGGTGATTAAAACCTGAATCTCGTACCTGACCTTCCTACCTTTATTTTGGCGATACCCTCATTACTTCTAATACCTGGCAGAATACCTACCGCCTTCGTTACCTTCCCTTCTATTTCGTACCTCTTACCTATCTATTTACCTACCTTCCCTTGCCAATCTTTTTATTTCTTCATCTTTTCATCTTTTTATTTATTCATCTTTCAATCATTCAACCTTACAAAGTATTCAATCAAGCTATCGCGCCATACCAACCCAGGTACGTACATATTATATCAATCTTTTAACCTTTGAATCTACTAATCTAAGTAATAAATATACCAGAATATCAATCGCGCGATCGATAAATTTACCTAAGTAAGTACCTAGGTACGTATTAATCTTGCAATCATTCAATCTACTAATCTACCTACCTAGCAATCAAGCAAGCAAGCAATCTTTGAATCGTTCAATCAAGGTATGTACGTTTCTATCTACGTATATATCTTCCAATCGACTGATCTAATATACTAATAATACACCTACCTAGATACCAATCTTCTGATCTTTCAATCTACCAAGGTACGTTTCAATCTATGAATCTATCAATCAAGCAGTTGACTAATGAAGCAATATACCAGTATACAATCGAATTGAATCGAAGAATCGAACTGAATCGCAGAATCGAACTGAATCGCAGAATCGAACTGAATCGAAGAATCGAAGAATCAAACCTATTATACAACTTCTAAGTTGAATTACAAGGCTTAAATAATAGAACCATTCTATCAGTTATGAATCATTGCTTCCAATTAAATCATTCCTATGCATGTAACAATTAGAATCATTAGATCGACTGTAGAATCATTAAATCGACGATAGAATCATTGTATCGATCGTAGAATTAATGTATCAAGTGTAGAATCATTTCTTCCAATTAAATCATTCCTATGCATGTAAGAGTTTGAAGCTATTTAGAATCATTCTCATAAGTGGGATGTTCCCACTACGGTAGGTAATGGATATCGCTATATATCGAAACATTTACTTAAGATACATCCTACCGCTGAAGTCTAATTATAAAAACTTCTAGGAGAGTGTAACCTGTTCGTGATACAACTAGAGGATCGTGGCGTTTCATCCGTCATCATAAACACAGATCATTGATGGAAATGCTGAAGCCACCGAAAATCCTCTTCACGAAGCCACAATGTCACTATTCGTATGAACTAGAAGTAAAGGACGAAGGATGTTGGCGAATATGCCGTAGAGTAGAAAAAGCGCATCCTACACCACTCATGAAACCCAGAAACAGTAGTTCATCTTTCACTATACATAATTTTACACATTTATACAAGCAAAATCCGTACGAATAGATGATCGTGTCATCTTAATTGTACACAAGATATAAGAAGGATTCGATTGATTGAAAACTATAGTTTCACAGCTTCTACCTCTCCACCACATATGGGATCGACGACTCAGCCCAACGTCAAAATAACTAGCTGTGAAACCATCACATTTCGCTTTGTTGCTTAGTTAGGTATCTTCTTGAGAAGATACGAATTTGACTCAAGCTGGAATATCCCGTTTCGTTTCGGTCGCGAAGTTCGATGGTCCATTTTCCTCGAACATATCCTCTGTATATATACCTACTAGCTAGGTGAGTATAGAGAAATATGACGTAGAGGTTTGTCTTGAGAGGGGGTTATTCCTAAAGTGAATATCGTGGATACCTTACTCTTTAGGAGATTTATCGAGGAAGGCGTTTCGTCCTGTAGAGTTAGATAGACGGGTATGTACTCTAGTTAGTTGCGCCACTCTCCGACGTTCTCGGTAGCCGGGCGAAAGAGTCCGGGATCGGATCGACGAATCTAGCATATGCCTGTCACCGATGCAAAGGAGAAATGACGATAGTAGAATTTGCTTTCGAGCAGATTTTATTCGTATCTCGTTTCTCATCCAATTAAAAGATCAATATGTGAGGTAGGTATAATTCCGATCGTAACTCGTTCCCGCGCAACCCATCCAGTTGCGCGCTCAATTCCCAATTAATTCCAGAGTCGCGTCTGCAGAGAAAAAAAAAACTGTATCAAACAGAAAAACCGCAGACGACGAAAAGCGCGCCCTGTGAAGCCATTCTTAGACTTGACAGGGCGCGCTCAGTTCTTCTTAAAGGCATTCTTGAAAGCCTCGGACCAGCCGCCGAGTAGGTACTGGTCCGTGTGTCGCCCACAGTGGGTGTAGACGTTCACAGTAGGCGAATGCGGCTTCGAAGACTTTTGCGAGTTTTGGTTGTGATGGCCGAATGATTTGCGGTATTCGTCAAATCGACTGGTCCTCGAGGTTTCCTGTGGGCGGTTAGACCCGAGGAGTTGTGTGCGACTAGCAATGCTACCAACCTTGCTATCTTTGTCTGAAAAGGAGGAGTCGAAGCTGCCTTGGCGGCCGTGGGTGGTGTTGGTCTCGCTAGAGGCTCTTATGTTGAGTGGGGTGGGAGGCACACCTCGTGACGAAGGCATATCCAATTGGAGTTGATTGGTGCTTCGATGTCGTGTGTATTGGTAGTGGTAGTGGATAGTGGGGTTGATGAAGTATCTACTTCTAGATACTAGATACCAGATGATGGCAAGCAGAGAGGACTCTGAATGATCTCAATGATATGTCGAGTCTGATTAATAAATATGTGTGTTGTGTGTGATATAGTAAGCTTCAAGCTTGGAGCGCAACTGTTGGCGACAGTTATGATGTAAATCAAAAAGTAGAATGAGTGCCCTCCAGGGTTGCCAATTGCGCACTCCTGGTGCAGTTTATGTATGATGGCTATAAAAGAAACCTAACGGAAAAACGGCTTCGGAAATTGACAAGCTTGGAAAAACTTGTTGCCTGGAAATGGTCTATATATACATGTCTGTTCACTACCTACCCTACCCATACCTACCATACGTATTCTCCTCGACAAGGAGCTTGGCGGCTCAAGTAACGGAACACTTGGGCCGACCTAGGATGGCCGCTGATTAGCATGCTTACGGGGGACCCCGAACTGGGATGGTTGAATGGGTGGATGGGTCTGTGTGAGGCAATTGGTATAGGGTGTTATCTGTCTTCTCCGGCCAATGGGTATTCGGATGAAGGAACACCATACTGCAGGGAGACTACGCAACAGACGGTGTGTGACTGAGGCCAGAAGCACTGCTATTAGTCACCCCGCGAGTGATCTTCTTTTCCTAGTGGAACTCCCTAGTCAGCCCTATTAGAATCGAAGGTGCCGTGACACGCAGCCAAGACCTTTTCATGTATGTATTTCGATCAGTTCGGTAAAGTTATAGGGTTAGTGATCAGTGTTGGGTACGGCGATGATGCGTCCCTGTATGCTCGCTGCCCGAAGAGAATACTCGACTGCAGCCGCTGCAGCTGCTTCTTTGCCTGAAACAACTCTCTACAAAGTAGCGAAGCTGTAGTAGTCCGTAAGAGGTATCTCAAAGGTCTAGACACTGCTATAATACCGAGTAGGCTGGTCACGGGGGACTAGAGAAGAACCGGGAGGAACTAATAAAACAGGTTATGGGAAATGGCGGAGTCACGAATGATTGGAAACTTCCTGATGCCGTTGATGCCATTGGCAAAACCGCGCACCCAGCTTGTTGATTTCGAAGACCGACGGCAGCTCCAGCTACTAGGTACGGATAAACGGCATGTGATTAGATTATTCGGCGGGACGCGAACCATTTCCTTGCCCGGAGCTGTGCCGATATCCAGGAAGAGTGGGGATCATCCTCCATGGATTGGATCGGTGCAGCTGGAAATGTTGCTGCCTGAGGCGAACCGAATCGAGCTGACTCAACTTCGTAATTTCGGAAAATTGAAACATCTCGAGAAAGTTTAGAAATTTTTCTTTCGTTTCTTTCTGAATAATGAAGAAGTGATGAAATCTCAACTTAGGATTCCTGTTAAACTTAGAATTGCATACTGATGATAGTTTTTCGAAATACATCTCCAAAATTGTAAAGAAAAAGGATTCTATTTGTATTGTGTTATTGTTCATGTTAGTGTTCATGTTAGCGTTACACTGTCCACTGTCTTGAGCCGGCATATGAGGCAGGCTAAAGCACGTGCAACGTTTTAATCAAACCCTGTGACTTGACTAAGTAGGATCGATCGTTAAGGCCATTAAGTTGTTGCCTCAGGCAGGAACAAATGATTCAACCCACCAAGCCCGGCGTCGGCAAACAGGCTAAGAGTAAAAAAAAAACATTGGGTCCCTCCACGTACCTGATTGTACCTATCGTACCCACGCAACCACGTTCCCGACCCCTTTGAGCGGCTCATAGGGCTGACCTTGAGTTTTGAGCCGCATGGTAGCGCCGTCGATATGATGCAAATCTGGGGATGGGTCCTTGGAGATATTCAGGTCGAAGATGATGAAGTTGCATTTTGCATTTGATTCCATGTGCATCCTCCGCCGGGCGGGTAAGGGGCAAAAATTAGTCAATTACCTATTAAATGTGTAGGCGACCCAAGAAAAGGTCATAGAAGATGAGTTTTGGTATTGGAAGCTAAAGATATCCGGGATCTTGAAGACGTCGAGATTTAAATGTTGAAAATTGGGAGTGAAGATGAATGGATTGTCGGAGTCGTCGGGGTAGAGTTGTTTTGGTAATTTTTTGGTATGACACGCAAAATAAATCTTGGCGGGTACGATTTGAATGAATTTGATTGGTTATTGGCCTATTTCATTGTGGGACATTTGTGTTTTGCAGTGGTCCGTGCCCCTTACCCGCCTGTGCAGAAAGCAGAAAGCGCAGAAACGCGCGACAAGTGACTACCTAAACCCTTACTAAATCCCCCCGAAGCTCTTTCACCCTTCAGCTTGCGCCTTTCACACTTTTCACGCAACTCAGAACTCGTCCCGACGCTTCCTTCATTTGCCCTTTTCATTATTATCATTCTACATCTCGACCAGGCAACGCTACCCTCATTGAATTTATCCTTTATCATTCAATGTTATCAATGTTTGACGTTAGCCTGCGCCTCTTCTCTATTATTTGATACGACATATCCCATATTTTTGCATATGCCTCCCAAAGACCTCCCTTGTCCGGATCTTCCCATATAGCCATTGAATTCAATCGAGAACCCTGCATCATCTTAATAACAGTATCTTAACTATCCAACTCATTTGACAGTCTCGCCTTTGACTTCGAGTTCCTCAACATCCCGTCCTTGTCGCGTCGTTTTTATCGTGTCTACTCGCGGATACTATCTCGACAATCGTCTGGGGGATCCCTAATACGCCCACCTGTCGATTTCCTACCTAGCCAACTAGACAACCGTGACATCATCGAAGACAAACCCGGAAAAGAATCTGTTGACGAACCATCCAATCGAATTGCTAAATGCCGTAGTCCGAATATTTAGAAGCACATTACCGTGTGAATGGGAGTGATCTCGATCTCATTGTGATTACTTCCATTGTAGCACTCCCGACTTGACTTCGAGCGAGTCTGAACGGCAAGCGCGATCGTTCTGCCGTGCAGAATATCGACAATAACTCAGCCTATAGTCTTGTCTCTCCTGAGACAACTTCTGGGTATGCTTTTCCATCGTGAAGTGATCGTTAACGTGTAGGAGATGGTAGATCGTATACTGATTATTTGGACTTGTAGCTCTGGGATATTCGTCTCCCTTCGTACCTTCCGGCCGTTCGCCGAAAGCTTAAGCTTTCTTGCCCCTTTTATATTCGAAGGTTCGTTCCCTCCTCTAACGCTGTAGCGTGCCCGGAGACCCTATCATTTGTCAAATTGTGGACAGCTGCGTCATATTAGTCGGCCTTACCTTTGGTGCCTGTCCATTCTATTATCCCATGCTTTGATTAACTTTTCAATCTTTCCTGTCTTCCACAGTCTTTTCTTTCACTAGCAACTTGCAAGATATGATGCAATCCTAGATCCTCCCTGCTAACACTACCAACTTTGAAGTCTTTGATACTTTGCCTGAAGGCCCCCCTTCAATATGGCTGGTAAACGAAAGAGAGATCTTCTGGATTTCGATCCCAACAAATCCGATTCTGATGATGAGAACTTTGAGCCCGACATCGATCGCCCACGCTCACAGAAGAAAACGCGTGCGCATAGAGCGAATAAACCCATTTCTCGTAAAAAGGGTAGATATCGGGGTTCCGATATTGAGGACGATGAAGAACTTGATGATAGTGATCAAGAGAATTCATTTGCGGAAGATGATGAGGACGAGCCTGAACCTCCTATAAACGAAACCACCGGCCGTCGTATTAGAAAGGCGGCTACCAAACACCAAAGTTACAAGGAAAGCTCAGAAGATGAAGATGAAGAATTAATTCGCGACTCGAACGAGGAGAAGGATGACCTTATTAAAGAACCTCCTAAGAAGTCACCCCGCCAGAGGAAGCTGATAACCCTTCGGGTTCCCCAGTCTGCACGAAAGACGCGTGCCGCCTCTAATGCGAACCCTCCTCCGATCGGGATTAGAAGGAGTACCCGGGCTCGTACGGTTGACGAAGATGATGCTGACTTAGTCGAGCTATCGAATTCTGGAAGACATGCAAGACCAGCTCGTGGATCCAAGAGCAGGAGCCCCGAAACTTTCAGTCGGATTAGTCGGCCAACTCGAAGTGGCAAAGGCATTAAGCAGACAATACCCACCGTAGTAGAGGCTGATACCCAAGAAGAAAACCCGCCTCCCGAGGCCGAGATTGTCGAAGATCCCATCGTCCAAGATGCTACAGTGCCTGAGGAAAATGTACCCGGGCACCCGGAGGCTGATGCTGACGCGGATGCCGACGCGGATGCGGATGCGGATGAAGACGCTGCCCACGACCACGAGGAGCCCATTGAAACGGTAGAAGCTAACGACCGCATGGATGTGGACGAGGAGGATGAAGATGATGTTGCTCCCGTTTCGCGCAAAACACGTGGTACGAGAGCTAACCAATTGACGGCCGCTACCGAGAATGTTGCCATTGAGGATGAAAGTCCAGTGAAGCGAACGCGCCGACTAACCCGTAAGTCTCGGCTGGGAAAGTCGCTCAAAGAGCCTAGCAGTGACTTTGAGCCCGGTAATGATTCTGAAGACGAGAACATGTCCGGCTCCGAGACTCACAAGAATGATCTGGGTGGCGGCGATGACGAGAACTCGAGTCCTAGTGCCCGCGGTCGGAGATCGTCGAGAGGGAAGGGGAGAAGATCTGCAAGAAGGTCTCAACGACGTAACGAGTCTGGAGACGAAGATGAAGTTGACGGGGATGAAGTGGCGGAAGAACTTGCAGATCTGACCCAGGATTCTCGTACACGTAGGACGCGTCGTCGCTCACCTGAAATACTCTTCGATAGTAGAGAAGCAACGAGGCGCCGTAGAGGCCAGCCGGTGAACTACGCGATAGCGCCGCTCAATAGCATCCCGTTCGAACAAGAAGAAGACAACGACGATGCAGCTGCAACAACAAATCGTCGTCGTGGACGCGGTAATGGGGGAGGCGGCTGGGACCATAACCTCCATACAGTTGCTGGCGCCTTAGGCGGCGTTGGTCTTAATGGCGCACTGCTCGGCGGACCTTGGGGAACCGGCGCAGCGGGTGGTGCCGATTCCGACAGCAGCGACGATGAAATGAACTTCCGCTCGGATGTAGGAGGAATGGCAGGCATGACGCCAACTTCCGCGGCTCCTAACCTAGGGCCATCACATGGAAATAGGGAGAGTGGTGGTCTCATGGCAGCGCCTACACTAAATGTTGGCAAGATTAAGAATTCGAAAGCCCTGGCCGATGCTGACCCACTGGGTGTTGATATGAACGTCGACTTCACCCAAGTTGGTGGCTTACAAGGTCATATCGAGCAACTCAAAGAGATGGTACAATTACCTCTCCTTTACCCAGAACTTTTCTCCAAATTCCATGTTACCCCGCCGAGAGGTGTGTTATTCCATGGCCCTCCGGGAACAGGAAAGACGTTACTTGCTCGGGCTCTTGCAAATAGCGTTGGTATCGGTGGTAAGAAAATTACGTTTTATATGCGTAAGGGTGCCGATGCGCTGAGCAAATGGGTCGGTGAAGCCGAGAAGCAATTGCGGCTTCTCTTTGAGGAAGCTAGGAAGACGCAACCTAGTATTATCTTCTTTGATGAGATTGATGGACTTGCACCAGTCCGCTCCAGCAAGCAAGAGCAGATCCATGCGTCGATAGTGTCTACCCTGCTCGCTCTGATGGATGGAATGGACGGTCGCGGTCAAGTAATCGTAATTGGCGCTACCAATAGGCCAGACAGTGTGGACCCTGCTCTGCGTCGCCCAGGACGGTTCGATCGAGAATTCTATTTTCCTTTGCCTGATGTTGACGGCCGCAAGTCAATCATCGATATCCATACCAAAGATTGGGGTCTTTCTGACCAATTCAAGCTGTCTCTGGCCAGAGATACGAAGGGTTACGGTGGTGCCGACCTACGTGCTATGTGCACTGAGGCGGCCATCAACGCGATTCAGAGATCGTACCCTCAGATCTATTCGTCGAAGGAGAAACTTATTGTTGACCCAAGCAAGATAGACGTGCACATGACCGACTTTATGCTGTCGAAGAACAAAATTGTGCCCTCTTCAGAAAGGTCTGCAACTTCCGGGGCAGCTCCGTTCCCCAAGCCCGTCGAACCGCTCCTGCGAGACCAGTTCAAGACTATCACCGACTCTTTAGATAGTGTATTGCCTCGTAAGAAGAAGGTGACGGCGCTGGATGAGGCTATGTTTGAACCTTACGATGACGAGGACTTTGGGTTCAGCCGGGAGGCCTTGCAACGGGAGTTCCACCAATTTCGTGTCTATCGTCCGCGACTTTTGATTTGCGGTTCTCAGGGAATGGGTCAAGTTTATATTGGCGCTGCCATCCTTCACTATCTCGAAGGTGTTCATATACAGAACTTCGACCTACCAAACATACTCGGTCAAAATATGGTACGTCTTGTCAAAATACTTTAAGCGACACTATCTTGGATGATGGCTAACTTGTCAATAGTCCCCTGAACAAGTGCTTTTCGGACTTTTCGCTGAAGCTAGACGACAGAAGCCGAGCGTCATCTTCATTCCGAACGTTGATATATGGTATGAAGCGTTAGCTGGATCTACGGCCTTGACTGCGTTCATGTCCATGCTTAGGACGATATCACCTACCGATTCCATCATGGTCGTGGGAATTGCGGAAACCGAATTGAAGCATATTAGTCCCGATTTGAAGCACGATCTCTTTGGGTTGTCGAACTCGAACTTCGTAGAGATTGCCCGTCCACATGAGGTAAGGCTGATATACATTATTATACTAGTGGACTATATCTAACAACAAATAGGCAAACCGCCAGGAATACTTCAGCAGGATATTGGAGCATATCCAAAGATACCCTAAGGACTTCCCTGATCCTGCTAACAGAAAGAAGAGAGTCCTAGAAGTGCTTCCCGTGGCCCCGCCGCCACCGTCCAAGCAGCTCACACTTGAAGAGATCAACGCTGAGAATCTACAATATCGACGAAACCTCAATTTGTTGAAAGTTCATCTGCTGCCTATTATGGATCAGATCAAGCGCAAGTACCGCTTGTTCCGTAATCCAGTCATACCGCAGTCAAAGTACCAATACCTCTTTGATGAGGCAGATCCTAACTATGTTAGACCTGATGTATCTAACGCACCGCCACGCCCTTATGAGCTTGGTAAGGACCCTGAAGGGACTCCAGGACTTATCGACACTGCGACAAACAAGTTCTTGTACAATCTTGATATCGTCACAATTGAGACAAGACTTGCTAATACGTTCTACATTACCCCGGAGGCATTTTTGAAGGATGTAAGATCTTTCGTAGCTGATTCCGAAACCCTTGGCGACCATGCTACCTACATCAAGGCAAATGAGATGTATGTCAACGTTGAGGTAGACGTAACAAACACCGCCGAGAATCTTCGTGCTAGATATGATTTTGAAGGGGATTGGAAGAGAGAGTTGTTCCGACAGAGGGAGTACAAACGAATTCAGAAGTCCCTCAGGAAACAGGCACAATCCAATTCGGGCCATTCCCAGCCTAATACCACTAACGGTGCAGATCCTCCACTCAGCGGTCATCCGCCGAAGTTACAGCGATTGCATACAACAGCCGGGTTCGAAGTCATAAAAGAATCTGTCACTAATGGTGAGGGCTTACCACCTCCGCCTGCCGCGAATGGGACATCTGTGCCATCTCGAGCGGTAGGTGAAGATGTTCATATGACTGGGGCTAATAGCCCGGTTGCCGGTGGCCAAAATTTCGTCATGCAGCCATTGTCACAGCAGTCTCGCATGGAAGCACCTCGATCTCTCTATACCTCGAGAACATCCACAGGAGGAAATATGGAAGCACCATCCTTTCAAACCCCTATGCGGATGGGTGCGGGAGGAACAAGTCGGATGTCGCAGGTCTCGGCTGTGCAATCCCTCCCGGCCGGGGTATCGCCTTCAGCGTTCGTAAACGATGCGTCAACTACCAAGACGTCGGACCCTTCCACTCGATCCTCCAACTTCAGTACACAGGCAACCAACGGCAACAACCACGACCAGTCTAGCATTCCTGATACTCAATCGGTCTCCAGCCAACTCACATTCGGTGATGCGTGGGCTCACTCGCAAGCTCAGGCCATGGCGCAAGGAATTATGCACCAACCCGGATCATTCCAGGGGCCTCGTGTTCAAGCATCTCCAGCAGGCAATAGATCATATGCCCCTAGCTCGGTAAACCTGCTAAATGATCCGACTCCAGAAGATCCGTCTCAATCTATATCGCAGCGTCAATCAGGTACCTCTGCCTCGCAACAGGTGGAGGTAGATGAGGGATCGGCCCGGTTTTTCCTCGAGCGAGTTACCGAGCGCACGTCGGACTGTACAATTGAACAGCTTCAACAGATCTATCGTGAGATGATGGTCGAGCTTTGGAACACCCGAGGAGAGAATAATCGTGCGAGAGTGCTCACTTCGATCACCCGCATTTTCAACGACGCAATTAATGACATCGAATCGATCCAGGGAATATACCATTCAAGCCAATGAGTTCCTAGAATGAACTGCATTGGAATTGCGGGAAATGAGGGCGGCTCATAGTTATCGCTAGGGAGCTAATGTAATTATAAATAAATAGCTAGGGGCGTGAGAGCCCAATGGTTTCGCGATGGCTTTAGGACACAGGGAACATTTGCAGGAAGGCAGGCTAGCTTAACAGTCACGGTCACGGCCTCAATGCAGGAAACGTTTATAACTTGCTGGCTTGGGAAGGTTTGGCTCGCGCCCCCTTTCTTCATAAGTGTGCATCTTCGGTAGGATTTTTACCTTACCTAGGCAGGAATTGGCTCTGGTCATAAACAAAATATGAGAGCTTTTGCTGTGGGTGATAGTGCAATATCGATTGCTGGCATATGTGAGCTTGTAGTGTGCCATTTCCCCAAATTTGAACCAGAAACATTAAGAGTAAGTAATACGAATTATTCACTATATATAAACTCTATAAATGCCATCTTAAATATATACAAATCCGAAGTTTCCAAATCGGCTCATCTCATAGTATGCCATGCCCACATACATCTTCAATCATAGGTCCATACACATGTACCAATCTTTCCTCATACCCACACACCCTTATCAACCCCCTACGAATCAAGCACCGTCCCCGGCTCCGGCAACGTCAAGTTCAAGAAATACTCGTTAATCGCCGCAGTCGTAGCTCCACCCCTCAAATAACTCGTGTGACCAGCGCCATCGCGCACAAGCAGCACGGACTTCTCATCGCCCAACTCGGCGTGCAAGCCCAGACCCCAGGCATAGCTCGTCGATGGGTCAAAAGTAGACTGAGCCTGTAGGATCGTGGTTTCGCCTTTATACACGATTTTCTTCGGCGGGTTAGATAGAGGGGCCGGCCAGCCGATACACGAGGTCTGGATCTTGTAGCTCTGGCAAGCGCCGCGGGTCAGGGGGCTGAAGTTCGCGCCGAGGGTTCCCTTTGCGACGACGTCGGCGAGGGAGGTGGAGGCGTGGTCCCAGTCTTGACAGGCGATTGCGGTGCCGGCTAGGAGAGTGGAGTCGGCGTAGGCGTCGCCGACGGCGAGGGCGTTGTTCTGCGAGATGAGGGTGGCGTTGCCGGCGTCGGCTTGGGAGAGGGCGACGGCGAGGGCGGGCCAGTTCGAGGTGGAGATTAGGGAGCCTTGGATTGTGAAGCGGAGGTCTTCGTCTGTTACGTCGGACCGGCAGGATGTGTTGTCGCAGCCGGGCGCGGGGATCGGGGCCGCGATGGCTTTGTCGAGGACGCTTTGGTACTTGGCTTGTACGTCGGAGCCGGAGAGCGTGCATTCTTCTGAGGTGGAGTTGGTGCACCATTCGAAGAATTTCTTGAGTGTGGCTTCGTATGTGGCGCTCTCGATGAGAAGGTTCGAGGACTCGCTCTGGGAATGCTGCAGATTCCCGTCGAGCACGATGGTCCGGATGTTGTCCGGGAATAGCTCGGCGTATTGACTGAAGAGCTGGGTTCCGTATGATAAGCCTAACAGGTTGATCTTCTCGTCGCCTAAAGCCTTGCGGACTGCTTCGTGGTCTTTCACGGCGGAGATGGTGTCGACGAAGTCGATGAGACGTCCCGATTTGGCGTAGCAGCTCTCGCCTAGAGCCTTGTTGTACGCGACTAGTTCATCGTACTCGGCTTGTGTCTTGGGGAAGAAGGACACGCGTTTGTTGAAGGCGGCGGTGTCGCACTGGACTGGTGTGCTGAGGCCGACACCTCGCGGGTCCAAACCGATTATATCGAAATGAGCGAGGATCTGCGGGTCCAGGATATCCGGGCTCCGCGCCAGCCCACCAACGAGGCTCGACGCCTGCCCGCCTGGGCCGCCCGGGTTCACGAACAGGTTTCCGATGCGTGCGCTCTCGTCGCTAGCCGCGAGGCGCACTAGACCTAGCTCTATTGTCTCGTTACACGGGTTCGACCAGTCTAGGGGCACGGTGTACGTCGCGCAAGTGAGACTTGAGGGGAATTGGTCTGAGCAAGGACCCCAAGTGATGCTGCTGGAGGTGTTGTGAGCTAAGGCTCCTCTCCTGAACGATCCTATTCTTGAGCCGGGCAAGGGAACTGCCACGCTTAGAGTCGCGAGCGCGAGGACTGCTGAGACGAGGACTTGAGTGCGACCCATTTTGTTGTTTATCCTGCGTAATACCGATCCGATTGTGTTGTCGTGGAAGGTGGTATTGTGATGAGAACTCGAAATGAAGAGAGCAGGATCCTCGGGATATATATATGCTCGACCCATATGATTCCAGTAACGATAGCTATTACCCACCAAGTAACTATGTCGCGAAGCAAGGCTTAGGACGTAGGACTAAAATGCTTAGCCAGCAAGCAAAAGACAAGAATAGATAGACGATGCGTGCACGCTGACTGAGCTAACCAGCTGCAGTGTTCCTGCATTGTCGATCCTTCCTCTTCAGGACAGGCGGGTGTTGTACCCGACAGCGTCGATTGGGCGATCGCAATCGATAGCATGGCTGACGGGGATTCGGAGCTAAATCTGTGGTCGAACCCAGGTAGCTGAAGAGCTGGTAATTTCCATAAACCCTGTTGACTAGCTACTGTGCCGCAGCCCTTAAGTAACACAGCCGCGATCTGCCGGGGACAAGCGGGTAGGCGCCTGCCAAGCTGTTTTGTTGTTTGTCTTCGCTTACACTGAGTGAAGTCCTACATATCACACGATTCTATCAAGTCCGTCGTCGAACCTCTCTAGTGTCTCTGGTGCTGAGGGACAAGCCATCTTGGTTTTCTTGATGGTTGATTATTAGCGAATGTTTGCCTGAAGAAGTGGGTACACGTAGGTCTCGTCGATTCCTTCCGTCCACTTTGGCGGTGCAAATGGTGATCGGACAAGATGTTTTGCCCGAAGTCCTCTATATTTTGAATGCTATGACGCTACTAAGCGATGTTTAGCCAGAGACCAAGGATAGCCCTAGAGACTTCATTGACTTATCCGGACCGAGCCGAAACCTAACCTTAACTTCTAGAACAACTATATTTTAGACTCAAACTCTACTAACTACAGGCAGCGCGCAACTTCTCATCACTATCTCAACTCGATACACCTCTACGAGTCCATACGCTTGCATCAACATCAAGGCCATGGATTGTGGTTCTCAAGAGTGCCGTTCCTCAAGGACGCCCAGTATTTTTTCAAGCCTACATATAACAGTTAGTTCTTGTTAGGTACCTGTATCGAGGGTATCGGGGGGCTTACTGTGGTCCGCAATCCCAAAGATATCACCTTGGATGTGATACTCATCCTGATTGATCACCTCGAGATCGCTTTCATCCGTCATGCCTTCTTCCGTGGCGTCTTCCGTGGCATCTTCTGTTGCTACTTCCATGGCTTGATTGGTTCTAAGCTCCGAGTTACCTAAAGCAATTCGAACCGGAGAAATGTTCACCATCGAGTCTATGTGGTAATAGCTCTTCAGCCAAAAGGTTACACACGGCGCCCTTGCTACCAAATCGTTCCCGTTGACGAACCTCCACGATTTCCGAAACCCCTTAAGGCTGCCTGCATAGGTGGCGTACGTTTTGTCGCCCACTCGCGGACTTCCGAATGTTATGAGATCGCGAATTGTTGTGTGCATAAAATGCATATCTGCTAGCATGCCAGCCCAGCAGTTCGTCGCGTATGCTCCACCAAGAGAATGGCCCTGACGAATGAGTAAGAAACACGGACTATGAGGCACTTTTCGTGTATATCCCGGGAACTTACAGTCACCCACGCTTGGACTCTCAGCCCAAATGGAAAGGTTTTGGCTAAGACCTTCCTCTCAAGTTTCCAGAGCTGGTTTCTCATCATTTCTGTGAACCGTCAGATTTCCGAATAAGCAAGTACTTAGGCGATGGTACTTACGGAATGGTAAAGCCAGTCGGATTGATTTGTCCGATGACAGATCACATGGGAAGTCTTTGAATACACCATCGAAGAATCCGATATGGCACATGCCCTTCAGCGGACTTGACCCGACAGCGTCCTTCATATTAAATTTGATATCCGTGATCCATTCTTTTAACCTTCCAGTCCCCTATAGTTTGGTCAATTCAGCACATCGAGTACATGCGTAGGCATAGACCGATAATAGGTACCTTGAATGCCACAACAATAAACGGCTTCTTAGCTTCACTGTGCCCATAAAATGCGCCACAGTAGGGACCGTTGCGGAGAAGTGATCCGTCGGAAGAGAAGTCTAAAATATTAATTAGCCACTAATAACTGTCACCTATTATATTCCAACCACTTACTGCAGATGGGTAGGTAGTCGAGCCCCATTCTTGATGCCTAAAAACTACATCAGAGTCTGCCAAAACATTGCTTTTCCTTTCAGCCAATAACTTACCACCTCCTGTATCTTCTGTGTAGCTCTGTCTCCCTTCACCTGAGCTTTCATCATTGCGTCCAAGGTAGCCTTGCTAATCGGCCGGGAATGCCGGACAGCTTCTTTAATCTCAGCTGCATGTGGCTGCAGCTCTGAATGTATACGCTCCTCATTTTCGATGTCCCTGGCACGAATCGTCTACGTTAACACTTCCGAGTAGAAGCAAAGTGGAAAATAGGTACAGACCTCATGTAAACACACTGATCCATGATACACAGAAGCTGGGCCACTTTGACAGTAGCATCTGGCGAAACACCCTGGTTTGTAGCATCTAGCACTGTTAAATCCCGCAATCAAGCTGCTGAAAAGAAGGGTTGTTACCATCGTATTTTTCCTCAGCGAGAGTGTTAATAGCTGTTCGCAAATCTCCCGTCTTCTGCATCTCCGCAACCATCGCAAGCTGCTCCGAATTATCGATATCCGTACTGCCGCCACCACCGAATCCCCGCACTTCGGAATATTCGTCCTCGTCAGAAGACTTCTTTTCTCCGAGAACGCTGATTAGAGCAAGCTGTTGCTTCCATGACTCATCAACAGTGCTTGCTGGTGTCAGTCCCTGGAAAGGGCGTACGAATAGCTGAAACTCCGTGCTGGCGCTGTTGGGGTCATTAACTGGTTTGGCGTCTGCAGCCATGATGTGAACGGGAGCGCCATCCTCGTCATAGCAATGTGGGATTTTCAGGGAATAAGCGAAGCGAAAAGATTCGGGTGGAGGAAACTGAACATGTCGCATCATGAGCCGCCGATCTCTCACATTGAAGCCCAGATACGCATGGTTAAACTTTGACTGCAGTGCAAAGTGACCTTGGCCTCCATTGGGGATAGGAACTATGTTGAAAGTGCGAGTAACACCAAAAGAATTGTCTGGGTTCTCGAGACTTCTGTCGTTGAGCCGGTCCAATCTTACACCAGGCTCGGATCCGTTGAAGCAGGTCAGCGCTTGGATGAGGGGACCTGAGACCTCAACAGAGACATTCCTTGGGGTAGCCATCTTGATTACGCTTGGGGAAGAGTGATATGAAACAGAGGCTTGCCTCCGACCTCATCGCCTTATATAATTTCGAGCTGGTCGGGACTTCGGATCCGCTAAACCGCTGAGGTATGTGTGACTGAGTGACAACCGCAATAGGCGACACAACAAGTACCCAATGGCTGCTCATACACTGCTAACACTGACCTTATTGGTCAATTGATAGCAGAAATGTTCGGTCAAAGGCGATCTGGATATTGTTGCAGATGCACAATCTAATAGTGCCTTGTGTCCCAAGAGCTGAAAACATCGCCCAGATGGGGACAAATTGAGTCAATCCGTCTTACGGCGTGTTGACCCGCAGCGAGAATGTCGAGTCACTCGCGGTCCCATTATAAAGGAGGCCTCAGTATCGTCGAAGTTTGATCCCTCGCAAGATAGAACGAAAGTCGCCGGACAAGCTTCTAGGTAGGTATCTCAGGGGACTAGTCCGTCTACTAGAATGGGATGACTCAAACCTCCTTTTATACAACTACATCTAGAATTACAACAGGATCTTGTTGATATCACTCTAGGCACATTAAGACATTTACGACGTTCACGTGTCAATGGTCTCATTCCTACATTATTGTCCTACTCTTGGCTACATGGTCTGATCACTGAGCCGTTAATGTGTAACAAGACAGGGATTTATCACGATTTGGATATAGCAAAGGAAGATAACATCTCAAGATTATGGTGTACGTAAAGTACCATCGCGTACCCCTTCTAACACATTCACATGTTCATACCCCTAATGGGCCGAGCCCCTGATAAGTCAAATCTCAAACCAGCCACGACTAATCATCCAGAAGATCTTTTATGTCGCCTATATACACAGGCCGTATCTAGGTCGAGAAATCTAGCCGCTACTTAAATGTAACCTTGAAGATCGCAGTACAGTCATCGGCTTGGCCTATCTGGCTTGAAACCTAGTCGATTATTAGCAAAACCCCCCAAGTAAACGGCAACGAGAATGTATCTTCACCGTCAGAGTTCCGCCATTGAACGGCTTGGAGTCATCCTTCTCCTTTCGGTAGTAGAGCCAGTTATAATCGCCCTGACCGATATTCGCATCCCGATCCAGGATGGCCGAAGTGCTGAAGTTGTCCTTCGCGCTCAGGTAAGGGTTCGATCCGAGGATTCGAAGGTACACGGACGACCCTGAACTGCTCGTGATGGTGTACCCGGACATCCCAGCCGAGCCGGTGAACGGGCTGTGCGAGCTTATAACGTGTCCGCCGCCCCCTGAACTGTAGGGTCCGATCTTTCGGGCGTGGTTAGTGTGAAGGGTCAAGTGATGGGATGATAGCTTACAGTGGATGGGGGTTCCGAGAAGTCGCCCCAATCGGCGAAACAGCCCCTCGCTTCGAGTTCAAACTCGGTTTCGTTTTCGACTTTGAATGTGATTTGGTTCTTGCTCAAGACCTCAGCGTCTCCCTCGGCAAACCCGTCGTCAGACATGCTGGGCAGTTATGAATTTGTGAATTGGGAGATAGGGAAAGTAGAATGTTGTTTTTAGAGATGGTGCTTTACTGAGAAAGTAAGTAGCTTCTCTTGACTGAGGTCAGGAAGGGTCTTTATAGATGACTGGAAGAGCCAAGTGAAGTACTCAGTTCACATGCTCGTGTGAATGCACGATGCTTCCTTGGAAAGCCACTCGTTACTTCCCCTGAATAGGCAATGTGGCATAGTCGGCGGCTAGCACAGCTGATACATGACTGATCGCCCCGATTCTAAAGATGAATTCGGGTTAAGTATGATCTTGATGAGAGCTGAAAGTATGACAGCCGTAGGGCTTTTACCCCATCTCTGTTATTTCTATGGGTATAGATAGGTACCGCTAGGTATTATTCATTGTTAGCTCGTGAACTGCGATACATGTCGCTCACCCCGTAGGCGTCATATCTCCACCAGAAACACAGCTGCCAACGAGGACCGTTCCTGTTAGCTCGCTGCCGTCGCAACTAACGAGTGATATGTTCGCATGCATATACGCATGTCGACAATAAAAGCTGCAGCTGCCTCTAGAGCAAACTTCTATGGTGCTTTGTAGATCTCCAGATCCGAGAGCGGCTATTATGTCATCAACGGTCCGTCTAAAGGCACGGTGTCTTTGTCTAAAGTCACGGTGATCCACATAGGGCTATACCTAAGCCGGATTAGTCCCGTGGATACCTTGTTGACTGTACAAAGTCTATACAGATCTAAGTATCTTTCGACCAGAGCTTGCCTATCGCCAACCTTGCTGCCGCCTTTTTTAACCTTTCATTCGAAAAGTCCAAAATAACCTTTCTTAGATTATCTTAGCGCGCAAAATATTTAGCTTTTCTGGCAGCTTAACGATAGGGCTATCAAGGACTGTATCAATCGTATTAAAATTCGTACTAAAATAAACGTTATACTCGATAAATAAGGGTAAATCTTTCTGTAACAACAGGTCGAAACGGTACTTGAATTTGTATGAGCTTTGTACTATGAAAGAAGTATCCACAGGACTAACCCAGGTCAGGTATAGTTGGTATGGGTCACCGTGACTTTAGCCAAAGACACCGTGCCTTTAGACGAACCGGTCATCAATGGTTGAGTAGAGCTGAGTTACCGGCTGTGCCTGAGCTCCAACCGGGAATTTTATTCGATCAATAATAGCACTCCACTTCTACGAAAGGAGAAGCTACGTGCTCCAATTGGTTGAGTAAATGGCTGAGTCATGCATGCAGATAAATACAAAATGGGGAAGATATCTGCAAAAGTGATGGCTGAAAGGGCGATACATGTGAAGAATTGGCTGAGACAGTAGCTCAACAATTTGATCGCCGACGAACCCGTCTGCCCGTGTTGCTGAGACATTGCCGATGAGGAGAGTGATGCATAGAAATAGACCCACCTCGTGGGCTGAAAAAGGGGCTTGGATGGATCCAATTTTCTTCTCGATTTACTTTTTCTAAAAGGTGGAGTTTTCCGGTTCCATATGGCCTCAGAATTCCTCGGAAGTCCTCGAAAGTCGATTGGCGACAGTGAGAGGTCGCAACATTGTTGTCCGAATGATTGAGATCTCCTAGCATCCCATAGTTGTGATTACGTTCCGTTCACTGCCCTATCTCGGAATATCTATAGAGAATGTCCGTCCGAAGCTCTCCCACTTAATGAAGATTTAATAACATTCTCGCGCTTGATATACCTAGGTGACTAATGAATAACTTTTAAAGGTGAGGCAACTTACCTACCATAGCGGGAAATAGTATAGTCGAACAACAGTTGGAACTTGAAAATAGTCATTATAAATGGTAAATTAATGATTAAATATCTGAAAATAATCGTTCAATGGGCTTAATAATCATTTAAGTGACTTAATAATTATTAGAAAAATATAATAATAATTGAAAAAATATAATAATGGTTGAAAAAATGTAACAATGGCTGGAAAAGTCTAACAATGGTTGGAAAAATTAAACAATGGCTGGAAATCTAACAATCGTTTGAAAACTAGTACTTTTAGGTCAGGTGATATAGCGCCAGCAAGGTTGACGATAATATCGTACGCCACCCACTACTTTCTAACTTCGAAATTTTCAACATCACCTTCTCGTCACCTTCCTTATTGCCTTCCCTCTCACCTACTACACCTACAACAGCAACAACACTTTACTAAAAAAAAAAAACTTAGAACTTTTTTTTCGTTTCTTCTTCTTACATCTTTTTTTATTTACGATTTTCTCCACTTCCCTCCCACACACACACACATACATCAACACCACTTGAAGATTTTTACTACTAATACGTTACACTAGGATTGCTACTAGATCTGTAGATCTGTAAACCTGCAAACGCGTAGCCCTAGATCTGTAAACCTGTAATCGCGTAGCCCTGGATCTGTAGATCTGTAATCGCGTAGACCTGTAGACCTGTAGACCTGTAGACCTGTAGACCTGTAGACCTGTAAACGCGTAGCCCTAGATCTGTAAACCTATAAACATGCAAAGTAATAAATCAGTAAAATAGTAAAGTAGTAGAATAGTAGAGTAGTAGATAGTAAATAGTAGATAGTAGATAGTAGATAGTAAATAGTAGTAGATAGTAAATAAAAAATAAACAAAAATGAATATTTAAAGTTTCCAATGAATGTTTAAAGTTTCAAATGAATGTTTAAGGTTTCCAGCCATTGTTAAACCTCCCAATGATTGTTATTTAGGGAGTCATTTGTCAACGAAGGTATGCTTGTGATACAGTCCAGGGATTTTCGAAAAAAAGAATCATTGTCAGGCGTTGGTGGGTCCCGGTACGGTAGGTAGGTACCTACCCAAGATCATGACTTCGAATCGTGACTTGATTACCGCGATATATCAGTAAGGACAAGACATAGGTACCATAAAGCTTGCTCTCATGGCTACCTTCAACTCATGCAAGCACTTTATTCTTTGTCTGACCATAGTCTTGATATCGAAGGTTCATTCGATGCCTAGCTTGGCATCTTTATATGTGAGAATACTATTGGGAGATATGTACGAGATGCACGGGGTTTAAACCTCTAGCTCCGCACAAATTCCGGGTACCTTACCCCTAAATCAATGCCCAAACCTCTATCGCCGGATACCTCCGCCCATCGTGCAGAATCATTTAAAGCGAGATAGCTTCATATAGTGATCGTGTAGAATTGAAGCCAATCAGATTTGAGCTAGGCAGGGCTGTAATCAACTCATCTAGCTGTTAAACAGGCCTGGAAGATATCGTATCGTCATGGGTAGAAAATAAATAGCCCGTAGGACTAAGATTAATGATTAAAAATTCAGAGACGATTAGAAAACGAGCATATTCCTAGGCGTTTCCTGAGTGTCGCTCTCTAGAGAAACAGCCCGTACTTCGTATCGTGTTATACCATGGCCACTCAAATCCGTGATACTGAATTTGGCCATCTCATCCGTTTTGTATCTAGGCGCAAAATTTTCAGATACCCCGACGAAGAGGATGCTTCACTATGGAAACAGTTCCTCCAAAGGGACATGAGTTCAACGACCACATCGCCAGGAGAGCAACTAAACCCACCTGAAGGCCTTTGCCCCAATACTCTCGTTGATGATGGCCGAGATACGTACTTAGTACAGTGGTACGGGTCTGACGACCCAGAGGTACGCACCCCTAGCATCTCCTTACCTCGACAGCTTAGCAGGTACCTAACTAACTGAGGCCGTTATAGAATCCGCAAAATTGGTCAGGCAGATGGAAGCTACTAGTCGCGTTCTTAATGTGTATCCTCAACTTCTCCTTCTACATTGCGAGCTCGATATATGTCCCCGGTATACCAAGTATTATGGAGGACCTAGGTACCAGTGAGATTGTAGCAACGCTAGGGCTCTCCCTTTTCACCATGTAAGAGAACCCAACAATCCCGCACTATTTCTAGCATAGAGATAAGAACACTACTGACCTGTCGCCTCGTTTACGTTAGTGGGTATGGGCTAGGCCCTATGCTCTGGTCTCCCATGTCGGAGATCCCCCAACTGGGACGCAGCCCCCTTTATTTCTGGACGTTCCTCGCCTTTATCCTGCTTCAACTCCCAACCGGATTCGCTGTCAACATGCCCATGTTCCTCGTCTTCAGGGTTGTCACTGGCTTCGTTGGCAGCCCCCCATTGGCGACCGGAGGTGCTACGATCATTGATATGTATGACCCTGCTCGTGCTGGGTACGGCATATGTATCTTGTCATCATTTGGGGTCCTTGGTCCTGTCTTTGGCCCGATAATTGGTGGATTCGCGGCCCCAGCAGAGGGGTGGAGGTGGACAATTTGGATATTCACATGGCTATGCGCGCTTGTGGTCATCCTGCTGTTTTTCTTACTCCCCGAGACCAGCGCCGCGAATATCCTGTACAGGAGAGCGAAGAGGTTGCGGGAACTAACCGGAGACATCAGGTTCAAGAGCCAGTCTGAGATCGACGCTGCGAATCACACCGCGAAGGATTATTTGCTTGTCCTCGGTAGAGCATTCACGCTAACTTTCTCGGAGCCTATCGTCTTCTTCATGGACCTGTACTCGGCCCTTCTATATGGCGTACTGTTCCTGTGGTTCGAATCGTTCCCTCTAGTCTTTGGTGAAATTTATGGATTTGGTGCTGGAGCACAGGGGCTAGCATTTCTCGGTATTTTCGTCGGTGCTCTTGTCACTGTACCTTTCTTCCTGGTCTGGATTCGATACGGAATAATCCCGCGGTTCGCTAAGCCATCATTTAAGCCGGAAATGGTCCTCCCACCGACATTTGTAGGGGCTGTCACCCTGCCCATCTGTCTCTTTTGGTATGGTTGGACAGCGCGGGAGAGCATTCATTGGATCGTCCCTATCATCGGCTCCAGTCTCTTTACTGTGTGTGTAGTCACGTTATTCAACACAGTATTCAACTACCTGGGGATCTCGTATCCCACTTATGCAGCATCGATATTTGCAGGAAATGCGCTTTTTCGTGCCTCGTTCGGCGCGGCATTCCCCTTATTCGTGAGTTCCCACAAAGACGTTACCCCTGTCGATTAGTAGTTCATTTATCAACTTACATCATCAGGCCCGAGAACTATTTCGCCACCTTGGTATCGGTCCTGGTAATTCGCTCCTCGGGGGGATTGCAATATGCTTTATCCCTATTCCTTTCGTTTTTTATCGGGTAAGTTTTCATGAACGTCGTATCGTGTGTGACCTAGTGACTAACCGTCCATTAGTATGGTGTAAAGATTCGTCACATGAGCAAGAATGCCCGGCACGATATTTAAAGAGGGATACACATACCTTATGCCTGATGCAAGCCTTGTAAAGTTATTTTGGAGATTGTTTGGAGACACTTAAGGTAGGATATCTGTGATGATAGAGCTTCGTAGGTAGAATATGCTTCTTAGTAATTTTTGACTGCATCGGTCTTAGTCTCATCAATTGTTAAAGAAGGAGGAATTGTAGGAACCATGATGGCCGTGTTGAAATGTCAATAATTGATGTTGTTTGAAGGTTGTTATTATGTGAAGTCGTAACGAATTTGGTATGCCTTAGGTTCGCAGGAGGTTACACAATAGCCCAAAGTTTACCCGTAATAGCCAATCAAACCCCTAAAGATGTAGGGGATTTTAGTGATAAGGAGCGCTATTCTTACAGCCCCGGAGGTAATTTATAGCGTTGTTGGTTGAACCGCCGATTGGTTTGTGAGGCTATTCACAACTTCGCACTGACCAGTCTCCTACCTACTAGGTAGGTATATTTTATAGTGAAGTTGTGCCCATAAACTGACCCAAATTCAACAGATGTATGTGCTACAAAACAGCTTCAAAACCTCCAAGTACTAGGTAAGCTTATGGCATTCCGGATTTTCGCCGAGTCAGGGTTACTAATAGGTAATAACAGGAAAGCCGCACTTAGTTCGGTATTCACATCGACGGGGTAAACTCGCTCGGGTTTCCATCTGTCTTCTAATTCCGTTATATCACAGGACTAGGACTTCGATGAACGAATATCTCGGAGTGCGATATAGCGACAAGGCTTTCGGAGATGTTTTCGGTCTTACCGGAATCATCCTCATATTCGCTCTCTCCAATTCCTCATTCGGCGTGGTTCGCAAACATCTAGACTCTATTAATCATCTTAGATAGGAGATCATATTGGAGAAGCGTTTGTGTCCTTCCCTATTTTGATAGGACAACAAGGATTTGCACAAATGGAAAGCCAGTAGCATACGGGATCTGAGTAACACAACGCATGCTGGCGTGTTCAATCGCTCTCAACTGGACGCCATTATGTAGACGCTTACTCATTACCACATACACGCTATGCATGAGCTTTATACTAGTGCGAATGCCTTCACGAAGTATAGGGGAGGGTAAAAGTCCCGCATCATGGTTGGGATATAAAGACGTCGAGATGGCGAACATCATGAAGGTGTTTGTCCATCAGCATTCGCATCAGCAACTCGCATCAGTATCAACAATCAAAACATCTCAGTTAACTTACCAAAGACCTCCCTATTGTATACCAGGACCCCCAAACATACCTAGGCAAACTTCAAACGTAAACCGACTCTCTTACAATTCCGACTTTCAGAACACCATCTGCACATACCTACATCATGAGCAATCAAGTTGACTCAGTTGAACCGTTCGACTTTATCATCGTTGGAGGTAAGTTATTGAGTTCTTATGCGGAACCGTTATCTGACACGAGTTTTAGGAGGCACTGCCGGTTGCGCCGTCGCCGGCCGTCTAGCCGAGTCACCCAAGGTCCGTGTCCTGGTTATCGAGGCCGGCATTGGTAATCCGGGAGACATCGACGCCATCACGACGCCCGCTCGAGCATTCGAGCTGCGTGACAGTAAGTATGACTGGGCCTACAAGACCACCATGATCGACCGCCCTGAGTATACACGTGTTGAGAAACCGAATACTCGAGGTAAGACCCTGGGTGGTTCCAGTTGTCTCAACTATTACACATGGATCCCGGGTTCTGCCGGAACCTTCGACGACTGGGCGCCGTATGGCGGCGATGAGTGGAAGTGGGACAACATCCGGAAGTACTTGTACAAGCCGGCCACCTACCATGACGACAAAGGTCTCTTCAGCGAAGAGCTGAAGTACATCGGCACCAACGGTCCTGTCCCCGTATCTCATTCTGATCTCATACCTGAGATTCAACCCTTTCGAGATGCCCTGACAAAAGCCTGGGTAAGCAAAGGAGGGAAGCTGACTGACGATGTCCACAACGGCACCATGCGCGGCCTGTGGAAATGCACCAACAGCATTTACAATGGCAAGCGTTCTTCAAGTTGGATGTATCTCGAGGGCAAGCCGAACGTTACCGTGCTCTCAGGTACTAATTCCAAGCGCTTGCTCATCGACCCCACCACGAAGAAGTGCACCGGTGTAGAAGCCATTCTACCAACAGGTGAGACGCACATCTTCAAGTCAAAGTACGAGACAATCGTTTCGTCTGGTGTCTTCGAAAGCCCTAAGTTACTTCTGCTGAGCGGAATCGGGCCTAAAGCCGCTCTCGCTAAGTTCAACATCGAGACTCTCGTCGACTCAGCCCACGTAGGTCAAAACCTACTAGACCACCCCATCCTCCCACACGTCTTCCGCCTCGAAGACGGAACCGGCTTAGATCATCACCTTCTAAGAGCTGGCCTTGAGCACGACGCGGCCATCAGCGCCTACCGATGGAAGAACCAAGGGCCCTACACCTCGGGTCTTCTCGAACTAGTCGGCCTTCCACGTATCGATGAGCGTCTAAGCAAGTATCCGGAATACCTCGCCGCCAAAGCCGCAAACGGTGGTCTCGACCCATTCGGACCAGCCGGGCAGCCGCACTTCGAAATCGACTTCGTGCCGATGTTTAGCGACGCCTTCCAATGGCACATCCCGACTCCGCCGACGGGAGACTACCTAACCGTGATCGTAGACCTGCTGCGCCCACAGAGCAAATCCGGCACCGTGGAGCTGAACAGCACAGACCCGCTCGAGCAGCCGAAGATCAACATCAACTTCTTCAAAGACGACCTCGACATCCTCGCCATGCGCGAGGGAATTCGTTGGGTCGACGACGTGCTGATGACTGGTGACGGCATGCGCGATATGATCCATGAAGACTACCCTTGGCCTATGCCCCGGACTTCTGATGCGGCGATGGACAAACTGATCCTCGAGCGCTCGCAGACGGGGTTTCACCCTTGCGGCACGACGCGCATGGCGAAGAGTGTTGAGGAGGGTGTTGTTGATGGGAAGCTTAAGGTCTTCGGTGTTGATAAGTTGCGTGTCATTGATGCGTCTGTCATCCCGGTGATTCCCGATTGCAGGATTCAGAACGCGGTTTATGCGGTTGCTGAGAAGGTGTGTACATGCTTTGCACTGTGTTTTGGTTTCGTTATGTGAAATGGCAGGCTGACTTATTTGACAGGGCGCCGATATGATTAAGGCTGAATACCCAGAGTTATTTGCGTAAGCTTTGACAGGATTTCACATGTTAGCAATGAGGTATGGCTCGCGGGTATATTGAATGACGTTTCTGGCCTCGTTGTTATCCGAAGGATGGTTGGTGAAGGTGATGAGATGGGGCTAAAGGTTTGGGAGATTTCGGGAGGGTTATGAGTCTAGCCAGCCACTTCGATTTACGGAATATTTCAAATTAATTCCTTTAACCACATTCACTCTATGCCTAATCGAATACTAAGAACAAGTTGGAACTGTTTAATGACATTTGGAAACTCCATTAGTCCGGGATATACTTGCCAATTTAGGTTCCATCATCCCATCTCATCAGCTCCTTCACCAGAATTTCTCTCCAAGTCTACTGACATCTAGAAGCTAATTACCTCATCAGGATGTTCAAATTTTAGAACCTCAAAGGTGGGACTACATAGCCGTTGATACCCTTCACGTGAACGAGTAAAGAGCCAATCATGAGTTTGATGATTCTTCTCGACCCGCCGACGCCCACTGTTAGTTGCCCACTTAACCCGTGATGAACGGATCAAGCAGGGCTTCGGAGACAACAGCACGGTAGAAGCCTAAGCTGGTAGCGATAATGAACCGGCAGAACGGTTCTGATGGGGCCATGGTTTCGCTGACAGGATGTGGGGATGATTTTATTCGAAATCAATTTTCAGGTGAGGTCTCGCCACTGCAAGAGGCGCGGTACCTGAATAGATCGAGCGTTACTGCATTCGTCCAAGCCGCCAGCGCTTCGGTGATACCCGCAGCACCACCATCACACCACTGTGTCGTGATCACCAACGCGAAATCGTCCCACGTCTAGTTTGTCGTCGACCTACACGACGTGAAGGCGGAAGCAATGACGGTGAATATGGAAGAACTATCGAAGAGCCCAGGAACTTTATAATGTCGTCGTTAAGACTGTCGTCTTGGAGAATGTTTCACTACAGACTGCATCGCAATCAAGGTTTTATTACATTTGCACAACTTCACTAAAGACCAATCCAACCGTTTGGGTTTCAGTTCAAACCCCATCGTTGCATGTACCTACATTACACTCTATTAAGAGTACCAATCAACAAAATGGCCATCACCCACCCGCAAGGTCTCCGCCCACACATGCACGCAGCCGCCAGGGCTACCGCACCGGTGGTAGCGCCTAAACTTGGCCCTGTCTCGTCCAAAATATTACCAAGTCTTTTGGTACTAGGAGTCGGTTAGTTTCCTCCCCACTTAAACGATCTGCCTTTCCCTTACCTATCAATATACTGACATCAACGATACAGCTTACACCGTTGGCTCATATGTACGCTCGCAATTGACGCGCGAAGCCGGCACGATGGACCGCATCTTCGCTCAGCAAAACACGCCCGAGGTTGAGGAATCACGAAGAAGGGGCTTACAAGTCGAGACCAACGGAGACCCGCGAAACAGCCTTCTCAACTGCTTGGGCTGGTCTTAAAAAAACCTACGGAATAGAAAGGAATGATATAATTCCTATCTAGAGATTACATGGGGACACATACATCTTTGGAAAGGCTATTTGGGTCGATTCTTCAGATTCCCTTTTGTTACAATCTTCATGTCGCATAGATTGGGCGTTTTGGGAAAATATTTGGCATAGGATGCGACAATCGAGCATCGGTATTATTATTCGAGATACCTAGTGTAACTTGTACTTACACCTCGCTCTTACAGAGCACACAGTACATAATTGAGATTTCATTGACTCATTCAAAAATATTGCACCCCTTTTTGAACTGCATATGACTGCATGGATACACCAAGTAGCCAAGTTTTACTTCTTCCAATTTCCACCATGTAGCTACCTGTCTCAGATGTGCAATCCAAAGGAATCAAAAGGTTCGGAACCTTTCAGGCTCTCGCTCCTTCCCGCCGCTACCGCTATGTTTCGCTGCGGTGGATGGTGGCACCGCATGTCCGCTAGCAGTCACGGCGTTATCATCAGCGTTCTTTCCTCCCCCAATCGGATTGTCGGCAGCGCTGTGCAGGGAAGTGGCACCGATGCCACCTGCGGCGTGCTGTGATCTCTGCTCTGGATTCGGCACCGACGGGATCGTGTTCTGCTTTCCGGCGTCGCCAGGAACTTTAACGAAATCAACCAATTAGATTTATGTGCCCGCGAGGAAATACTTCAATAAGGGGATATTTGAATACGAAGAAACATACTGGTTGTGCCATCTTTGGCCATTTGGCTGAGATCTCCGCCTTCTTTGGACATTTTCTAGTCTACTTAATTGATCTCAATTTTAAGGCTTGATGTTTGAAGATATTTGTGTTTAATTAACTTAGGCAAGAAGGATGTCTAAAGGAAGATTATGTATAGTATTCTCAGGTAAGACTGAAGTAAACATCCTTATATCGCTATCATGATGTCATTATGAAGCCTCCTTTCCCATTATTGAACGTCATACAACTGGGTAGCATGTTGTGTTGGTGAAGTCGTCCGGCTCGCTTTCCACGCCAAGGTCTTTCAGACTTGTGCTCGTCTGGCAGATTGTTGCGTCCACAACCACAACATTAACCGAAGCATATGGCTTGCCGTCGCCCTTCCCTTCTATAGTATGGTCTAGGAGGGAAGGTGAGAAGTCGTCGAATTAGAAAAAAAAAATAGAGCGCCAACCTTGGAACTTTAAACTTATCTCGAGCACTTAACAATTTAGTCATTATCCGAGTTGCCATTTAAGCTTTCTAGTATGTCCGCAAGTTTCGTTAGTTTATGGCATTTTTTCTTACACGGCTGTAGTTGAATAAAATCTTATTACCCCCTTTTCAAGTTCATTTTGGCAGTCTCGTGTGTAGGAAATTGCGGTGGCAGTTTCGAGCGGGTTACCAAAGCTACTTTCCGAGCGTAGTTTTGAAAGACGACAATTATATGTCTAAACTACACTCGATCTTGAAGTCTTTCGCAATTAAGATTTTCGCAGGTGTCTTATTATTAATTTAAACAATCTCACCTGCTAATAATAGAACCGGCAAATCTTGAACTTTATATGTGAAACGTGCAACCAGATCGTCGGATTGTTGCTATGTGCTGGAAGTCGCTGGGTGTGACCTCATTGTTAGGTATACAAAAGCTTAATCCTCGTATCCTCGTAAGTTCAGCGCTCACATGCATATCTTCATGCTTGTCGTCATAACTTCATACCTAATTTTAAGCAAGTATTAATGATATTTAATAGCCTATTCTAAGAAAAATGATAGCACGATAACATGTAGATTTAGAAAGTTGGGATGAACACCTGCAATATTTGATGGTTCTAAAGTCAAGGATAAAATGCTGTACCTTGGTCCCGGAATTCGGAATTATTATCCTTGGCGCGCCTGCATAAAACAGGCTTCAACGGGTTCTCCGATTTCCCCGGGTTTGTTTTCACATGAAAACTCTTTCCCTTAGAACCCGCTTCTTGGCATCTAACCAGATTCGACTTTAGCATCAAAATCCCCTTACGCTACCGAGATCGCGCGCACTCCTTTCCCGCCGTTTCAATCACACGTGGACATCCATCTATTCGCAACATGATCAAACATATTACCAAAACAAGCAACTACTATTTCGAGGTGTTTTCACGCGCTGCATCGAGAATCGAATATAAATGCCACATCTGAGCTGCTGGAGGTTGAGTGAAGTCTTTGAAATTGTAAACGTGGGAGATGATGAAGTCTCACATGGTTCTTAGTAAAGCCGAGAACGCCTACTTAGCAGGGAGGTAAATATAGATGTTTAATATGCAAGTCATCACTCGTTTGTTTCATCTGACAACGCTGTTCCTGGATGACGCCAAAAACAGCAGTTGGCTTCGTTAGCTGTGTTAACTGCAAGTAGCTTAGGGGTGTAAAGGATCATGGGGGTTGCATCAGTTTCATTGGCTTAGCCACTCGCCTGGGCTTTGCCCCGGTAAGCGATTCGCTCCAGCTTCCTCTTATATCCTATCGTAGCTGTTTAACTGCTGCTGACTTACTCTAAGACGATACGATCGGCATAATTCTACTATCCATGGATGTAGCGCTGCCTCCTGAAGCCGCTGACAACGCAAACGCATGTGGGCAACGTTGCTTTTTAAAAGGGGCGTGCTGTATATATATTTCAACGTGTAAAAATGACGTGCGCTCTCTACTCAGCACGCCGTCGCTACTTTCTTTTTCACTATCTCGGCACGAGAAAATAGACAGACAGCGCTAGGATACAAGATGACAAGACAATCCAATCTTGCCGTCGGGGCTGCGCTCATTTCTGCCATCTCCGCCCTAAACCTCGATATAAATGATCCGGCTTCCGTTAAAAACATTGCGGCCCAAGTCGCAAAAGGTCTTTACACCTACCACGACCCTAGCTCAACAGCAGGCCAATTTAGACAGCCACAGCCATGGTTCTGGTGGGAATCCGGTTCGGCATGGAACGCCCTAATGGACTACACCGTCTACACCGGCGACGCGACATATAAAGCCGATCTCCTCTCCTCCCTAGCCAAGAACGTTGGCGCGAACTACGATTTTGCCCCAGCAGAACAACAAAACTGGGAGGCGAATGACGACCAAGTCTATTGGGTGTACAACGCCCTTAGCGCGATGGAGTACGGCTTCGATGCGCTTCCCTGCGAGACCACCAATGCCAAGGGCGATGACAGCTGTGCCAATTCTTGGCTTGCCATCGGTACGAACGCCTTTAACGACTTCGTGACGCGGTGGGATAAGGACAGTGCCACTTGCGGGGGTGGGCTAAAGTGGCAGTACGTCGAAACGGCAAATGGCTATTATTACAAGAATTCCGTATCCAATGGTGGGTTCTTCCAGACCGCTGCTCGGCTCGCTCGGTATACCGGGAACCAGACGTTCGGTGATTGGGCCACCAAAGTCTGGGACTGGTCCACGAGCGTCGGCTTCGTCAGCGCTGACTTCCACGTTTTCGACGGGGCGGGTGACGAGAAAGACGCGAACTGCTCCGCGATCAACAAGGACGAGTGGTCCTATAATATCGCGACCTACCTCCACGGAGCGGCGCATATGTATGCGTTCACCAACGAGTCGATCTGGGAGACGAGAGTCCAGGGCTTGCTTAAAGCGGCACAAGGCACATTCTTCGGACCCAATCCCAACGCCACCAACGTCATGTATGAGCAAAAATGCGAGGTGAGCTCAGGCTGCAATATCGATCAGACTAGTTTCAAGGCCAGTCTGTCACGTTGGCTCGGAAAGACGGCTGTATTGGTCCCGAGTGTGAAGGCGAGTATCGAGCCTCTGCTTCAGGCATCCGCTTCCGGGGCCGCGTTGAGCTGCAGTGGCTACGATAACTCGACTTGCGGCGTACAATGGTACACGGGGGCTTTCGATGGCCAATCAGACTTTGGTGTTGAGCTGAGTGCGCTTGAAGCCATCCAAAGCCTACTAGCGACGAGTGCACCCAAGCTGGCCATCAAATCTTAGAGACATGTTACAGGCACCCCTGTGAATGTATTGTACAGATAGAATGCTATTGCCATACTTACTGTTAACAGTTAATGTATATATTTATGGATAATGATATTGTATATAGGTATCAGTTTATTTAGTTACAGGTCAATTTACTTGGCCAATTATATATTATATTACTTGGAGTGAAACCCTTCTCCATAGAAGTCTTGCACGAACTCTGAAACCATGCATTGATTAATAGGACCCTTCTCCCATTTCTTTTTTCGGGTAGGTAGGCAATTAAACAAACCACACAGAACCATAACCTAACCCAAAAACACCTCCATTTTAGCGTCTACTTTCTAAAGACAATTATACTACGTTGCAATCCGTGTAACTACCATGGTTCCACAGCTTCCGTCCCATGACTGAGGCGATAGATATTCGTAACATAGAAGACGTATGCAAGAAATTTGACATGTCTCATTGGGTGAAAAGGGGGTTGGTGTAAGAGATGCTTGCAGTTTCCATTCAATTGGTCGTTCATTAGGTACTCCATTGCTATAGAAATATAGGTACCTATCCAATGGGATGGATTGAGTACCTAAGTACTCAATGTCAATACCTTAGTACGTATCCCTTCATAAATAGAGATAACCTTGGAAGTATAGGAAATTTACGTAGGTAAGTCTGAACGTCAAGTTAGCAATATTGGTCAGAACAACATCAAAGAGATATCAAATTCAAGTACTTAGGTGCATAAGATACGTGGTTTCTTAGCTAATTCTTCATTGCTATTATTCATTCATTAGCCTACAGTCATTCAAACTGTTTCTTAGAAGAAAAGAAAAAAAACCCTCAATCAAGTTTAGATCCAGTACGTGATCTCTTGTCCTCCTTGGGGTTCAAGTGATTACTTAAGCATGTAAGAAATATCGTCCTACTTGAGGAATCGGCGTCCACTGAGATATCGTGGCAACCCTCCTCGACATATTAAGTGGCTTTTGTGTCGTGTCATCGTATCGCAACTCTGTCATCGCAAAGCAATAGCAAATCATCGAACCTTCTAGGCGCACGTCAAGCTAAGGGCATTATGCAAAGGGCGAATCGGAATTATTCCTAGATCTAATCTCCATAGGATATTTGCAGAATGGCTTGATGATTCAAGTCAGTTGAACATACTTGAGTAACCGCCAACTATGTTGGATTTGACCTCGGCAACTCAATTCTAATTCATTATTGTTCTTTAATTACCGACATGAACAGTCAGTGCCACTTGATATCAATGAATTACCAATACGATTTCCACGTTCAAAGGCAGAAAGCCATATGGGGGTTAGGAGGGATGGATATATCGAGACTAGCCCCGGCCAATTCAAGCCACATTTAGTACCAAGACGGGTAGTTGCCTTGGTTGCATGGATCTGAGCAATGACGATGTTCACATACTCCTCTGGGAGCTGCTTTTCGGGTCAACGATGCATCATGAGTTACTTGACGCGTTATCCATCATTGTCTCACAAGTCAACCGCCAATTTAAACATACCTCTGCCTATGGTTCTAGACTCGAGTCTATACCTAAACTACCCGTATAGGTATGCTGTAGATGTAAGTACATATATGATACATTCTTATTTTTCGGCAGGTATTCTTCGTCGAGTTGGGAAAAAGGTGTTCTGGAAAGCTAGACATTTCAGATATCCGGACTTTTCTTCCCCCAAACCTATTGCGCCACTGTCTCTGCCGGTTTGTCTTTGTACTACACCGCATGGTATCTTCCGCCCACATTTCTCCTAGAGGCTAGACAACTAGACTGCACATCTTAGCGTTGACTACCTGATGTGATTGTCTGGGGTAGTGGGGGCTCGAGAGTGGCTTATAGACTAGAAATTGAGATAATGCTGTGGAAAGAATCGTAGGCTCGATCATGTACGTCGCGGAATCTAGTCGTGTATCGACACCTCTAATTCGTGCATCATTCCGTCTAAGAATGCACCCACGTGCTCCCAGCCGCGATATCAGACATGTATGAGCTTCCGGATTTCAGGGGTGCCATCCCTAGAAGTCTCTTGGTATGCGTGTTGGATTTCAGTGTAGATACGATTCGCACCATAATATGTACGCAAGGAGGAGCCGGTTACATAGATATATAGTAGTTCCCAAGACGAATAATACCTAGGTGGCTACTTAACGCGTATAGTGACTTAACTTACTCTATACTGAGAGCTGGATTTGTGAGAGTTATAAAGATCACCCAACAAGCACTAAATCGTAAGAGTCATCTCTCTATCATCTCACTATATGGAATATCACTAATCTACCTATATTAATTAGCAGCCTAAATCCCTTTCATCAAAGATGGGTTCGATCGAGAAGGTTGAATGTGTCGAAGTCCAAATCTCGCACTCGAGTAGCATCTCAACAAGCGAGAGCCACGAAGTTTCACATCAGTATACAGACGAAGAATATAAACGTCTCAGGAGAAAAATCGATAGATATCTTCTCCCTCTGTGAGTAATTCTTACAACTGTCATATTCTATTCAGATGATGACAATAAATCCACTCTCAAGCAACACATCATAATTTCCCATCATCACTCAATTCATCCGGAAGTAGTTGCTAACTATAATCGTAATAGCATGTGGCTTTGCCATGGCCTCCAACAGGTCGATAAGGGTAGTGTCGGCACTCAAGCAACCTTTGGTTTACGCGAAGATACAGGACTCGTTGGACAACAGTTCGCCTGGTTGACAACCATGTTCTACCTTACATATCTCATTTTTGAACTACCATCCGTTGTCTTGTTGCAGCGGTACCCTATGGGTCGAGTCTTGTCTTTGTATGTCATCTGCTGGGGAATTGTAGTGCTGTGCATTGGATTCGCTCAGAATTTTGCACAACTCGTCACCCTTCGCGCACTTCAAGGGATGTTTGAGTGCTCGATAAGTCCCGGGTTTCTTCTTGTCGTCGGCACTTGGTATAAGACCCGGGAGCATCCGTCGCGCGCCTTAGTCTTCCAAAGCGGGTTTGCTGGAATGAGCATAATGACCGATGCTATTGTGTACGGAATCGGGTCCGTAACGAATAAGAACCCGGATTTCCAGGCATGGAGATACATGTCTTTTGTAAGCCATGTTACTTGGAAATGTCCATAAAAATAAACTAACAACTCATAGTTCCTTGGTAGTGTCACAGTCCTTGCTGGCGCTGCTTGCCTCCTCTTTCTGGGCACGCCATCCGAGGTGCGGTGGCTTTCCGCCGAGGAGAAAAAGATAGCAGTAGCTCGTGTGATGGAAAACAATACAGGCCACGACCGAACGGGCTTCAAGGATTGGAAATGGGACCAAGCCAGAGAATGTCTGACAGATCCAACAGTAAGTGCTTATGATCTACTCCCTATCGTGGTCTTAGATCTCAGTATCTGACTACAAGACACAGTTCTGGTTCGCTGGACTCAACGCCACACTAAATGCAGTCCCTAATGGCGCGTTAACGAGCTTTTCGGGGATCCTAAACACTACTTTTGGCTTTAGTAAATATAAAACGATATACCATTTAAACCATTGCTGACATAAATACAGCAAATCTACAAGTGCTCATATTGAACATACCAAAATACTGTTTCACCGCACTCTACTTTGTCTTAGTCGGAGTTGTGGCCACTAAAAAGAAGAACACTCGCATGTAAGCACACAATCACCACAACTGTGCAGGTTGGGTACCGATCATCTCACTGTCGTGTTCTCAGGTGGATCATGATGCTTTCCAACATCACTCCAATTGTCGGCTTTCTCCTGATCGCCATCCTCCCTAACGATCCGCAATACAAGTGGACGAAGTGGGTTGCGCATTTTATAACGAGCCCTTATATTACTTCCACTTTCTTTGCGTGGTCGTTGGTCCCGTCGAATGTTGCCGGGAGAACAAAACGTACTCTTTGCACAACAATCACATTCGTAGGCTATTGTGTTGGAAATATGACTGGGACTCAAATTTTCAGGGCCAAGGATGCCGTAAGTTACACTAGTATGAGCTGAAAAGTGTTCAGACTAACAATGACTAGCCTAGATATGTCCCGGGACTTATCGCCTGCACCGTGTGCTTGACAGCGCAAGTGGTTGTGATTTTCGTATGGAGGATGGTGTATGTCATGCGCAATAGACGTTTGGATATGCGGATGAGCGAACTCGGAATTACAGAAGAGGATAGAATCAAAGCAGGTAAGGAGATAGGAGAGAGCGACTGCACGGATCTTCACAACCCTTTCGTAAGTATTCCGATTGACATGAAGTCATACTTAAACTGATAGTCTATACAGTTTCGATATGCGATGTGATGGAGCTCTGATAAGATAGATGAAGAATGAATTTAGTAAGTGTGTAACGAGGAGTCTCGTTGTTTGAGATGAGACTACAGGAGGATATGAATGCCCAGGTGTTGTTGGTTCATACTCCTATTGAATTGAAGTGTGCTATCGAAACTTGATAAGTACCTATTGGCGGTTGCTTTTTAGGTTAGAAGGAAAACTCGAGAGGAATCTCTGAATTGTTATTACCTATCTAGATATTCGGTAGTTATAACGCCCTGTTTTGAATGTTTCCGAAAAGTTTCCGGGGCGCCTCCTTGCCTTCACCTTACCGAGTCACGGAGACTCTTCGTAAAGTAATATGTGTCCGGCAACTTATTAATATCTCCACCAACTGCGATAGGGTCAGATATTGAGCATTTAAAGATTAAAATGCAACTTATATCACCGCTGGGTGGTTTACTTAAAGGGCATGTTTAACAGCTAAAATATTACCCTCACCCTCACCATCACCATCACTACTACCCCTTTTATATCAATTCCAATTTCAGATCTCTCTCCCTGAAAGCCTTGAGCGAAAAATTAACGGCATTTACCTCCAAAATGACTGACGTACTATCCCGTAAGGCTACGATCAAGTCATACTTCCAGCAAAATGCCTCCGAATACGAAAAGCACGTGGGAGGCACAAGCTCCCGCTTAGCCGCCGTCGCACTCTCCTTCTTGCCGCTGTCAAGCTATAATTCTTCAAGTCACATCTTAGACTCCGCATCGGGGCCAGGAATCGTGACCAAGCTTCTACTGTCACCTTCTCCGGAAGACATTTCGGTTCCCGGGCTACCAGTTTCGCCACGGCCGCGAGTAACCGGTATCGATTATGTCCCCGCCATGATCGATAATTTCAAGGCACATAAGGCTTCGCTCAATTGGGATACCGCGGAAGCGTTCGTTCAGGATTCGCAGGACCTCAGCCGATTCAAGGATGCGGAATTTGATGCTGTTGTTATGAGTCTAGGCATCTTCACGCTCAGCGACCCAGTGGCCGGTGCGGCAGAGATATATCGCGTACTCAAGCCTGGGGGCCACGTCGTGGTCACCACGTGGAAGAAGCGGCGAGCGGTGGATATCCTTCAGGGGGTTGTTGACACTATTAAACCTGATAGTGGGCTGAAGCCGATGTATATGCCCCCTGAGTGGTTGTCGAAGGAAAAACTCATAAGCGTCCTGGAAGGTGGCGGGTTCCCCAGCGATCATATCAAAGCTTCCGAGACCAGTCCCGATTGGGTATGTGGGTCTGAGGAAGAAGCTGTGAAGGGATTAAGATCGCCTCTGTGGACGTCGAAGATTTGGGAGGGATGGAGTTCGGAAGAGATTGATCGCTGGGATGACGAGATACGGAAGCAGTTGAACGATGAAGAAAAGAAGACGGGGACTATGGAGATGTCTGCTTGGATTGTTGTAGGTCAGAAGGTATGATGAGGGTGACCGTGAAATCTACCCCAGGTAGTACAAAGACTGGCGAATCTATATCTTCATTCATCGTATTACAATTGTATGATTTGTAAAAAGGAAACTCGAGAATTGAAATGGAGAAAAGAAAAAAGAACCAACCTCGCTTATCCGGCATTACGGAAGGTGAGATCTTAGTAACCGGGGTTTAAGGTTTAGCAAGGACCGGGGCAGCGGGGGGACGTATGGGGTATGTCCTAGCGCCCCCGCAAATTGTTTCCCGCTAATTGATTCGCACCATAGCCCCTATTTCGTGGCCACCAAGGCTGCTAGGTCATCTTTAGGTAGCCACCCTCCCATCTCCGGTCTGTTACACAACGCATAGTACACAGTAAGAGCCCAGGAAGGGACCATTCAGGGTCTAGTAAAGACCCGTGGATATCATCTCCTGGACCTTTCCATACCTCGGATATTCCCTTACATACAGGGGCTGGTCGACCTTCGTCTCATATTTATTCTTTCTTTGTTGCTCTATTGTTCTATCGCTCTCCGCAATGAATCCCACGCATACCCCCTTGACTTGTTTGCTTGTGTTTGTTTGTCGCTCTTAAATAAAAAAAAGTTTAAAAAACTCCGACGTATTCGAAAATGTCCGGACCGACGTCACGATTAAGAAACATTCTCAGCCATTTGGGCTCTGGAACAACCAACTCGGTAGCCAAATCGCCCGCTGGTTTCGATCATAGCCACCACATTCACCAATTATCTCCAACCTTTTTTCTTGAAAGGGCAGCTGCAATTGAACCAGATGCTCTAGCCATATATCATGTTACGGCAAATAACAAAGTTTTGAAAAGGCCGTACTGCGAATTCGCTGATCGCGCGAGAGGGTTGGCCTACTACCTCCTAAAACACGGCTACAAGCGAGTCGGTGTATTAGCGACTAATACGCCGGCATTCCTGGAGTCAATATTCGGCATTGTCGCCGCTGGTGGGGTTATCGTGCCCGTAAATTATCGGTGCGTTGTGAGAGACTCATTGTTATCATCATTATCGCCAAGCCACAAAATACAGCGCTCACAATTATGCAGACTAAAACCCGATGACATCACATACATATTCGACTTTGCTGAAGTAGATTCCATCATCGTTGATAACGAATATTTGTCGTTACTCGATGACTTCAAGAAGAGTCATCCAAATGTGCCGTTTATCGTTGACTTAGTGAGTGACCACACCTAATTTTATTGATTCATCTCAAATGTTCTTTTATTAATGAACCAAGGACACCGATGCGACCGAAGGCGAGCTCTCTGGTCCATTCGATGAAGCAGTTCTTGAAGGCTTGAATTATGATCGAGCACAAGGAAGCAAGGGATGGAGCGGTCTACATTCTCACGGTAATCACGAAGATGATATGATCGCCATTCCATTCACGTCAGGAACTACATCCAGACCTAAAGGATGCGTATATACGAACCGAGGCGCATACCTTGCATCAATAGCCAACGTGATAGAATCCGGATTGAATTTTGACAATGGGAGGTGTAAATATCTGTGGATTCTGCCGATGTAAGATTTCTCAATACGACGACTCCTTTGTGGTAGCTAACATATTCAGGTTTCATGCTGTGGGCTGGACGTTCCCGTAAGTTTTCCTTAAACTAGCGTCGCGTAGAAACAAGGTGCTTACTCATACAATGTAGCTGGGCGATAACTGCCGTGAGAGGTACTCACTATTGTCTCAGAAAAGTTGACTACCCGTTGATTTGGAAACTCCTCAAGGAAGAAGGTGTCACTCATTTCAATGCGGCGCCCACGGTGAATACCATATTGTGTAACTCAAAAGAAGCGGAAAAGTTGCCGCACCGAGTACGAGTCACAGTGGCGGCAAGCCCGCCGACGGCACATCTTTTTGAACAAATGGTATGTAACCAATAGGACCACCTCAGAGCATTACTAATGTCAGCACTTAGACAAATCTAAATCTACACCCAGTACATGTATATGGCATGACGGAGACATACGGACCAATCACAAAAGGCTACTACATGCCGCAATGGGACTCACTCCCTAACTCAGAGAAGTACGCGAAGATGGCTCGCCAGGGACATGGTTTCGTAACGAGTCTCCCGATCCGCGTGATTAAGGCAGATCAGCCAGAAGGTGTTCTCATCGATGTGGCGAAAGACGGAAAGGAAATCGGCGAGATCGTTTTCTTCGGTAATATCTGTATCAAAGGATACTACAAGGATGCTGAAGCGACGAGAAAACTCTTCGCGGGTGGTGCCCTGCACTCTGGTGATTTGGCAGTTTGGCACCCAGATGGAAGTGCGCAGATTCAAGATCGAGCTAAGGACATTATCATCAGTGGTACGTTTCCGTCTTTCAGCTTCTATTCAACGCATCGGATTTCGTTCTCGGTGAGAAAAGTGCTAACACGTTTAATTAGGAGGGGAGAACATATCTTCTGTCGCGCTTGAGAGTCTGCTAGTACAGCACCCCGACGTGTTGGAAGCAGGTGTTGTCGCGGTGCCGGATTCTCATTGGGGTGAGAGACCGAAAGCATATCTAACCGTTAAAGAAGGGAAGACGTTAGAGCCCCAAGATATGATCAATTGGTGTCGTAGTCAGGACACGATCAGCAAATTCATGATTCCGAGGGAGGTCGAAATCGTTAAAGAACTGCCGAAGACGAGCACAGGCAAGATTCAGAAGAACGTCCTGAGAGGGTGGGCAAAGACTGGAAGGTCGGAAGTGTAAGTTCTGTAATCGTGGCTGCACTGCCAATTGTATCTATTTAGAGGTATTTGGGCGCCAGGGAACATCTCGAGAAGAGTATATCGGGTGAAAGCCAGGGTACGGCTATCTTGGGACGGATTTTCGAAAGTTCTATCTCGTACGTTTTCGAGGTCGGAAGAATGAATACCTAGGTAATGAATCCACGACATAATACCACGTTACACAAGCCCCTTTCTGCTATTCCGTAATCTGGTAGGGCGGCCCAAGTTTATTCTTTCCATCCACGTCCTTGAACGTCAAGTCACTAAAGACTTCCTCGATTTCTTTGAAGGTTCTGATCTATTCCTCGTTAGTATGCTGGTCCATTTTCCAAATTCTCCGTCTACTTACATTGACAGCAACGACTTCCCTCTCAATAGGACGATCCGACTCGGAGAAATCGATCAGCACGCTTGTACCGCATTTCGAGCAGAACCTATGAGATTTCAGACTGTTGCCGAAGCGATATGACGATAATTCGTCCCATCCCGACTGAAATTTGACGTCATCTCGTTTCGGGTACACCAGCAGATATCCGTTTCTCGTGCAGATCGAGCAGTTGCAGCGGATCACTTTGGAGGAACGAATATCAGGCAGTTCCGCCGTGAATCGCGTTTTTCCGCAGTGGCAATTGGCCTGGTATGTGATCATAGGCGCTTCGGGAGTTGCCATCATGGATGAAACAGAGAGGTAAGAAAGTTGGGCGGCTTGATAATCGGAAAATTAATTCTAGGCGCATAAGTTCTTCTGCGGCAAGATAACATCTTATACGTACCTAGGAAATATTGGTATCGCATCTTCAATGGCGTTCAGGGTTACGAATTAGGAAGCTACAAATGTACCTAGGCATGAAGATAATGAAAGAAGTTTGAAAAGGGGCTAAGCTGGGGGGTCTGGTTATCTAGTGCAAAAAGACATGCATACAACACCAGGGGTTCGTTGGTTGATTATAGCTTCAATTATCTGCCCGGGCAGGGGGTTAGGAAATATCTGGGGAAGTGGTCCATCAAGATCACATAGGTACTAGGTACCTAGGCTAGCCAAGCACTAGGTCAACCCACTCCCTGTCCTGCAACTCCCATACCCGTTTCTCAACACGTCCTAGACCTTTCCTATATGCAACACCATCTCTCCATTCGACCCAAAGCACATAATAGTATTCGTAATAAAGACCACTTTTTGGCCTTTCATCTAGATCCCACTCTTCCAACGGCTGCTTAAGGGGTTCGATGTCCCTCGAGTCGTTGCGAACACGACCGGATGCAATTTCTACCAGTTCTACCTTGATCCGATAATGTCCATTCCGATCTGCTTCTTTAAGTAAAGGTTCATGTAGCAGTAGTGCTCCGGCCCAATTACCTCCATGGTCTCGAAGAGATACCATGCCCCCTCGTTTCAACCCAGGAATTTCGAACCCCTCAGCTGCCAGTAGCCAGCTTCTCCTAGTCTTGCAAGCTATAAGGGGAGCGAATATCTGTGCTTCAATACGCTGGCCCATCTTCTTCGTCGGGAGAGGATACCAGAACTCTGATTCTGGCTCGGAGTCGTGAGTGTAGAAACACAAGGGTACTGCTTGCGGCTCCGGCTGGATTGCACGTTGCCAAGCAGCGACAGATAATGGGTCTGCTATGCGATGCCGGGTCCAACCTGTCGGACAAGGCTCATCCAGCTTGTTCGAGAACTTGTTCTTATATTCGTACCAGCAATCCTGTATAGTAGTTCTCTCACCATCCCGTTTCTCCAACCAACTCCATTCAACGAGTGGATATACCCTCTCTAAAGCAATTCCAGATCCTCTCGCAGAGCACTTTTTAGCAAAATCGATCGCCAGCTCTGTCCAGCACCATATGCTGCCTTTCCAGCCTGCCCAGCTCCAAGACGGAAGGCAGGTTCTCTCACCAGGACGTTTGGGCGTCCTGCGACTCAAGATTGAGGTTGGTTTCCATAGAAGACCGATATGAAATAGTAGCACCGGAAGACCCGAGACGAATCCGCCATAATACGTGCTACTAAGCGCGGAAGCAATCCCAGAAAACGCAAACAGGGCATCTTCTGGAAATGTCAAGTCTTTGGTGTTGTATGTCATGATGATTGTACTCAGCTGCATTACATCGGGTACAGCTTTGGCAAAGATTCTGGGGCTAGCACCACCGCCATTCCCAAACTCCTTTGTGACTTCCTCCTGACACTCCCAACGGATCGAGTCGTTATCAAAGTTGATTCTTTTCTTTGAGAAAAGAGCCTCCTGGAAAGTCCATCCCCGTGTGTTCCAGATAGCTGGTTTCTCATTGATTTTCTGTCCGTGGGTCTCAATGACCTTAGTACCTCGGATTAATGGGTGGACTACTTGCTTCAATGATCTTGGATCAGATATTCCCTGTAGGCCGCATAGACCGCTATCTGCATCCACCCCACCCAAGGCGACAATGGTTACTGTCGCATTAGCATATATAGCAGCCATCTTAGCAATCTCGACAAGTTTCTGTTCATCGTCCTGGATAACACAGAGCGTGTCTACCCATAGATACCTTTCTCCTAGCCTTTGAACGAAGGACATCGCATGCCGTACCGTCTTCGGTATCTGAACACTCGTATTGCCTTCAGCTAGTGAAGAAGGCTTCCGTAACTGATCCACATTCTCCCTCAAGGTCATGAAAGAAGGTACCCCACCCCATACATAACTCAAAGCCACATATGTAGTTGACGATGAACATGGGACGAGACATTGTAGCCATGTATCAACAACCCATGAAGGGCGCTGTGAAGACATATGGCCGAAGTTCCCAATAGCAGAGCATTTATGAGTCTTATCACACGCCTCCTTCCACCTCCGAGGAAGATGATAATCGATCCATTTCGAATTGACAACCCTACCCCACCATGTCGATGGGCAACGAGGCGTAGGGAGTAACCGCAGCTCCCCAGACTCTAGGAAGTAAAAGTCCCGGCCCTTTTGAGCAAAGATCTTGATGTGGTCAAGACCTCTAAATCCTAGGATCTGAATACCGCTAAGCTGAGAAAAACTAGAGTCGATACTTAGAGATCTGGCGATTAAATTCAAGTGATTTTCACAACGCGTGTCTTCAAACAGTTTGGGAAGCTCAAGGTTGAGATGATGACGGATATCTCCTCTTAAATCAAGAGGCATCGTCAAGAGGGAAAGTATTCGCTGGCATATCTCGCACTCCTATCATGTCTTCATCGTTAGAATCAAGAGATACTAGTGAATTGGCAAAATTATTGACGTACATTACGTGTTTTCATCTCTCGTTTCTTAGTAGCGGCCTGGTGGCGAACTGTTCGTCTTTTGCGCGCAACTATTTGGCGTCTCTCAGCCATTCTCTTCCTCTCCCTCTTTCTTGTCTTGTCAATTGAATTTCCACGCAAACTAGAAGGTGTAAATCCAACATTATGACTCAATTAATTGAGGAACACTGGTTGGCTTTTAACTAGGCTGACTTCAATGTATGTACTCAAATAAAAAAAAAGCCTTGTAGCCCCCTGTCAAAATCCTCCAGTGATATTCCAACCACATCTCGATACATATTCAAGACCTCAACGTTAAATCAAGTTTAAAACGGGGATCAAAAGGAGAAGAAAAATATTCAAATAAAATTAAGAAAAAAAAACATACAACACCGGGGATTCGCTGGTCGTCACCGACCCAACTACTGATCCGGCGGTAGCCAGCTTATCTATGGGAGAGCGGACGGGATCCCGAGTTTTCTAGCTCCTATGGTCGTATGTGCTAATTCTATGTAGTATTAAGATTTATATACCTACCAGGTATCTAGCAATTGAAAGCGCAAACGCTAATGCTCGCATAGTGTGACAAAAAGAGAGGGGAAACTCGAGTTGAATTCAAGCTACTACCAGCCCCAGATCTTGAACAACCACTCAACCATTACGACAACTCATAGACCACAAAAATCACGAAATATTCTCTAAGGTTCCCATAAACGTGATTATGATTCGCCATTTATCAGTTGACAGGTCTATTTTAAGTATCTAGGTACCTCATAGGAGAAAGACCACGCATTTTTCATTAGGTGTGTACGCAATCTCACCCTAATTTTTTGCAGCCTCTCCAAATTCACTCTCCGGCAAAGCAAATACCTTATACGTCTGCAAGTCACTCCCAAGCAAACAAACCCGCGGCGGTATACTACCTCGTTCCGAGCTAGCCGCCTTAACCTCCATGAATGCCGGCGTAAAGCTAGGCTCGCAAGGTACTTCCATGTTCGTGAATACGCTGGTAACTTGATCGTTGCTGAGGACATGAGGGGTCACAACGTCCCCGGGGCTATATGGTTGGTAGCCCAACTCGTCGGACTTGTGCGGTATACTGATAATCCGCGGTGATTGGCCTAGTGGAAATTAGTGGCGGTCAAATATTGAATGCGTGGTCTGCAGTTACCCTTTGGCGCCCATAGGACGAGTAGACTGTTGTTACACAGGAATTTTAGATTAAGCACTGTTCCGTCGCCAAGGTCCATGCAGGAGACCGAGGTTATGACCGAACCACTTATCCCGTTGTGTACGCTCATGGCCGTTCGAAATATGTATACTAGTACAAGTGTCAATATTTGCGCATATCTATAGTTAAAGGGCGGCTCATACCGGTGCGGTCTTTCTTCTCTGTTGTAAGAGCTGTGTACGTCATCGCTTGAGGCGTATCCTAAAGCATCTAGGTCAGCACCAAATCGGCAGCAATTGATACATATTCGACGCCTTACAGAATTAGAAATGACAGACATCGTAACATCGATCATAGATATGTTACTATCCAATTTGATAGTAGTTGGCTGGCCAAATCGCACACTCCGTTTTTCGGCTTCTGCGATGCCTTCGAATATTGCATCAGCCTTGTCGTCCATATATCCGCACAGGAATTCAACCTGCGAGAATATGCTCTCATCAGGCTGCCCGGAATCTTGCTTCTTGATCTGCTTGCTAAGTAGTTCTAATAGAGAGCTTCCACCTTCGGCTTGCTGGCGACCTTTCTCTGTGTTTTCTGCGGCGACGTTACTAAGATGATGCCGCAAAGGACTGGCAGGCATATATTGTTGGATGTAAGCTAGAATCTTTCCATGTTCCATTGTTGCCTCTTTTTCTGTTAGCTCATCTGTCCCTGATGAAGATGCGAGCTTATCGATCTCGTGACGAAGCCAGATTGAGAAAGATTGGAACAGTTCTAGCTCTTCCATGACGAGTAATAGGATCTTGTTCCCTACTAGCATTAAGCAGGATACAATATCCATAATTCTAGTAATCTGCGCGCCGGTGAAGCCGGTCTCGGCCTTCGACTCATGAAACCTCGCAATGCCGAGGAGACGACTGAGAATAATACCAATGCGCTCCAGGGCCGGAAGAAAGTTCTCGTGGACAAGACTACGGAGTGCCTGCAGGCCTGACACAACTGCTTTATCCCAGCGTTTATGGCCCTATAGTAGATTGTTAACCTCTGGGAAACTCAAAAGTTGCTATACACATAAGGATAGCGGCGCACTTACTCTCTCAGCTAATTGATCAACTAGCCATTCTCGGACATCTGGAAACGTGTGACCTGTGACAACTGAGTGGTACAGCGCCTGTCCAATTGTCATTTCACCATAGTTTCCCGACTCTCGTAACGTCTCGTTGATGCTGTTCAAAAACTTGGTTGGAAGCTCTCGAGTTGACTGCCACTCATGTATCATATGCATCTGCACCTGCTTGACATATCTTAACAGCTTTTGTAGAGTTGTGGTCTTCGAAGCTAACAGGGATAGATTCTCTGGCGAGGAGTGGATGAAGGTCAAATCCATAGGAATGAGATACACAGTTGATGTCTTGTTGTCTTTAGATGGTTTGAAAACCAAAATGTGTGTTGATAAGTCAGGGTGAGAGGCATGGTGGCATAGTTGTAAAAGAGTATTCCTCCCCGAAGACTGTGGCAGAGCATAGTTGAAAGTCCCGATGATAAATGAATCGTAGATACTGACATGTACTCGCCCATCGTCAGTGCCAACAATCATGACGTCGACTTTATCGCTGTCATGGGGGGCGAAGGGCTGGAATAAAAATTCCAACGATGCCCTAGTAGTAAATACGAAGGAGTCATCACCTGAACCACCCGATGCAGGTAAAGGACTAAGCTTTGGAAGAGCGGTCTCCACTTCAAGAAACGTAAGCTCTCGAGGAAGATCCACGACGGGGTTTTTGCCGCTTGGGAATAGTCCCTTGGGTAGAACGTCTTCTAAGGACAGTGATGAAGAGATAGAAGCTGAAGCTGGGCGTCTTCCAGCATTGTTACGTCCCCAACCAACGCAGGTGATCCGAGATTTGCCCGTCTCGCATATTGGCATTTGATGGACGGCCTTATTCGTCTCCAAACCCATCAACCTCACCACTCCATCGCTCCATGCAACGGCAAGGAACTGGCCTAAGGCTTGTTAGTTACGAGGCGTTGCTTCACTTTGGTTTAAGGGATAGCATACCGTCAGCTTTCCAGCAGAGGGCTTCGACATTGTCTCGTTCACCACGCTGGCTGCTCTTTGTCACAATTTGGCTATTTGATCGCCAAATTTGGAGGGTCTTTGGCCCAGCGGCGCCGGCAAAGAGTTCAATATGGGGGTTATATGTGAGAAGGCCGTTACGCAGCCTGGGATCAAGTCGCGATTCACTGAGGAGAGTGAGCTTAATTGGTTCAGTCATGATTACTCTTGAGAGCAAGGACTTTGGAGATATCCGATAAATGGCTAATCATTGTGCATCGTTCACGAATTAAGGTCGATCGTGTTGTTGTTTAAAGTTACAGATTGCGAGAAATTGTTTCCTTCAAGTTGCTTCGAGAATTGATTTTACTTGAGTGGTAGTTGCCGTCTTTTATGTCGCGTGCCTTAATTTGGTGAAAGTTTACTGATACAGTGCACTAAATTTGGTAGTCCCGCAACTGAAGATAGGCACTACATAACGGTATTATGGCACATAATACGGTGTTATTTCTAGCCCATAAACTGTGTCTCATAACTCTGCCCATTATTCTATATTCTATATTCAACTCCAGGGCTGTCAACATTGAATATAAACTACATATCTAATACCTAGGTGTATTAGATAGCATATGTACTAATATAAGCATTTACGAGGACGATCTATTAAATTAAGAAGAGAACACAATGCATTCACAATTCATTACTAGCAGCATGCTCTATTTAGACCATTGCTCTATATAACATCACATAACAACTCCTTTTAGTGGCCGTCATCTCATACTTGATTCGTCAGTACCCACCCAAAAGTGCCTTTACTCGACCAAATACGAATCAGCTACCGATCTGATATCTTTGGAGAATGTCACCTCTTCATTTTCTTCTACCAACGACACTGACGTAACCTATAATAAACATTAATATAATGAACTACTCGGGATGTGGAGGATGTATAACTTACGTCAACGTCAATAAAAGGAGTCGTCTTCGAGAACCGTACTTGCATAGGGAAGAACTCATTTTCGTCATCCGCCTGAGCATCGAATTCAAATGAGCCATTGGGGTTATCGTCACTGATTGTACCAATAGTCCATTCGAGGCTATCTCCCGATACTTCGTATGTAGCATCAAAACTAGACACAGACGGTTCGCTTGTAGCGTACGGGATGACCACGGAAACATCCTTTAGAGTGTCACCTCCTGTGAGCTCATACTCGACTGTGATCGTAAAGTTGCCTCCTGATCCCTTATTCACCCAAACCGTGAAGCTAATGGGCAAAGCACTTGTGTCATCCGTTTTTGGCGTAGCTCGCCATCTCAGAACGCCGACGGCATTGTTGACAGGGAAGCCACGGGCTACATTGCTCATCTGGATGACCTTCGAGCTTGTGAAAAGGCCGCGGTCAACGTTTGGATGAGTTCGGAACTGAGCACCGTGGGATGCGTTCGCCGCAAGATCGAGCTTGATCTTAGTTAAGCTAGGATCCGAGATTCTGAGACTTAGGTCGCCGGTCACAGTCAAAGAATTGAGCGAACCTTCCCTCGATAGCTTCGCAGTAATAGACTCGTTTAGAGTGACGTGGATTGCGTCGCGATCTAATGTGGAAGAAATCCGTGGAGCGGCGGGTTCGGCAACAGGGGTGGGAGCGGATGGTACTAGCGGTGACTCGTCTACTTCAGCTCCCATGTCCCCCCGGACGCGCTCGAACATATCTGTTGTTTTCGACTTCTTGCCTAGCTGCATTCCCTTGCCCTTCATCACGGTTGTCCTATGTTCTTGTTAGCCTCGAATTCCTCCATATCTATGATCTTTCATACTTATGTGTCTTGTTCTTCTCAGCCTCGTAAGTATCGTACGTATCTACAGGCGTGGGTCGGGTAGGGGGAGTGTATGTCGGGTACACCGGCGTTCGAGGCGCGCCAGGACGGCCACTCCTCGCGGATTCTTTTCGTTGCAGCTCCAGTTGCTTAGCCTTTCGCTTACGCTCCTCGGTGGCTTCAAGTTCCTTATTCTTGAAAGATGTCAGCACAATAGCGAGCAATCACAGGAGAATAGTAACATACTCGCGCGATAATCTCCTGGATACGCTCCTCGTGACTTTCCATTTCTAAGAAGGTCTTGATCTGGCTGATGGTGAGATTTTCCCTGTAACCGAGAGAGACCAATTCATCGAAGGCGCTGAGAAGTTCGTAGGCATTCTTAACAATCTCCCGCTCGTCAAGGGTCCTACACGTGCTAGTAACCACTTGGGCAAATAGGTGAAGGGAGTCGATATCCTGTAAGATGTTGGACTGGCGGTTGGTAATGAGAACCATGTAGAGCTCGTCGAGGGGTTGGTAGACGAAGCGAACATTGTCCTGCTCGACGGTCGTGTGCTGGGTTCCGGAATCGGCGAGCTTGGGGAAGGATGCTAGAAGTGCTTCGATTCGCGATCTGGGCATCTCACGAAACTGCCTCGAAAGGACAGCTTTCCCGCCTCGAGTGCAGATGGATGCGGCTAAGACGACCTAGTGTAAATCAAGAGATTAGCAAATTCAGCTACAGTATTATGGGATTAGATATTACCATGTCGTATTATTTGAAGCGCAGCTTCAGTGGAAAGAAGAGAAAAGAGTGAGAAATCGAGTTGTCCCGCGAAAGGGAAGTTATCTATTATTCAGAGGCTAGCAGCTATTCTAAGGTTATAATGTTCCTAAGATGAGCATTGAAGCCAATTCACTTGGATGGAAATGTGGTGCTTGGCCAGGTTACACCAGCCCCTTGTCAAGCCACATGTTCAAATTCGTTGGCTACAGTGCAGCTTGGACCGATATTTATCCGAAAGTATCTATGTACCTTTAGATGGGCAAGAGCACTGAGATCTGAGTGGCAAGTGGGAAAGTGGAGCGTGCCAGACTATGGCAGCTGCAGCCTGCAGGGTTACCTAAAAGTTAATATCCCGCTAACCTTGGACCTTATTTAGCCCCAAGATCATTTAATGATCATCTTGGTGCTTCACATTCACGTTGAGTTCAGCTTTCAACTTTCAACCTTCAACTTTTACCTCACAACTTCATTCTTCGTTCTTCGTTCCATTAAAAATTGGACCATTCTCCGATCTTGTTTCATTTGAGATACCAACTGAATTCATTTCTGCGCACACCCCTTCTACACAATACATCGATTGAAAGATCCTCGATCCCTTGCGACTTTTACCCACGTAGCTCACGTTGCCTAATCCGCGTTTCATTTCACCACAACGACTAACACAACGACCAACACCAACCTTAATAACCTCTGACACGTTTCTATTCAGAGAACCGCCGTCGCATTTAATTATCACACTCATCCCCGACGAATCCAACAATAGGGTCATTCTTGCGCGCCACTCCAATCTGTTATATCAGCTCGACGTAATTACAACATATCTTCATCAATCCGCCCCGCTTCTACGACGCGTCCGTCACAAGTTCACTGCATCGGAATTTTGGCAGCTAAATTATTACTTACTACAAATGATTCCTCTGTATTCTCCTCCAGATCGACCATTCGTACCATTTACGCTTAATCCATAAACGACCGACCGACGAAAAAGTAAGACGAAATTGCAGAGGGTTAAAAACCAGTGGGATTTATTGCCAGACTCTATTGAACCTGCGCCATTACACGCACAAAGCAGCTTCCGAACACCATTCCAAATCCAACCCAGGTGCCCCGGAATATTGAACAAGTGGAAATATCGCCCCTCCCGGAAGTAGATATTCTTTACACCCACCTCCGCCGCTTTGTTAAATGTAACATTTTTCGTTTCTTACTACCTAACCACGCATCACTCGCCTGAAGATTTTTACCTCAACCCTTTTCCTTTTAGGAACCTTTTAATACATATCAAGCACTTTATCCGATATACCAATATAATCTATTGGTGGATATATCAAACGCACTCCTATATTCTTTTCCAGCTGGTTTCGCCAATCTAGGCGACCTGCTACAATGCCTGGGGAGGAGATGGAGATCACGACCGATTTCGGTCACACCGGCTTTGGAGAAGACATTGACATAGACCTTGATTTTGCGGTCGGGCAACCCGACGAAGACCTGGAACTCGCGGATTTTGACCAAGGTCAGGAGATGCAGAATTTTAACACTGATACGAGAGATGAGTTGATGGCAGAGGGAGATGATGCATCTTATGGCATGGTCGACGCAGATGATATCGAGCACAACGAGGGAGCTACAGCTGCTAACGATATCGAGATCGACCTTGGCGATCCCGAAGAGAATCTCTGGCATCACAGCATCCCCCATGGAGAGACCCTCGAACCTGTCGTAGAGATCGACTACGTTGAGGATGCTGATGTAGACAATTCTACCGCAGTGAATATTGGTGAAGCTAGTTGGTTAGAGGCATCGACCTACCAAATTAACAACGCGAACGAAGTGGAACTGGCTCAAGTCGAGGTCGCCGCCCTTGATGCAGCAAGTAGCCATCCGCCCCAGGATAGTGCAATTCCCGCAGAAGGTGTAGATGCCCAAGACTTTGGATTGTTCGAAACTAGAGATGACGCGAAAGAACCTAGCAGTGGCGGTAACGACAATGGTAACCAAGAAAGCATAATCGAAGGTACAATCAATGAACAGCAAACTACTGCCTTTGATGCTGAACCCCCACAGCCCGCAGAAGGATCTGTTCTTAGTAAAGATGACTTACAGGATAACTTTAACGATGTCCAATCCAATGGGGATGCTAATGCCATTCACGAAGTCCAAGAACATGAGCAATACCAGACCGATCACAATGAAGTATCTGAACCTGGACATACCCAGAATGATGTCTCTCAGCGTGAAGAGAAGCCTGCCACCCCGGTGGCTTCGGTTCACGGATCAGCTAGTGAACATTCAGACCAACAAGAAGACGAGACTGGTCAACAGGACCCTAGCTTAGGAGGTTCTGAACAACAGCTAGGCGGCGACTCGTATGCCGAGTCCGCTAATGGCCCGGAATCTGTTCAATCCCAAGGTCAAGAAGAGAATAAAGCCCATGATGCCGACGGAACACATACCCAGACAGATCATTATGATCCCGGAAACGAGAATGCTGAAAGAACGGATGCTAATGAAGATGGCCAAATCCTTCCTGCTGGCAAAGCCCATGTAGAACATCCGCTTTCCATTGCTACGCGTCATGAAATGTACATTTCATATGGCCAGACGGATTATCGACTCTTCGCTAAGTCCGAAGACGATGATCCCAACCAGTACTTTTTGCGTGACATGTCAGCTATGGAGCTTCCTCTTGGTCAATTCTTGTCAAATTTGCGAGAGATCGTTGCAGAGGAGGTATCCGTTCTTGACGAGTTGGTGATGCATGTCGACGGACTAGGACTGGAATTTTCTGAGGTATTTACCAACCCTTAGCCTCACACTAAGTTGACCAGAGCTAACTGTGGTCTAGTCTTCTACAAGTGACATGCTCGAAGAATTCACATTTGGTGATATTCTCAGTCTCTATGACAAACTTGTCAAGAACGATGGAGCGGAATCAGCCCCCTGCCTTTACATGTATCTTATGGTAAGACCTAACTGTCGCCAGCGCCTTGTGGCCCTTCTAGATAGCGCGAGTGCGGGTCGTGGCCTCTCTGAAGTTGCTGTTTATCGAGAAATGACACCTGATCCCGATGAGCAACCCGACAACCCCGAATATCATAGCTCATATGCCTCATCTGAAGGCGAAGAAGGCGAAGAAGACGATGAGACCAGACACGGCTCCAACTCACTAACCCATGGCGAGGAAGGAGAGGATTCCTACGAATACGAAGATAATAATCTTGCGGGAGATGAAGATGAAGAGCATGATGACGATGGGGTCGAAGAACAATCCCTTTTGAAATCGTCTGCTGTTCATACTCCGGCTGCGGAAGCGAATCCAGAACAGGAAGGACTAGAAGGACAGGCCAAGGAATCTGAAGAGATCTCCAGACAGAACACCGAAGAGAATCCCGGCGCAGACGTTGACGGTGAAGTGATTGACTTCTCTGATGACGAATTAGATCTCTCTTCATTGAAGCAGGGTAAATCATATCCTTACAGCCCCTTAAATTTCTCTTCTTTTTTCAATCATACTGGACGGGCTGGCTGCCAGTGTCAGGACTGTTTCGAGCTCTCGCTTGACCAGCTCGATATCTCGATGCCGGACACACCAACTCTGTTCAGCCCCGCTATAACGGTTACCCATAGGAAGTCGCAATACCAAAGCGGATCTTCTTCTCCGTGGTCGATAGTTTCGGCTGCTCAACCCTCCACTTTCTTAGACGGAACAGAATCATTTCGGATTATTACTAACTCGTATTTCCCTCAAGATCAACAAACGAATGCGTCTCCGCAAGGCCATGATCGTGTGAATCATGATGAGTCTAACGGTGTGACTACTGCCGAACACAACGTTTCGAACCAGCATACGCCACGAACTAACGAATTGGCCGATACTCACTCCGAGGTTACTAGCGCTACCGTTACGCTTAACGGCGACGATAACGATGAGATCGATTACTCAGACGATGACGGAGAGGTCGAGGAAGGCCAAGATGATCCCCCCAACGCTTCGGATACAGCATCGACAAATCTGAAGACGCCGATCGATGATGAGATCACGTGGGAGTCAGACGATGAGGATGTCAAGAACGAGACCACAACAGCTCCTAAAGAAGCTCCTAAAACAACGGTACAAGTGTCACCGTCATCTGGGAAACGCCGCAGGTCAAACTCAGACCTACTCGATGGCTCAACTGAACAGAATGGTAAGCAGCAGATTTGAGTACCACCTATTTAGATCATATACTAACTCATCTTAGATGTCAAGCGTCGTCGTCCGTCTTAATCCTTCGTGGACTTTTCTCAACTTACTTCCCCCTTTACCCCCCGTCTTTTTTATATCGGCATTCGGCGCATTTAGATGGATCACTAATGACCTGATGTCGATTTTGCGCATTTGCAATCAACCTACAGATATATGATTTCGTCCCCACCGAGAAGCAAGTCGATTTCGGAATACTAACACAGATGCAGTGCCGAAGTATGCTGGAAAACAGCATTGGTTTTCCCGATGGTAAGTTTTATTTTGATAATGGTCAAACCGTAAGATCCCCTACGATCACTTCGACACAACACACGATGAACACACGGCGGGGTGACGATAACTACTATTTCCTCCTTATCCCGTCAGATGCGTTGTCGTTCTTGATACCCGTGGTGCCTGTCTACTTCTCGCAGGAAATAGGTGATCGCTGTACCGGAGGGCCAAAGGAATGGAGATATTAAGGAGTTTCGGAAAGGGAAAATTTTACGAAATTTGGGTCGCGGCTAGCTATCATAATAGGGGGCGTTTATGGCGTAGTCGGTGATTTAGCTGACTATAGAGGGTGAGGATTCCTGTCATAGAGGTTGCTATTGTATTGTGGAGGGGGGTAGCTTAAAATCGAGTCGTCGGCAGCTCTACCTAGTTTCTACTTCGTAACGGAGTTGACTAAATAGGTAGAAGCTACGGACACGTCACAGTACATCAACTCGACCGACATATTAGTTCCTGGAGGGTCTAGTTATGCACATGCACCTTACTAGCAATACAAATCACACCTTTTTCATCACGAACCGCTCAGAGGTACTCACCTACCTAGTAGTACTAGGTACTTTTTGTGATTACTAAGTATCTAGGTACCTATTCTATACGTAGTCGTAGTTATCGATATCATAATTCGGATGAGGCGTAAAAATAGGAAGAAAAAAATTGTGTCTGTAAGTGGAGACGCTTCGTCATCTGTAATTTACACCGTTGGCCTAGTTTATCGTATCACGAATGAAGTCGTTTAAGTATACATGCAGTCAGCACATTATACATCCTATCCCACAATACGAGGACTAGGTTGGTACAGATGTAAAGAAGACCGTGTTGGACAGCCATCGGCACTTCAACAGCCTCAAAAGGAGTTAATTGCATTGCGATTGATGTACCTGGGTAGGGATCGATCGGATTTAGCGATGATCAACCGCCAGGAACAGGAAACAAACAGGACGAAAAACAGGGAGCAGGGAAGTGGATTGTTTTGTGAAACCAGTTCCATCAGTTCCATCCGCACAGCACCCGCCCAGCTATGCCGGATTGGAAGATGGCTTGGAAGGCCGAGGTATCTTGGTTATCTTGGTTTAGCTTGGGACGGATCAGTCGACGGCCTCTCGTACTATATACAGCGTAGGTGCTGTAATAGTATCAATATGTGCAGTATGTACGTGTTGCTGCGAGCTGGGAAGCTGGGAAACTTGCAAGGGGGGAGGCACAGCCTCATAGGTTGCGGGTCTATCAAGAGAATTTGGCTTAAATTCTTTCTGAAAAGGGCAGCAAGCCTGAGCAAGGGCAACGAGGGTTTCAAGGTTTCAAGATGCGGTAAGGTACATTGAAGATCTGCTCTGTGACTCGACATCGTGTTTTTATGAATTCTTAGTTTCGCGCCGCTTTTGAGGTGATTGGTTCTCGTGATTTGCCATGATACATATTCATCCATATCTCTTATACTGTGTTCAAGGTCTAGGAGTCTAGGACAATGCCTATAATGTAGGTGCCTGGATATATGGGTATTCAATTAATACCAGAATGTTTATCAAAACATTTAATGTTGAAGGAAACAATCTCGAAGTTTAATCTGGTAAGTTAGAAGTTACATACATGGCCAGATTATGGTATGTAAAAATATATGGGTGTATGGATGTATCTAGACTTTGAAGATCGTTTCTCCAGGCTAAGTGCATATCAAGTCAAATTACGGGGGGCAAGGGTTTCGTTTAGCGCATCTCTAATTGTAGTAAACGGACGATGACGCCCCTAGATGCCCCCTATGCAAAGCACAACTGGGCAGAACTGGGGTGGCTGGCTTAGCGGCCACGAGTACCTTAGGTACGTCGGGGTATTGATTGCGAGTACCAAGGTACTGTGTACGCTCTGCACCTGCCCCGTACCTGTCCGAAGACCTCTGAAACCCCAGTGTCTCCCACCTTTTACAGTACAACTAGGAAGTTGCGGTTTCAATGTCCATGCAGGGCAAGCTCTCTCTTACTTTCTACCGAATCTAAGTGTTCTTAGTGACCACAAGACAAAACCCAAATTTCTTCAACTTGTTCAACTTATTCGACTTCTCAAGGTTTATTCCCATATAGCGAAAAAAAGAAATAGACATATTCATTCATTCCCTTTGAATTCCTTTTTCTTCCTGGTCTCGTTTCAAATCAATAAACCCTTCCATCGTTGCCCCCCGGCCTTCTTCTAAGCCGATACCTATTTACGTGCGACCGTCAGCCACCGGCCTTTTTTTACTGGCGCAACCGATTCGATCGCTTCTTTCGGGTATTCGTGGCATCTCTGCTGATCGAGGCGCAACACGAACACCTGACTATTCTTCGTTGGTGCTGCCCTCGCCCGGCGCGAGCCATCAAATTTAGTTTTGCGACGACTTCCTTCCCTTCCCTTTTCCTCCCTACCGATCATTTTCTACTAGACGTTGCGATTGCGGTCGCAACCATATACCTATGTTCACGATGATGTTAGACGAGAAGTACGAATCACCCCTGCACATTCAGCGACTGTGACCTTAGATTATAATCGGTTTCGCCATCGACGACAATCGGCTAATATGGACTTTTGAATAGATACATCGGATTGGCATTAGCTATTTCCTCAAGTTTAGCCATTGGTAAGTCCATTATGTGCTCGTAGATAAATATTTCCCCAGGATGTAGAAACTAACATACTCTTTGTTCCATAGGCACGAGCTTTGTAATAACGAAGAAGGTACTGCAACACATATCCACGATTGCGTCGTCCTTCGACATTCTACAGGGGGAAGTCGTACTAATGCCACGTAGGGGTTATTGCAAGCAGAAGAGAAACATGGCTTTCAAGGCGAGGGCTACGTCTATCTAAGGAATCCGATGTGGTGGGCCGGAATGGCAACAAGTAAGACTACGAATGGGAGGATAACCGTGTAAGATGGACTAACATGCGACCCCTTCTAGTGATCACCGGAGAAGTCTGTAACTTCGCTGCATATGCCTTCGCACCAGCCATTCTAGTAACACCTTTGGGTGCGCTCTCCGTCCTAATAGGAGCCGTCTTGGGGTCATACTTCCTGAAGGAAGAGTTGGGAACATTGGGCAAACTTGGATGTGCCATCTGCTTGCTCGGCGCCATCATCATCGTCCTCCACGCACCTCCCGATGAAGATATTCAGACCATCGAAGTTATCCTTAGATATGCGCTTAGGCCGGGTAAGTCGGGCTCGAATATAACATAGGGTCTCCCTTGAATTATAGACTAATATGGATCACCAGGGTTCCTTCTCTACTGCACGGCTGTGGCTATCTTCGCGACCGTCATGATCTACAAGATTGCTCCACTTCATGGCAAAAAGAACCCCCTGATATACCTCTCGATCTGCTCTACCGTCGGTTCCGTTTCCGTCATGTCCGTAAAAGCCTTTGGCATTGCGCTAAAGCTCACGTTTGCGGGGAACAACCAGTTCACCCACGCCTCGACATATATCTTCATGATTCTTACTGCATTGTGCATTCTGACCCAGATGAATTATTTCAACAAGGCACTCAGCCAGTTCAGCACGCAAATGTAAGATCCCCTCTAACAGGACATAGATAATGTACACGAAGCTAATACCAACCCACCCACAGAGTTAACCCCCTTTACTATGTGACCTTCACTACCGCCACCCTATGTGCTTCGTTCATCCTCTTTTCTGGTTTTAACACTACTGACGTTGTCAATACCCTTTCCTTGCTGTGCGGTTTCCTTATTACCTTCACTGGTGTCTACCTGTTGAATCTCTCGCGTCGTGATCCTAACGGAACGAGGATGCTCGCCGGGCAGAGCACAGATGCTACCGGTACCGACATGATCTCGAGCCTCCAGACGCGTCTAAGCATGCAAGCTCGCCGTAGTACGGGTTCCCGGATGAGCGTAGGAAGTCGAGGACAGTCCGATAGAGAAGGACTCATGCGCGCATATGACTTAGAACAGGGCGAATTTGGCCTTAACGACCTAACCTCTGATAGCGATGACGAACCGTCGACAAGGAGAAATGGGGGACCACCGAAAGTCCATGAATCGATCGAGTTGCAAAGCCGGAAGAAATCGGGAGAGTGATAGAAGTCGACATACCAAGATTAGCATCTTTTTAAGCATCTCCACCAAGATCTCTACGACCGCATTGTATATTTTCTCATTCGACGAACCGCTTCTTCGCAAGCATTAAAAAGCTCAATCCCACAGGTGGACACGATTGATATCATGGATTTTACGTTGGAACCTAAGGTGTATAATGGCAGCCATCTCCCTTCCCAATATTGAGGAAGGGATATTCGGCTCGATAAAGGAGTATAGAAAGGCAACTTCGTTTTTTTAGGGTTCTTGGTTGGGATTCTCACCGCGGCGTTCCGGGGGACATAGGTCACTTTGGAAGTACCCCTTCCGGCACACAAGATTCGGCGTACGGACAAGGAATCCGGTTCGTTCAGGGGCTTGAGAAACAGGTAGTCGAGCTGCCGGCCCACCCCAATTATTTCTTGAGTTTGTGAGAGATCATTTAGCCCAACATTTTTTTGTTTTGTATGATTACCACGCGTGGAAGAGAGACGACGAACATGTTCTGTTCACCCCTTGTCTGATTTATTCTTTTTTTTTAAAGCAACAGCGGCAAAGGGTTGGGTGTGCTGGCATGGGAATCGAGACGGGATGGCATGGCGGGTTCCTAGGTTGGCGGGTGGGCAGCAAATAGGTAGCCGCCGCCGAGCTGTTCGAGGGACTTATGTAGGTTATCTAGCTTGCGAGGAGATAGCGAGTAACTAATTTACGCCATCTTCCAACGTGTCGTATATATATCTACATTCGTGTTCGATTCTGAGCATTTGTTGTATCTATGACGTTGATTTGATTCGGGAAAGGAATGTAATTTATCTTAATAACTCGGATACCTCTATTATATCGACATATGTAGATTTTATATCGCTGTTACAAAGATGGTAATTATCACCAACATTCACCTTCTACTTACCTAGTCAGGATGTCAGAGAAGCCAAGAAGTTGAATAATCCCCTATAAGCAAGTATTCCACGTTTGCCAATCGAAGCATATCACTAGCACATCATGAAATCAAGTCACAAGAAATCTCGGAAATTCGTGTAACGATTTGCTATTATCGTAGCATAGTCCAGCTCAACATCGCGTCGGCCGACCTAGAAGAATCGCAACCCATCGGTTTGTGTTTCCCGTCCCTGCAATGCAAATGATGATCAAAGTACGCCGAAGTAATCTTCCCTTTTCTTTGCCCTCGTAGAGTCATTCGTAAGAGCAAAAAAAACCACGTCCCTTCGTCACAGTGTTCATCTCTCGCCTTTAACCGTGTTCAATACCAGAATTTACCAGATTGGTTTGAGGAGTCCAGCACCGACTGCTCAAATCTATTCCTCCGCGGGGGCGGCTTCCTCGCCACCTTCCTCGGCGGCGCGAGCTGCCTCGGCTTGGGCCTGGATCTGGGCTGCCTTAGCGCCGTAATCTTGGCTCATGGGAGTCACGATGCTGGACTCTTCCTTGGGCTCGATGATGGTGACGGCGTCAGGAAGAGACTTGGAGGGGCCGGCCTTGCCCTCGGGGTCGGAACCGCGCATAATCTTGACCTTGATTCCGAGCACACCCTGGCGGAGTAGAACGTGACGGGTGGCGCTGTCGATGAAGTCGCGGGCGGGCTGACCGGAGTGGATCATGAAGCCATCGGTGAACTTCATGGACTTGGCACGAGCGGCGCGCAGCTTACCGGAGACGACGACCTCGCAACCCTTGGCACCCGACTCCATAATAAAGCGAAGGACACCGTAGCAGGCACGACGGACAGCAAGGCCGTTGAGAAGCTTGTAGCGCAGAGACTCGCACTGGGCGACGGCGGAGAGACCACGGTTCTGGACCTTGGCGGCGTAGAGGGAGACGGAGTTCTCGGGGAACTTGAATCGCTTCTGAATGAGGGAAGTGAGCTCTCGGATGCGGCGACCCTGCTCGCCGAGAACCTCCTGAGTGTGGGTGGCGCGGATGATGATGTCGGTCACGGTGGGGGTGACGCGAACTTCGACGCCGGAGTAACCCTCCTCAGCCAGCTCGCGCTGGAAGAACTCGTTCAGCTCGGCATAGAAGACACCGTCAGCGACGAACTTTCTGCGCTTGGAACTGTACATCGCGATAAATTAGTATGTCGGAGTTCCGATAGTAGAGTGGAAGGCGAAAGATGGATGGAAGCTATCGCGAAATGTGGAATTTCGCATCGCTTAGGAGGGGTACTGGTTTTGCTATTTGCGACAACCAGATCATAGATTTAAAATCAGAAAAATGTAGATTTAATAAATACTCACATTTGGGTTCCTGGGACAGCCATCTTGAAGGTTTGTCGGAGTGATGACGATTGACGAAGAATTGAATGTGCGGGTTACGAAGGTTGAAGAGGGAAAGTTGGTCGACGGCCAGATCGATCAAGTTGTAGTTCCTCACAAAAATTCGGGGTAGTTGCTTGACGAGTAATTTTTGCCTGTGAATTTTTTGGCTTAGGGTTCAGGTTTGTGGGCTTCAAGCTAAAAGACGATTAGATAAGAGGTAGCGAGCGGGATGCGACTAGTGGAAAAAGGACAGACTTAAAATAACAAGCCCCACTCTTTTGAGGTTACCTGGGTACGTACTATCCGAACGAACAATGAAATCGATTTGTGACGTCGGTTATCAGCCACATGCAATTCAATTTATCAGCCTCGCCTTACGTATGCCCTGCACGCCCGTCATATATACAAATAGAATGTACCTCCAGCTGCCCCACGTTCAAACTTACAGGGCAGTAACGGTGGTGCAGTGGAAGTCAGCCCAAAGCGATTGACGTTCTAGCCTACCTAGCTTTTAGCACCCAGCTTAGATGCTTAGATGCACTTAACGCGGGACGAACTTTTGAACAATGTGACCACTCTAAAGACTAACAGACCTTTGACATATGATGCTTTGCCAACTCAGTCAACTTAGAATACATCACAGAATACACCATGGTGTAGCTGCTTACCATCACGCTTTTATACCTCGCTATTCTTATTCACAGACCAACATCCATGAAGCTCTACCTACACAGGTACTGGGTACACTACACTACCATTTGTTGCCTGGAGCTTTAACTGGTTGATCTGGATCTCCGATCAGCCTTGAAGGCTCTCAGACACCTAAAGGGTTTGTCTCCTTCCAACAAATGCGACAACACGTGCAGTCCTCTCTTTTGATTCTTTTCATGTAAATCTATTACTTTTACGGCTTCGAAGATGCACATTAAAAAGGTAGGGTCCTTCTTCTGTTGCCTCCATTTTCTATTCAGTCTTCTTTACTTTTTCGCTAATACTCATCTACCAATATAGATACCCAATGTCGATGCCATAAGAGGCGGCGAGAAATACTCTGGCGAACTCCATCTGACAGAACACCACATTATATTCGTATTTCCTAATATACTTCCCGATGGGGCGGCACCACAGCCGAATGCTCCGAAGACTCGCGAGGTTTATATCGCTTACCCCATAATCGGGAACTGTGTCTTTAGACCATGTCCTAGTGTAACAGGCCGGCCCTCTTCGATACGACTTCGATGTCGGGATTTTACCTTCATGAACCTCAACTTCCACGACGAGGTTCATGCGCGAGAAGCGTTTGAGTATATTCGCAACCGCACATGCCGACTCGGTAGCATTGAGAAGCTATACGCCTTTAGTTACCAACCCCTGAAACCTGAGAAACCATTCAATGGATGGCACTTGTACGACCCGAGAGCCGAGTTTCGAAGGCAGGGGATAAGCACCAAATCTGTTGATAGAGGATGGAGGATATCTTCCATAAATAAGGACTACACCTTCTCCCCGACTTACCCTAACATGCTCGTCGTCCCCTCCAAGATATCCGACAACGTCATAAAATATGCTGCTACGTACCGATCTAGACAACGCATACCCGTATTGACTTATCTCCACTCTCTTAATAATTGCTCCATCACGCGAAGTTCCCAACCTATGGTAGGTTTCAGGGGAAATCGAAGCATACAAGATGAGAAGTTGGTCAGCGCGTGCTTTTCCGCTTCGGCTACCGTCGAATTTAACGGAATAGACGCACCCGTCCCGGATACGGTGGAGCCAAGTCCAGCTTCTAGTCAGGCAGATCTCAGCGGAGAAAGTTTCGAGACAGAAACTTCAGATACTGAACGTATGGAGGATGAACTGATTGCTGGGAACGACGATAATAACTACGATTCGAAAACTGGAAAGCGGCTGGTATACGGCGCGCAGCAAAGTAATCTTATTGTAGATGCCCGACCAACCATCAACGCGGTTGTCATGCAGGCGATGGGAAAGGGATCAGAGAATATGGAATATTATAAATTCGCGAAGAAGGCCTATTTGAATATTGAGAATATTCACGTCATGAGAGAGTCCCTCAATAGTGTCATAGAGGCGCTCAAAGACGGTGATATTTCTCGCCTACCACCGAATCGCGAATTACTGGCAAAGAGTGGATGGCTGAAACATATCACCGGCATTCTCGACGGATCGGCCTTGATAGCACGGCAGGTGGGTATAAAACACTCGCACGTCTTGATTCACTGCTCGGATGGTTGGGATCGCACGAGCCAACTCTCAGCCCTATCACAGCTGATGTTAGATCCTTATTACCGAACTATCGAGGGATTCATTGTGCTCATCGAAAAAGATTGGCTTTCTTTCGGACACATGTTCCAACAGCGTTCTGGTCCCCTAAACCACGAAAAATGGTTTGTGGTCGAGAAAGATGCCTTAGCTGGTTCAACAATCCAACCCGGAGACTCGGATGGCCGTGCTGGTGAGGCTTTTGAGAATGCGCTCGCAAGTGCGAAGCGTTTCTTCAACAAGAGCCGCAATAATGATAGTAATCCTGAATCCGACGGTGACGGCATCGCATCGCCCCCTGAAGACCCATCGCAGGTCAAGAAACCTACGCCTAGCCCCCCAGAAGCCAACGAAATTACAAAACCAAATGAAATATCCCCCGTCTTTCACCAATTCCTCGATGCTACCTACCAAATCTTGCGGCAACATCCTAATCGATTCGAGTATAATGAGCGCTTCTTACGACGGCTTCTCTATCACCTACATGCTGCGCAATATGGAACGTTCCTATGGAATAGCGAGAAAGCCCGGAAGGACGCCCACGCGAGTGAAAGGACGAGATCCGTGTGGGACTACTTCCTATCCCGCAAACAGGAGTTTATCAACCGCGATTACGACGCTACGATTGACGACCGGCAAAGCGGCCGCGAGAGGCTGCTCTTCCCGAAGCTATCCGATGTACGATGGTGGCACCAGCTCTTTGGCCGCTCGGACGCTGAGATGAACGAGTACCTCGACTTGGCGGCGGCTAGAGACGAGAGGCTTGGTACCTACGGCATGGGCAACATGCCAGGCGGATTTTCCAGCCCACCGTCAAGTGATACGAGATCCCCCCGGCCCCCACCAAGTCCTCAACCTCAACCGCCAAGCATGCCAACTAGTAAGAGCGTGCTTACGGGTGTGGAATCCGCACATGAGGCTCTCACGCCGGAGGAAAGGGTTATAGGAACCTTAAAACATAGCGCCAGCGCGGACACTCCGGGTGCTTTCGCAACGAATCTCGCGAAGATTAGGGATGGAGTTGTGGGCCTGGAGATCGGGCGCGGATTATTCGGGACCGGGACCGGGGAGAGCGGGAATGGGAGTGGCAATGGCGTAGGTCTAGGTCTAAGCAGAAGCGGAAGTAGTGGTGGCAGCGATAATAGGAAAGGGGCTGCCACGAAGGGGGAGCAGGAGATGGCGGATATGTCGACGCCAAGCGGCGATAAGGAGACTGTGGGGTTGGCGTAGTCCGCTTGCTCGCTTAAGTAATCGTCATCATACAATGGCCTCGGAGCCGGGGCGGGTTTGGTGGCTTTGTGGGTGGTGTAACGTAACTAGTCCTATTGAAGAGCCCTTGGGGATGGGGTTGGAAGTAAACGGGATGGCGAGTATGCGGGTAGGGCTGGAGGCTATCGTTGAGTTGATTATGAAATAGGGAATACGAAATCAAACGAAATGGAATGTGAACATTTTTATGACCTTGGATTTGGAGTTGGTAGAATTGGTGTTGTACCGCGCTGTGGATGTTGTTGATGCTGTTGATATGAATAATGGGGAGGGCGGATGGAGAGAGATGGGAAGGGGGAAGGGGAAGGTATATGTAGAAAATAGATAGGGGATACAATGCTGTGAGAGGATTGAGTTGTGCTGATCGCTTGGTTGTAGGTATATGCTGGTCTGTGGCCACTACGAAGGTGCCCAGAGAGAGTGTTGCGTACGTATTGAGTAGATGGATTGTGTACTGCATAACCATACGTGGCAAGGCCAGGAAGAATTGAGATGTATATGATTTCAGGTATTTAGATGACATGGTGATAAACAGACGTAGTTGGTAGGTACGTATATAGATCTCGAAGTAGAGAATCTCTTCCTGGAACCATGGAATAAAAATAGGTTACGAATCACACATGAACACCAAAGAATCCAGACTTCAGTCACATAGAGCCAGACTAGATGCTTGTTCCTTCTGTCTATTCAGCTAGGGTTCACTACCTACACCTATCCGATCATTCATCTTTTTTGTCCTCGATAGCATCCATGGTAATTGTACTTAGGTATAGAGCTCTAGGCTATCCTATTTCCACATCCTCACACCCGTGTCTTCCCCTTATAAGAAGACCTCAAGATTAATCTCCAACGTACTAACAGGGTACTTAAGCTCGAAATTCTCAAGAACAGTCGGATGGAGAATACCGAACTCCCCAATCCTCGCCGTTTTCCCGTCCAAACGTGCGTACACAGCCGCCGCGCGACCGGGGAAGAAAGTCGGCTCGTCGTCGACAGGCTCGAGCCAGTACCCGTCGCGCTTCTGGGGGGTAGCCGTGACCTTGTAGTCGACCTCTTTTCCGGTCAGCCCCTCATCGTGGGTGATGAAGGCCTGGCGCAACATGGCCATGACGCGGTCTAGCAGACCGTGCACCTCCTCGAAACCGGACGCCTTGCCGTACCATGCCGCGGCGAAATGTCTCTCATTGCGGGCGCGGCGCTCGACGGTTGGGTCCTTGAAAACGACGTCTGACGTTTCGAAGACGCGGATTGGCACGCTGTGACCCTTGTTCTCGCGGATAGTCTTGAGTAGGCCGGGGATTAGGGAAGTACGCACGATCTGGTACTCGGCGGTCTTGGGATTGGCTAAGCGCACCGCGGTCTTGCCATCGTCCTTGCGGTTCAGCCATGCGAAATTCTCGTCGTGGCTGCATAAGATGAGGGGCATGACCTCGGACCATCCGGCCATACCGCACTCGAGGCGCACGATGTCCGCGAGCTTGTTGAGCTGGAGGGGCGCTCCAACGGTCTTGGTTACGGACATGCGGGGCAGTCGGTTGAAACCGTAGGCGATGCCCAGATCTTCCATAACGTCGCATCGCTGGAGGATGTCGGCGCGCGTTGGGGGTATAGTGACTTCGATCTCGCTGTTCGGGTGCTCGCTGGAAGGTTGGGCGCTCAGGGCCATCTTGGAAAGCAGCTTGCTGATGCTCTCGGGAGATTCCGAAAGGCCAAGGCATCCGTTCAGGTAATCGATCTCGACGGTGTCGGTGCGCGACGAAAGGTTGGGCGTTATTCGGGTTTGTCCGTTGTGATCGGATATGACCTTGACGGGCTCGATGGTGAAAGGTTCGGCGGCGTAGACGGAGAACATGGTCACCATCATGTTGATGACGATGTCCAGCTTGGTCTTGTCTGTGGCGGTACATTCTATAAAGATGTTCGTACTGCTAAGCTTAATCTTGGAATGGTCGCCGTTGATGATAGGCGGTAGTGAGCAGACTACCCTATTTGAGTCATAGATGACGGGGTATACTGGCTTATCCTTAATGATGTGTAGGTATCGTCCCAGATGTCGGTCTTTTTCATAGAATGCCATCAACTCCTCTCCATTCATACTCTTGCTTTGGTTCAGCGGCGCGAAATTAATGTCCTTCGGCGGACGCGCCTCATATGTGAAAGGGCCCTTTATGGTGTCTAGATCGTGTGTTCCGATGGCGACTAAAGTACGATTTCGCGCAAGGTTCTGGTGTAACTTGTCTTGTAATGAAATGAAGGAGTCATAGCTCTTCTGGGTGAACTTGATATTACGTAGAATGGCGCAAGCAACTAACGGTCGAACTTTCATAGTATCCTCGAGGACTGTGATGGTCTCCAGATCGCCACTTGCAGGCTGGGCCAATCTGAAGTTGGGTGTGGGTTGTTTTCCCCGGAAGATGTTGAGCATGAGAGCAATGCCCTCGAAGCAAAGCATGTCATATCTGTTGGCGGGGATTTCGATCTTAAGTTGGGGAGGTTCTTGAACGCCATCGACGATAGGTCTATCATCATTCTCGGTGTCTTCGTCTAATTCAATTCCAAATTCGAAGCAAAGCTCTTCAAACTCCTCGGTCGTGTATCTATACGTTGTTGTGTGTTAGCGGCGGGGTGATTTTCATATTTCGTATTCAGGCTGGGTTAGAAGAGGGGCAGAGGGGTCACGAACTTTTGACCTAGAGCCTCAAAGAGGTCATACTTGTCGACGGAAATGGTAGGCATCTTCTATGTAGCCCTTTCAAAGGGTCGAGTAGAGCCAAGATACCAGGGGATTTGCGCAATTCGGTCGACGTTGGACGTTAGACGTTGAATGTGAAATGTGATTGTTTGAGTCACCAGCAATTTCACAAATTCATTTGCGTCGCAGTTTACTACCCCACCATGAATATCGGATAATACAATAACCTTGGTTCAGGGGTTAAAACGTTAAAGCTTATCATAGTGGGTACGGAATCTGTTGTACCCCTAAGCACTAGCCACATCTAACGATGGGGACTCGGTTTATCTCACTTACAGCGTAGTACGTCCAGTAATTCAGTTTGCGACAGAGCTGCTAAAAACAAAGACTTCCAAGGGTGTTCCTCTCACAAAGCACACAACACAAGATACGATGGCATCTTGTATTACATCTTATTAATATTTACCTAGTATATATATCTGTAAAGATGCCTGTTAGTAGAACCCTTTTGACTTACTCGACAAGAGACATGGTAGCATAGGTATCTAGAATGTAGGTAGCTATTATATAATGTATTGTATACCCCGTAAAGCACACATGCAGACGAGTCATATAGTGATATCTCATGCGCAGCACTCTGTCTCCTACATCACTAAAACAAGATATAGAGCTCGCGGTCCCTCCAATCAGCTCTATCTATTTCTGACCCCCTTCTCTCTAATTTGCAGGTCGAGAATTCGATAAATCGTCAGACATCACAAATCCCCCGTCTAATATAGATGGAGCTTTGGAGTGACATCACAGCTTACCATTATCACTATCTGGATTAAATTTGAACGTTATGGCGTAGCTTCTGCTATCACAGATCTTGCTATGATCTGACCTTAGAATATAATTAATCGCTAGAAGAATACCAGGCACTAATAGTTCCTTTAATTTTGCAAATTAATATGTTTCTATACTAGGTACATATCATGAAAAGAATACGTAATGCCTTATAAAATAACGGTATTATAAAGACTGGAATTAAAATACATGAAACTGATACTAGGTGAAGAGTACTAGGTACATGATTTAGGGATGCAGAGCGTACTACAACGCTGTGGATCGGATTTCCTAGAGCGGGGAAGTGCATACTGGGACTAAAATTCAAAGTGTCAAGTGTGGGGCAGCTGTGGTGGAAAATGGTGGCAGGATTCAGAGGGTAAGAACCTTACATTGTAGCAGCCTTAGGTACTAGGTATCTGGGTAACAGAGATTTCAATCTCGTTACAGGCGCCTAAGCCACATATTTAGTTGCCTTGCCCCCCTTGTTATCTCTCACAAGCCTTTACAAGCCATACCTGAGGTAACCTTGGCAGGTAAAGCTCCAGCCCGCGTTAGACCTATTTCCACCAAAAGCATCTTTCTTCTTGATCACAACACAATCCACAACACCCAAAGCGAACCTCCATACTTGATGATACCCCTCGATGATCTAATTACCAACCCGAAATCAACAGTAAAGAGACGAACCTACATAAAGACCTAAGATAAAAATCTTTTTTTCTTGGCGAGTTCGATAAATTATTTTTCGGTGTCGAAGCACGAGCGACGTCGATCTTTGTATCCGGTTCCCAAGTCGCCAAATTGACCCGACATCGACCTAACTCTCATTGCATCACTCCACCACCACTACCCTCTCCAACCCACGCGATCAGCAGCGCAACCTAGCCGGTATTTTTTTCTTACTTGCCGGCTTCTACGCCTACATAATTCCCTCGTATCTACAACCGAATAGCCACATCCAAACATGGCTGACGCGCCAAATGCGAATGATGAGCTTTACCCCATCGCCGTACTCATCGATGAACTAAAGGTAAGGCGGTGACATAGTCAACCTAGTCGACGCACTAGTATCTCAACATCTGACTTTGTTTATAGCACGACGATGTCCTTCTACGATTGAACGCCATTCATCGTCTCTCGACAATTGCGCTTGCTCTAGGTGCAGAGCGCACTCGTGATGAACTCATTCCCTTTTTAGACGGTCAGAAAGTGATCCCCGCGCTCGAACTAAGAACACGTCTAACCCCATAATTAGAGTCTGTCGAAGATGAGGACGAAGTTCTCGTAGCCCTCAGTGAAGAGCTGGGCAGCTTCATCGAATACGTCGGTGGCCCTCAGTATGGCCACGTACTCCTCTCCCCCCTCGAGAACCTCGCAGCCATCGAAGAGCCCGTTGTTCGGGATAAGGTCCGTCCCGACAGCCTCGCAGATCCTTATCATCGTCTACTAACACTTTACTGCAGGCTGTCGAGTCCCTCAACAAGATCTGCAACGACCTATCGCCCCAGCAGGTTGAAGAATACTTCATCCCCTTAACCATCCGCCTCGCCAAGGCCGACTGGTTTACCTCTAAAGTGTCCGGATGTGGTCTTTTCACCACACCTTACAAGAAGGTCTCCCCTCCTGTCCAGGAGCAACTTCGCCAACAATTCGGCCTCCTAGTACACGACGAGACACCTATGGTGCGAAGACAATCTGCCACTAACATGGCCAAATTTGTGAAGGAGATGCCCGCGGCTATCGTCGTCGACGAAATGATACCCCTCTTCCAACACCTTGCACAGGATGATCAGGATAGTGTCCGATTACTGACGGTGGAAATACTCATTTCGATTGCCGAGGTCGTGCCCAAAGAACAACAAGGCAGCCACGGCGTCTTGCTCACGTCGTTACGTAACTTGATAGAGGACAAGAGCTGGAGAGTCCGATATATGATTGCCGATAGATTTGAGAAGGTATGGACTCGGGTTTGCTTTTATATGGCATATACTAATAATAGGTGATACAGATTGCGAAGGCCGTAGATGAAGAAGTCGTCACCCGAGACCTGGTCCCATCGTTTGTCAAACTATTGAAGGACAATGAAGCTGAAGTCCGAACCGCCATCGCTGGCCAGATTCCCGGTTTCTGCAATTTGGTCGATAGGACAACTCTGCTTAACGAAATCATGAGTTCCATCGAAGATCTTGTATCCGACACGTCTCAGCACGTCCGAGCTGCCCTCGGTACTCAGATTAGTGGGCTAGCACCTATTCTTGGCAAGCAAGAGTATGTTAAATGTCTAGCAAATCATTTGATCGTATTGGGATTATAATTACTAATAGTTAATAGGACTATCGATCACCTTCTTCCGATGTTCTTGCAGATGCTAAAGGACGAGTTCCCCGAAGTGCGCCTCCACATCATATCCAAGCTTGAGCTCGTCAACCAAGGTATACCCACCCATACAGATCCTTATTCACAAACATTCGTTATTCTGACACGCTTTAGTCATTGGCATTGATCTGCTTTCCCAATCTCTCCTACCAGCTATTGTGCAACTCGCGGAAGACAAGCAATGGAGAGTCCGACTCGCTATCATCGAGTATATCCCTCTTCTCGCAAGCCAGCTCGGCGTCAAGTTCTTCGATGAGAAATTGAGTTCGTTGTGTATGGGTTGGCTTGGAGATACCGTTTTCTCTATCCGTGAGGCTGCGACCCATAACCTGAAGAAGCTTACCGAGGTCTTTGGCGTTGAGTGGGCCAGCGAAGCAATAATTCCCAAGGTGATGGCTATGGGCTCTCACCCGAATTACCTATACCGAATGACGACTTGCTTCGCAATTACGGTAAGTAATCTTTTTTGTTATGTTTAGGTATTAGAGTATGTATTCTAACATCACTATGCGTAGACTTTGGCTACTGTTGTCAGTTTGGATGTCATCGGAAAATCGATTCTCCCTATGCTGGAGAAGCTAGTCGAAGATGCTATTCCCAACATCCGCTTCAACGTGGCAAAGACGTACGCCGTGCTTATCGACGTTCTAAAGCGACTTCCGGAGGAGGGTACGATCTACAGCTTGGAAAAGGCCGGAACTCCGACAACGTCCACGACACCTTCGCCTCGCGCGACCGAGCTCATCCAACAGCGGATCCTCCCGAGTTTAGAAAAGTTGCAGAAGGACGATGATGTGGATGTGCGCTACTTCGCGACGATGGCAGTGGCAGTGATTCCCGGGATGGGTGGAGAGCCTATGAACACGTCGCCGTAGATGAGAGACTTAAAGAGAACTCCTCCCAAACGTGCGGCCACGTCCTAGAGTGTCATAGTTACACGCTCTCGCGAGATAGTCATCCCGAATTTGTCCAGCACACTAGTTCGTACAAAAAGGTCCTTGAGAGCCCATTATATTTGGAGGGTTCGTAGATCAGAAGTCGCATGGGAGACACGCACAAAGGTCATGCATTTTTGGAGGTTTGTGTTCCGCTCGGCACTGCGCCCATAAATGGGACTTGGGAGTTGCACAAGTTCCTATAGATGGTCATCGAGAACCACGAAGAAGCCCGGTAGGGGCCTAATCATCATCTTGGCAAAGTTGCCTGGTGCGTGTAAGATAAAAAGAACGAAAAAAAAGAATCATGATGAGTTTAATAGATCTCAGTCAAACCAAATTAAATATGCAGTAATCTTTTTCTTGTTTAATTCGTAGGTTATCTTGATATTGTTAATAGGGGTATCTCTCCATTTCCTTTTTTGATCCTAACTGCCAGACTATCATCCGGGTCCGAGGCGCTTATGTTCACCTAAGCGGCAGTAGATTATAGGTATATACTAGGTACCTATACTAGCTCTAGGTATTCCTCACCTTTCTAAAGCACAAACTACTAATAGTCTGCCCTTTAACACCACCAAAGCTAAAGCTCGGATACTCGACTCGACCAACCTCCTCGAACCGCCACTTCCTCGTTTCCTCGTCGTCTTCTTCCTTAGCGGGCCCCTCGAACCACCCTCGTAGCTCAGCCTCCGTCCAGTTGCAGCTTGTTACGAGGAATAACCCCCCTTCGCGCACTAGAGGCGTGATCTTCGAGCGGTAGGACTCGACAACGCGGCGGTCCGTTCCTGCGACGGTTTCGGAGGATAGCGAGATGGCGTCGAATGTCCCTTTATCCAGCACCACGTCCCAACCTTGCGACTGTTCGTCTAGGAGAAGCTCGGTGGGCGAGGTGTGTAGGATGTCGTGCTCGAGGAAGTATATGTTCTGCGCGTCGTTGTCGTCTAGCGAGTGCGAGGACGAGGAATCTGGGGAGGAGGTTGAGGAGGGAGGAGAGGATCGCGATTGTGCTAGGCGTCGCGCAAATTGGATGCTTTGCTGCGAGTAGTCTACCCCGAGCATTCGCCCGGTCCAGCCGGCGTCGCGGAGGCCGAAAAGGAGCGAGCCGTTGCCGGTGCCGAGGTCTAGGAATGTGGTTGTGCGTTGGGAGAGGGAGATGGTGGCAGGTTGGTCTGGGTTGCTGAGGAAGTCGATGAGTTTGGTCTCGGCGTCGGAGTCGTCGAACCAGACTGTGCCTGTGTCGGAGGGGTTGTGTGTGTGGTTGGTTATTTCGGTTGTGTAGAGGTTGTCCCAGCTATGGGTGGGTTAGCTATGTGGGAGGTAGAGTGGTCGGTATAACAGGGCGTACTATTCCTTCGTGCCCAGCTCGGAGGGCTCGAGATGTGTGAGTTTGGTCATTATCGATGAGGATTCGGTTGAGTTAGGTAGTTATAAGGAGTTTTGAAGATTAAGCAACTATAGAGATTATATTTTTGATATGACAATATAAAACTATCAACTGCGTAGGAGAGACATATCGATTATACTGAGTCGTGAACTACCTAGTACATATCTATAGTCCACCCAGCTAAGTACAGTATTAAGCTTGAAATTGAAAGAAAGTGGCATCGGATGGAGGGGCATACGGCAGAAATTTACGTCAACCAATTCGGAAGGCGGTATCCGCTATTCGATAAAATACGGTTGCCAAGATGACTAAAATAAAACTCCGTTAGATACGATCGATAAGGCGATAAGCATAATTCTTAAACTTTTCTGTCGTCACTCAGTTAATTCTGTAATTTACTAATCCCATAAAATTCAATGCCGCCAACATGTATCGTGCGCGCTTGTCAAGATACTTAAACAGAGGCATCGCCTCTCCTGCGCGAGCAAGTGCTAGGTCATTTCGACCAATTCGACCACTTCAGAACCGGACATTGGCTACGACTGTGGATGTGCCAAGTGGGAAAGTATGCGATTTCCCATGTTTTGCCATGTCATACCACATTTATGTAACTTGATCCGAGCATTATAACTAACTATGAACAGGAACCGACAGACCTTGACCAGATATCATACTTGCCAAATGGAGTCCGCGTGGCATCCGAGGCCCTCCCCGGATCCTTCGCCGGTGTTGGCGTGTACATCGAAGGCGGTTCGAGATTCGAGAATAATTACTTAAGTGGAGTGAGTCACATCGTTGATCGGATGGCCTTCCAGTCGACCGAGAACAAAAGCACGGAAGAGATGCAGAGAATGGTAGAGACTCTAGGGGGGAACGTACAATGTGTTTCCTCCCGAGAGTCCATCATGTACCAAGCCGCCACCTTTAACTCTACTATTCCGACAGCAACCGAACTTCTCGCCGACACGATACAAAACCCACGACTTTCGGAAGAAGAAATTGAAAGAGAACTATTAACAGCTGAATATGAGATTAGCGAGATATGGAAGAGACCAGACTTAATCATACCCGAGTTGGTACATATGGCCGCTTACAAGGGTAACACTCTCGGTAATCCACTGTTAATTCCGAGAGAACGCATACCAGAAATCAACAGTTCAGTTCTGCGCACATATAGAAACACCTTCTATCGCCCAGAGAGGACTGTCGTGGCCTTTGCCGGTATTCCGCACTCTGAAGCTGTGGAACTAGCATCAACCTTCTTTGGAGGTATGAAGGGATCCGAACAGCCGATCTTGTCACGAACGGGATCAGAAACCTCTGTCAGCTCATTACCATCGGACATAACTGATGCCTCATCTTCTTCAATATCATCTACCACATCTTCGTCTTCACAATCATCCGGCATTATGTCAAGGATACCACTCTTCAAGAACCTCTCCACTTCCGCAAGCCTCAATGCGTCCGTCTCTAACTCGGCTTTTGCGCCGACTGTGGAACAAATCGCTATGCCTTCACATTATACCGGTGGCTTCGTCTCACTTCCACCACAACCTCCATCGCCCAACCCTCACCAACCCACACTTACATATATCCACCTTGCCTTTGAAGGATTACCCATCGGATCGGACGACATCTACGCACTTGCAACGCTTAACACCCTCCTCGGTGGTGGCGGGTCCTTCTCTGCCGGCGGACCCGGGAAGGGAATGTATTCGAGACTGTACACCAACGTCCTAAATCAGTACCATTGGGTAGAGTCTTGCCAGGCCTTCAATCATTCTTACACCGATTCCGGATTGTTCGGTATCGCAGCCCAGTGCCAGCCTGAGCGGACGTCAGACATGCTTAATGTCATGTGTCAAGAGCTTAAGGCGCTCGCCTTAGAAACCGGGTTTGCGGGCCTAAAAGAGCAAGAAGTGAGCCGCGCCAAGAACCAGCTACGGTCCAGTCTCCTTATGAACCTCGAGAGCCGAATGATCGAGTTGGAGGACTTGGGCAGACAGGTACAGGTGCACGGGCGTAAAATACCGGTACAAGAGATGTGCCGAAAGATTGAAAAATTAACGGTCAAGGACTTGCGCCGCGTGGCGAAGCTGGTCGTGGGAGGACTAGTACAAAACAATGGTAAGGGGAGCGGTTCCCCTACTGTGGTAATACAAGAGGTACAGGACCCTTTTAGGTCTTCGAGACAGGCATCTTGGGAAGAAATCCAGGACAGGATATTCAAATGGGGTTTGGGTAGACGATGAGTGGCATAGAACCGGCCGTCTGGATTTCTCCATCTAACGGTAAAGGCGGCAAGGTATTTGGCCATATGGTGGTAATCCGTGATCCTGGCGATATGACCTGCCGGATTTCGACATTTGGATTACTCTACTCTAGATGCTAGATGATGTACAAAGGTGTATAATACTAACGACATGCATGGGATCATGTATTTACATGAATAGACCTACGATCCTTACAATCGCCGCGTAAGCTTTTGGTGTCGAATGCGAAATCGTGGATTCACTGTCTTACGCCGGGGATCGACCCGATCGGGTATATTAGCAAGAAACGGAAATGGATCTTGTAGGGAGGTAAGACGGGACGCCTCATGTCAATTAACTCGCAAATTGCGACGCTACGGTAGCATGGTCATGTTCAAAAGCCATGCCATGAGCTACGTCCTTCATCAGGCCTTTGAACGACATGAATCGGCGTGGTTTTACCAATGCTAATATCACGAGACACGTTTCCCCCTAGCACTCAATATGCCGGGGTTCCACGATAATCTAGGTATAAATTTGCGAGTGCGAGGAATACACACACTGCTAGGCCGCGACCTCTTTCCGTTTCACCAGATTCGCTTCCTAGCGTAATCTGTACCTGATCCCGTACTTCCCTTGATATGCAAGTCCTATTGTGTAAGTGAACTGATTCCTTGCGTCCATGATGTAATGTAGGTATATAAACTTAGACTCCCAAGTTTTATAATAACCAAGCATGCTCTCCTATCTACTTTAACAAGCAATCTTATCTCTCCCTCAGCAAAATCATAGACGAAAAAAGGAAAAAGAAAAACTTGCCAACAATACTAACCCCTAAACCGCCAAAATGACAGCGGTAACGCGAACCTCGCGCGGCGACGATGGCATAATCTCGGAAACAACATACATCATGCCCGCGCAAACAACACCCTACGCGCCCATCCGCTCCTCAACAGACTCTCTCACAGGCGTAGGATCCAACATGCCAAACTCCTGCTCTCTATCCGTCTTCTGCCGCAGCGTATCCTATTACGTATACAGCATGGCAACAGCAGCGCACAGCCCACACCCGCTATCAGGACAGCACTGCAACGCCGTGCAGCGCGACCCCGGCATGGGCCAAGTCATCGGCTACCACGACGACTGCTGGCCACAGAACTACTTCGCGCTGTTCCCGAACGAATGGGGCGAGATGAACGGCGCCAGCAAGAGCTATAACGAGGGCGACGCGAGCACCGTTGCTTTCCCCGGCGGGAATTGTCTCGAGGGCTGGACTACGGCTTGTACTACTACGATCACGGCGGGGGGCATGAGACACATCGTCAAAGATGGGAAGGGAAACGAGGTTCGCGCACAGGATGGCGAGAAGAAGTCTTTTCCCCAGGCTTGGTGCTGTCCCCCGGGCGACTGGACCTGCGCTACGCAGACCGGCGATGGGGATAAGCAGGCCCCGCAACGCCTGTGTCGGAGCGTGGTTACGGGCACGGCGACGACGCAGGTTTGGATGAGTTGGGATCCGGCGTATTATACGTTTACGCCGACAGGGTCTACGAGCTCGCTTTTCGAGGCGTATACTTGGTCTGCGGATGTTCCCGAGGACCCGGACCCGGAGTTTGCGGCGACGGTTTTTCATAAGGTATTTCCGTTGGTTTTGAGCGCTTCTAGTTCTAGCACTAGTTCGACGAGTACTTCGAGTTCGAGCTCGAGTTCTAGTTCTAGTTCTAGTAGTAGTGGTGATAAGGAGGTTTGGGTCCGCGATCACTTGCCTACGGTTCAGGGCTCGGATATTGCGTGTCCGGTCACGCTTCAGGCAACGGATACCGTAACTGTGTCCGTGATGCCGTCTATGGAGCCCCGGATAAGGTCGAGAGAAGAGGTATCGGTATTCGGTGATAGCACCCTGGCGTCTAGGTGTGCGGTTGCTGGTCTGTTAGGCGCTAGTGCTGCCACGGCCGCGCTTTCACTTTTAGGGTTTGGGATTCTATACCGCCAAAAGAATAGGGATAGGAGACGTCGCGCTGTTGCGGTGGTTGCTTCTGGTGTGGATAGGGGGTCATTTGAGGATGAGAAGTTTGAGGAGATGGGAGTTAGGTTTCAGGGGCAGGGACAGGAACAGGGGATAAAGCTTGCTTGATGACTTTCTTTTAATCTTAGGACGCTGCATTAAGGTGTTTCTGATTCTTACATCTTGCTCATATTGCATCCTTGATTGAGTTGTTTCCCCTTTTCTACCTATTTATGGGATAATAATGGAGTTTCTTAATGTGTCCCTCTATCATTGATCGAAGAAAGGAGGTCATATACCTATTCATGAACTTCCTATCAAGTTTCCGTCGAGACACTGTCTCGTAGATCATAGGTACCTATTGCTTAATATGAATCATGATTATTAATCATTAACTTTATCCCATTGAAAAATTTAGGAAATTAGATGTGAAAAAGCAAAAGCTGCGCACTTCCAATTACCTAAGGGCCGATTAGGTAACCTTAATAAGCAGAAATTATTATATAAGCGAAGGGAGCTTACTAAGTTAAAATTCGATGACTGAAGCTCGTGTAGTCATCAAATCTTAAACTTGGAACTCGGAAACTTTGAACCTGAACTGAACCTCTTGAACAAGATTACCTAAAACAGTCGTAAATCACATTAGGTAATCATCTAACAAAATACCGCCGACCACCTTCTGCTCTGAAAACAACATTCCCATCCGCTCTTTCCCTCTTTAACTTAACCCCATCATCAGCCCAAGCCCTCCGTTCCTTCCCCCCCTGTACTTCCGGAACAACCACCGTCCCATTCGTCCCCGGCGGCGGCGTAACATCCACCACGATCCTCCCATCCGTCCGATTTCTCTCCCAACTCACACTTAACGGCCCATAAGGAGTCGGAACCACCCCCTTAGCCCAATTCAAATCCGCACTCGGAAGCGGTCGAACAGTCCACTCCCTAAACCCAGGCTTCACAGGCCGGACCCCGAGAACATAACTCGTCAGAAGCGGCGTCACACCCGTCGACCAACCGTGCGCCAAGCTCGTGAACGCGCCTTCGTATTTACTCCCATTGACCCCGATACCCTCCCACATCGTCACCCCCGGGTCCGCAGCCGCCATGTGTCCGTACGTAGCCCGCAGCTGCGCGACCGCTGATTCCGCTAGCCCGCTCTCGAATCGCGCCGCTGTCTCGAAGTACGATATAAACGGAGACACCCTGTCGCTGAACCCGGCTCCGAGCTCGTTACCACCCGCGTCGTAGAAGGCGTGGCCGTATGGTTTTCCGGTTGCGTTTGCGAGGTAGGATAGTGCTGATTCGGCGTACTTGGGGGAAGAGGCGGTGATGCCGGCTAGAATCGCGATGCTGTTCCCGTCTTGTGCGTGTGCGTTGCATCCCCTCCCGGTGCATTTACGGTCGTAAAAAGCTCCGGCCGATGCGTCCCATAGGTTTGCGAGCACGCCGGCTGAGACGTTGGCTGCCCTGTCACGCCAGCGAGAAGCATCGCCGGGTTTCGATAGCTGCGAGGCCATGTCGGCGGCCCGGTTCAGCGCTAGCACGTATAACGCGCTGTAATACGTTGCCGATCCATCACGCGGGATGAAGGCATAGTCTCCGTAACCGTTCTGCCGGACTAGGAGAGATGTAGCGTTGTCCGTGTGGGAGACGTAGTAAGTATCGAGGACCTTTACTAGAACCGGATAGTACGCTTCGATGTACGATAGGTTTCCTGTGTACATGACGAGGTCCCAGCTACATGTCACCCAGTATAAGGGGTAGTCGAAGAGCTGCAGTTGGTAATTGTTGCTTTAACCGTGTTAGAAAAACGTCTCGGTCTCTTGGGAATTGGGGGTCACGAACATGCTCGCAGGAGGTATCCACCCGTCGTTCCTCTGGCGCAGCGCCAAATCTTCCATCACGTTCCGAGCCGCCTCGGGGAAATCATGCGTGAGGTAACCCGTCAACGCGGCTACTGCCAGATCTCCCATATACGGATCCCTGTCCCTCTTCGCCCCGTCGAGGAGCACCCATTTGCCCAAAAGCGACGGGCTTGACGCTCCACGAGGTTCTGTGTCGTTGTCCCGGAAGACGTCCGTACCTATTTCTGTAGTATACGCACCATCGTACCACCACTGCGTGAGCTCCGCGTCTGAGCATTCGAACCAGCCTGTGTAGGTATCAGGGGTACCTAGATACGCAGACCATTGCAAGCTCACCGAATTAATGGCAATCTCGCCGTATGGAGATGTATAAGGAGCGTCTTTGGCAAGTGCATCCAACTCAATTTTCACGTACCGGAATCCATGAAGGCCGTCAGAGCAGACCTGGCTTCCGAATTCGCAGCCCCATTGGTTAATCCATGTGAACGGCTTGTTCTTCACGGCAATCTAGAGATTTCAGTTAAACCGTGTATAGATATACGGCGAGGTTTTATCTCGGTAAAACATAACTCACCTGATCAGTTCCAGAGGTAATTTTCGGCGGATTCTGCGAAATCAGTTATTGATCTTAGGTCTACTTTCCTCAGCAAAACTTACACTGCCCCCCTGGCCCGCATTATCAGAACGCGTAAAATCACTCCTATTCCCGAGGAATTCCAAGCTCTCCGAGAAATACAATTTCAGTCCGGGGAGGCCATTCGACGCGTTAATTGAGCGCGCGAAGTCGATTTCTAGCAGACCCACGACATTCCGGCCGAAGTCGAGGACTACAGTAGGTATGGCAGTATCGCTCTCCCTGCGAATTAGTGTCGTTGAGTTGTTTCCGGTTATGAGGCCATCGGGGTTTGTTACGCCCCCCGATGTATATGCCCCGAGAACAGCTTTTGGCTTGACAATGCTGCTCGTTGGCGCGCGGACATACTGATGCCAGCTTGTGTCATTGTCTTGTGCCTGACCGCATCGGGCTAACACGAGTTGACATAGAGTAAGCCCGTAGAGCCACGCAGATAGCTTGAAATGTCCCATACTGCAAATCCAATTTGAAAGTATTCAAAAGACTTCGGGATATAGTTTCCCATAAATTCATATAGGCATGACCATTGGCGTGTCTATAGGTCGCTTATATCACCAAAGCGAACCGACTACTAAAATTTACACGGAAGTGGCTGAAGATATGTCCACGGTTAGAACCCATGTTCGCCTCTATAAACCTGGTTTGGCAGGGAGTTGATGTAGATCGTGATGGTCCGATCTTCTTTGGATCAGAGGCTGTGCCACAGCACGAAACCAGGGTTAACCATAGTTGGACATTCCAAATTAGGAAGGAAATCCAAAATTAGACGAATCGCGTGGCAGAGGGGTAGAGGGGTAGGTAGGATTATACGGAACTGTAAGGCTTGAAAGTGACTGATATATCATATGTGATAGGTCACTATACGCACCGGGTAGAGTTTACTTAGGTATGCTCTCCTTGTTGATGATATTAGCGAACTCAATCCTTATATTTCAACATGGTCACGATTCACTAGCGAGCAAGCAAAGAAAGGAATGTCAAGTTGTATGAAGTAAAGGAACTTTTCTCGGCCATAGGCATCACCAACCCAGGCCTATCTATTAGTTTGTAATTTCCTATCCGTGCACCTTGAAATTAAAATAATTCGTGAGTCATCAATCCGTCTCTCCCGGCTCACTATACCCGTCAAGTTGTGGTTGACGTTCGATGCCATTTTTTGGAAAAAAAAAAAAAAGAATAAACACTATCGCCCATAAAACTATGCAAAACTCATTTTTGGATCCCCTTTTCGTTTCCCCTTAAACAATATGCAGGAAAGTTCGTCAATCATTGAATCTTAGCCATTCTCTTAGACATGCTGCGAAGAAAGTTAGCGTTGGGTCAATCATTAAGGATGGGTATATTCTATCAGCAACTTACAAATCATAGAAAGCAAATTGGCTCGGGCTGCTACCAAACTCGTACACGAAACGCGAAGCAAGATAACTTCCAAAGATTGCGCGAAGGTACGAGTCCGGTACGCGGCTAATGATGGTGTCTAGACCGATCTTGTCGAGGAGCAACTTGGGTAGAGCATCCGCCAGGATTGACCTTCGAATCCTCGGGTTCTCCCACAGGTCGGACTTTTGTAGTTCCTCATCAAGCGTCGTAATGGCTACCGAGAGTGTGTCCGAGAGCACAGAACGCGGCACGCCGGTCTCTTCGTGTTCTCTCCAGATCGCCTCAAATTCTAAGCGGGCGTTTTCGCAGATCGTGGCCTGCACTTGCTTGACGTAGGCCTTGTAAAACTCGGGTGCTTCTCCATCAGAGTTGTGGCACATGTTCTCGACGAAACCCTCATCGTCAAAGCTAAGCGATGCAAGGACCTCGAGGGATGAAGAAGTCACACCACCCTTGTTGGCAGACGCATCTTTGAAAAGAATGGCGCCGGCCTTCTCGAGGCGCAGCTTGGCATCTTGAGTGATGAATAGATTGGCTCCTTCAACGATGTAAGGAATGGTAGACTTGCCATCCTTAATCAACTTGGAAACGGTAGAAAGATCAATCGACTCAGGGCGGCCACCACACGGAACGAAGCAGTCGGTAAATCCGTTGTCTCTGAGATGGTAGAAGTTACGGAAAGGCGTGCCGTTGGGAACAACTTCGCCAGTTGGTAATGTGATGTTGCTATCATCACACAGAACCCTGTATCCGTCCTTAGATAACTTGGAGAGGTCGAACTGCGAGATCATGGCACGCTTCTTGGCTAATCGTACAAGTTCTTCCTTATCAAGTCCATTAGGGTCGACGAGGACACCGGATCCATCTACAATCGCGGTGTACTTCTCATTGCTCAGGAGAATTTCGTTGCTTCCAAGGTCGCCATCCGGTCCGCCGGTTTGCATCTTCTTGACGTTGGACGGATCCAAGTTGAGCTTTCGGTATATACCCTTGACGTATTCACGAACGGATAGGGTCGTCATGCCATATGCGTCATGAGGAATACCGCCAAGCTTGGGTGACTTTCCAGTGAAGAACGACTTCCACCAAGGCGCACCCCGAGCGCGCGCGTGTTCTGTAGCCCAATCGACGAGATCAGCAGTGTTCTCGTCTGGGCCTAGGAAAAGAATCTCCTCTTTTCTGTAGAGGTCTACTATCGGATTCTTGATTCCAGGGGTTTTTGCGGGAAGAAGGAGGTCCAAGATACTATCAATGTACTTCTCGAAAGCTTCCCGAGCGCGGTCCTGCTGCTTGGCATCAAGAAGAACGACGCCCTTCGAACCACCTTCCGGAATATCCTTGTTCTTGCGCTGCTGAGTGCTCGCAAGCGCATAGTTCTCATCGAATAGGCTTCTGGCGTTGATACTGTAAGCCTCCTTGCTACGAGACTTGACAATTCGGATACCTCCTCGGGCAACATCCTTGAATCGGAGATGGAAGCCGCGGGCCTCTGCGCTAATCACAAGGAACATGCCATAAAGACGTCTAGGGTATTCGACCTCGGGGAGGAATGATGGGTCCAAGCGGAAGCTAAGGGCTACTTTAGTGGGAGTGAAGTAGTTGGTCTTCAAGATGGCATTGTTGAAGATGCGGAAGGCTGTCATGACCATTTCCTCGTGCTCGTTGGACACCTCTCTGGTGATCGCATCCTTGAGTCGAGCATCCGACAATACTTCGACAGATGGGGTAGGCGCAATGATACTCCTCTCGAAACCAGGGCCAACGCTCAAATGGACGCTGGCGAACGCGGCATAGAGGATTCGCACTAGGTTCGGGTATGATGAGATGATCTCAAGGATGTAATCCGGCGTAAACGTTTCTGTGCGAAGACGACGCTTCAGCTTCGAAAGGATCTCCACGTGCGCCGGGTTCTTCGAGTCTAAAGCTTGCTTGATCGAGACGTATTCCGTGCCAAGACGGTTAAGGAAGTGTTGGACGAAGACCCAGACACAGTGGCCGTAGACGGTTTCTTGTAAGCTTAGAGCCCCGGATGCGAACAAGGAATGAAGCTTGTTTTGAGGTATACAGTAAAGAAGGGAAATCTCCTTGGTGATTTGATGGATAGACTGTTCGATTGGCATGGGCTTGGTTTCCAGGTTTGTGGCCGGCTTCAAGTATATACTCATAACCGTGATACCATTGGAGAACTGCTCTACGTATTTCCTGGTGCTCGTCACGCCGTAGTAGTGGTACAGGTCGCTCAATGCGCTAAAAATGCCGCGAGCGGTACGAGAACGGAAAGCCACGACGAGACGCTTCTCTTCAGAACCTTCGATGTCGAATACCTCAATCACTGGTCCGGTTCTAGCGACGGCGAGTTTGATAATGTCATCGTAAATTTGTTTGGTGTTCTTGGTTGCTTTGGTCAAGAACATTCGGTCGCTGATGATCTCAAGACGAGTCTCACCCGGCTCCGGGTTTGGGTCCACGAACATACATTGGTAGACGAAATAGCATCGCAAAGAGGCTTTGGACGCGGGATCATCTGATATGGTGCCATGGGAGCGAAAGGTCTCAACGCGGAAACGCTTAGTGGGGTCAACGTTGTCAAGGTACTTCGCCTCAAGCCTGTTTTCGAACCGCGGACCGTGTAATGAGGTTTTACCCGGTTCACTCGTATCGATGTAAATGGCATGGTCGGTAGCCTCCATGTCTAAGCGGATCTCTTCGCGCTTGTCGACACGGGCGTAAGCCGCAACCTTGGCAGCATACATGGAGGTGATGTGGGTCGCGATAACGTCCACTTTCTCCATCTGAAAGTAGACATCGTCAATGCCTAGCTCATTATAGAACCATGAGACTTGCTCATCAAGATGAGCTTCAGGGATCCAGCCCTGCTTGAGGATGACGCTCTTGACTATTTTATGTTAGAAAATCCTAGATTGCAAGGATTGTACTAAAATATTGTCAACTAACCCTGTGTGATCTGTTCATCACGTCCCTTGAATTCGGGCGCAATGTATCCAACAGTGGCAGATCGTAAGACCCTATGTCCGTTGGGTCCAAGACTTCCCAGCGGCACTGAAAAGTGAGTGGGCTGGGGTGAAGGGTGACGAGATACGTTGTCCGTACCCTGAACCTTGCCCAACAGCTTATTAGCTGGGAGCGGGCTTGGGGCCGGGGATATCCCGTTGGTCGTCATGATGTGAGCTTTGGGTTCTATGACCTCAAACGTCTCAAGTGGATCAGAATAATCCGGGAAACTATCCAAACCCAAGTCAGTCGTCTGAATTGTCAACATCTTGACCACCATGATGAGGACTAGGGAGCTGGGTAGCTCGCGGGGTTGAGTGGGTAATAAGAAGGGATGAGAATGAATGAAAGAGTTAAGAATCATGACAATAAGAGAGGGAACATGATTCAGATCTCTGGGGAGCGGATCGATCTTTTATACAGAAATAAAGTCGAAGGATACCGCGGGAAGGCGTCATTGCCGTGTATAATGATTAGATATCATGATGTTTGGTAGGTACTTAGGGACTACCCCTAATATTGGTGTGAAGTACAGCGAGTAACTGAGTAACTGATAACATATACCAAAGCAATTCCTGTTATATAATGAGAAATACATGAAAGGCAGGTCTCGGGAATTTAGAAAGTTCCCATATTGCGCATCATAAGAATACTTAGGGATACAAAATACCGAAAAAGCTGCAGGTTAAAAGCTAGCGAAGCCAACTCAGCAAGATATCGAGAGAAAATGAAAACACGAGTACTGTTATCGTATCTTGAATCGCACTGACCAGGAGTAACATGGAATCTCCTACACCGCTCGATACTTCGGGCAGTGTTCTGAGTTCAGTTGATGGTCGTGCTCCTGATAAGGAAAGGAGCTAATAAGACAAACAGGCTGAACAATAAATAAGAGACGTACCGACAAAGCGTTAAGGGGGCGTTTCTGCGTTTCTCCGGGAGAAAACTTGAGGCAGTTACAGGTCCACAATTAAGTCGACAGTAGACTGGTGGACTTCAAGGAAGTGAACTGCAAGATCTGCCCTCGCGTGAGTAAGTAGTGTTGTGGTGTTGGAGAGATAGACGATCGGTTAGAGTGGCGTTATAGTGTATAGGGGGTAATGTATAGTGGTATTAAGTGGTAGAAAGTGGTACATGCAATAATACATAAAGGACGACAGTAATATTGGAAATATTAAAAACGATGGAAATAATGAAATAATGGCAATGTGTGGTTGGTTGAATGGATGATTGGTTGCCGAAATAAGCAGAGGTAAAGGAGGTAGTACCTTAATAAAGATGATGCAGGCCTCGATAAGCTTCAGAGCTTCAGGCTTTGAACCAAGGGATTTAAGGGACTTCGAATCTACCCTTTCCCTTATATTGGTTTCGGTAGATAGGTAGCTACAGCGAGTAGCAGAGCTAGATCGAGTCAAACCAGGTAGTATCCAGGAAGAATACGCAGGACGCGCAGGTGATATGCACAGCCCTGTTGCGGCAGCGTTGGATATACGATGACTGATGACGGATGACGGTATGTGGGAAGTAAAGATAATGACGGCCCCAAGCAAGATTAGGCGAGACCGAAGAAGCAAAAATCCACAGAGATAAGGATAATAACGGGATAAGACTGGTCGGGCCAAAGAAATACGATTCAGACCCAATTTATAGCTTCATCCATTACCTCCTAAGGACCTTGATAGATAGCGAGGTAGACAATGATTGATGTTTGGTAGTGGCAATTGAAACTTGACGATCGTGAAATCCAGACAGGAAAAAGGAAACAGTCAGCTTCTTATATAATTTGATGTAAGAACGGTTAGAAAACCAAGGGAGAAGAATCATTCAACGACTATTACACATTAAGAAATAAGAACCACGTCTTTCCTTCGTTTACAGTCTCGATGCACTGTATTGTCAAAGTTGCAAGGTTCAATGTTGTCAAGGTTGTCGAGGTACGTTTTTACTTAACTTTTCCAGCTTGTGACGAATATCCCTGCTGTCACCAGGTCCCAAGTCCGGTTGCTGAAAGTTACCAATGTACAATACAATACGGTTAGGAAACTAGACTAAAATAAACTAAACCAAAGGTTGGAACTGGAAATCGAGGCAGCTGCTCTGCCGCTGTAAGAACGGATCCATAGTGGATGGTAATGGCAATGGCAATGGCAATAGCAATGGAAGGAACAGAAGAATACCAATCGAAGATTCTTTCATCACGGTGAACGCAAATGGAACAAAAACAAGAGGCTAAACCTGCAGCTAACTAGAACGGGTTGTGGGCGGCAATGTAATTGGCCCAACAGTCTGGGTACCTGAAAATCCGAACAGCCGGGGTATCTATTCGCCTAGAATTGTATGGCGGGGGTACATGTGTACTTGCGGTGACCCGAGTTACCTTTTAGTTCCTTTTTTACTGGGTTCAATGCTGAATGTTCAATGTTGCCTCGATCGGTACCTAGGACCTAGGTAGGTACTTTTACTTTACCAGCTGCGCCAGCCAGTGCTCACCATGCGGCAAGCGAACAAAGACCCAGCAAGGGGTAAGAATTGATCCATTCCCATGGCCACGAGGTGGACATCGTGGACATCGTAGGCACATCCAGAACTCTCAGGACTCCCAAATTTCCGTTGTAAGAAAAACAACTTCAGCATCACATGTCTTCTTGGACCGGGGTTTAGTGGATCGTGATGGATCACTTATGCGATCCAACGGACTGAATTTTTTTTTACAAACTTGAACGAATCTGGTGTGGACTATTGACCGGATCAAGTACCGACGGTTATTCGAGGCAGATGGATACAGGTAAATTGGAATTACGGTAACGGTAACTAATCAGCTAACGGACTAATTGCAGGAATTCAATGTTCCAAGTGTCACCTTGATGCCAAGTATCTAAAGTATCTAATTTTGTAAATATGTAATCACCTGACCTCGAAAGGTACGAGTATACAATACATTATACAATATCCTCAACATAACATCATTTAATTACCCCTGAATCTTTTTTAGAGGTCATTCACCCATTTGGTCACTTTCTTACCTGGTTCATTGAACCAGATCTCTTCTTCTCCAGATGAGCAGTAACAGGTAAGATAATATGCAAAACATAAGCCTGTTCAAGCGGCATCAGATTCCAGGACGTAGTCAGCTAGTGTCTGGTTCTGCATGTTGATCCCGTCTATCAATCACAGTTTAGAGAGCTGCCAGTTCACCTCTCTTCTTATCTTAAAGTGAGACCTTAAAAGGAATTAAGGAGACGGATTATCCGTTGTCGAATAGAAGAGATCGTTTAGTTCAGGTGCAGGTGCTAGGTACGATAAGAGGATAAGAGAAGCAAGCTCGTCCCGTCGTGTCGACACGGGCTAGTGCAGTGCGTCGACGCCTCAAATTCACACCATACTGAGATGACGGTGTGCTGTCTTTACCGCTTCTTACCAACGGCACCGATGGCGGCTGTTGCGCAACTATCATAACCAATGAGTCAATGGATGTTGCAATATCTCTCGTTATCAACACTATGAATGATGAAACGTCATAGAGACGGAATTGGTCCTTCGTCAATGGTCAATGGGATATCTAAACATGTAAGGATTCGAATTCGTTCAAAATTTTCTACTATGTAATGCTGTCATGTACCATATCGGACCGTCGGTCTGGAAATACAACATGTACAGATGTATACGTAGGTACGTATATACTTAGGTACGTACCCGGACATATATCGTAATCGATTCATCGGGGCAACTGCGACGGTACTGGTACTTCGTACGTAAAAACGCAAAATTGTAGCAATGCGTAAATCAGCTCCGGCCAGCTCTTACCAGCTTTTGCTATACCTTTAAAGGGCAAGGCGCGGCTCCCCCGGCTTTGCACCTCTCGGGTGACTCGATTCGGACCCATCAGACCCATCGGATCCACTCTGCCCCGCGATTTCGAGGATTTCGACAGCAACATCCACGAACTTCAAACGTAAAAGTACTGCGGTTCTGATTTTCTATTACCCCCATATTACTTGATAGCAGCGTCTATCAAGCCCAATGAAGCAGCACGAGGTCAGCCGATTTGACGCCAGACGACTTGCACGGCCTCGTGATGGCTCAACAACTCGCTCTTGGCTCGCCGGTGCATATTGACAATCCAGTCAATTCCAGGGTTTAGACTTCTCATTACTAAACTTGTCGTGAGGTTAGTGGTCGCCAACTGGTTCGGCGCCCATTCATTCCACTTGGGGCCTCTTTGGATTTTCATGGCGACATTTACTCCGATGAAAACGTCATAAGAACCGGGAAAACGTCAAAAAACGAAAACTACGTCTCCTTTTTTGCGGAGTCCTGCGTCGACAATTACCTCCTCGCGAACTGTGCTAGGTGACACTGCAGGGACAATCATTATCTGTTGCCATCGCCGCGGCCAGGATAGGGAGTTGTGTTCAGCGTTCGTTCGTTGACTTTCGACGACATAAGCACAACTTCATGCCGGCTACTGCTGCCGTCAATTCAAGGGTGGTAGCTCTAATTCGGATAGCTTGCTCCTAAAGCACAAATAATGTCAAGCATGTTGCTTAGGTATCAGGTATTTAACTCGTCGTCATTTCTTACTTTATTGCTTCATAGCAACCTTGATGAAACAGAAGGTGTCAAGTATGAGAAAAGATGCAAATTAAAAATTAAAACCTGGAGAAACGCTACGGTAAGGATTCCGACAGTGCATAACGGAGACGGAATATCCGTTCTGAAATTTACATTATACATACAACTGTACCAGCAACTCAATGTTTTCATTGATCGAAGAGATAACGGTGCAGGCTCGGGCTATTTTTAACATCTTTTCCACGTTTTCGCCCTGCCTGCCGCCTATCAACGATTCTACGCATATCAGACTGGAGTCGTATTGCTGTACTAGCCATAGGTCGGGGGGAAACTTACCTTATCCAAGCTGCAAGTACCTATCCTAACCCCTGAATTGAAGATAAGCACCGCCACGAGTGTGGAGTTGTGGGACTCGAAACGGCAGAACGGTCAAAAATACGAAGGTCATTTTCGAAACAGTTCAAAAAGTACCCTTTAGGTCAAGCTTTCTCAGCCACTAGACCCTCCCCATCCAGGTTCTTCGCTTCTTCGACCGAAAATTAAAATCAAGAAGAGTTTTCGATGCTCGCTCCAGGAGAGCAAATTCGACGTTGCGATACTACGGTATGATTCAGGCTTACACTCAGGGGCTCGGAGGTTTAATCCCAACATTTAGCCAGGTCTACCAATAGGTCGATAATTATGTCCTATGCGGTAGAGGAGACTCGAGGCATGTGGCATCTAATCAATCCAGGAACGGGCCGTGATATGCAAAGAATGGCAGGCTTCGGCTGGAACCGCTCTGCCGGTTTTCATCCCAAGGATGCAACGGTATCTACCTGGCATCTATCAGGGTTGGATATGCCGATGGGCAACGAAGTAAGCGATGGAGAAGGCCACGCAATTGAATGATAATTGCAAATAATTACTAGGTGGTTAATATCTTTCTAGCCGTGAAGATGTTTTTGGCGCTCGTGTCGTTTTCATGCGACTCTCTCTTCGGGCTGATTTTCAAATTTGAAGAATCGAAGTCAACCCGCTGTTGCACTGCAGTGGTGACCCAACGACTGACACCGTCCCTACGCATTCTCCGTTGCTTGAATGGATGCTTGATGAATGCTTAACGAATGCTTGACCAATATATTCGATATGTTCCAAGAAAGCTTGACGAAGCTTGTTGAGCAATTTGTACCACGCGATACGTCGCTGTCGCTAAGGTTATCTATTCTGTAGTTATTGGACACGTTGCGGTTGCGCATAAATTCGAGGATTTCCATCTCGTAAAGAGGTTGAATCCATTTGTCTTTTTAGATCAATCGTGACTAAGTAATATCATCGCTTAATTGAAACTTGATATTATTTATGTAGAAAGTATTCAACTACGTAATTTCTTGCATCGATCGCCTTCCAGTCCCGTCTTATTAACCCCACCTACCACTTGCCGCAAGGGTTTGAGTAGATCGCGGGGTTATCGCGAGCGAGAAAAAAAGAAAGAAAAACTTAGCTGGAAAGGACGGACTGCCGGAAAGTAACTCATGACACTACCACACTGCCACACTCCTGCACACTCTACTACGCATAGTAAGGTTTAACGAAGAGCCGCGACAACTATTATTCCACGAACTTAATTTGATCTAGTTGATTCAGTTAACCCAGTCCGGCGGGAAATAGTCTGCGCGCTAGTCGAACAACCGATCGCATCACTTACGTCTGCACATCAACCGATAGTTGTCTACAGCTATTTACCTCACAGGTATCAGGTACATCACACACACAAATACAGACACATACATGCGAAGCGCATAAACAATTAGAATGAGCGCCTCAACCGACCAATCTCGGTTTTCGAATCTTCGTTCTCAGGCTGAAATCTTGGATGGGGAGGATGTACTTCGTCACTTAAGAGACGAATTTCGAATCCCCAGTAAAGCCGACGTCAAACGAACGACCCTCGAAGACCAGAGCCAGAAAGAAGGTGAACTGCCTTTTCCGGTCTGTCTGTCAGCAACCGAGAAAAACACATCGCTCACATTGAACTTCCGTAGATCGTAATAGTAACGATCCCGATCCCTCCCCAATCCCAACCGATGAAACGACGAGATGTACATACTTGTGCGGGAACTCCCTTGGATTGCAACCCAAAAGAACGGCAACTCGCATCAACCAGTATCTCCAAACCTGGTCCACTCAAGGAGTCCAGGGCCACTTCAAGCCACTAAGCGACTCTCCTTTACCAACATGGCTCGACGCTGACTCCCGAGCTGCCAAATTGATGTGCCCCATCGTCGGAGCGAGTGAATCGGAAGTGGCGGTCATGCAGACCCTTACGGCGAATTTGCATTTATTGATGTCAGCTTTCTATAAACCCGATCCAAATGGTAGACATAAGATTATATTGGAGAGCAAGGCCTTCCCGAGCGATCATGTAAGGGATGGTCCACATGACGACAGAAAACTGTGCCTTCGCTGAGACGTCTTAGTTCGCCGTACTGAGCCAAATACGCCATCATGGCCTCGACCCAGCTACCTCCATGGTGACCATAGAGTCTCCTTACTCGGAGGATTCTCTCATCACCACCTACGATATCCAATCCATCATCTCGAAGCATGCGGCGGATACCGCTCTAATTCTGCTACCAGGTATTCAGTACTATACTGGTCAGCTGCTTGACATCCCAACCATCACCGCGTTCGCGCACAAGCACGACATATTCATCATTTGGGATTTGGCGCACGCGGTGGGAAATGTTCCACTCCACCTCAATGATTGGGATGTAGATGCCGCGGCTTGGTGTACGTACAAGTATCTCAATGGGGGACCGGGCTGCATCGGAGGCATGTTCATAAATTCACGTAATAGCCTGGTTTCCACGACCATAACCGATGAACAACCCGAGAGGGGGTACGGAAAGAGACTTTCAGGCTGGTGGGGGAACGACAAGTCCACTCGCTTTCAAATGGAAACCAAGTTCCATCCGGTCAAAGGAGCAGCCGGATTTCAATTGAGTAACCCTAGCATCCTCGATATTACGAGCCTGAGCGCGTCGCTTGAGGTTTTCGAACTCGCCGGCGGCGTGACAGCGCTCCGAGAGAAGTCCAAGAAGATCACTGCCTTCCTTGAGCAGTCCCTCTCTGTCTTATCGGAAGACGCTAAGAAGCTCTTCAGGATCATCACTCCATCTGACCCAGACCAGCGCGGTGCTCAGCTAAGTCTACTACTAGCAGACAACCTCCTGGACCCGGTGATGAAAGAGTTCGAGAAAGTCGGCATCGTCGTAGACGAGAGAAAACCGAACGTTATTCGAGTCGCCCCTGCGCCCTTGTATAATTCCTTCGCAGAATGTGTCATATTTGCTGAGGGTTTCCAAGCGGCGCTTCTCGCGACACAGAAATAGTTAACTATACGTTAGTCCCAATTGGTATTATATCGGGAACTGTTTATATTATTCGACCATGTTGAGCTGGATCTCATTCTGTGATTAAGGGGAAGAGACGCAGATTATTCGTAGGACATGATATAGACCAGGAAGCGTAACGATTCAAATGATGATATTCCATTGTTTATCTAATAGATAGATTCAATTTCTTGAACAGTGCATCCTCATTTTTTTTGGTCAGCATTGAACCTGCTAACTGGGCAGAACATTCAATCCTGCTTATCAGGAAAGTCGAAATAATCACGAGCACAATTCATAGGTAAGTTGTTAATTGGGAGATCCTTTTATTCTGTGTTGACCCTGCAACACGAGGCTAATATGGATGCCGAGACAAGCTCCAAGTACCACTATATAACCACAATACCTCCCTTTTTTTCATCTGACAGTATCCCATACAGTTCGTAACTCTTACATGTGCAAGTAGCGTACATGAAACCTCTGGGGTACATAAAAATATCGATAAAATAAGAAAATCGAAAGAAAAATTCGTCGAGGTGAAATCTGTACACAGTACAGCCGGTATCCGAACATCCCCTTGCCTTCCCAACCCCTTACTCTGTCAAAGAGAAGCACTGGTTTGTCTCACTCTTCGCACCATCCATAACTCCCCTCCTACCCATCGAATTAGTTCGAAGAACCAACCGGGATCGGGTCCGTGGCCGTGCCCTCTGGGCCGGAGATAGGGACAATGGGGTGGAAAATGTTAGTCGGAGCCGCGGTCCCGCCCGGGAAGCTACCAGTCGGCACATCCCTCTCGAGGAACGGGAACGCCTTCTTGGATTCACCCAGACCGCCGAAGCCCTCGCCGATACCTCCAATACCAGAGCCAGAACCAGTGCTGGAGCCGGAGCTGGAGCCGGATCCGGATCCGGATCCCTTGCCGAAACCACCCATACCCGAGCCAATGCCCTGTCCGAAACCAGCGCCGGCACCGATGCCGCTGCCAATTCCACTGCCCTTTCCGGTGCTGCCGCTGCTAGCACCGCTACCGCTGCTGGCACCACTGCCACTACCCTGCTCAAAGCTTCCTCCCTCACCGAAGCTAGATCCCTTACCCATACCAAATCCCATACCGGATCCAGAGCTCTTTCCCATCCCACCAAAGCTAGGCGTCTTCGTCGGGAAAGGCGCCTCCTCACCACCTCCGGTAACAGGAGTAGGGAAACCGGCGGGTAGACCCGTGGGCTTAGAGGCGAAGTTCGGGACGGAAGGAGCGGCGGAGAGGCCCGGGAAGCCGGGGAAGATGGGGCCGGCCTGGGCGGCGGTGAGGAGGGTGAAGATGGTTAGGACGTTGGTGAACATTTTGGATTTCGTGGGGTTGGTGAATTGGTAAGTGGAAAATTGAAAGATGGACGTTGATGATAAGAGTGAAAGTTGAAAAGGCGGTCCTAGACTAGCGAGGGTATGCCGGTGAAAGAATGGTATTGGAAATGAATGTTTAAGAGTTTGGTTGGTGGTGAATGAATGTTGTTGTTGTTGCTGGCTGAGAAACACTACCTAGAGAGCTGTTGAATGCCTCTATATATAGAGAATCTCTCCATGGTCGCCGTCGTTTCGTCGGCTTCTACGGTTCGTTGCGATGTAAGGAGAATGGACACGGCAATTTCACGTTAAAGTGTTTGTCTGAACATTTTCTTTTTCCAGTCAAAGCATGGCGTGTTATGATGCATAGCCGGAGCGACCCGTCAGATCTATCATATTCAGAGGTTCGGACGAGATGGGACGCAGGTATAATCTCATACGATGTCAATGTGTTGCTCCTAATGTTGGTTACACGATTCAGGGGTCTTAGAGCATCCGCAGTCCCCGAAGAACTTATTGATACAGAACTCCATCTAGCAAGGGAGTTTCACAAACAAGGTAATATATCTGGCTCAAGTGAGCCGCAATCCCGTCCAATCCTAGACTGATCCGCCCACTCGGGTCGACGGTCTTTTCAGTTCAGAGCCAGGCACTCTTGATATCTTCCTGTCATTAAGTCGTTATCGTCGGACCGAATATAGTCAAAGCCTCACAGAAAATATTAATCATAAATCATTCCTCACTCCATCGCGACGTAGCCACAGTCCTTATTATCCCGCCATTCATTAAACTAACCTGATTTCCTTCATATCCCAAGCCCGACAGGCCGAGCCATCCATCCAAGGTGCGACAAACGCAGAACATATGACTTCATAGTCTGCATTGAACCAGTTTTTCACATTCGGGTCCGTCGGCCTTAGTACAAGCGGTGCCGGCAACCCAGCCACGAGGGCAAGACGATCCCCCACTGTCGCGCCCTTGGACCCACAACCCACGACATTCTCCGACGCTACAAACAGCCGCCGCTCGTTACGTGCTAGATCATTGACGAGCCAAATAAACGTCTTCAAGACCTTTGGATCAAGTGCCAACGCCTGTGCCGTGCCTATGCGAGCTTCGTATGAGTTACAGTTCTCGACGCCGTAGCTCGTCCTTGACCAGGTGAATACGTCGAGCACACTCTCTATCTCGGAGAAAAGGTCGCTTGTGCTGTATGTGGCCGTCTGTTGTGTAAGTGCGAAGTATGCGTCAAGAAGATCTGCGTCGTCGCCGGGCTCTAGTACCGTCGTGGTTGCGCTGCGCTTGCCGGTGAGAGCTGTATATGTACCGCCACTGGCTTGGAACATGGAAACGCGGGGGCGCAGGGGGCGGGATGTATATGCGACGACACACAGCCAGCCTATGAAGGAGGCGATGGGGCCATGGGGAGCCGCCAGATACTGTAAGATATCGTTGTACATGAGATTGTTGGGTATTGCATGGAACACATTGGTCACATAGGTGATGGAGCCGCACCAATGCCCACGAACGACGAGCTCTTCTGGTTTCGTGGTAAATTGCACATACGCTTCGACTCCTAACGTGGCATCAAATTTCCTGTCTTTCCCGCTCAGAAAGAAGTTCGCGGAAACCGTGGGATCGGGAAGTGGGCTACTCCAATCCGGTACCCAGCTCGGGGCGTCGTACATATCCGGGTTATCCTTTAACCTCTTTCCGGCGTCGAGTAGCAAGATCATGCTCGATTTCTGCCATTTCATTATGTCTTGGAAAAATTCATGATAGATCAGTCCTTGAGGATTGCCATAGTCGGGTCGTGGCAGATCGCTGAGTCCGGAACGCTCGAGAACACCATAAAGCGCGAAAACCCGGTCTTTCGGGTTTGTGGCTTGGCGTTGCCTGAGTGTCTGTATGATGCCTTCGACGAGGGTGTGGGTGACGCGTGCATCGTTGTATTCGTCGGCGTCACCAAAGGGTCCTTTCCGTGGGAGCCACCACCAGGACATACGCGTTAAGATGTACTGGGCTAAGAGGAGGAGAGCCATGAAAAATACCCATACACCTAAGGCTGTGTCCGCGCTTTTGGATGGCCGCGTGTTATCTAGGTAAATTAGGGCTGCGAGGGGGGGTATTAAGACGAGCAAGAGGGAACCGAAACTTGTGACAGAATAGTAAATCCTTCCGAGTTTGGAGTAGGGGAGAAGTGAATCGTGGAGATTGATGTAGGATTCTTGGAAATGATAGAATGACTCTATCCATGGCCCAGAATCTATCGGTCGGTCTTTGAGTGCCCAGGACCTCGTAGTGCCAGTCCACAATCGGATGACCCTCTCGAAAGCTCGGAAAGTGTCTGGTAAGTGACGAGTCGATGGCGTCTGTTGTTCCTTCTCGAGAATAACAACATTGTCCGCGTTTCCGTAGTGAGTGATTCTCGTGACTGGGGTTACGGTTCTAATCCTAGAGCTATTATATAAACTTCCAAACCCCCTTATGAATTCGACCCACGGAAGAGAATTAGAGCCACAGAGAAGGATAGAGTTGCGGGCCAAAATAATCTCTTGGAAGGTCCACGCTCTTGAGAACCAGTCTCTCCCGAGGAGCTCTTCGAAGTCCTTGGGTTCATAAGCTCGTCGGAGTCTAAATTCTTTCCACCCATTATAGTAGGACTTGAAAAAGATATACGGGGGGAGTAATTTTAAGGCGAATTTAGCTCGGTCAGTCCGTCGCGCCTTTCTATCGACGCGCTCCGGATCCAGGGGCAGATAGTTGCGCTGTGCCGCCAGACCAAGACAGGAGATCGCCCGTTGACTTGCGAGGGAGCCACTGCCGAGCCAAATGTATATCATTTCTGCTCGGCTGTATATCTCGCCCATGAGAGGGATTTGATCCTCCTTTTCTTTATCGTTTCCTTGATTAATGCATATAGCATCGACCCATATAGTAAGCTTTCCCTTAGTAATCATTCGCAACTGTCGCAGCGCATCTCTGCAGTTCGTAGTGATTGGCACCTGATCCGTTCCGCATTGGATGGTATCTTTCGGAGTAGAATAGCCTCCCCAAACGTAGGAGAGAGCCGTGAAAGGGGTTTCAAAGACACGATCTAAAGAAATTACCTGGATATAACTAACAAGCGGATCCTCCAAGTTAGCGGATCCTTTGATGTCTAAGACCCTAATAAACTTAGAGCGAGGAGGTAGCGGTAAAGCATCGTAGATTGTGCTTCCTGTCGCGAGCATTGTTGGCGTATGCGGGTGTTGAACATAATCATCAAGTTGAGTTGATATCGCGCAAAGAGGTTGAAGTTCGACAGTTGTGTCCTCGCCCATACAAATCATTTCATTTCATTTCGACGCCGACAAGGGCGTCAACTGAGATATAACAGAATCGTTCTGAAACATTGTGTTGTACGCGCCGAGATGCTGTTTTACAATTGGCGAGCCTCGACACACAGAACACGTTGGGGGCCATTTTCCAGCCATCGGGCTGTGTATTAAGCGCCTTCGAGATTCAGCTGAAGCTATTTTTAGGCATCAACCATTTAGTCTCCAAAGACATGAAAATAGATAGACGCAGAAAAAATGAAGTAAGTCGGTGAGACATTACTCTCGATTCTTGCGCAATGCCGTAGCCTTGAATTCATGCATATCTGCTAATCGTAGACATTGAAGTTGTTCAGAGTCTAAGACAGAATATTAAATACAATGCAGGAAAACCTTCTTACTAAGATGTGTAACACTGCATTACCTAATGTTACTAATCGTGGTTACTAAGATTTTGTGCAACCTTAACTTACATAACTGAGTTATTCAGCAACACACATACAGTGCTAATACCAGTTTAGCACAGTATTACATAACTTATTTTACTTCCAAGTTCCACGAATAAGTAGTTCGCGCGTATAATCAGCAAATCTCTTGGGTGGCATTCTTCTAGCTAAATAACTCTGGTGAGTACCTATCCAAGCAATTTTGATCAAATGATCAATATTCACATGTATTCGGAGAAACTAAATCAAGTTTCTATGATCGACTCCTCATAGGACCGCTTGTACGAGATCTTGCGGTTCCTGGATTGTTACAAGAGCAGGATGAGCTTGTGTGTGGAGAAGGGGCACTCCCGGACTAGGTTCCCCGCAAACCAGATTTCGTATTTGGAGAACGCCGAGGGATGACGATGGAGAAATCGACTCCACGGAAAATTATAAGTACATCTATACGGTAACATTGAACCATCGTCGGTTTCGATCGACCGAGGGCTAGCTTGGCAGTTACCATGACGTACAAAAGGCACCGTCGTACCCGAAAAACATTATGGCGATCAAAGCGACTCATCCCCAAAGTCGCCGCGGCAAATTCGAGGACGAAATAAGACACGATGAAGAGTGTTATCACCTCAGCGCTCCTCCTAGGGGCTTCGGTGGAGGCCGCCCTCTACAAGTCGAAAACACCGCCGATGGGATGGAACAGTTATAATTATTATAACTGCAACCCGAACGAGGAAATTATGCATACCAATGCTCAAGGACTCGTGGATCTAGGCTTGGCCGACTTGGGTTATCAATATGTGACAACCGATTGCGGATGGATGGCAAAGGACAGAGACTCTCAAAATCGTCTACAGTGGAATGCCGCCCTATTCCCATCTGGAGTACAGGCTTTGGAGGAGTTCATCCATGGCCTAGGCTTGAAGTTTGGTCTCTACTCGGGCGCAGGATATTACCAATGCGGCTCGACAGACCTACCAGCTTCTCTCGGTACGAAAGTCGTCAATGTTTCGGGTACTCTAGGAATAGTTCTAACTCGAGTATAGGATACGAAGAGATAGATGCGCAGACGTTTTCCGACTGGAAGGGGGACTCATTGAAGTGAGCATAAAATCCTAGAGGGCGCGATGTCAACATTTAGAACTCAACTCTTACAGATATGATAACTGCTTCGCCTCATCCAAAACTGTTGCAGCAGACTACACATCAGCAGTTTCCAAATCGCCCGCACGTCACCAGAAGATGGCCGCTATCTTAGAGGACGTAGACCGAGAGATCGCCTATTTCATATGCCAATGGGGGGTTGGCGAAGATCTCGGCGAATGGGCGCCGCCTATTAGCAATGTCTACAGAATCAGCAACGATATATATAACGGATGGAGGAGTATATGGCGGATTGCGAACCAAGTCGTTCCGTTTTATAGGTCAACCACGGTTGGTGCCTATCCCGACATGGATATGTTGATGTAAGCTTGCACCCGCATGTCACACAAGTCCAGATATTAACACATGTGTAGCATCGGTCTTAACGCGCTGTCTCTCCAAGAGGAGAAGTTTCACTTCAGCATGTGGGCAATAAACAAGTCTCCCCTCAACATCGGAGCACCGACAAACACGAAGCTTACGCCGGCCGCCTCTTTCGATGTGCTTAAAAACAAGGAGGTCATAGCGATCAACCAGGACCCCCTAGGTAAGCAGGCACGACTCGTCCGCCGACATACCGAAGAAGAATGGGATATCTGGGCGGGCGAGCTATCTGGAGGACGAACTGTTGTTGGCATCGCAAATTGGAAAAACGGTTCGCAGACCGTAGAATTCGACCTCTCGACCGTGAACGTCGCATCCGCCAATGCCCGCGACGTCTGGGCGGCGAAAGACATTGGCGCGATATCCGGGGTTCAAAAATTCGAGCTCGCGGGCCACGAAATGCGGCTTTTGGTGCTTAGTAACATCGTTAAGCCGAATACCTTGCCTAAGTCGAGCGGGAAGTATTACTCAGCAGCGGACGCCACTTTCGGAGGCAGCGCGAAAGAAGTTGGCTGCAACGCGGATACGTGCCTGCCCAAGGGCAACAAGATTAGCATCCCGAGCCAGGGAGCTACCGCAACTTTCAACTCTGTCATTGCGGGCTCCCAGGGAACGAAACTGCTTGGTATCGATTTCATCAACTACGATGTGGCTCTCAACAGCGCCTGGGGTTGGGGTTCGAACACGCGCAACATGACGGTCGCTGTAAATGGAGGCACCGCTAAGAGGTGGGCGTTTCCTATCTCGGGAGGCGACTGGTCTGAGTCCGATAGGTTGGTCATCGAGGTGGACGGATTTGTGGCTGGCGGAAACAAGGTTGTGCTTGCTGCATATGGGGATTCGTCTGCTCCGGACATTGTCGGATTCGAAGTTTTGGAGTAAAAGGCGGCTTGCGATGATAGTCGACAGATACCGATTTCAATATTCTGTACACAATTTTCACCAATGGTCATAACTCGGCACCCACATTGCCAAATGAAGCCATAATAAAATTATTTCAAATCAGCCAACATTCACCTAGGAATACTAGTGTTGACCTTCATGGATCGTAAACTCATCGAGGAGATAATGAGGACGCGTCCATTGCGTGTTTTCAACCTTGAGCTCATACTTCCAAGATTTGGACTTGATGATCAGGAGAATGATCTACAAGCAGGCTGTGAGATCTCAACCAAAACAAGTGCGTAGCCACCTTTAAATACCCCAGTTCATCTCCAACCTTTAAAAGGAAAGGTGTCTCACTACGAAGACCCAATGAAAGTGATACGGGCGCTAAAATGGCGTGCCCAATAAAAAGCAATTAAATTATATTCATGCGCCCAATTAAATCACAACACCATGATGAATTTCGAAAATGACGAAAGCTTGTCCCTACTACATCTTTCTGTTCCGATCGGCCGTGCTAACATTGCCGGTAAATTACTTGGAGCCTCTACTTGCGTAATCCAAAAACCTAAGATATCGATGCTGGTAGAAGATCGTGGGCTTGTTCCCCTGAAGGCTGACGGTCCCCCTCGTGCGACGGAGTGTTGCATGTGGCGTCGAGAAACGGCTACCTACATTGTCATACATACCAACCGCGGGGGCGGACGATTCTTTCCCACAAGCTTCGAAGTGATGAGTCAACTTGAAATAGAACTTGAGGGTAACCCAGATGCATGGCTAGCATCTAGAATAGCACTGCCAGAGTCATACGATGTAACTATAATTGTTATTGTCAAGCAACAAAGCATATCACGCAAATTTTATGACAGTTTCTTCTACGCCAGTATCTAACAACGCCTAGCACACTGAGGTTTTCCCCGCCCCTTAACTGTAATAAGAACATGTATTCCCTGTGTTACACAGGTGGCACCCCTCACCTACCATAGAATATGCATATTGCTTCTATACCTACGGCAGAATTAGCACAGGTGTCAATTTTTTGACTGTACTCGCCCGAGGAGGTGCTTATCGGGAAAAGAATGCTAGAGCATCTCAAGAACAGCATGACCATGGAGAAGGGTTCCTGATATCAAAGGGAGATATCAAGACTGCTTATTAGCACACATCTATGTTTGTGAGTAATGTATTAGGTTAGTTGTGTAGTACAAATATTCCGCTGGGTGAATATATGCCGCCGACCATACGTACTTTGTGATCGGTTTGATGTTCTCATGTGCTTAATATGTATCAATGAAAACAAGTTGAAAAGACGTTCATATGCCCGAATATATGTCACATCCCTATTTTCCTTTTTGTCACTTTTAGAACAACGATTATATGTTCTACATGAACGTTTACTATGGACATTACTTTGGATTGGAATATATCGCTATAAACTTATGAAGGAAATTTTGAATGATACTGCACGACATGAAAGCGACTCATCTCATTAAAGACCTAAGACCAGCAAGAGCAATTTGAGTACCTAGGTACACACGAAATCATAAAAAAGTTTTCTATTCAGAACTAAAGGCATATTATACACCAATATATACAGATTTTCACCTAGAGAAGGCATTGTAGTTTATCCTCTTATCCTCCGACAGATATAGAGTGTCATTTCATATCCGTGCTCGAGATGATTTAAAGAACATTTTGGTAAAAGACAATATTGCTCTTTAGGTGCGAATTATTCATCCCATGAGAATAAGGTACGAAGATTCTAACCTAGGATAGGTAGACGGCCATAATTCTGAACCATCAATATGTTTAAGAATATGAATTTTATCTAAACCACTCTCGCAAAGTTGTCTACGGACGCCATATTCAGGGGTAAGGAGAACATGACTTCCTCATTCAAGCCAACCTCCCTTCATCTTCTAATCATACTTTCGGCTCGTAGATACTAGTGATAAATCTGTTGGCATGTCTTGGGCCATACCGTACATACCCAGGGTGGATGGGAATTTTGCTATGCCCCTCAGCACAATTCTTTCCCGCGATGCCTACCTATTTGCGCTTTGATGTGATGAGCACCATCCTGACTAGGTCGAGAAGCACCTTAAAGGGGCTTTTAACCTTTGATTGGCTAATTTATTCCCTCAACCTATCCTCTATGATCATTCCACGAAGGTTCTGTCATGAACTTTAGCTGCATGGATAACAAATTTGCTCAGAGCTACCTAGGTAAGGCCGAGATTCATTGAATGTGCGGTCAAGGACCCTTACGGAGAAAGAAAGGTGAGCAGGTATTTCGGGTCATGTTCAAGTTAACCTCCTTTCAAAATCTCAATTTCCCCTTGATCACTCTACCCTAATGCTTCTGTGCTACCAAGGTCGATTTGTATTGTTAAGACTTGCAAACACCAAAATTAATTATTAACACAGCGTTCTGAAGTTTTTCTCTAGTTAGAACAAGCAGAAAGGTATACATACCTAGGTGTGTATCATTTACGAATTTTTCCTAATAATGAAGCTCTTGCTTTGTTGTGATGTGGACCCGTCGGTCGCCTCAGGGGTTCAAGACTTTTCATCTGTAGGTATGAACAATGTCGTCGACATGGGACATACCCAACCAATTGCGAATATAGAAGCAGGTATGGAGTCGTGAATTTGGGAGTACAGTGTAGAATCAAAAGGAGGTGTTCTTGAATATTTTGTGAACTGGTCTCCGTTCAATTTTACTTGGGTCTCGCAAAGTTTGGAACGATTAAACTATGGACATTGTGAATACGTACGCAATCAAATGAAGCACTTAGATGGTACGATGAGTGATCTTCTAGCGTGTTCAGCGCAAAAAAAGCGGATTCCCAACATGTTCCCCATCGTCTACCTCCACATACACTTCGGCATAGTTGCGGAAGTTCATAGTTCGATTTAGGGGACATTAAGCTTCTTTCCGACTGCCGAATTGACAAGGTATGTGGTAAGTCAGGTAGGGTTCTGTGCAATCAAGCCTTTACGTCCAGAAATTAGCATATCTTTCCTAGGGGTCGCGAGTAGGTAGGTACATACCGGTACCGGTGTCTAGCTCAGACATGTCTTCGGTCATGATCGATGACAGTATACCACAACATGACACAAGATCTTCTCATGTAATGGAAACGACCATTGTCGCATCTATCACATCTCAGCTCTGTAAGAACTTATGTCGACTTGACTCCTTCAAATGTCATCATTATTTCATATGTAACGGGCGACGCGTCTACGATGATCCCCTTCCTTCTTCATAGGCTCGTCATGGTCATCTCTCGATGTACGGGCCGTGTGAAATTTGACTTGCAGCTACAAAATTTCTGCTTCATTAACTTCACCGCCAGGTCCGAGGAAGCATGGGTATGTCCTCTCCTGACTAACGGGTCATCGAGAGGGGAAGGCTGGTAAGGCAGTCTTACATGCCTTATGCTAACCATTACGGGAATTGATAATATAAAAAATGAGCTCAACATACGCGTCTCATAGAATTCTAGATGCATGTCCCAATGATTCTGTGGCGGCTGTGGCAAAGGTAGATCCGATGAGGCCTAGTTATACCCGTGCTCGTGATTCGTTGTCAATATCCACGTCTACCTACTATTCATCCTCGATTTGAAGATCTGAAAACACCAAGCTGTAAGCTTTCGCCATGTGGATGGACCCGTAGTACTGCCGAAACCTTCTTCCGCGCGTCGCCAGCAATCTCAGCTGTATATTACCCTTCTAGTAGGATCCTCGGTTTCGAGATTTTCCATGGATGTGTTTGATACCTACCTAGATAGTTAAGGGGAGTAATAAGGCGCAATAAAGATTCTCCATATCTTGTTTATGACCCCGGTGATATTGCGGCATGGATTCGGACCTAGCCCAGCCTCCCTAGGGTAGTCGGAGATCGAGCGGTAAGGTTTATCTGATCCGGGTGTTCTTGTCTGCACTTTCATCCTCATGAGAAACATCCAATCATGCAGCGTCGTCACTTGTAAGTTTTATGTAACTTATTTCAATACTTGGCAGTTACCGATTTGAGTCGCATTGAGTATCATATCTACCGAGAATGAACTAGCTCGTTGCGTTGCTAGTGCCTCAGTTCGAAAAATATGTAGGAGCTTTTCTCCAGACTAACCTTCTCCAGATGTTCATGGGTGCAGAGCTGTCAAGCTCATTTGGTGTTAATCCACAGCAGCTAGTGAAACAGCATATCCAATCTGAAGTCTTCAGATTTAGATTTAAACGCGTACTTGTTTGGACATTACCTAAGTAGGACTGGACCGTGCCTGAGCTGGACCGGGGTCTGCGATGGATGCCATGGAATGGGCGGTAGAAGACGTTAAAATTAGCTAGATAATTAAGATAATTAACAGGGGTTCCGGCATTCAAGACGCAGGACACGCAAGCTCTACCAAGCCAAGATCCACACTGGCCGCAGTCGTCCCCACAAACGAACAACGACATCACCCTATTTTCTGTGGTGAGCTCATGCTTGAATGGTGTATTCCCCTGTTAAGCAATAAACCCGGCGTCGTAAGCTGTGACAAAATGGCTGAATTCGATTCTTTCCTGACATGTTTCGAGGCAGCGTTGGTGAAGATCAGCCTCCGGCACAGGGCCGTGGTAGGGCCAACTTCAATTTACATCATGTAATGAGAATTGACGACATGCCTTCCTCTGAAGGGGTTATTTCGCAAACATGGAGATGTCTTCACCACGGCTGTACCGTGTAGGGTACGCATTGGGCAATGAAGATCTTTGATCAACTATGGATCTCTGAAGAAGGCTGACGACGCGAATAGCTCAGAAACAATCACATCATCAGAGGTCGATAGATGAAACTAAACATTGCGATTATGCCTTCATCGATGATTATAAAGTCTTGAGTTCCCAGACTCAATCATCTGGTTTTTTTTTTCCTCATCAGCATCAACCACAACAGCAACACTGAGTGTTCTACATCAATCTAATCTCGATAATCACAAAAAAAAACAATAACATCTACATCTTAATTCTTATTAAGTCCAACGACAAATCGTCAATATGAAGTTTTCCGCTATCGCAACGACTCTTCTCGTCTCCATGGCCGTCGCCATGCCGGCTGATAAGCCGCCCAAGCCGACGAACAGCCCTCTTCCCCCGCCTCCTCCGGCAGTGAGACGGGGCGATGCTCCTCCTCCCCCGGCTGGTGGCCCGATCCCGCCTCCTCCGGTCAACGCCCGTGGAGTTCCTCCTCCTCCTCCTCCTCCGGCTCAGCAGCCTCCCCCACCTGCTCGCCGAGGTGTCCCGCCGCCACCTCCCCCTCAGCAGGCTCCCCCTCCTCCGGAGGCTCGTGATGCCCCGCCGCCCCCACCTCCCGCCAACCAGCCGCCCCCACCGGGCCGCCGAGGAGTTCCTCCTCCTCCTCCCCCGCCTCAACAGCAGGCTCCTCCTCCCCCCAACAAGCAGGGCCGTGACGCTCCCCCGCCACCTCCTCCTCAGCAGGGACCTCCTCCCCCTGAGGCTCGGGATGCTCCTCCCCCACCTCCCCCTACCAACAAGCCGCACCCGCCGGCTGCCCGAGGAGTCCCCCCTCCTCCCCCTCCTCCCGGCCAGGCGCCTCCCCCTCCTCAGGCCCGTGACGCCCCTCCTCCTCCTCCCCCTAACAACCAGCCCAAGCCCCAGCCTCCTCCCCACAACTAAGTGGACTCGGCATCGGGAACTAGAGAGGCAAAGCAATGAGCTCGACTTCATCATCGACACATTTGGGAGCAATCCAACGACAACGACATTCCGATGATGGACAGCAAGGCGCGCTTTGGTTTCTCTCCTGGGCATTGAGTGGTGGAGACGTGGTCATGGAAGAGAAGGATTGGAAAGTTGGCGGCCATCGCAGGCAGTGGTCTTTAATCGGAGGAGATTTTGCATACGGGAAAAAAACATAAAAACCTACCTAAACATAGTGTACTGTCCGTTCTTTATCGGCTAGCTACCTACGCCGTTCATAATATTAGTCCTATTCTCCATATTCTTCTGAGTTTTTATGCTATTGTGACTTGCTATTCGTTTTTTTTTTTTGGATCGGCTTTTGGCGCATTCGGGAGAGTAACCCCTTTTAACCCTTTTATTACCTACATTGTTGTATCCTATAAGTATTTCAATTTAAAGCATGACGCGAAGATAGGTGGTCTTTCCTAGAATGAGTAATGATAGGTGTCACGGTTGTCCGCACATAGAGCTTCGTAAAGCATCACCTACGTTATAAATTATTAAGCGTATGTACATATTTCCATAGGTAACTGCCGGCATAATTTATAAGCAGCGATACGCGTACCTATAGGCATTGCAGATTTGTGGTGGATAAATTCGTAATAATTCGGAGGAAGGGAAAAGGGGGATGATTTTCAATATCTACACTTTCAATCCGCGTATTCGGTGAACTGCTTTCCTAACCCGCGCAAAGCGATTACGTGTAGCTAAAAAGCCTAGTGAAATTGAACTTGACTTCAAATTTTACAACAAGAAAATAAGGTATTCGGAGATAGCAGACACATATTGAGTCATAAGTTTGTTGAGCCAAAGTTGAAATGTACATGGTGTAACGCCGCGGAACTATGACTATTCTGAGATGTCCTTCTTACGCGTATGATCATTGTCCTTAAATTGAAACTAGGCTCTCGTATTGAGTCATCAGCAACTAAATAATCTACTATTAATGACAAGAATCATAACCCATGAATATAATTGTTGACGATTAAGGGTTCTAGCTAACAATGACCCCCTTGACTGCAATGATACCTACTTATTCTTAACACACCACCAAATATTATCCAGAGAGCTATGTTTGTCAATCACTTACTGTTTCAAGAAAGAGATTTGGAATCACATCTTATACGCGTAAGTTACACCACGTATTTAGTATCCAGGCATGTAAATAAATGGTAAATTTGGAAGGTAAGACGCTGATACTCTGAATATATATCGTATCATTTTCTATGGTTTTCCAATAAGATGAGTCCACGTCGACTACCCTACCGATAATTATGCCACCGGAGTTACGAGGCTCAGCTAGCCAGAGGTTCCGGATACATTTATGAAGTCAGCGGCTCCCACTAGGCATATCAAGACCGGGTGGTCTTATTACCCGCGATGGATGCCACCGGAGACATTCAAAAAGTCCACCAAAGTCAATACCGATTGGGTGGTCATATATCACCAAGATGGTTATGAATAGGCCAATATTTATATGCGGCTTTGTCACTACCTTAGATAAGAATGATAAAGGGGTTCTCTGTCTAGACCCTTAATCTTCGAAATTCTTGGCATATAGTGACTCTATGAGGCAGGTATCTATGTCCGATTTAGAACATAATGAGTGGAGTTAACGGGTTTCGAATGACTCTATCGTCCGTCGAAAGTTAACCGGTTCTATTACTCCGCATGTGCTTAGTTTTCGGTACCTTGGTGGCTCTGTGCCGTATGCAACCGTCGGCCTATCTGTTCTTGACGGGTGACCCCTAAGACGAGTAAGCAAAGTGAGATGGCTTAGCAAATCCCGGTCCAAATTCTCGGCAAGGGAGCCGAAAGATCCATGTTGAATCTACGTTGGGTCCAAGTTGAATCTCATAAATATAGTAGGGTACCTTTGTGGTCGTGGTGCCTGTCATCTAATATCGGTAGCTGACTTCCGCTTGTCTAACATCGTGAGGTCACAAAAACGATTAGGTAGGTACCTAGCAGGTATGAGCTGAGGTTCGCACATTCATACCTACATCTCAAAGCCTTCGGAGTTCAGTTTCGCAAAACCTTGAGGCTAAGCCCGGGGTTTCGGCGTGAGAATAAACTGGCAGAGATATGTAGTGACGCTTGTCGCCCAAATTACTGCCTGGAGAGCTCTCTGGGGTCTTAATTGGCTCTGCGGTAACCATTTTCTTCAAACACTGAAGTGATGCTATATTAATTACGTCGATAATTTTAGCTGCCTGCCGTATCCTGGGCTCGAGTTTGATAGTCAATGCAAAAATAGGGCGAATACGATGCTTAAGCGCGCCACGACTTGATGGGTCAGAGGGGTATTCGTTGTTACTCGTAGGTGATAGGCGTAATGCTCATGAACCCACCTAATAATCTAGGGGTAAGCTTACGAGACGGGTTGAGGGATGGTAGCTGACTTGTCTGGGTAGCTGACACGCAGACAAATCATCGCAAAACGGTCCAGAATAGTGTTAGGTAAGACCTTGGCCTAAACTTGAACCTGCACAGAGACCTGGCGGTGAAGGCTTAGGTGAATTAAGACATGTTTGCACTCTGGTTCATGATCCGCCTCGCAGGATCCCGGCCATAATAGCTATTAGTCAGTTAGGAGAATTCGGATGGTTGAATGACACGATCCGACTGGGTTGGGGGTCTGGGGAGTCGCGTGGCAAGTGTAGTAAACCAAGAGAAGTGCAGGGGCTAAAATACCGAAGCCAGGTGCCCGGGATTCACTGACGATTTTGTGTAATCTAAATCAATGTTAGCGTGACGTACTTGGAGGCAGTACCGAGTAGATAATGTATATGATACCTATATGTAGGTATTTAACTTACGATTCTGCTCTGAAAAGTACAATCTTAAGTCAGCCACATTCGCACTCGCCTCCACTGTGTATCTTACTAGCCTCAGTCCAACCAGACAAGCTTCGTTTGTATGAATAGTTCAAGTATGACAATGACAGCAAAGAATACGGGGAAATGACGATACGCATTTACTGCTGTTGGGGTCGTCGTGCTCGTAATTCGTTTGGTCTATTAAGATCGTGTAAGAGCCTAAAAATCCTTGCAGGTGTTCGATATATGGGGCAGAAGTATGATTGCGAGATAAAGATTGGTTAGATCGGATCTTACGACACTCACATCCAGGTATGTAAGTGACAGTAACTGGTAGGTACGGTAGGTACAGTAGCATGGCGTTACTTCCCGGAGTTAGAAGCTGCCCCGAACACCGGAGCCGACAATGACAGCTTCCCATCCAGAGGTGGGGCACGACCGGGATGACTAGAACCCCACTTGCTCACCCGCAGACACGTAGCACCCGGCGACAAAAAGGAATGGGGAACTGCAACTCTGCTCGCTACTTCCATTCGTCGTGACTGGGATCCTGGTTTCGGTACCTAATCTTGGTAGGAGGTGTCACCTTGTTACATACGAATATGGCGTCGACGATATGAGACGAAAGAGAACTAAGGTTCCTAGAAAGGGATGAAATGAGAAAAGTCCAATGCTGCGGATGGCGGGATTTAATATCGGCAAGGCTGATCTGGACGCCTCATCTCTGATTGAAACGGCCGGACACAACGCCTCAGGAGACCATGGACGAGCTGGCTTGCTTCTGCTCGTGTAGGAGATGACTAAAGAGCAGATGCTGCGGCGCAGACCATTGACACGGTAGAAATAAGAACATCGAGTGTGACTTGTGTTACGGTAAAAGTTCTTGGGTCGACCCAACTATTGGTGCTCTCGCATGCGGAGAGTTGGCGAGTTCGGGCTGTGAGGGTTGCACAAAAGGATTTAGTTGAGTCGTTGAGAATGCGAATGTGAGCGCCGGAGTACAGCGTAGACGAACCCTTGCATAGCTGAGCTAGATAAAATTGGGAGAGGTCATAAACCGCGTATCGAATGCTGGAAACAGAGCTTTCCATCTCTAAACGAGAAATTAACATGAGAAAAAGAGAAAAGAGTGATTAAGAAGTAAAAATAAACATTTCAGAATCAACACACTAATCATAAGACAGTTTGTTATAACCTACCCTTATCTTCCTTCCGTTACACACATATGTAGAAGCTGGTTGGAGAAATTGTAAACGTACTTTTGACAGCGTAGCATCAGACAGACGCGGAATTATGCCGAATCCTGCGTCGCGTGGGAAGTCTGTGTAACATGATAATCCAAAATAATAAGGCAGGCGATAAGAAAGGGATCAGCGAGTTATCGAATGAGAGAACGGAATCGATCCAATTAAAAGCAGCCTCCTCGGTCATCTCCTCGGTTCCGAGACCGCGCGTAGTCTGGAGAAATAGAGTAAGAGTGGAGGAGAGCCCTAGATGTCGGCATAGAATCGGTACCACACTATTGTACAACCCTCACATAGCGCCTAACATGCGCCTAGGTAACCAATTCAGCGCTAGATCCCCCTTCAAGATCCTTCGTTTGATTATACATAATCGACTACCTCGCGAATTCGCGTCTATCGCCCCCGAGCTGGTGGCGGGAATCTTCTGGGCTCTGGGAGGGGGGCGCCTTCGGGACCGGGGGCTGACATCTCTCTATGTTACACATACTAGATGCCATGCGTAGGTCTTGGTATAGGTACCATCTACTCGCCGTATTTGATTATAGTGCTGGCGTGAAACACCCAGAAGCAGGGCATTGGCTGTTTTAAGGTTGTGGCTTGTTTTAGACGCAGTTGCTAAGACATAAAATCATATCAGACGTATTTTCGACGATCGCGAAAGTCCTTTGCACCTGGTTATAGGAACTGTGAACTGTGTTAGCGTACGAAGTCGTGGTAGTTACCCGACAGGACTTCCCAACAAGGGCGGGAATGTTCCCGGTAGCTGTTCCGAACTCCAAATTCTAATGACAACCACTAATTGCCAACGATTCTTTAGCGAAGTATTATAGAAGAACGCTTCCGTAGGTGGCTTGGCCTTGGACCAAACAGGATGGAGAACGTCATGGTCAGCGCCGGAGTGTTCACTTGCCGGCCGGGGCTGATCCTCGAGGCTGCCTAGCTAACCCCCCTCGACCGCCGTGGCGCTCTTTTAGCACATTAACTTCTGACTCACGGAGTCTATCATGATGGCTTGGTATGGATTGATCCCCAAGACTTCGTTAATTGGCTTGCACGTTTCTGCAAGTCACGGCCAGCTCCAAATATGTCCGTGCTGTTTCCCCTCCTCTCTAACGCTTGGCCAAAAATTAAACCGCTCGAAATGCGTTTGTTCCCGTTAATCACGAGTCTTGGAAGTCCTAGACATTGCATCCACGTGCGTTTCGCTCGGACCGACCGCACTTGTCTACTATAGGTCAATTATTCGTAATTCGACGACTCGCGAAACGGTAGCCATCTCTTAGTATTGGATAGCTTCTACTCAAGTCCTGGTTTTCAATATTATTATCTGGCGAAATGGTAGGATTGTGCTGAGCCTTGGGTTCCCGTTCGGAAAGGATGTCGATTCAGGGTAGGCAAATCACAAACTCACTCTTTTTAACTACGACAACGGGTGATCCTAAGACGCCACATATCTTTGCTGAAACTCGTAGTCTCTTCTCCATGTCCGCTGAATTCTAATGTCATGATATAATAGGCCATTTATATCATGGAATGGATCCCCGGACCAACTGAACGTGCCGTAGGATGGATAAACGTTGCGACTGAGAATGCACGAAATCATTCATCAGCTCGTGGCATAGTATTGCGTACGTACCGGTTGCGCACATTATACAACGTAGTAAGCCCGAAAGTAAAGGTGAGAGGCTACCCACAAGCGAATGATTCCGTACAATAGAGACCCAAGAGTTAGATGTATCTGTACTCGTCTAATGCGCGCGGCGTAGATGTGTGCTGGCTGCCGAGCCTCCGATCGCAGCCCTGACGTCAAATTGGGGGTAAGCGAGTGGTTCGATGCTGTGGTTCGAGTCAAAAATTGGCGTGCTCGTCATATTGATCAAAATGACAGGGCTCCGAGTGAGAGCTCTTAAAAAAATTGCCGATAGAACAAGTAGCCGCGGCGAGATCGTACAAGACATGCAAACGAAGGTATGATGAGCGTAACGTTTAACGAGTCCATGGCTTGAAAATTGTAATTAGCTGTCAACATCTAAGACACGCAGATACTATTGTTACCACGAGAACCGCTAGGCGTATAGAGAAGGTTTCCCCACTAAGTAAGCTGCGCGGATCAACCTTGGAGTCAGACTCCAGATTGGCCAACGTAGATATTTTGAAAAGCTTGAGGTACATCGAGTCTAGATTAGTCTTTTGTGGCGATCTGAGATGAACTAAGACGAGTAATCACGGCGTCGGGAGGCCAAGGCCCGTGACTTTGGTTGCGATGACTTAAGCTCTGAGAGAATTATAGTCGACCAACGTCGGGGCTTCGTTTCGATGCCGTGACTGGCAGAGTGGTAGACCGGCAGACATTAGCGAAGTTTCTTCTGCTGCCTTGAGAATGTTCTTCGCATCCGCCATGCCGTTGGAACAAGCCATCGCCGAGCACGATGCCACGTGCAGCAGGTAGTGTAACCGGACACAATGGGTTGAAGTCGATCGTGAGGTGTGGGTGACACGGGCATCCAGGCCATGGCGTCTGCAGTACGCAACCCCCTGCGACCTCGGGAGATCCACCTATCCTAGTTCCTGGATACCTATACTATAGCTAGCAGTAGCTAGTAGCTACTAGTATGCTTGATCCGCGATATTAACGCCAGGCGGGGCAGGGTACCTTTGCGGGTTTGACCATTACTCTACCTACGCCTTATGTTGAAACAGACGCTACAGAGAGCTCGCGTGCGCTCGCGTGCTAGGACCAGAGATCTAGGTACCTTGTTTCAAAAATATTTTTGGACATTTGATTCATCGCCAAGCTTTGATTCGATCCGCCAATATCGGGTTAGATCTCCACGAATTAGGCCCTTGGAGATTTAGAGATGCTATCTTGTCTCGGCCGGAATAGAACCATAAAATCCCGGGCAAGTAACCATTGCTATCGGGCGTAACAAATCCATGGATCTAACGCATACTCGGCAGCGACGTTATCAGATGCGTCTTTTCTTCAAATCCCGGAGTAGGTGATAACAGCGGTATGATTTGTGCTCGAGTTAAAGAGTATTGATGCTCGCACAGCAACAATTTCCCGAGGCGAATGCTTTACAAAGCTTTCTCCAATTTGTGGTTGCACAAAATCGCAATTTGTAGCTTCATCTTGGGTTGTCGAATCAAGCTTCGAAATAATCTGTAGTCGGATCCATCTAGTAGCGTTCCAGCGCCAATGCACTTTCTGGGGTCCACCTAACCCGCAACGAGCCCGTAACAAACCCGCTATTTCGTTCTCGGATCCGTGGCGCGTATCCATACGGATACCTAGGTATGGATATGTATGCATTGCATGGACATCCTGTATGTACTGGGTACATGGGGGGATGCGGTGGCATTTTCTCGGTTCTATTCTCCCCTGTCTACACAGCCCTACAGGGCGTCGAGCGGCGTGCAAAACTCCCCCATCCGCGAATTTCGTAGATGTCAGCGATGTGGCCTGCAAGCCTGACCCTCCTCATCCTTAGACGCTTAACCACGATCATATTCTTTGTGTTACCCCAGACGCTAGACGAGGTACCCTAGGCATTTAAAGGGACGAATAATATTCCGCACGGCAGGATCTAAAGTACCGCTGACAATGTTAATGTCCAGAGATGGAGGTTCCTTTCCTGCCTAGATTCGGTTTCATTTTGTCAGTATTCGTCATGTTCATAACCTCCTACAAGCGTAGGAGTAGAAGTACATCCTGCAGCCATCTACCAGGACCTTGGCGATCTTGGGAGACAAAACTCCTTGGTGTTACTATACTTGTCTCTTCCTGTCAATGATGTTTTGTTCCGCGTGATATATATATAGAGGCAGGTATAAGTGCAGCTCGTATGCATGGGTTATTCGTAGAAGTCGGGTCGAGGCCGTTTCGCGCGAAATCGCCAGTATCATAGTTGTTCGTCTTAAAAGCAGAGGTCGCCGTCCTCGAACGATCGAATTCTTTAATTTGCCACAGAACCTGCCTCGAGCTCTACTTTCGGGATTAAGTCATCATAAAAGACGTATCGCGCAGGGTTTCATATAATCTTATCCATCTAACAGGTCAGTCATTTCGTAATTCCGACCACCAAGATCAAGTACGCATCATGCGACATGATGATGTCCAATCTTCTCACACGTCTTGCAGAACCCAGTTTTTAACATGGTCGGCGTCCCTGGAAAATACAAAGGTTGCAATACCTGTCGAGCGAGGCGAGTCGCATGCGACAACGGGAGACCGTTCTGCAAAAAGTGCACGGATTATGGTCGCGATTGCGGTGGGTACGAAAGGGAGGTTAGTAATTAAACTTTTAGATCGTTGGCACAAGCCGATCTAATAAGTAGTTCACTCCTAAGAAAATCCGGTGTCAGCTTTCCCTATCCTATCCGCGAATACCCCTCCGGTTTTCTTTATGGTGTTTTTTCAAAATTTTGTTTGGGTTAAATGATGGCTGACAGTCAAATCTGAATCAGACTGTTTTCATCGTCGGCACCCCAAGCCAAAAAGGGAGATGTTCGTCTCATCCGCCTCGGAACCAGCATGGTAGCAGAAAGGCTAAAACTAGCGAGGCCCGACAAGCAGAGAAGCTGCATTTTGTAGCTACCCAGCCTTGGCAGCCGGCGTGGATGGATATGGTATCGTTGTCATCCGCTGCCGGGTCACATCGCGTCCGATTCGTCGCTCTTCAGACAGATCTCAGCTCTGCGATTAGGCCTGGGAGCGGATCACCACGAAGGAATGAAGTAACATTGTCTTTGGGTAGTCCACGCGCTCCAGATGCCAATATAGCATCCGGTTACGAAAACTTTGGTATGAAGGCCCGCTGTCTCATCCACCTGCCGCCAAAGAGTAACAGCAGGCAAACTGCTAACGAGAACTCGGAGGGGCTCTGCCTATTTCTTTACGAGGTACGTCGATAATTTGGTATTGTTCTCTTCGTTGCTAAACTAAGATTTCAGCAAAATTCGTCGGCTGTTTATAGTAACGGGCCGCCGTGGAAAGACCCTGCCGCCCTACACGATCGAATTCGTGAGCCGGGTCCCGGAGCGTATCAGTCATTCCCTGAACATCATTTCTTCGCTCGAGTTTATCGACCAAACGCTGTAAGTATGCAGTCAATGCTGATGAGCGCAGTGGCTAATAGTGATGTTAGATCTGGGCCGCATTACTCAATCGCCAACCGACATTCCTCTGCTCGCCGGAATGGACGGTCGTGCCTTGGGAACGCCACCCGAGGACACCACTCGACGATCTCCTCGATATAGTCGTCCTCTTGCCGTCGATATTCTCGCGGGCGGACCGCATAACACCATTAGAGGTGAGCGACTCTCGCCGCTTGAAGGCGAAGGACCTTTTGATCAGCTGCGTCAATATCGAGAGACAATTTGATATCTGGTATAGCATGGTGCACCAAAGAGTTGACGATTCGGGATCGCCACTGTACTGGGTGACGGATGCAACGACTAGTGGTGCTCAAGCACCGTTTTTAGACGCGTTCAGCTTCCCATCGCCATTGATAGGATTAGTCCACGTCTGCTATTGGGCCGTTCTCATCAGTTTCCACCAGTGTATGTGTGCGCTCATAGACGCCATCTTCCAATCTGGAAGCGGGGAGCTCTCGGGCTCGAGCATGGCATGCACGGTTGGCATAGATCCTAGGAAGTACCAGCCAGGCCAAACTAGAATGATCGCGGCAAACCTATGCCGAAGCTTGGATTTTACACTTCAAACCACAGGGCAACCAGACCTCTTAGCTGCGCCGTTCCTTATAGTGAGCGATTTCTACAACAGGATCGGGCGCTATGGTGAGGGCGACATAGAACGCCAGTGGTGTGCGGGGTTCAAGAGGAGGCTCGACGCGAGAAGTCGCGAAGTAAGTTCATGGTTTGAAGAGAAGAAATGGATTGAAACAAGGCAATTCGGATAGACGCGATGTCACTGACAAAAGACCTAATAATAAGCTGGGTTTGTATGATATGATGTAATAGGTGGAAGGGGGGGATAGATTTGACTTTTCATTAGATTCAAACCTGTATGAAGCATAATAATGATTGCTACTTTGTATATGAAATAAAGATCACGAATTCAATGTTTCAAACTTGAGATATCTAGTATTTGGGTGACTAAGCCAATCAAGGTAAATGCCAAGAATTAGGGGAACCCACAGACCGTGGATTCTGATTGAAATATTACGTAATTAAACCTTAATGCTTTCTGAGCGAAATATGTGGCGGTGCTAGTGGCTGGAGCTTCCTGAGAGCTTCAAGGTTCCGACTGAGCTTCGTAACTCTGGCAGCCTTGCGTACCAAGGTACCTATTTCGTACTTCAAACACCACCGAAATCCACGGCTGGTCTTGAGCTTCAAAACTTATCTCACAACTCACATCTCGAGCTACCGTCTTCTAAATACTACGATCTTTTTTATTCCAGCAATTTCTAAACATGGCGTCAGGATACGATAGAGCTCTTTCCGGTATGTTTTATTCCCTTAGCAACATTACCATTCGCTATTCACAATACACAATACACAATAGTGAAGCAGCTTAGCTAACATTACCTATAGTCTTCAGGTTCGTATAAAAACGTACGCGCTTCTCGATTTATAGTCTTCTAACTGATCTCTAGTCCGGATGGACATGTGTTCCAAGTCGAATATGCTGGCGAAGCTGTCAAACGAGGTAGATATATATAACAGGTCTCTCAATTACTCGGATCACCTAACGCCATGTTAGGAACCTGCGCCGTCGGCGTGAAAGGTGCAGATATTGTCGTTCTCGGCTGCGAGAAGAGGTCGGCAATGAAGCTACAAGACACCCGCATTACCCCATCGAAGATCGGCCTCATCGACACCCACGTATGCCTAGCATTCGCCGGTCTAAATGCCGACGCCCGAATCCTAGTAGACAAGGCACGGCTGGAGGCGCAATCGCACCGCCTAACTGTCGAAGATCCCGTTTCCATCGAGTATATCACGAAATATGTTGCAGGCGTGCAACAACGATACACGCAGAGCGGTGGTGTCCGACCATTTGGTATCAGTACCATGATCGTCGGCTTTGACAAGAACAGCAAGCTACCCAGACTCTACCAGACCGAGCCGAGCGGTATCTACTCCGCATGGTATGGTTTTCCCATATTACATGGCAGCAACTACGCAACCATATATACTAACATACTATATAGGAAAGCAAATGCCATCGGCCGTTCCAGCAAGACCGTCCGCGAATTCCTAGAACGCAATTATAAGGAGGATATGGACCGCGAGGCAACTATCCGGCTAGCCATTAAGTCACTCCTAGAAGTTGTGCAAACGGGTGCAAAGAACATCGAGATCGCTATCATGGCTCCTGGTAAGACCATTGAGATGCTACCGGTCGAAGATATTGAAGGCTACGTCAAGAATATCGAGCAAGAGAAGCAAGAGGAGGCCGCTAAGAAGAAGACCGGCCGAACACCGGGAACGGGTAGCGCGGCGATCCTAACGAGAGAGCGGGAAGGTGGCAGCGATTAAAGGCGAGCCAAGCCGTAGCCATAGCTGTAGCCGGAGTTTATAGGCCTCCTCTAGAAGGGTGATTGATTCATAGAGGATATCATTACGACGCCTACCTGGTAGGTATCTAGGTAGCAAATCTGTATACTACCCACCCGGAAACATGCACGGTTCTTGATTTCTTGCCATTCGTCTCTTTGGTTCTTTCTAAAAGTCTAAACGTGTGGTATCATGTGAAATGCATCGCTCCGCAACCTAGAATCGTGCCGTCCATCTTTCTATTTGATCTTGACCCGGCATATCCGGCGCTATTAACCTAGTTTATCCGCGTCACTCTGGATATCGAAGATGGTCTTGTGCTGATCCTGTTTCACACGATCATCCTTCAGCATACGGTTGTTCATCCGCGCATCGTCGCCTTCGACGGTTAGGGCGGGCTTAGGTATAATGGCATCGATAACGAAGTGGTTATCGCAGTGAGGGCAGTATTCGTCGGCCTCTTCGAATTCCTGGGCGTCTTTTCGGAAACATTTCTTGCACTTCTTGCAAGCAAATGTCATCTCAAAAGCTTGTAGCAGCTGGTGCGACTCCTGCTCGTGGTGGCATTCCGCACAGTCGAACCATTTTTTGCCTTATCGGAGTGTTAGTAACAGCAGACTCGTTCGATATAAGTAATATAGCATCGTCTAGAAGGTTGTGTGGGAAACGTACAGCATGGCGAGCGGATGGCCACTTGAGCATTCAATACGTGTTTACTGTGCAATAATTAATATCTGGTGCTATATTTTACACAATATTTGAAGAATCCGACCTTACCACATGATGATATTTGAGGGCACAAAGGTCCAAATAGCCCAAGATTTTATTAAGTAGGTGAGCACTTGGATTCTCCTTTTCCAACTTTTTGTCACGCGTTATGAAATTTTGTTGATTCTACGGGATATCGGGAAGCGGTAACTAGACGTTTCTAGCTAATCGATTTACTTATCCTTGGTGGTTTGATTACCTGATGAGGGGCAATTAACGGGGTATGAACCCCCGCAAATCCGCCATGGCTGTGCAGCCTGTGCTCCAGGGTTGTCTTTAGCGCAATGCCGGCACGAATCCTAACTTGACTTTTTCAACCATCTTTCTTCACTTTCAATGCAGACTCTCAATATCGACATTTTACAGATATGAAATTATGTTCCTTGAACATGTAGTCCCTGTCCAATCTATTTGTTCCAGGGATCATTCACCAAATATATTGTTATCGTACACGACAACATGCCAGATTCTCAGAACGAATTCATTTATACTTAAGACCACTTGAAAATATGCGAAGTCTGTCGTCCTTAAGTCTAAGCGATCACCATTCATCGATAGCCGCGCACCTGTGATACCTGCTTCAAAAGAATTTCTCGCCTTGTTGGTATGACTCATTTGAGGAGCATAGGAACGTGTGATACAGCATAACACTGCGACACAGTACCGGCGTCTTTAATCAACGAAAGAAAAGGATCACAGACATTATTAGTCCGATCTGAAAAGGCACCCGATGGTAGTATAATATAGAAATTGGTTTTAATATTTTATGCCACCCTATCATATGGATCTACCTACCTTAGACCAAAACAAATCCTATACAAGTGAGTTTTATACTACTTAATGGAGACTGACAACTATAAAGCTTCACGCCAAGCATTCAGGTAGATTTGAAGGCGATTATCTGTAATACCACTGGGCATATAAGAGATTGTCGGTGAGAAGAATCTCGATATCTCCTTTAGTCTGGAGCGGTGTTAGGTACCACATATCCGATGGGCTAGGCTCCCCCTCATAGACAACCTCACCAGGCGACAATAACAAGTACGAGCATCGAGGTCTCCATAACACGAGATTATGAACTGTAACAGCCGTCTGCTGTACCACATAACGAAAACCACAGACCCCACGATCGGTCCGGTGATTAGCGCGTTCGCCGTTCCGAGATCTGGCTACCCGCAGGATCAGGTTAGCAACAAAACAAAGCTCATGAATCTCTTCATCCTCGAGATATTCGGTAGGCCACGTCGGACCAAAGACGTGGCGTCCTGCGCGAGTCAGAGCAGAGCAAGTTAGACTTGCTAATAAAGTAGAAAATTAGCGTCAACCAGAGGTGCATATGCCGGTACGCGAGGCTCATGCGGTGTAAGTCGTCGGCGTAGGCTGTTTGCAGGACCGCGCAAAAAATCGTCGTCTCCCTGGCTAGCTGTCAAATTTCACTTCCCCTCACTTATATTGCCGACGCACAAGTGGCGCCGCCATCCTAATCGACGTGTAATGACTGTATGGTGCTTCGCGAGTCTCTCGGGATGCCACAGACCGTTATGGGGTGATAACAGGCCGAGGAGGTGAAAGGCCCACCTCGAAAGCCTTAGGGGCAAGACACCGACGTATCAAGAGACCAGGCAAATACCTGAGCACAGACATCAAGGGTATGGATTAGAGTAGGTATATGAGTATATGACTTCTCGATACACGCGTATGTCTCGGGAAAGCAAAACGGGTTAACAAACATGGATTCGTATGATCCGCGGGTTAATACCAGAACCAGTTTCGTACCTCGTGACAAACGCGAAGCTCCGTTGCACTAAATAAGACAGCAATCTCGAACTTATATTCGTAAGGACAGGCCAGAACGTAATCTAGCCTCCTCGGCATTTTAGACTGGACAAGACAACTTTGAAAGACATGGCAGATCAGCAAGCTGGAGGCGGCTCTATTCGCACGCAGACAATCGTATGGCCTGCTTCAACATTTGTGACCACTTGGACTCTGGGGGGCGGCAACTCTGACCCAACAGAATCGCCGGCAACTGTCATTCCCGCGGGGAACTCAGGCTCGACGGATGACCAAGATGTCGGCCCCATCCTTAGCGGGGTGGTTGTCGTACTGGTATTGGCGCTAATCCTATGGTTCTGTTGTCGGCGAAGTGAGTCGGCTCCTGTCTTTTCGTCGTCTTACTCACTTGCTTTCCTTCCTGGTTTCTCGCCTCCTCGCCCTGTCTACTATAAGTAGAACTGACTGTCACCTGCCTAGAGCGCTCTAACAGTCGTTACTCGAGACGTTCAAGTAGGCGACAAAGTTCAGGGTACACAAGTAAAGGTAGCTCCGGAAGTTCGCCCTCATCAAATTCTTCATCTCAGAACGGCGGCAGTGTCGGATCTGGTGGAAGTGATATCGCTGAAGATCAATGGGACAACCAAGAACAGATGCCTGAAGAACCGATGCCAGCAATGCCACCACCCGCCGCAGGAGGATGGCCTAACCCTGGAATGAGACCTGTTCCGCAGCCGGGTCCAGGTATGAATTTTCCTCCAGACCAGGGCGGACATCCATTGATGATGGGAGGAGGTGGTCCACCACCCCTAGGTAGAGGAGGGCCTCCGCCTATGATGGATCGCGGCGGACCTCCTCCTGGAATGATGTGATGGCTTGGCAACTATGCCTGACTGCTGCTCAGAAGGGACAACAAAAGGATGCACTTTAGGTCCCAAACTCGGTGCTTTCACATAACAACACAGGGTACCTTCAACAGAAAGAAAATGCACTGGATGACGATGCCGCCGTACAAAATATTTCTTGATTTTATAGGAGCGCATAACAATAATCTTGGGTATCATAATCATTTATGATATAACTCCTTCAAAGAGTCTGACACATAGAACAGCCGCAACGGCAGCTATTCCGCCCATGACAACCATCCGGATCCCCTCCCATGAGCTATGCTTAATCCGTTTCCATTTTTCTGGTCCTCTTCTATGGTTTTCGTGTTGCCAGTTATCCCCCGTGGATCCAGGGTGGAGTAAAAAGTCCTTGGTAAACCCAAATATAAACAATACTAGGATGCAGACAGCGAAACTCCATTGCAAACCGTCATCCACGTTGCCAACGAAAAAGTATGGGAATAACGGCAATAATCCGCCGAGCATGTATCCGAAGGATATTGATAGCCCGACAATCGATGGCGGAAATTCCCGGGCCTTATCCGTCGAACCATCGACCGCCATATTTGTGTTGCATAACAGTCGCCGTAGAACGGCAGGATGATGGTTGACATGGTCTCTCACACCTTGAAGGAGGTCTGGAGGGAGGTCTAATAAAGCAAGATAGCTCTGGACACTGTCTTGGTCGGCCGTTTCTAGCTTTTCGTCTTGGTCGTAACTGTCTATATCCGAAGCTTCATCTCCTCTTGCAGCGAGGTATCCGCCAATTCCCATACTTATACATCCCGCGCATATCTCAGCCGCACCAGCATATATGACAGTTTTGGTCTGGCCGAGGGACGATAAGCCTGCAGTCAGCGCGAATGGTACTGTGAGGCCATCGGCAAAGCCAAGAGTGAAATGGGAAAGGAACTGGGAAAGGCGGGATTTCGTCGCACCCCGTTTGGAGTCTATTCGATAGCCATTGAAGCTGGAATCTTCACTGGCTCTTCCGGCATTTATCGATGTGCTAATAGGTGATCTTGGGCTTGAAGCTAGGGCCGCATAATTTGATGGGCTCTCTTGGACTTGTTCATCTTGAAGGCTTAATTGAGCGAAGAATGCTCGAATCTTCCCGACTCGCATATTTGATGTGAGTTCAAGGTTAAGTATAGGCAATGCGACTTAGATAAGAGGCTAGTTGAAAATGATGCTCAATATCTTGACTATTCGGAGTTGAGGAGAGAACTAAGTGTATCTAACGTAAGTGATTCTGTTAACCCATCGTGTCCTTCAAGGTCTTTACAACAACTTTGAAGCTTAGAAGATGCTGAGATGCACGTGGATTCTTTAGCAGACACGATATGGACCGCACTTGCTCGGCTTCATTTCATTTATTATGAACGAATTCGCAAGCTTTACCCATGCGAACTTCCCATTCCGTCTTAACTTGGAAAGAAATCGCGGATCAACCTCGATTCTTAAGGCTTATACGGCAGGGATAACACCGAGCTACATAATCATAGCCAATAAGATGTAAGACATTGTCAGCTGCGCCCTGTTCGGGATCGACTAAAGACAGGGGTCATGGCAAGGGATGCTTGGACTCTTCCCTATCTCAACAAGCCTTTTACTATTTTACTAGCGCTGTATGCTCCACGATACGCGCTCCGCGATGCCAATGCTTGGCCACTAGAACTTCCACGTGCTCAACTTCTAATAACATGTTAATGCCGACACTACCGAGCAAGGGAGTATTCGAAGATACCTACCTACCTATCTCTCGAATCAGAAGACGAGTTTAAAGAATCTCTGTTTCTAGAAGTCAGACTTTCTTTTATAGGTATCCTATCGCCAAGAGTTAGATTCTAGAAGAGTTCTAGGCGGGATCGTCAACTGCGACACTGTTACCGTAAAATCCTCAACTCTGCCCTAATCCTCCATCCAAACCAACTATTTTTAGGCGGGATCGTCGAATACCCACACGCTCGCTCGAGCCGGTCGACTTTACCAGTACCATACCAACCAGCTTACAATCTCGGACCGGTCTATAGGACCATGGCGCTGGATTCAGCCCATTCACGCGTCACCTTATCGACCACCTTCCGAAGTAGAAGAGATGGATGTAACCCTAGCGGGTCTTACCCCGTCCTGTCCGTCCTGCCCGTGGGAGGAAAACTTGGTGACCCCATTAAAAGTGATATATCTCGGCCAATTACCATGGCAAATCACTGACATGTGCGTCGGCAGGAACCGTTTGAAGTTAACAAGGCTTCCTATCAGCTAGGTAATGAAGAAAACATGTCTATCATTACGCCGACAGGGTCGGAGGGGGTCCATGCTAAGCGCTAGCTTCATTGCTGCGCGGTCATGAAGGTAATAAAAGGAATTTAGTAGCTCTCTGAATCTTACCTGTCGGCTGTCTCTCTTTCCTGATGCCGTTGTCGTGAGCTCAGACAAGTCAATTCCACCATGCGTTCCTTCATTCTGTCGACATTGGTCTTAGCGACCAATGTCGCCGCGCAGGCAGAAAACACATATACGGCTACAGCCACTGCCGACGTCGCAAAAGCCGCTGCCACGGCGAAGACTCTCAGCCCTGTTACTAATGTGAAGGGTAAGGCTTTCGACCGGTTAGCCATCGTATGGCTAGAGAACACGGACTATGATATGGCAATCGGAGATCGTAAGTTGCTCGGACGTTGCACCACCAACGATAAAAAGAACGGGAAGTGAGAGCTAAACGTTACCAACAGCGAACCTAGCGTGGTTAGCCAAGAAGGGCATAACACTGTCGAACTACCACGCGATCACACACCCGTCGCAGCCGAATTACATCGGCTCGATCAGCGGCGACTACCTGGGTATGCAACACGACGACTTCACGCAGATCAACAAGAACGTCTCCACCGTCATCGACCTACTCGAAGACAAGGGCATCTCGTGGGGCGAGTACCAGGAGGACATGCCGTACAGCGGTTTCGAGGGCTACGCCTATGTCAACCAGAAGAACGGCAAAAACGACTACGTCAGGAAGCACAACCCGGCCGTGAGCTACAACTCTAACGCCGGTTCCCTCGACCGCCTAGCCGTTATCAAGAACCTAACAAGTATGTATTAGCTCCTGTTCCACGTTGAGGGGAAAGACTATCTTGAAAGTCTGTTTCAAGCTAGAAAAGTGCTCGGGACAACTCTCTACCTCTAGAATTCTGCTTCCGAGGATGTGTCTCGGAAAATTGCTTCAAGTCAGAAACTAACTCCGGTTCTCCCAGCCTTCTACAAAGACCTCGAAAACGACACCCTACCGCAATGGATGTTCATCACACCGAACATGACCAGCGACGGCCACGACAGCGACATAACCACCGCAGGCTCCTGGACACGTTCCTTCCTCGAACCCCTCCTCAACGACTCGCGCTTCATGAAAAACACACTCGTCCTCGTAACCTTCGATGAGAACGAGACCTACAGGATCCAAAACCGAGTCCTAGCCCTACTCCTCGGTGACGCCGTTCCCGCCTCCCTCGTCGGCACCACCGATAACAGCTACTACAACCACTACAGCGAAATCGCGACCGTCGAAGCGAACTGGGACCTCCACACACTCGGGCGATGGGACGTAGGCGCCAACGTATTCAAGCTCGTAGCCGACAAGACAGGTGACAAAATCCGATCATGGACCGGCAAAGTACCACTCAGCAGCATGTACTTCAACACCTCGTACGCGGGGCCTCTGAACAACAACGCGGGCGGGAACAAGCGGTACCCGGGTCCGAACCTAGGCAGTGTGTGCGGCCTACACAACCGCACCGTGCTGCCCAGCATCAAGGAGGCTTGGGAGGGCAACCCGGCGCTCGTGTATTATAACAGCGGCCTCGAGACCCCCGATGGACAGCATCCGCCTCCGGGTTATACGCCATCTTAACGGGATTAGCGAGCGTAGCATTAAATAATACATAACATACCTCATAACGTACCTTGGTTGGTATATAAACACCAGTAATATAGACAAAACACATATAAATCCCGATATACCTACCTACTTAGACCAGTCTCTGCGCACGCCTCGTGATACTCCAACAAAATAAACAAGGCCAATCGAATTAATCCGATCACGATTCATCGAATCGTTTAGATGACTTGGGTCCCGCTGACTGGCCGACACTTTCCGTACCCCGACTCTATCTGAGGGGTAGAATCATGCAGGCACCTCGATCTGAATAAAAGTGCGGCTGCGTACACCTATTAAGTATTACTACCTGAGGCTGCTGAGGTAGGTAGGTAGGCCATTTCCCGCGGAAGCTTTCATCAACACGAGATGACACATTAGGCAAGTTAAGGTAGGTTAAGGCTCATCATCAAAGTTCAATTCAAATGCATCCTTGCATTTTCGTAAGGGCCGCCGGGATGACCAACCCATTAAACTACCGTCCCAACCTATTCGTGTATCCATTTTATGTATTTTTTGTTACGCCATCCATCCCATTTCCCTACTGATGGTACAAGTCGGCACGATTCCAACAACCTTAGGTGCCGACAGCTATGCAGCACGGGAGACAAATGTCCCAGCGCACGAGATCCACCGAACACTTAAGGTGTCAGAGCTACGACGTACTCGACGAGATGCCGTCTTACAGAATGCGGTGGGCCGTAAGGTGAAAGTATTTAATTGCTGTCTCATAGCAATATACCATAACTCATCCCAAACCACAACCTCACCTTCTCAATCCCGCAGCATGCATAACTTCGTTCATAACCCAGAACCTTGCCGTGAGAAAAGCGTTATTGTTCTTGCGTCGAACTTCACCACGACACCCAACACCCCTACCAACTCCTCTATCAATTTCCTCGTTCCATTTCCGAGGTCCAAAAGAGTTGAGAATAGCGTCGATGCAAAAGTCGGGTGATGGCATAACAAAAAGAATTATGCATTAGATCCCCAGCTTGCTTCCCCACTCCAACTATTCGCATCACGACGCTCCCTAACGCAATGAGAGTCATAAGTCGCGGACGTCGGCCAATTGCCGACAAAATATGATCACCTTTTCCGTTTCCAACCGTATCGTGTGCTCGGTGGTATCATAAAAAGCATAGAACGCCTTGATGCATATCTCTTGAGACGCCGTAACCAGAAGGATGCATGCCATGTGCAGACGTAAAGTTTGAGAGGCAAAACAACAAGTGCGAAACGGACGACATATGCTGAACTATTATCGGCGTCGAAGTAAGGCCTGTGGAGCAGATTATGGACAGTTTGAAGCTCCAACAGGCCTGTTCGACGCAATCGCGAAAATCCAAGTCGGCCGAAACGGCGAAGAATCGTGCCAACGTAAGGCCCGGGTGAGATGGCCTTCGACGAGATGATGCCTCGTCAGAACCCGGTTGAGATACTCAACCTCTTATTGCTGTCGCAGTATAAGTCTCTGGCGCGAACGGAAAACGATCTTGAACAAAGTGCGCGTGGAAAGGAGCAAGGTCGGCGGGGGGCCTGATTGAGGACGTACCAGTACCAGCAAGAGGAAAGAAGCCAGCCATCGATCCCGGGGATGCTGCCTTATCCTTTGGGGTGCCCGAATTAGGTGAGCTCAGAGGCGGTTGAGACAGCGGTGATTCTGCTGGAGAACCGCCGATGGCTGGCATATACCCGTTGGCAAAATACGGGCCAAGGTTCTGTCGTAGGGAGTGGTGTATCGCGGTATCCTGGTGATGAAGGTGACGCGGCTGATCGGCTACACTGGGGCTGCCGTTCGAGCTCGAGTTACTGCTGTTCGTGCCATTAGATGGCGAATCCACTCCGTCATATCGACCAGTACGCATAGCTCCGTCCTTCAGCTGAGGGCTGGATTGCTTTGAACCGTTGAACTATATTGCACAGAAAGGTTAGTCAGAGTCTCGCGGGTTACTTCTTGTCTCCGGGCGTGGTTCCCATTTCGACGAGAGGCCAAGCGATCACGGGATGTACGTACAAAGCAATACTTGTTCAGAATCTCTTCGTACGAAGCCGATGCTATGCTGGCCGAAGCAGGAGAGCCCATACCCGGACCGGCGGGACCGTGAGTAATAGGAGCTCGCGGGCCGGATGCTGCAGGAGCCGAAGGTACGTAACGGGCCGGGTTGGCCTGAGATTCCCTTGACACCTGAGCAGCAGGGGCGAGGCCGAACGAGGCTTTCTTATTAGGCTTCATGTACAGAGCGTCGCCGTACTGGCTCGATTCCCGACGAGCCTGCTTAGCAGCGTTTAGCGAAGCGCCGAAGTCATACCGATTAGCAAAAGCCTGCCCACTCGGGGCCGACAACCGACTCGGCAGGTTATCACTAGGTAAACTGGAAGTCGACTTCGAATTCTTGAGACGCAGAGCCGGCCCAGACTCGCCGAGGACCTCATGAAGAGACTTGTCGAAACTGGAAAATTTCGAGTCGTGTCCAAAGTCGTCCAAGGCGCCGACGGGCATAGACTTCGGCCGCGCGGCCGTCGAGGGGTTAGCTCGTCGGTTGCTACGCGGCAAAGTGTTTGCGGGTCGAGAAGCGGCAGTTTGGACACCCTTCTTGCCGTTGATAGGCAGCATCTTCTTACGGAAGTCGACTTGGAAGTTGAGACCGTCATTGTTATCCCAATATTCGAGGGAGTTAACATTATATCGGATGCAGAAGAATAGAGTCTTAGCTTCGAGGTTGGCAAAATCGGATAGCTTCAGACTGAACTGGAAGCGGTCATGGCCGACCTCGGCGCCTCGCGGTCGGGTAATCTCGTGATGATACTCGGCAGCTACTTCGGAAGTCGTCTTCCAATAATCGAATGTAAATCTACAAGTAACCGATTTCTGGAAAGCCAGATTGGCTACCGCTACCGATCCTATCAAACACTTCTGGTCGGGAGACATCCACACTCTTTCCACCCGTATAGGGAGAGTCTTGCGAATCGGAGTGTCTGTAGGGAATTTGTGAACAACTAATTCCCACTCGAACGGCGGCGACCGCGGGCTAGCCTTCTCTTCAAACCCAAATGGGTACTCGGTTTCGCTCTCATAAGCCTCCACCGGAGAAGAGCCAGCGCTGACGGCAAGCGGCCGATCAACCTGCAGGAAATGCCTCACGTGTTCGAGGTGCGAATCGAAGTGCACAGCTTTCGAGAAGGTCGGCGTTCCTGGCATGCTCGAGGGCCTCCTCTGTGCCCGTAACGCCGGCCTCACGAGTTCACCCGACTTCTTCCGCACCATCTGCGGCTTCTTCACAGGCTCATCTTGCTCGGACCCTTCCTCAGATGTAGTAATCGATATCTCTTCCGACTTCGACATGTAAATATGAGAGTCCGTGCTCGACCTCGAGTGAGAGATCTTCCGGGCGGAGGTGGTAAGCGCAGGCAAGCTAGCAGTAAGCATCGATTGCCGCGATTCCCCGATCAGGCTCTTGGCCTGAGATGGAAGTAGGAATAGGTCTCCTGGAGAAGACCTCACGGGTGATGGTGCCCGGTGTAAAGGTATTGCGCTAATAGCCTCTTTCAATTCCTTAATGTTCTCGATCTCCCTTCCCCGCTTCTCCGGTTCCGGGGTCCCTTCATCTTCACTAGACGACTCGGGGGGCGAGATGATAGCCCCTGGAGGCATCGTTTGCCCGTCAGCAACCGGAGGGGGGGATTGCCTAACCGGCGTGGCAAGAGATGATACCATACCCTTTAAGTTATCCGATGTCCCCGGTGGGGTGGTATCCGGAGTCGGTCCATTTGAGGGTCTAGGTGTCACTGACGGTGTCACTGACGTCGTGCTCCCTGCCGAAGGTGTCCGCCGATGTCTGGAGAGATAAGACGCAGACCGTGGTAAAACCGGCTTCGGCGATGTGGGGGTCTGGGAGTTGAAGGAGGACCTTCGACTGACTTCGGGCGAGGGAGGGGCTGAGGAGGCGGGAGAACGGTGGGACGGAGGTGTGTAAGGCATTCCCAAAGATTCGGGCTGCCGCGTATCAGGAGAGATGAGGGGAGTAGAAGGGAGAGGGGGAACGTCCGCAGGCGTGGTGCTGCTACTCTTAGGGACGGCGGATTTCAGACGAGGAAAACAGGGAAATATTCTTCTCCACCAAGCCCCAAACCGCGAGTCAGGTCTAGCAGCGATAGAGGTGGTAGTAACAGTAACGGCGTCTTTTAGTTGTGGAGGAGCGATTGGGTACTCGCAAAGACCTGAGAAAGCGGAAGGTTCTATTAGCATTGTTTGACTCGGTCCAAGTTTCCATGATATAGCTTGAGGTTCGTTTCCAGGGCTGTCCTGCGGCTTCTGACTCTTCCTCACAGCTATCTATCTGGCAAAAACAGAGAAAAACGGCGGTGATCCAACAGGCAACAGAAGCAACAACAACAACATCAAGAATATCGGGCAGGACAAGTCATTTTAAAGGATGCACCCAGCAAGTAAGGTTGATTGAGGGGAAAGCGGGAAAGCGGGAATGCGGGAAAGCTCATGGAATGAGACAATCCGGGGCTTGTGGCGTTGTCAGAGGTGACGGAGTCGAAAATCAATATTCTCCATACCCAACCCAACCCCAACCCAACCCATCTCCTCCTAATTTTTGTTGTCTCACATATTCCTCTCCACGTGGTTCGCAAGAAGAGGCTGAAGCTGCAGATGCGGGTCACGATGTTGGGAGTGGGGAAACGTTTGGGCAAAAAGAGGGCAGAGAGGGCAAATCGAGCATATAGGAGAAAAGATGACTTACACAATCAGGAATGGGCGGACCGATATACTCAGAGAATGCCCATGGAACCAGGAGAACCAGAAGAACCAGTTATCTTGCAAAGTTGTCGGAGCAGAGAGAAAAAAGAGACACGGCAAAGGCAATATCTCAGCAGCAGTGCTTATCTCTTTATCTTCTGTTGACTTAACTTCACAATCAACTGGCGGTGATCAGCACAGGAAAAAAAAAAATCGAGTGCCGAACCAAATTTCTCAAAAGACGGAGGGAGAATATTATTTATCAGTCGAAGAAGTGCGATATATAGCGGCAAGAAAGTTGTCGAAACCGGGAAGGCGAGAAATTTGCACGGAAGTGGGATGCTAAGAGAACAAGCACAAAGGCAATGCAATATATGCTGTTTGTCGGTTTTCTGGGTCATCCAATAGGTAAGTTATCGAGGTGAGCAGAGTGAACTTTTTCCAATATAGTTCCTTTGTTAAGTTTAATAAGCTTTGTTGCGCTGAGGAATCTAGGCCAGCCAGTTACGTACCAGTAATCGATCACTATCGAATCTCTCTCTCTCTATCTCTCGTCCTATAATGGTTCCCGAGCCTTTGGGTTAATGACAGCGATGGAGGGGACGGTCGACTGTCAAGGCTACAGTGAATGGTAAAGTGTAAATATGACGAAATCGGAATCGACGTAAAAACAATACAACCAGTCGATTTTTGTCCGGATCGAAATCGAAATTCACACGATGGCAAAGAAGGCCAATAATTTTTTTTCTTCTCGTGTTCGGCGAAGCGAAAAGCAACAGAGTAAGAAGTTTAGGAATTGTGGATGAAGCAATCAGCAATCTTCTACAATCCTAGGCCTGCCTTTGAACTGTAGGAAGCGGGAAGCGGGAAGGGGGAGGTTTAGTGGTGAGATGGTGGTTGACTGTTGTGGTGGTGAGAGGAAGAAAGGCACAAAAAGTCGGCGGACACGGATGAGGTGTGGGTTGGCTATTAGCTTAGGTTTATTCAATTCAGTGGCCAATGTTACCAATGCAGCCAATGTTGAGGCGGCGGGGGCGAACAATTGGTGACAGGGATCAACTAATGTGCACTATGACCAGGTAGTACAGCATACAACATACAACATACAACATTAGATACTAGGCAGGTACCTATGTACCCAGGCAGTCACCTAGCGATCTAGCAGCCTAGCAGCCTAGCACCTACCTGAAATGGGTCAACTGGTACAGTACGTATTGTGCATTACAAGTCGGGACAGGTCGTACAGGTAGCAGTGCTAAGTTCACTGGCTCATACTTTTTGGCGGGTACAGTGGTGTTTTTTTCTTTAGTTCCAGTCTTTATATCTTTAGTGGGTTAGTGGGATGGGTTCAATGGCTATAACATTTGACCCACTGGGCTTAACACCCCCCCGGCTATGCATCACTACCTGGATATGCAAAGCTATGGCCATTACTTATGGGGCGATGGCTGATGGCTGATAGTCGATGATAGGAGCATTGGCGATGGGAAACCGGGGGTTAGGAGGGGTTCTTGATTTCTTATCCAATCACATTTTCAGGATGGATTTGCGAGACGATAACATCATTGGACGCACAATATTGATTTTTTTATTCACACTGTAAAATGCCAGATGTCTAGCTAGGTTTTTTATATGCTCGGATCGTAAGAACATGGCCTGCACATACCTGCCAGGAGAGAAAAAAAAGAGAAATTTTATCAGGTCCGATGTTGGATATTACAAAATCACATCAGATTTGACACATCCAGCCAAAAAGCCTCAACTATACCTAGTATACTTCATACCTATTACTAGGTAGTTCTCTTCTTTCATACGTGATAGTTATAGTGTCGAGTTTATTAGAAGGCTTCAGTATTACACTATCTGCCTACCTAGGTAGTCATCTATCTACCTAATTAGTACCTACATAGTTTGCTAATAATATGATTCATTTATCAGTTTCAATTACATACCTATTTAATTGCTGACATCTTGAAAGTCTCGATAGTTACGATATTTTGTTACTTACTAAGTTGCTGATATAGATGAGACACCGTTGTCGGATACCTTTTTTGCCTTGCCTTACTGAGTACCAACCTTCTAGGTACGTAACTAGCTCAGTCAGATACGAATGTCCTAGACCATCTTACACATTTCTAACAGAAGAGCCTTCAATACAGATAGATTAAGATACGCAACGACTCTACCCTAACGAAAGCGAGAAGAAAATGAGCGACATCTCGACTGTGTACATGCATCCATTCCTATCCCCGTGCCTAGAACAACATCAAGCGACGATGGGACCATCTGCAAGAAAGCATACATCATGTACGTAGGTATATGAGGTACATAAGGGTGTTATACGTGCTATACGCCAGTACAGCAGCCACTACGCCAACCAATACGCCAATACATTCATACAGCCGTACACCTACAGCTTAAAATCGCTATCCGACGTCGAAGTTGTTTTAGTTGCGCCCAGCACAGTCTAGCGTAGTGGTGTCACTGTCTACCTAGGTAAGCCGCAAATAATACCAGGATAAAGGGAGCAGGGGCAGGGATCAAGGATCGGAGGTGGAACTTGCAAGGCTCTGGCAGTGTGGAAGCTAGAACCGAGTGGGTACTAATAGGGGATTAAATTCTCGAGCCAGCAACCACGCTGAACCCGAAACGGTCAGTGATATTTATTTAGCACATCGGTCACGTATCACGATGACCAGCCATGACGTAGGGAATACAATGGTTATCTCTGTCTTCTTTATCACATTGGTCAATCCAACCATCGAAGAAGACGCAATGCTTCATGCAAGAACACAGGCCAGCAGCACCGAGAGTGCAGCAGGATCATGCACTTCTTTTATTAAAAGCCATCCAGACAAACCTGTGGTTCAATTGATCAATTCGACGCCGACACCTTTCTTTCTTTTTTTCTTCACCTTGCCATCCAGTCATACAGCCATCCAGCCAATACATCCATCTTACCTAACGATGACAACCCAGATCAGTATATGTTGACGATGAGTGACGGTAGTGGTGGTGGCGACCACGCGATAAATCTCCAATTCGAGACGTATGTATAACTCATCGTAAGGCAGCCTCTTCCATCCGAGTACATGTATTGCGGAACATGTCCGTAATACCATTGGAGGGAAGTTATCTCGTTTCAGGGAGGTTTTGGCGTCTGTGTGTAAACCTCTTAGGCCATGTGTCTAGGTAATAGCTGCATCCGCCATCAATCCGCCATAAAACCCGCCATCAAAGGGTAAATGCTCATGAAATACCCGGTTGGTGAAGCATCCAAGACTCCAGCTATGAACTACCTGGCATTCATTAAATTTGACATCCTGTATGCAATCGTTAGCCTCGTCCCCCTTACCCTTCCGCTCCCCCCTTGTCTTCGTGCCGTCCTACCCATCGCGGCTGTTTTTCCCATTATAGTTCGTCTGATAAGTCTAGACTACCGCAAACATATTGCTAGCGTCTATTAAATCTTCCTATTTTGGTAAGCAGGCGTGATACAGTTCGACGAGGAAGTTTGAAGATTATTTTCTCTTATTAATACTCTTATATTCAAAGTTCCGTTCATCCTACATCAGCCTCTTCAACATTTTTAGAGTCATTTCAAGTACCTAACCCAAAGATGCACCATAGATCTTAACCTTGATCACTTATCGGTTTACGTATCTATAGTAGGGTTGCGCTCCATCATTCCTGCAGTATTATCACATATTCTGTAGTTATCCGAAGCTACCAGGCTGCATATTCCCAGGAGATTAGGAGTAATTGTGGCATGGTATGTGGCGTGTCAACACAGTAACTATGTGATAATAGTTTACTCAAGGACAATAAGCTTCGATGATGAACTCGTGGGTTCTAGCCTAAGTTACACGTGCGTCGCGAACAATTCTATTCTTCAAGCCAGGTACTAGCAGGTAGAAAATGGCGCGACATGGCATATTTCATAGTCTCATACTAAAAGGAACCCCGACAAGAACCCCGATAAACAATGAACGGCGAAACCGACTAGTAAATTCAGCTCTCGATAGCTTCGAGTTCGCATTAGTCGATGGTCTCATATAGTGAAGATTTAGTGGTTACTGTTAAACTCCTGAGCTATGGATTACGTACGCACTTAATCGCATCACTAAAGAAGAATAGTTGAGGTTAAATTCTAAATTTGAAAATAATAGAATAAAATAATGATAAAATAATAGAATAATAAAACGAATATGCCAGGTTCTTCGAGCGCACGG